GGGAGAGAGCGGCCACGCACAAGTGCTCCTGCAAAGTAGACGAGGAACTCGCGCTTGCGCGGCCCCAGGGCGGGCAGCTTGAGCCAGCCCGGGCACGAGATGAGGAAGACGCGGCGGGGGTCGCTCCGGCGCAAGGGGACGCCGCTCGACGACTGGAGGGTGGGCATGGTCGGTGCTGGGCGAGGCTGACGAGCGTGGCGAGCGTGTGCGCTGTGCTCGAGTGCGAGAGCAGGTGGGGGCGGCGAGCGAGCGAGGGTGCGGCCGACTCAGCTTCGACCTCGATCAAGCGAGGTCCGACTTGCACAAGCAGAGCGAGGGCAGCGCTCAAGCGCTCTCGCACACTCTCACGAGGCTATCGACGACGACGAGGAAAAAGCTGGGCGGTGGTTGCACACTACAGACACGGCGAGGCTCGTACAAGCACAGCTCGGCGCCGCGAGGGAGACGAGCGACAGGACAAACGGGAACTGCGAGGGGGCGACGACTAGGCCGTGAAGCCGAGGAGGTGGTCTGCGAGCGAGGACGAGGCGGGCGGACCGTGAGCGAGGGCGGAAAGGGAGGAGAGGAAGAGTGGGACGCACTCTTGTGTATCATCATGATCTTGGCGGCGAAAGCTGCGGGGAAGACGGACAGAAGCATGAGTAGGTGCTCGCGCATGCAGAACTCGACCATGTGGTACGGCGGACCCACCCTCGAGGTGGAAGATGTGCTTGCTGCCCTGGCGCAGGCGGTGGTCGTAGAACGCGCTCCAGTACGCGACGTCGGCCTTGATGAGCTCGTCGACGCGGTCGAGGAGCCGGCAAGTGATGGTCTGTCGGGGCAGCCGAGGTCAGGAAGGTGAACAGGGCGCGACGAGAAAGAGAAGGGGAAGGAGGAGGAAGACGAGGACGGACCGAGAGAACGAGCGTCGCCGGGATGCAGTGCACGAGGAGCTCGTAGAACATGCCCCTCACCTCGAGCAGCCTCTCGGGCGACTGCTCGCCCAAGATGCGCTCAGCCGCCTTGGCCGCGTACTTCTCCCAATCGGGCCGCGGCACCGTGTCGATGTCGCGCTGGTCCTGCTTGCCCGTCTTGAGGAGCGAGTGGTCAGGCTTGATCGTCTTCCACTGCGGGTCCTGCGTGTACAGGGCCTCGAACGACAGGAGGGCGCGGCGCAGGTTGCCCGACGAGATGCGCGCGAGGAGGAGCGACACGTGCTGCGGGACGTCGAAGCCCTCCTTGAGCGCCGTCTGCTGCAGGACCTGGTCGATCTGCGGACAAAAGACGAGTAAGGAGAGGGCAGGGACGTAGATGTGCGACAAGACGACGCACCTGGCCCTCTGTCGGCGCGCCGACGCGCAGGAGCAGACACCTCGAGCGGATCGGGCCGATGATCTTGGACGTCGAGTTGGCGCACAGGATGATGCGCAGGCTCGACGTGAACTTCTCCATCGTACGGCGCAGGGCCGACTGGGCGTCGCGCGACATGCCGTCCGCCTCGTTGATGATGACGACTGGAGGAAGGCGACGAAGGGGAGTAGGTTAGGTCGGCGCCCGCGCCCGAACTCAGGAGGAAGAGGACGCACCCTTGAAGCGCTTGCGGGCGTTGAGGTCGACCTGCTGCGTCTGGGCGATGTCCTTGAGCACCTCCTGGACGACCGAGCGGTCAAAGTTGCCGAGGTCACTGTAGGCGGTCGAGGGAAAGGTGAGCTCGCTTCCCTTGTGGAGGGGGGAGCCAAGGGACGCACCTCGGCGTGAGCTCGATGTGGTAGTTCGATTGGACGATGTTGACGTCGAGCTTGCGCTTCGAGGGCGTGAGGAAGGTGCGCTGCTCGATGCGGATCTGTGGAAGGGCTCAAGATGCGTGAGCCACATGAGAGCCTTTGCATGAGCGCCTGAGAGGCCAGTGTGTGGCCCCTCAAGCCGCTCAAGGAGGGGAAGCGAGCCACGCACCTTCTCGACACCAGGGCCAAAGAGCTCCCTCAGGGTCGCCATGATGCGGGTCTTCTTGCCTGCGCCGGACGGGCCGTAGAAGAGCGTGTGCGGGAAGTCGCCATGTGCCTGTGTGTCGCGGTCCCTCGCGGGTGTCAGGAGGAGAACGGGGCGCGGAGAGATGAAGACGAGGAGGAGGGGGAGGAGAACGAGGGACGCACGAGGGCCCGGAGCCGGTCCGACAGCTCTGGGTGGTAGTCGAGCTTCTGCAGCTCCCTCGGGCGGTGCTTGTCCACGAAGAGCGACATGGCGACGACGAGCCAAGGTGGGGGAGGAGACGAGGCGCGAAGTCGACGCGTCGCACCAAGTCGGCCACCTCGGGCTTCGGCTCTCCCAGACTGCTCGTCGGCCTGTGGAGGCTGCACAAAGAGCTCTCAAGGGAAGCGCGCAAGAGCACGCGAGTCGCGCCGAGAGAGGACAGTGCCGGCTGCGAGTTGCTCCTCCTCGTCCTCGTCTCCGAGCTACACAATCTATACGACGAGCAGGTCTCCCGAGCAGCAGTGGCACCACACGAGGTCGTGCGTGAGCGGCGCCCGCACCACCTTGGCCCTCGCGCCCGGTCCCGCTCCCGCTCCTGCTCCTCCTCCTCGTCCTGCGCCCGGCGCCGCACCGGGCGACACGAGCGGTCCTGCCGCATCGAGGTCCGGCACGCCGTACTCGTCCTCCATGCGCGCCTTGAGGAGCGAGAGCGACGCCTGTCGGACATGCTGCCGGCCGACGGGCACAAGCGGCGGCGAGACGAGCGGTGCGAGGCTCGAGGGTTGCCGGCCGTTCGAGGCGACGGCGGTGTCGGCAGTCGGGTCGGACAGCTCGTCGACAGAGGGAAGGATGGACGCGGTGCGGCGGTGGGCGTGCGTGCGGGACGGGGTGCGGGTCGGGGTCGCAGGGAGGGGAACGTTGGCGGCCGAGGGCGGCGTCGACGGGCCGGCTCGAGACGGAGAACGCGCGGGACGAGCGCGCACCGCGGCGAGCTCGAGCTCCTTGGTCCTCGCCTTGGTGCGCTCCTCGTCGAGCGCCGCCATCATGCTCTCGACCTGGCCCTTGAGGTCGCCGTTGGCCTTCAGCATCTTGACCCGGGTCGACTCGAGCGCGAAGATGTCCTGCTCGAGCTGGCGGATGCGGGCCTGTGCGTCCGAGAGCTGGAGGCGCAGGTCGTCGACGTCGGGAGGCGGAACAGGCTGCGACGGCGAGCGTGCGCCGGGCGAGGTGGACCGCAGCGCGTCGACCTCGTCCCGCGCCTCGGCGTACAGCGCTCGGAGCTCGTGCAGCGACTGCTTGGCCTCGCCGAGCTGCTCGCGCTCGAGCTCGAGCTCTTGCCGGAGCGCCTCGAGCTCGTTCGACTCGCGCTCGTCCGACTTGGCCGTATCGGCGTGCTCGACCGCGTCGGCCTCGAGGCGTGCGACGAGGCCCTCCTTGTCCTCGAGCGTCGCCCTGAGCGACGCCAGCTCGGTCTCGAGCGCCGTGCTCGACTCGCCGGCCTCGGCAACGCGCGCCTGCAGCGCCTTGACCTCGTCCTCGAGCCGTGCTGCGTCGGCCTCGAGCTTGGCCTTGGCCTCGCCCTCGCTCAGCAGCTTGTCGCGTCCCTGCTCGACGGCGCGCTCGAGCTCGGTGACCTCGTCCTTGGTCGCGTCGAGCTCGGCCATGGCGGCCGAGAGCGTCGCCGACGTCTCCTCGACCTCGCCGCGGCACAGGGCGAGCTCGTCTTCGACCTCGCGCTTGGTGCGCTCAGCGTCGGCGAGGTCGGCGCGCAGCGAGTCGAGTTCGGCGCGGAGAGCCGACTCGGACGACTGGAGCTGGGCGAGCGAGGTCGTGAGGGCGAGGGTCTGCTCGGTGGAGGATGACGAGGACGAGGTGAGGCCGGACAGCTGGGTGCGCAGCTCGTCGAGCGTGGTCGTGAGGTCGGCGTTGGTCGTCTGGAGGGCGTCGTGCGCCGACGTGAGGCGCTCGACGTCGGCTCGCGAGGTCGAGAGCTGCTGGTCGAGGGTGGTGGCGCGACCTGCGGGTCCGAGCGGGTCAGTGAGAACGAGTGGGACGTCGTCGAGAGAGAGTGAGTGAGAGTGAGACGCACCTTGTGCGGAAGCGAGCTCGCCGGTCTTGTCGCGCAGCTCGTTCTCGAGCGTGTCGACCCTGGCCTTGACCTTGACGAGGTCGGCCTCGACGAGCGTCCTCGCTTGGACCGCCTGCTGCGCCTCGCCGTGCGTCCTCGCGAGGTCACGCCGGACGTCTGCGAGCTCCTCGGTGAGCGCCGGCGTGTCGGCGCCGTCGCCCGAGCGCGAGCCCGAAGCGGCGCCCGCCTTGAGCTCGTCGAGGCGGTCCTGCAGGTCGGCGGCGACGCTCGCGCTCTGGGCCGCCTTGGACGTCACCGTCTCGATCGAGTACTCGAGCTCGCGCTCCTTGGCGTGCGACGCGGCGAGCTCGCCCTCGAGGCGCGACAGCTCGACCTCCTTGTCGTCGAGCTCCTTCTCGGCCGCCTCGAGCGAGTGCTGCAGCGCCGTCGCGCGCGACTCGGACGCGGCGAGCACGTTCTTGAACACGCCGAGGTCGCGCTCGAGCGAGTTGAGGCGAGTGGCGTTCACGGGCGTCGACGGGCGGGACGAGGCAGACGGGTCGGCGGCGGCGGCGACGACAGGTACGGGGCGCGCCTCGAGCTGCTTGCGCAGTCGGCCTCGACCTCGCGCAGACGGGCTGCATCGACCGTGGCGGTGTCGAGGGCGCTCGACTTGTCGGCGAGAGCGGCGGTCGCTTCCTCGACGGCGGCCCGCATTCTGGTCGAGCGCGGGCGACTTCTCGTCGACGGCGGCCTGCAGGCGGGCGACGTCGGCTCGCAGCTGGTCGATGTCGTTCTTGGCGGCGTCTGCGGCCTCCTTCTTGACCTGCAAGGCGTCGTGAGGTCAGTGCTGCCCAGGGACAGAAGAGGAGGGCAGGGGAAAGTCGTCGACGCACGCGTTGCGCCTGCTCGAGCTCGTTCTTGAGCGACGACATCTGCTCCTCGGCCTCGACGGCCTTCTCCTTGGCCGTAACGAGGTCGCGCTCGGCGGCGGCCGCTCGGTCCTCGGCGGCGACGAGCTCGGCGCGGACCGACTCGATCTCGTCCCGGAGTGAGCCCGCCTCGGCCTGCGCCGCCGCGAGCGCCTCCTTCGACTCCTCGACAGCGCCCTGCAACGCCTCGGCGCGCTCGCGCTCGCCGTCCGCCGCCGCACGGGCCTCGTCACGCTCCTTCTCGGCGGCGGCGAGCTGGGCCCGTGCGGCGTCGAGCTCGCCGTCGAGCGCCGCCTTGTCGCCTTCGAGCTGCTCAATCATGCGGTCGAGCTCTGCGGCACGCTCGGTGTGCGTCGCGGTCGAGGAGCGGAGGTCGGCGAGGGAGGTTTCGAGGGAGGTGACGGTCGTGCGGGACGAGTCGAGGTCGGCTTGGGCGGTGGCGAGGTCGGACTGGGCGGTGGCGAGAGACGACTCAAGGGACGACTCGAGGGACGAGGCGGCGGCGGCACGAGCGGCGGCGTCCGACTCGAGGAACGAAATGGTCGCGAGGTGCGCCGCCACGTCAGCTTCAAGAGCGGCGACGCGCTCCTCGGCCCGGGCCGCCGCTTCTGCGCCGACAGCGACGCCGTTGACCTGCGCCTCGAGCGCCGCGATCGTTGCCAAGTGCGTCTCGACGTCGCTCGCGAGGCGCTCGACCTCGCTCTCGAGCCGCTCGACCGCCGCGTCGCGCTCCTTGACCGCCGCCTCGAGCTGCTCGACGGCGTCTGCGCGCTCGTCACCCGCCTGCGCGACCTGCGCCTCGAGCGAGCGGAGCGTCTCGTCGCGCTGGGCGAGCTCGGCCGTCGCGCTCGCGAGCGACTCCTCGCCGTCCTTGACGCGCAGCTCGAGCTGCAAGACGGCCCGTGCGCGCTCGTCGAGGTCGGCGCGCAGGCGCACGACGAGCTGCTCGAGGTCGGCGGCAGGCTGAAACCGCCCCTGGAGCTCGTCGATGCTCGACAGGTGCGCCTCGACCTCGCGCTCGAGCTCGCCGATGCGGGCCTCGAGTCGCTCGACGACGATGGCGGCGGCGGCGGGTTGCGAGGCGTCGGCAGCCTGCAGCTGCTCGGCGCCGACCGCCGCGTCCTGGTCGTCGCCCGCCGCCGTATGCGAGGCCGCCCGGGCCGCCGCCTGCGCCGTCTCGAGCTCCCGCCTCGCCTCGTCCCGCTCCCGCATCGCCTCCTCCGCGCGCCGCGCGTCCGCCTCGCCGGCCCTGACCCTCTCCTCGAGCGCCTCCTTGACCTCGCGCGCGTCGCGCAGCGCCTCGTCCCTCTCGCCACTCAGCCGCTCCCTCAGCTCCTCGCCCGTCCGCTTCTCCTCGCCGAGCGCGTCCCGCTCGCGCCCGCTGTCCTCCGCACGTTGCTCAGCCCGGCTGAGCAGGCCCTCGAGCTCCTCGCACCGCGAGCGGAACGCCTCGGCCGACCCGGACGTCTCGGCGCGCAGGGCGACGAGCGCCTGCTCGAGCGCCTCGGCGCGCGACTCGGCCGCGTCGAGCGAGACACGCAGGGCGTCGAGCTCGGCTGCGGCGGCCTCGTCGTGCGCAGGCTCGGGCGCGGGGGCCGGCTCCGGCTCCGGCGCAGGCGCGAGAGGAGGCTGCGCGCGCGCCTCGTCGAGCTCGCGCTCGAGGTCGGCGATGCGGGCGTCGCGCTGCGCGACCTGGGCGGGCAGGTCCTGCTCCTCGAAGCGTGCGAGGCGCTCGACGAGGTCGTCGATCTCGGCATCGCGCGCGTCGAGCTCGTCGCGGCGCTCGGCGAGGGCGGCGCGCGCGATCGAGACGCCGCGCTCCTGTAGCGTCGCGGATGCGAGGCGGGTCAGTGACGCTCCGGTACCGGACACGAGTGGAAAAGGAGAGCGAGAGCCAGACGCACGAGGTTCGCGATCCGCTCGACGTCGCCCCGACTCCTCGCCCTCAGCTCCTCGCACTCGTCCTCGCACTCATCGACCCTCACCCTGAGGCCCTCGACCTCTCTCGGGTCCGGCGCCTCGGCGAGCAGGCCCTCGCACTCATCGACGCGCGCACGCAGGCCCTCGAGCTCGCGCGGGTCGGGCGCGTCGGCGAGGAGCGCCTCGAGCTCGCGCACGCGCGAGGCGAGCTGCGACGCGTCGTGCTGCGGCTCCTGCGGCTGTTGCGGCTGCGGTCGCACGCTCGAGGTCGAGCTCGCCCCGTACGAAGGCGACGAGGGCGGCTCGGGCGAGACGAGGACGCCCGTCGACGAGGTGCGCGCCGACGATGACGGCGTCCCGGACCGGCCCTCGGGCTCGACCTGGCGCTGCTGCTGCTGCTGCGCCTTGAGGGGCTGCGAGCGCGCAGGTGGCGGCGACAGGATGCGCGAAAAGTAGTCGGCGGCGGCCTGCATCGGGGCGGGGACGTGCACTTGCGGGTGCGCGCGTGCGGGAGGAGGTGCGGCGGGCGCAATTGTGGGTGCGGGTGCGGGTGCAGGCGAGGTGGACAGAGTGGGTGGAGGGGAAAAGAGACGGGCCGTGGCTGAAGCCGGCGCAGGCTGTCGGGGCGTAGGTGCGGCGAGTTCGGGTCGAGGAAATGGTGGGGAGGCGAGCTGGCGGTTAGGCAAGGGTGCCGGTGGCGGAGCTGGCGAGCGTGCGAGGGTCGGTGGTGCGCGTGAGAGGACACTGGCGATGCTCGACGCGGGGCTCGCGGGCACGCTGGTCGCGTCGGTGCGAGTCGAGGGCGAGGAGGGGTGGGTCGTGTCGGCTGAGGCGGCGGCACCGCCCTGGGTCGCCTTCTTCTGCGCCTGGAACTTGCGCAGCTGGTGGACGCGAGTTGCACGTTAGCCTGGCCGTTTGGCGAAGGGAGAGACGAGGGAGGAGACGCACCTTGTCGCGGGCGCGAGCCGCCTTGGCTGCGCGGTCTTGCGCGCCTGCGTGCAACCGAGCTCAGTCAGTACAGGGACACGCTTAGATCCGTGAACCGGCAGAGGGACGCGCCCGAGTCGTCCATGGAGGGTGACGGGCCGAAGTGGGACAAGAGAGATGAAGGCGGGCGCTCTGCACGGCGCGACGGCGATGCTCGGGGACGTCGATAGTCGGAGCTGTGGTGACAGAGCTCTGTGTGCCCGCAGCAGCTGTGCGTGCGGTGTTGAGAGCAGGAAGGAGCAACGGCCGCGAGAGATGGCGGGGAAGCGACACCGCTCTCGACAACTCGCGGCGGGTTTGCAGTAGGGCCGAGGGTGGGTATCAAGGAGTCGTACACGCGCTCGATACAGGCTCCAGACTGCTCGAGGGGCGAGGCCGCGGCGGCTACGAGCTCGTCCTCATCAACCGGGAGCTCGTTTCGACAGCTCTCACTCGCCCGCACCAGCTCCTCGCGCCGAGCGAGCACCCGCACTCGACCATGGTCACACCTGTCGACGCCGCGAGCACCCTGGCAGCCTACACCGCCGGCCTTGCGCCCAGGCACCGCATCTTCCTCTTGGTCTGCGTCCAAGGCCCGCTCGAAGCGTTCCGCCTCCCTGAGCTCCACTCAGTCGCCCAGTTGTACAACATCCCGCTCAGCTGGCCCGCGCCGCCCGATTCGACTGTGCGTCGACCCTCTCTCCCCTCCCTGTCCTCCTCCTCGTCCTTGCTGACCTCTCTCACCCCGCCTCGCAGCGCCCGTACGTCCTCATCGGCCTCGAGAGCGAGGACCACGCCCGCACTCTCGCCAACCGCCTCATCAGCGCCAAGCACGTGTGGGAGCTATGGGCACAGGGCGACTCCTACGCCGCCGTGCACGACCAGGTCAAGAGCGACGCCGTCCGCCCTCTCTGGGTCCGTCTCGCCCTCTGCCTCCCTCTCCCTTGGCCCAGAGCAACAAGCTGACCCTGATACACGCCCCGCAGGAGCCCTACGCGAGCGACCCGTCGTGCTCGTGGAAGTTCACCGTAGCCGGCCACCTGCGCACGATCCCGCTCCCTCAGCAGATCGCGACCGTCAACACTTTCTCGTTCATGCCGTTCAAGGGCCCGATCAAGCTCCGCAACCCGCACCTCGAGGTCGGCGTCTTTGAGGAGTACGAGTGGGACCCGCTGCGGGGCCAGAAGGTGCGCGAGGCGAGGGTCGCGCTCGGCTTGAGCGAGGAGAAGGGCAAGGGCAAGGAGAAGATGAAGGTCGTCGAGGAGGGTGATCCGGAGCACACGGGCGGGCTGCGAGGCGTCTGGATGGGCCGCAAGGTGCGTCGTCGTCCTCTCCCTCCCTGCGGCCCCTTCTCGACGGACCTGACTTGCCCTCTTTGCCGCAGATCTGCGACTCGTCGCGCCACCTCATGGACAAGTACGACCTCAAGAAGCGCGCCTACATCGGCACGACCTCGATGGAGGCCGAGGTGTCGCTCCTCATGGCCAACCAGGCCCTCGCCGCCCCGGGCAAGTACGTCTACGACCCGTTCGGTGCGTCCCACTCTCTTTCTCTCTCTCAGATATGAGTTGAGCCAGGCACTGACTTTGAGCGTGCGCCACAGCTGGGACGGGCTCGATGCTGCTCACGAGCGCGGAGTTTGGCGCCATGACGTTCGGGAGCGACATTGACGGTCGGCAGCTGCGCGGCAAGAGTACGTCCCCTGCTCCTCCCTGTCTGCCTGGGTATCGACGCGAGCCTGATGTCTGTACTCTCGCTCGCAGAAACGTCGATCAAGCACTCGGCGGCGCAGTACGGCACGTCGAAGCGCATCGTCGACACGTTCACCTTCGACATGACGGTACGTTCCCGCTACCTCCCTCTCGAGCCAGATCCCTCTTGCGAGTCAGACCTGACGACGAGTCCGTTGTCCCTGCAGCAACATCCTTTCCGCTGCGGCGAGATCTTCGACGCCATCATCACGGACCGTGCGTCGTCTTCTTTCTGCCTCTCGTTCTCTCTCTCCCGGTCGCGCATGCCTGACACGCCCTCTCGATCATGCTGTACAGCTCCATACGGCGTGCGTGCCGGCGCGAGGCGGCTCGGGCGCGAGGACGGCGCGCGCGAGGTCGAGCCGATGATTCTGCGAGGGCGCGAGGACGAGGGCCTGCACCACACGTGCGTCCGACGCTCTCTTCTCTCTGTGTCTCCTCTCTACTCTGCGACGCTGTGCGCCTCGTGCGCACGTCGTGCGGAGCTGTGTCGACTCGTCGCTCGAAGAGACGCTCAAACACTTCCCCCTCGCCGCAGCCTGCACGACTACGTCCCTCCCTCGGTCGGCTGGCCCATGGAGGACGTCATCTCGACGCTCGTCACCTACGCCCTGTACCTCCTCCGTCCTGGCGGCCGCCTCGTCTTTTTCCTCCCGACGTCGAACGCCGACTACTCGGACCTCGACGTGCCCCAAGTCCGCGGGCTCAGGCTCGTGAGCAACTCGCTGCAGGACTACGGCAAGTGGGGGAGGCGGCTCATCACGATGGAGAAGGTGCAGGAGGCGGACGAGGAGGGTCAGAGGGGCGTGGAGAGCGAGCTCGAGGGGCTCGACCGCGGGATCAGGAGGAGGCGCGAGGACGACGAGGCGCCGGCGGGCGCGGCGGTCGAGGGTGAGGGTGCGAGTGGGCGTGACGGCGACGTGGACGAGGGCGCAGAGGGGCAGAAGAGGCGGCCCGGGCACGCCGACTTCAACCAGCGGTTCTGGGCCGGGTTTGACCCGGTGCGCGAGGGGCTCAGGCGGCTCGGGCTCGCTGGCAATGCGGCGGGCAGCGATGCTGAGGCTGTACAACAGGAGTCGAAGGCGGCGCAATGAAGAGCTAGAGCGCTCGTCCTTTCTCTCTCTCGGTCGTGCTCGTCGTCGAGCGAACGAGAGTCGCAAGTCGTCATTGGCATCGAGGGGTACAGGAACGAGAGAGTGAGAACAAGAGTGTCTATCGTCGTCGTCGTCGTCGTGAGCAAGGAGATACACTGGCGGATCGTCCATGTCGTCCTCGTCGTCGCCTCCTCCCTCTCGCCGCCACCGCTGCCGCCGAGGCTGCTCAGTACCGCCCGTACCCTGCCGGCGCGCCGTACGGGTCCTGCTGCTGCCCTGCACCCATGCCCGAGCCCGTCGCACGCTGGTACTGCGTCCCACCCGCGCCGCCCTGCTGCTCGTGCGTGTAGTACGTCGGCGCGAGCGAGCCAGTCTCGCCCGCTCGCGCGTACGGGTCGGCCGTCGTGGTCGCCGCACCGTGGCCGTACGAGCTCGGCGCCTGGTTCTGGACGTACATGCCCTGCTTGGACTGCTGGGCCTGGATCGGCGGCGAGGCGGTCGAGGGGCGGTAGGGGAGGACGGGCGGCTGCGACGAGGACGACGACGGGTCGGCGTACGACGGGCCGGGCGCTGCCGACTGGTAGCCGTCGACGTAAGGCGTCGCGGCCTGTTGGAGCGGAGGAGGCGACGAGGCCGGGTACGGCGGGTACGCGCCCGAGTACGACGATGGCGACACGACGTGGCCCTGGGACCCGCCGTACGCGTGGTACTGCTGCTGCTGCGGGTCCTGGTCGTAGCCGTCGCTCGCGCCGGCAAGCCGCCGCTCGTCGGCCTGCGTCGCAAAGCCCCGGTTCGCCCTCGCCTCGGCCGCGAGGCGCGCTCCGGCGCCCGTCCCAGCTGCGCCGGCCGGTGGACCGACGGGCGAGACCGGCGGGAGCGACGCGGCGCCCGACTCGGGCGGGAACGAGACCGAGTGGCCGGGCGCCGACGGGTCGCGGCGGCCGTAGCCCTCGCCGACGCCCGAGATGAGGCTCGGCGGCGCAGCGCCGCCGGCACCGACGTTCGACAGGTCGCCGTACGAGGCGTACTGCTGGTGCTGCTGCTGCTGCTGAGGCGGGTACGAAGCGTACGTGTCGTCGTAGTCGACGTGGTGCGTCGCCGTGAGCGGGACGTGCTCGGGGAAGTTGGGCAGGTTGGCCGCGTCCTCCTTGCGGGCGTACTCGGCCTTGACGGCGTCGGCGCGCAGCTTGGACCCATAGTTCTCGTCGGGCATGGGGCGGTACATGTCGGACTGCTGCTGCTCGCGGCGATTGCGCCGGGTGATGCAGGTGCCGCACTGCGAGGAGGCAAGCGCGTGAGCTCGGGAAGCGCTCGTGCGAGAGAGAGGAGGACGTACGCCGAAAAAGAAGCCCGAGATGAGGAACAGGATGAGGGCGGCGAGCGTCATCCAGATGGCCTGCAGGAGGGAAAAGAGTCAGGTCTGCCCGAGCGGACGAGGGTAGGGGAAAGGTGGACGCACGTTGCCGAGGGTGGCCTGACCGCCGACGCTGCTGCGGTCGATGCGCTGCTTGGCGATTATGAAGACGACCATGTCAAAGATGAAGGCGAGAAGGGTGACGGTGCCGGCGAATGAGGCAAAGCAGGTGCTGAGCATGGTGCCGGCGAAGTTGTGCATGTGGGCGAGGAGGCCAAACACGACCGAGATGGCGCCGAGGACGGCGGCGACCGGGTGCAGGACGAGGCAGTAGGTGGCCCACTTGAGGACCGAGTCGGACAGGTCGCCCAGCTTGCCGTTGATGCCCAGGAGGGCCGCGACGTCGAGGTTGTAGCCGAGCTTGGCGCTCGTGCACTTGTTGCCGACGCAGTAGCCGAACGTGCCGAGCTTGACGGTGCCCTTGATCGAGCCCGAGCTGATGGTCGCGTCGAGGAAGTAGAACGTCTTGAGGAGCGGGGTGCTCACGGAGACGAGGACGAGGAGCTGCAGGGGGCAGGGCCCACGAGGGCCGGTCAGTGGTGGTTGCAGGGGCGGGAGAAGGGGTATCACGCACCACTGTCGCCGCAAAGACGACGATTGTGCCTGCGTGGAGCGAGTGCGAGGTGAGCGAGGTCGTCTCGGGTGATGAGGCGTGGGCTGGAACGGGGCGGGCGCACCCGGGGTTGCGGGTCGCCAGGCCATGATCCGAGGTGTCTGTAGATGGGTGCTGTGCGGTGCTCGAAGCAGATCGAGCGTGTAGCGAGGCGAGGAGGAGAGGGGGCGGCGAACGGACTTGGCGAGGCAGCGGCTCCGATTGCACCGCCTCGTTCGCTCGTCTCTCTCTCACCTGCTCGTTCTCGCTGCAGGTCAGCGTGTCTCTCGCATCGTCGCATCGCTCGTGCAGCCGAGAAGAGAGCGCGAGAGATCGTTCGTGTTGCACAGCGCCTCGCTCGCTCTGACCTCCTCCTCGCTCCTCGCGCCGCACAAGCTCACGCCGCACCCTCAAACGCGCGTCGCCTCGCCGAGTCCGGGTGAAAGACGGTCATGCCGACGGGGAGCGACTTGCCGAGCGAGAAAGCCTGCGCAAGGACAGAGTCAACAAGGTTCGCGAGAAAGGGAGAGAGGTTGACTTGACGGACCGGGTCCGGTCGACGGAGCTGCGCGTCGTAGGAAGAGTTGGCAAGGATGAGAGGGCGAAAAGAGAGTGGAAGAGGAAGAGGGACGCACAATCATGGCGGCCACGTCGTTCAGGAACGACTGGATCCTGACGAGAACGCGCTGGAACGGCTGGCCGGCCGGGTTGTTTGCCTGCGAGACGAGCGACATCGCCCATTCCTTGAGGACGTCGTGCACGAGCGGGCCCTCGTCTCGTCGCTTGAACATGTCGCGGACGCGTTCGTACCGCTTGAGGTGCTGCGGGTCCTTGAGCGCCCTTTTGGCGGTGCTCGTCGCCCACATCTGGCCGTCCCAGTGGAACTCCATCGCAGAGCTGCCAGCCTGAGAGCGCGGGGCGCGGTGGCGGGCGTGAATGAGGCGCGAAAAGATGTAGACGACCGTGAGCGTGTCATAAAGGCGCTTGACGTCGCGGCGGTGCGCCTCGACGTCGTGGTGTGGCGCCTTGACGTCGCGGCGCGGCGCCTCGGCGAGCTGATACAGGAGGTACAGGAGCATGGCGTCCGGCGGCGCGTCGCACAGGTTGTTCAAGTTTGCAATCGAGCGGTTCCAGCCCGTGTACGTGACCCAGTGCGGCGTGACGTCGAGGTTGAGCCGGTACGACCGCTTGCTGATCGAGTCGTGGTGCGCGTCAAAGACAAGCTGACCGTGCTCCTGTGTGCGACGACGAGGTCAAGATGATGCTCGCTCGAGGCGCGAGAAGGAGGACGCACCTCACGAAACGCGGGCTCCCTCAAGAGGTCCTTGCGGACGAGGTCGAGCTTGCCGTCAAGCCAGTGATCACCAGCTAGGAAGAGATCGATGCTCTACGGACGCGAGGGGGAGTCAGTCTGTGCTCAACGCGAGAGAGGGAGGGACCGGCGGATCGGAAAGACTCACAAGGTCGCTGAAAAACAGGTTGTCGCCGAGGCGCCTGGCCTCGTGATGCATCATCCTTCCACTTGACTCGTTGGGATAGTCGGGATAGAGGCAGGCGAGCCAGCCGACGCAGCTGCTCGTGTTGAGCATGACCCAGCCGTCCGGGTTGAGCCGAGCCAAGTGGCGGACGACTTCAATGGCGGCTTGAGCGTGCTGCTTGAGGGTGTACGACATGGCGGCGACGTGAGGCAACGAGGGTGCGCAGTGACGACCCAAGTGTATCGAAAGCAGAGGAGGGAGGGAGAGCGGCGAGCGAGGCGCTTGGAAGCGGCGGTGGCGGCCGCGGAGAATCCGAACCTGGGGCCCGAGCGCCGGACAGGGGCGACAAGCGGGCGGCCGTACGGGAGGATGAGAGCCCGCCCCGCGTGCACGTACGCGCACGACGAGGCGATCGCCCGAGAGCTCGAGCGGTGGTCGAGGGCCAGGAGGAGCGCGCGAAGCCGAAGCGGCGCGCAAGCTGGGCGCAGTGGGGGCCGAGGTCGACGACTGCGGCTTGTCTTTGTCTGCCGCCTCGCGACAGGGAGCGGTCAGGACGAGGACGGGTGGGAGAGAGCAAGAGCCTGAGAGGCGGGCGCACGAGGAGAAGGGCCGAGTGACAGCGAACGGCGGGTCGAGGGATGGTTCCAGGGCGTGAAGCAGATGCGCAGCATGGTGTACGACCCCTCGCAGGAGCTGGAGAGGCGAGCGAGGTGAGTTGGACGAGGTCAAGCCGGTGAGAGACGAGCGGAGGTGGTCGACGAGGAGCTCACACTCGACCAACGCCCGCTGTCGAGGCTACTGCTAGCCAGACAGCCGCCACCGCACCACAGCAGCCACCACAGCCACCTGCGCTTAGCCTACGCCGCCTCGTCACCGCCCCGTCTCCGTCTCCGCCAACTTCCTCGACCCGGCTTCAACTCGCCAGCACAGCCTCGTGCGCCTGAACTAGCCACCCAGTGAGCCACACACCCCCTCATCAGAGCACTTGGTGGACACGCGAGCTCACGTGGACCCCTGCAGACCTCGGTCCACCTCTCCTCCTCCTCTTCATCTCTCAGCTCGACTCTCGCCATGCCCCGTGAACTCGCCCGCACCCTCCAGCGCTCCCTGACCCACCTCAAGCCCCCACCGGTCAAGGGCGGCAAGTTCCAGCTCCCGCTCCCGACCCACTTCCGCCCAACGCCCGCCTTCGTCCAGGTCAAGGACCGCATCCCCTTCTGGCACGTCGCTCCCGGCGACCGCGTCAAGCTCGTCAAGGGCTCCAGCGAAGTCAAGGGCAAGGTCGGCGTCGTCGACCGCGTCGACCGCGAGACCAACCGCGTCTACCTCAAGGAGCCCGAGTTCGCCGTCCGTCCCCTCTTCCCTTCTCGCTCCGTCGCGCGCACCAGAGCTAACCCACGTCGTCCACAGGCCAAGAAGCGCCAGTTCTCCGAGTACCCGGGGCAGCAGCTCGAGCCCGACTTTGCCGGGAGCGGCGACGCCGGCGGCACCTACACGGTCGCGCGCCCGTTCCACGTCTCGAACGTGCGCCTCCAGGTGCGCGACGGCGAGCACGAGTACACGGCGACGCGCACCCGCAAGAGCAAGGTGACGTGGGACCGCCGCAACCGCCGGTTCGCGTGGAAGCGCTACGTGCTCGTGCCCGAGCTGGGCGCCGGCGACGAGTCGGGCTGGAGGGAGCTGCCCTGGCCCAAGGAGGACGTCCCTACTTCCACCCCGAGTTCGTCCCCTCCTCTCCTCCCTCTCCTTCTGCTCCCCCTGCCCCACGGACCCTGACCTCGCTCGCTCGCCTGCCCGCAGCCGCCCGCGACATGACCTCGACCACGACCCTCCCCTCCTGGATCCCCGACCTCTCGGCCCTGTCCCTCGCGCCCTCGCGCGCCGACCTCCCGCGCCTCCCGACCAAGCCCATCGCGCTCGCAGACGGCGCACCGCCCGAGCTCCAGGTCTCGCAGCTCGACCTCGGCGGGTCGTACTACTCGCGCGCGAGCCGCACCAGGCGCTTCAACGAGCGCAAGGCGGCAGAGAAGGAGTACGGCAAGGGCGTCATGAAGCAGAAGGCCAAGGACGTCAGGAGGGGCAAGCTGCCCGAGGGCGCCATCGCGTGGTAGACACGGAGCGAGCGAGAGGGGTCGAGCTCGAGCGAGGGCGAGGAGCAGCACCTGCACACAGTCGTTCCGCATTCACGCTCGGTCTCTCGAGAGATCGCGAGGAAGCGCGTGTCGCAGCGAGCCGGTCATCGTCGAGCGAGAGAGCGCCCGCTTCGCTCGCACGGACTCTCTGCGAGCTCTCTCGCCTTCTCGATCCATCTCTCGACGAGCGCAGGTGGGACAACATGACGTGATTGCGAAGAGAGGAAAGGGGGAGCTGCTGCTGCGAGAGAGAGAAAGAGGATCCTGCGCCACCGTCACGCCCGAGCCGTACGCCGACGATAAGCTCAGGTCCTCGCCTTGCCCTTGACACCGGCGCCCTTGCCCGCCGCCGCTCCCTCTCGCCGCTCGACCCGCTCAAACACCGTCTCGTACCGCGGCGGCAGCTTGGGCTTGTCCTGCACGAGCGCGGGCATGGCCGTCCCGACGTTGTTGGCCGGCGAACCGAGGATGATGCACTCGGACACGCCCTGGATCGGGTCGCGCCGGGCGTTGAACGACGCGTTGAACAGGTGGTCGGTCGTCTTCTCGAACGAGGCGAGCATGAGCACGCTGTCCTTCATCTTGGCGACGCCGAACCGCGTAATGCCGAGGACCTCGCCCTGCGAGGGAAGGCCGGGAACGACGAGGTCAGTTCTCGGTTCAGGGCCAGGGCATGGCGAAGAAGAGGAGGGGGAGAGACGCACCTTGAAGCACATGACGTCGCCGAGGAGCATGAGGTGGCGAGGGTCGACGCCGAGGCCGTGCGAGTCCATCGTGTAGTGGATCTGGCCGATGATGGTCTTGCGCGCCGCCTCGATACCGAGCACCTTCTCGACCTCCATGACGTGGTTCGACGTCGTCAGGTGACCGATGACACCTGTGGGCGACGAGGAGGAAGACGTGAGTCGAGAGCGCGAGAGAGGAGGAAGAGGGAGAGGGAGAGCGGGCGCACCGTCCGTCGTCATGACCTCGCGCAGGCCCTCGCCCTCGACGAGCAGGTCCTTGACGCCCGTGCTGTTCTGCTGGATGACGGCGCGCTGCAGACCGTGCACGCCCTGTGTGCCGGAGAGAAAGAGAGACCGAGTCAGGTTTCGGGTCGACGACGACGGCCACGACGAGTGGAAGAGACGGCGCACCTTGACCGTGATGCCGGGCAAGACGCGACGCAGCCACATCATGCGCCTGTACGCCGGGACCTTGTCCTCGGCGTTGTGGAGCGCGACGATGTGGATCTCGTTCGTCTTCTTCTTGACGGTAATGTCGCCCGACTTGATCTTGAGGCGAGGCGCGTTCGAGATGGACGCAGCGATGCTGTCAAGCGTGACCTCGAGCTGCGGGCGAGGATCAAGAGACGAGGTCAGGGCCGGACCGAGAGGGGGAAAGAGAGAGCGAGAGAGGGCGCACCTGCAGACCGCGAATGGCGCGCATGTCGATGTGGACCGAGACGTAGAGCTGGCCCTGGCTGTAGACGCCGGCGATGACGGACGCGATCTAGAGGCGAGGGAGAGCATGAGCTGCCTGCAGCGAGAGAGAGAGAGAGAGAGAGAGAGAAGAGAGAAGAGGACGTACGTCGCCGAGGAACGTCTTCTCGACACGGCCCTTGACGATGCGCGCCGCCTGCTCCGACTTGTTCTCGACGAGCTTGGCCGTGATAATGGGCGTCGAGATCGTCTTGGCCGCGTTGATGATCTCCTTGATGCGTGGCACTCCGAGCGTGACGTTCATCGAGGCGACACCGGCAAAGTGGAACGTCTTGAGCGTCATCTGCGTGCCGGGCTCACCGATCGACTGCGCGCCGATGGCGCCGACGGCGGTACCTGCGAGGCGAGAGGAGGAGGGAGGACGAGGTCAGGCTCGCGCTCGAGAGGGGGACAGAGAGAGAGAGAAGAGGACGAGGACGCACCGGGCTCGATCTTGGCCTTGACGTACTTGGTCCAGCAGAGCTGGAGGAACTCCTCGATCTGCTTGACCGTCACCTTGGTCTTGTTGTTGACGGCGGCGAGCTGAGCCCGGGTGGCCGAGCCGTTGCGGCTCTCGCCCGGCTTGAGCGGCTTGAGCGCCTCAGGCATGCCGTACGCCGCGCGGTACTCGGCCGCCTTCTGGACGATGTTGACGTCGACGTACTCGCGCACCTCGTCGAGGAACGTCTTGGAGCACGCCGTCGTGAAGTAGGGCGTCGAGAGGCGGTGGTCGACGAGGGCGCTGATCTCGAACGGCAAGAGGCCGTCCTTCTCGGCGTTGTCGAGCTTGAGCGCGCGAGCGTGCGACCACGTGCGGTCGAACACGACGGGCTTGCCGTCGCCCTCGAGGTTGGCCGGGTCGAGGCCGTCGTCGCCGTAGATGAACTGGACGACGCCGCCCGTCGCGTTGCGGACCGACTGGTCGTAGCGGCACGACAGGTCCTCGAGCGCCTTCATGAGGCGGCGCGCCATGTAGCCCGTCTCGGCTGTCTTGACGGCCGTGTCGACGAGGCCCTCGCGACCCGAGATGGCGTGGAACAGGAACTCGGTCGCGCGCAGGCCCGAGTAGAACGAGTTGGACACAAAGCCCTTGGCGAGCGGGTCGACGGCGCCCTTGGGGAAGTGCGGGAGCGAGCGGTCCTGGAAGCCGTTCGGGACACGGTTGCCGGCGATGATCTGCTGGCCGACGCAGGCGACCATCTGCGAGACGTTGATCTTGGAGCCTGGGGCGAGGGGCTCGAGCGTCAGGACCTGCTCGCGCCCGACGACGACGAGAAAGAGAGAGAGAGGACGTACCCTTGGACCCGCAGGTGGCCATGATGAGCGGCGCGTTGTTGCGGCTCAACTCCTCCATGCAGATCTCGCCGACCTGGTCGCGAACCCGGGACAGGTCGCCCGAGATGACCGACTCTAGCGTCTGCTCGACGTTGCTGCCGGGCTGGCACTCGAGCTTGTTGGCGGCGGCGAGCCGGATGTTGTTGTCGGCCGAGGCGTACGCCTTGGCGACGAGGTCGTTCTTCTGCGCCTTGAGGTTCTCGCCCGGCGTGACGTCGCTGATGCCGATCGAGAAGCCCTTGTTGGCTGCGAGAGAGAGAGAGGGGGGAGGAGGCGAGGTGAGGCTCGAGTCGAGGAGGGAAGGGAGAGAGAGAGGGCGAGAGAGGGGCGAGGACGCACCGAGCCAGCGAGCGCAGAGCTTGGCCATGCGGTTCATGCACTTGGCCGCCTCGTCGGCGCCAAAGTCGCGCTGGATGACGGCAAACACGCTCTTCTTGTTGCCGTCGCCGACCGTGCTCTTGTCGAACACGCCGCTGATGATCTCCGAGTTCTGGACGACGAGGTAGCCGTCGTTGACGCTCATGAACGCCGGGTACTCGAGGCCGTGCTCCTTCGAGGGCTTGCCGAACGTCTTGTTCTTGCACTCGAGGTTGACGTTGACCTGCGACTTGCGGTTGGGCCGCATGAGGACGCTGAACACCTGCTTGCCCGTCCACAGGCGCTCGGGCTTCCAGATGGTCGGCGGCGGCAGGTCGACCTCGAGCTCGGCGTCTTGCAGGTACGCGCACGCCTGGACAAACTCCTGGCGGTTGAAGAACGTGTCGCGCCGGGTGATGAGGTAGCAGCCCGTGATAAAGTCCTGCGTCGCCGCGATGATGGGCTCGCCGTTGCGCGGCGTGACGAGGTTGCGCTTGATGTTCATCAGCTGGAACGCCTCCATGCGCGCCTCCTCGGTCTGCGGCACGTCTGCGGGCGGCGAGGAGGAGTCAGTACGGCGGGCTCAAGTCGAGCGAGCCAGAGGGCGAAACGGTGGACGCACGCAGGTTCATCTCGTCGCCGTCAAAGTCGGCGTTGTACGGCGTGCAGACACACTCGTTGAGGCGGAACGTGCGCCACGGGCGGACCTTGACGCGGTGCGACAGGATCGACAGGCGGTGGAGCGACGGCTGACGGTTGAACAGGACGATGCTGCGTGAGGAGGCAGGTGTCAGGTCGCTACGTCGAGAGGAGAGAGTGGAGGAAGGCGAGGACGCACTCGTCGTCGCGAAGGTGGCGCTCGACGACGTCACCGACGCGCAGCTTGTCGGCCATGTAGTTGCGGTCGCCAAACTTGAGGAACTTCTTGAGCCCGGCGTCGCCGCCCTGGTTGATGAAGTTGGCGCCCGGGTGCTGCTCGGTGCCGTTGCGGACCGCCGCTCGTAGCCGCTCGATGTTGTGCGCCGTGACCCGCTCCGGGTAAGTGAGGACCTTGGCGACGCGCTCAGGGACGGCGACCTGCACGAAGCTCGAGCGTCAGGACGATAGACGAGGGCGGGAAGGAAGGGAGAAAGGCGAGGGCGCACCTGGTCGATCATGAGGTTGGGATCTGGCGAGATGACGGTGCGGCCCGAGAAGTCGACGCGCTTGCCCGACAGGTTGCCGCGGAACCGACCCTGCTTGCCCTTGAGACGCTGACACAGGCCCCGCATCGGTTTTGCGCCCTGTGAAAGACGAGTAGAAGTCAGAAGGGGCCGTCGCAGGAGGTCGAGGACAGGCTCGAGGAAGGCGACGCACGATCTCTTTGGGGATGCCGGGCAGCTCCGAGTTGATGTAGGTCGCGACCGCGAGCTGGAGGAACTCCCATTGCTCCTGCGAGGGGAGGAAGAGGGCGAGTCAATGACGCTCGAGGGCGACGAGGGAGAGACGAGGGGAGCGCACCATCAGGTTCTGCGTCGTGACGCCCTTGGCCAGGCCCGTCTTGATGACGGCGTTCATGAAGACGATCTCAGTGAGCTTGACGGTCAGGTCGTCCTCGTTGCTGCGGGCGGGAGAAGGAGCGTGAGCATGACGAGCGCTCGAGGGCGGACAAGGGACACAGAGAGAGAGAGGAGGACGCACGTCGCTGCCTCCTGCGACACGCTCGGCCGGATGCAGACAGGCGGCACCGAGATGTACTGCCACAGGAACTCTTCTGGTCGGCCGGCGGTCGGGTCGAGGCCGAGCAGCTCGCAGTCGGCGCTCGTCACCTTGCGGAACAGCGACAGCGTCTTGAGCGGGTTCAGGTCCTCGATCGCCTTGTCGACGTGCGCCTCGAGCTGCTTGTCCTCGCGGATCGCCTCCTCGAAGCTCGCCTTCCACGCCTGGTGGTTGCCCTTGCCCTCGGCGCCGTCGCGCCCGCCGGCGTCCTTCTTGAGGTTGCGCCCGCGCCACTTCTCGTGCCCGATGCGCATCGCGCCGATCTTCTTGACGACGCCGTTGATGGCGCCGCAATGCGGGCACGACGTGCACTTGCGGCACAGGGCCGCGAGCTGCTTCGAGTAGGCGGCGAGGGTGAGGGAGTCGATGTTGGGACGGCGGAACAGGGCGAGGAACTTGCGGTGCTGCGCCGAGTCGAGGAGGATGCGCGAACATGTCTGTAGGCGGGCGAGTGTGTCAGGTGGGCGGACCTGAGAGGGAGGCGAGGGGACGCACCTTGCAGATGCACTGGAGGATGCCGAGGACGTGCTTGAAGTAGCCGATGTGGAAGCAAGGCAGGACGAGCTTGATGTAGGCGTAGTGGCCGACGCAGTCTGCGAGGCTGAGCCCGCACGTCTCGCACTTGCCGCTCTTGTCGCTCGTGCCGAGCCGCTTGTCGAGGACACCATGCTCGACAGGTCGGCGGTCGCCGGGCGTGTACAGGTCGCGCTGGTTGGCCTCAAACTCGGCGATGGCGACGGCCTCGCGGGACGACAGGACCGAGAACTGGATGTGCTTGCTGCAGGAGGGAGGGCGAGGGGGGGAGGAGGAGGAAGAGGTCAACACGCTGCTGGGTCGGCGCGTAGAGCGCAGGTGTGCCCGAGAACAGCTCTTGTGCCCTTCTGCGAAGCGTCCCACCCGCCCCGAGTGCCCACTCGCGCCAGAGCGAGGGGTCACACCGCCTCGCTCAGTCGACGAGGTCGTCGCTCGCTCGCCTCGCCTCGTGGGCTGCGCACGCCGCTGCGCTGTACTCTGAGAACCGGACAAAGGATGAGACTGGGGACGCACATGCGTTTTGGCGCCTGGTCTGCGACGAGGAGCTTCATCTCGTCGAGCGTCGAGCTTCAGCCCGGTCGCTCCGTCTCCTGGCGGGTGCTGGGTGCCGTTGGGTGGCCTGATGAGCGGCTGTGCGGCGGCTGGGCAAGCGTCGAAGTCTGGCGGTGCTGTGCGAGGGCGGCGCGGTGAGGGACTGTCTTCCTCCGCCCGCGCTCGCTCACGGCGAGATTCAGGTCTCGACTGAATCTCTCTGGCAGGCTCTGCGGCTCCCCTGCTCGCACTAGGTCGCTCTGTCTCTCGCACTTTCTGCTCGCAAGTAACTCTGCACGACCGAGAAGTGGCTGCCACGACCCTCGTTCCAGAACGGAGAGAGGGAGAGGGGCGCTACCAACCGACGCAGAACCAGCTGCGCCCAAGCGCGCATCGCCGACAGGCGAGACATAGATAGGGAGCAAAGAAGAGTGCGAGGAACGAGAGAGAGGAAGGAGGGGGAGGAGGGGCGGAAGAGGAAGCTCTAGGCACGGTGGCTCGCGGCGCGGTGCGAGCGCCGGATGCGCTTCGTCTGGAGCGACGCGCACTGCATCGCGTCGCACGACGAAAAGTCGACCGATCCGCCCGTCTTGGCCGCCGCCGCGTTCTTGCCGTCCTTGCACACGTTCATCTGCGAGCGGGAGAGTAAGGCGAGGAGGAGAGGAGAGGGTCAGTGCCCGACTACCAGTGGCTCAACGAGAGGAGAGAGAGAGGGAGACGCACAGCGCGCATGCACGAGTTGTAGTCGGTGTAGGCGGCAGGAGGAGCCGACGCCGAGGTGGATGCGGCCTGCGACGACGTGGCCGGACGGGTCGAGGCGGCGGCGGTGGTGGTCGTCCTGCGACGACGACGTGTCAGTGACGAGGCCGTCCAGAGTAGACAGGGAGAGGGACGCACTTGATAGCTGAGGTGACGACGGGCTTGGTCGACGACGAGGGCGCAGCCGGCTTGGACGAGGCAGGAGGAGCCGAGGTCGCGACGGGCTTGGAGCTCGACGCGGCGGCCGAGGTTGCCGGCGCCTTTGAGGTCGTGACAGGCGCCTTGGAGGCCGAGGTCGAGGGAGCAGGCGCAGGCGAAGCGCCGTCCTGGCAGTAGCCGGTGGGCGCGAGGCCCGAGACGACCTCGTGGCACCTGTCGGTCGAGTAGGCCGACGTGCCGTCCCAGGTGCCGGTGCCGGGTGCGACGTAGTCGCCGGTGACGTCGTAGCTCGAGCTGTAGTAGATCTGTGGCGCGAGGAGGGGCCGTCAGGACGGTCGAGGGCAAGGAAGGCGGCTTGAGAAGGTCGACTTACGTCCTGCGAGCGGGACCGAGTTGTCAGGAGCTGCCTGACAGAGGCTCGAACGGGAGAAAGAGGGACGCACCCAGACGACGCCGGGAGTCTGCTCGCTGTAGAAGCCCGGGATCGAGACGCCGGCGGGAAGCTTGGTCGTGCCGCCCGAGGTGATCTCGATGTCGGCGCACTGAGGGTAGAACTGGGCGCCGCCGGCCTGGCCAGCCGAGTGCAGGGCGAGGAGCTCGAAGCGGACGATGTACTTGCCCGGCGCGAGCGACTTGGGGATCGTGACCTGCTCGAGCGACGAGGAGAGTGTCAGGCGGGTTCGAGGCTCGAGCGCGAGAAAAGGGAGGGGGCGCACCTTGTTGCGGCCCTTGTTGGCGATCATGTGCGAGACGGCCCACTCGGACGAGCTCGGGTAGTAGGCCTCGGACGCGATCTCGACCCACTTGGCGCCGAGCGAGTTGGCGTTGTCGCCGTAAGGCGCAATCCACGCCGTGATGGGGCCCTTGTGCGACGGGTCGATCGGGTCGGCGCCGCGAGCGCCGCTGTGATACCCTGCAGAACGAGGGAAGCGTCGTCAGTGAGATGCCGTGGGCGACGAGGAGGAAGAGGAGGACGCACACTCGGGCTCGATCACGTCGCCGGCCGCAACCGAGAGCGTGCTCGCCGCCGGCGTCGCACCCTTGTCGTTGCAGGCCATGAGCGCCGAGTTGACTTCCTGGACGGGCGAGTTGCTGGTCGAGCCACGCACTGCGGGAGAGCGCGAGGTCAGATCAAGGTCGTCGAGGAGGGGGAGGGAGGGACGCACTGTAGGGAGCTGCGACGCCGACACCGCCCGTCGCCGTGTCCTTGCCGTTGACCCAGACAGACGTGACGATCGTGTGCGCCGAAACCGAGGACGCCGTTGCGACCAGCGCGACGGCGAGAGCAGCCAACTTGGCGACCATGACGGAAAGACGAGAGGAGGGGGAGGGCAGGGGGGATGAAAGGAGAGACGAGGGAGTGGCGGGGAGAGGAGAGAGGGCGAGGGTGAAAGAAGGAAGAGACGCAGAGAGGCGAGAAAGAGCGCGCGCCGATTGTGCGAGCTGTCCGAACGGAGACGGGCAGCGGCAGCCGAGCCGCTCGGGCAGGCCCCGAGCGGTCTTCTTGGCCGCAGGAGCACGCGGAGAGTCCGATCGCCTCCGCTCGGCGACGAGGTAATCTGGCGCTAGCGAAAGCGGGAGGATGGCTGCAGCAGCCTGAGCCGTGTGAGGTCGAGGAGGACGGGGCGGCGACTAGCTCGACTGCACTCGAGCGGCGGCCGGATCGTCCCCTGCAGCTCAGAGCGCTGTGAGAGACCCACACCCGGCCCTCGGCAAGCCCGAGGAGAGCTGAGCGGAGGACAACGGACCGCAGCGGGAAGAGCGAGCACTCGCGTGCGCCTGGACCGCCCGCAACGGCCGCGGTCGCTGGGGGCGGACACTCGGACCAGCCCGAGAGCGCTCGAGCATCGAACGCAAGCTGTGGGGCGTGCGAGAGTGCGAGAGCCGCCGCGAGCTGATGAGGGTCGAGGGAGAGCTCGGCTCGTCCTCGTCTCGCTCCACGCCTCGCTCGACTGGCGACCATGGCAAAGCAGGACAAGGACAACAAGCAGGGCGGCAAGAAGCGCGGCTTCCAGGTCGGCCCTCGCCTCGCAAAGGGCGCCTACACCGGCCACGGTCCGTCTCTCCCCTCCCCCTTCCCCCTCCTCGCTCAACGACCCCCTCGAGCTGACCCGACCGCGCCGCACAGCCGACCGCATCAAGCGCACCCTCATCCACAAGGCCAAGGTCAAGAAGGCCTACGCCAAGACGCTCAAGCAGGAGGGCTACGACGCGCCTCATCACGGCGGCGGCGCAGCAGGAGGAGCGGCCAGGGCCAAGGGCAAGGGTCGCGCGCAGCAGGACGACGGCGAGCCGGTCGAGGACGAGAACGAGAAGGAGGCCGAGCGCGAGCGGCTGCGCAGGCGGCTGTACGGCGACGACGACGCCTCGGACGACAACGAGCAGAGCGGCGACGAGTCGGACAGCGACGGCGCGGCCAAGGGCAAGTCGGCGCGCTTCTCCCAGACTCGACGGGCCGCCAGCGACGACGGCGACGACGACGACGACGACGACAACTCGGCCTCGCCCTCACCGTCACCTGAACCCGAAATCGCCCCTCCTCGCTCGCGCCAGCCCCTTCCCTCCCAGTCCTCCTCACACGCCTCGTCCCGCCCGCCCAAACGCCAGCGTCAAGCACCACTACCCGCACCCGTACCCGTCAAGAAGGCGTCCGCGCCGCAGGCACAGCAGCAGCCCAAGCGGCCCAAGCTGTCCGAGAAGGAGCTCGAGCAGCTGCGCGAGAAGCGGCGGCAGGAGAAGCGGGCGGGCGGGCAGCGCAACGCGCGAGGGCAGGCCAAGCTCGGTGGGAGGATGGAGCACCTGTTGGGCAAGATCCGTCGCACGATGGAATCTTAGACGCCGTCGCCGTTGGCGAGGCGGTTTGTCGTTCCTCTTCTTCCTTCTCCTCGCGCGTGCCGCCGCTCGGTCCGCTCGATCGTCCGCGGTCCCGCCCCTGTTCGTCAATCGTTTTCGACGCTGCGTCAGCCCTCGGCGTCCTGCTGCCCGTCCTAGCGGGTCGGGTCAGCGGCTTCTCCGGTGCGCTCTGCGACCGGCCTCGACCTCTGTCGCGGCCGACGTCGCCCAGCTTCCCTCGTCTCGTCTCAAGGCGCTCGTCGCCTCGACACAGACCGAGATGCACTCGGCGCGACCTGTTTCCCGAGCGACGTCGCGCAGCTCGGCGCACGAGTCGAAAACGCTCCTCAACCTCACCAACGAGCTTCACCAGCTACAGCTTGGCGCCATCAGCCTCAAGGTCGTCAATCCAGCTCTCGCGGCTTCGGTGCGCCAGTTCGCCGACCGGGTCAGCAACGGCGTCGGCAACTGGCCCGTGTGGAACGCGCTCGCGACGCTTCGAGACGAGACGACCTCGCCATCGCGCCCGCTGCAGGCTTCAGTCTTCCATATCGTCGAGACGGTCAAGCTGGGTCTGCTGCACTCGACTATCACGTCCGTCTCGTCCATGGTGCGTCTCCCTCTTCCCTCTCCTCTCCCCCCGCCTGGACTCGGACTGACTCTTTCTTCTCATGCAGGCGCCAGCTTTCGCCGCCATCAACCACATCATCGTGCGTCCTTTTCGACCTCGCGACGAGCGTGTGGACCCGTCGCTCATCAATGGCTCGCCGCAGAACTTTGGGAGCGTCACGAACGCGCTCGAGCAGGCGCACGGACCCTCTTCTTCTGTGCGCCCCCTCGCCATCCACTCTACCTCGCAATCGAAGTAGAGTGACACTGACAGAGTGTCCATCGCGTCGACAGCTCCCTGCCCCAACCGTCGACAGCTCCGACTCGGCGGGCAGCTCGCCCGTATCCTTCTCGGTCTCTCGCCATCGCCTCCTCGCACCCTCCTCCTCCTCCTCAGCATCATCCGCATCGTATGCCGCTCGTTACGCCGTCCCGGCCTTTACCTCGGCGCCTCGATCTCCCCTCGGGAGCGCAAAGCCGTCGTCGACGCAGCCTCGCCTCGACGAGTCGTACGCCGTCTTCAACGCCGCCTTGCTCCACCTCAGCCGCGTCCGCCCAGCTCAGCCGCTGCCTCACGACTCGAGCGTCGAGATTGACACGGCGGTTGAGAAGCTCGAAGCAGCAGTGCCCACGAGCGCAGCCTGGGAAGCCCTGTCGGTCGTCAAGCCCCGAGGCGCGCTGCCAGGCGAGGAGACGTCTTTCCAGCAGCAGGTCCTCGAGCGGCTGCATGTGCTCGTGGTCGAGTTGGGGGAGGGCACGCTGTGGGAGGCCGAGCTCATCGTGCGTCCGCCTCTCGCCCCGCACCCTCGCACGGACCCTCGCCCCGACCGAGCCTGACTGACCTCGATGCCCCCCTTCTACAGCGCCTACAAGTCAGCAGTATTCTCGGCATCATCGTGAGTCCCTCTCGACGCTCTCGAGCGACCAAGCCCCTAACTCTCTCGCTCGTGCAGGACGAAGGCGAGAAGCACGCTCGCTGGCAGCAGGTGCGCTCGCCTTTCACAGACTTTTTCGCCGCCCCGAACTCACCTCCCGACGTCAGCACCACGCGCGCAGCTTGGCAAAGCGCTCGCCGGTCAGGCAGCTCGTCTCGGCGCGCACAGCGGCGAGGTACCGAGTCTCGCAGGAGGACTTGGCGAGGCGGTGGACGTAGCTTTCCATGCAACGACGACTGGACGACTCGCATTCTCACGCTCGAGAGACGCTCTCGTGTGACACACTCTCGACGACGAGAGACCCAGAGAAAAGGAGCGAGAGGAAATGGACACGTTGCACCTCGAGCGTCGCAGCGCTCGAGCCCGTCCTCGAATCCCGCTCGTTGTCTCGCTCTCACCCCTCCGCTCGACGAGGGCTCAGACACACTCCGACGCCGATGACGCTCGGGCTGTACGGCGGCGGTGGGAGGGAAGGCGCCCGCTCGGGAACCTGCGCGAGCCCGGAGCTGCCGTCCTGCGCCGCCTCCTCCGCCGCCGACACGAGCGACTGCGGCTCGAGCGTCAAGCCCGCTCCTCGACGAGTGTTGCGGTATGGGGTCGGCGAGTCGGGCGCGCGGAGCGAGACGGTCGCGGGGCGGTCGATGGAGGGAAGCGCGCTGCCGGCCGAGTGGCCCTGCGGGATGGTCGACGAGTAGCCCGGGGAGGCGGGCTCGTCTGCGGTGGCGTAGGGAATGGTGGGCAGGTGTCGCAGCTCGTCGTAGGTGGCTGAGCGCGCTGGCGAGTTGACGAAGACGAACGTCGAGGGAGGGTAGGCGGAGGAGAAGGCGCGGTCGCGGGCTTGCTCGTTGTCGTCCGGGTCGGCTCGGATGCGCTGGAACGCTGCAGGCGTAGGACGAGTCAGCTACTGAGCTGCTGCTGGCACAAGTGCGAGGACGAGAGAGGGCAAGAGGAGAGCGATCGGGCTCACCTCGTGCTCGCCGTTTCCTCCACACGACCGCCAGCGCGAGCCCGATTGCGCCCAGGCCGAGTACGACGAGCACGACGACGACGCCGTAGGTCCACTTGGGCGTGGCGCTGCCGCTGTCGCTCGAGTCGGCTCCTCGTCCACCGTCGCCGCCGTAGATGATGTCGTCGGTCGCGGCGGGCAGCATGCGCGGGGCAGATGCGGGCGAGCGTGCGCCGGCAGCACGAGCAGCGCTGACTGCCCGTCGAGCGAGTGTGGAGAGGGAGAACAAGCTGTGAGAGGCGGGCGAGGCGCCAGCGTTCGGAACAGGCCTGAGCGAAACCGGGGACGACGCAAAGTCCGAGACACAAGGCGGTGCAGCAGCGACGCGAGCACCGCACCGTCGAGCGCGCAAGCAGCCGTGTGTAGCCTCGAAGCACAAGCGAGAGAAGGAAGCACGGGCGAGCAGCAGAGCGAGAGAGCCGAAAGTCGTGCACGAGCCGGCGGCGACGACAACGACGACGCAGGCTGAGCAGGAGCACAACAGCTAAGCAAGCAAAGCTGCACGATGCAATATCACTACAAGAGACCCCTCAGTCACTCGCGCCCCGTCACCCACTGCTTCTTCTGCTTGTGCCACGCCTTGAGCGCCTCCTCCTCCTGCTCGTCCGCTCCCTCGGCCCTCGCCTCGAGCAGCCGCCGCAGCGCGCCGCGCATGTCCGCCTCGTCGACGTCGAGCACCTTGCGCTCGAGGCCCTCGCGCGCACCGTCGACGAGACGAAGCCGCCGCGCTCGCGCGCTCGCCGCGACGCGCTTGTCGCGCTGGCCCGACGTCGGCTTGACGGCGCGGCCGACCTCGCGCTCGGCGAGGTAGTCCTCGAGCGCCGACTCGTCGCTCGGGGCCGAGTCGGCGAGGTCGTCCTCGGACGAGTAGGTGGCCGTCGTGCGTAGGGCGTAGCCGAGCGGATCCTCGTCGGACAGCGGCCCGTCCTCGAGCGGCTTGTCGACCGAGAGGCGAGGACGACGGGGCGGCATGAGCGAGGCGGAGAAGGAGATCTTGACGGGGCGACGGCGGGGCGAGGCGGTCGACGAGGAGGAAGAGGAGGAGGAGGTGCGTGCGGGCCAGAAATGGTCGGCGAGGTGCTGGTCGGGGCTGTCGGGCGCGGCGGGCTGCTGCGCATCGTCGAGCGCCTGCGCCGGCTCGTCTCGACGAGCGAGTCGCGAGGGCGCCTTGATCGTCGCGTCGCCGTCCTCCTCGTCCGCCAAGTTGGGCGCGACGACCGGCTCGCGCGCCTTTGGCGCGCGCCCGACGAGCACGAGGTCGTCCGCGCCCAACTCACTCTCCTCGTCGTCCCGCTCGGCAGCATCGCCGCCTTGCGCTGCGCCGGCATCGTCGTCCATGGGCATCTCCTCGCTCGCGCTGACGTCGAGGAGGCCCGCTCCCGGCCGCAGCGTCATGTCGCCCACCTCGTCGTCGCTGCCGCCCTCGTCGTCGGCCATCTCGTGCTCCGCTCCCTCGGCGAGCAGCCCCTCGAGGACGGGCTCGCGCGCCTCGCTGCGCCGGCTCTGCTCGTCCTCCCACGTCTCGAGCACGATGCTCGACTCCATGCCCGCGCCATCGTCCTCGGCCGCACCGCCGTCGCCGAGGCTCAGCTGCAACGACGGCGCGTCGTCAAACTCGCTCGTCGTGTAGCGGAAGACGGGCGCGCCGTGCTCGACGACGGGCTCGTGCGCGCGACGGGGCGAGCTCGAGTGCTGGCCGGCCGGGGCCGCGAGCGCCCATGGTGCGGGCATGCCCGGTGCGCCGAGCGAGGGGCGCGAGCCACCTGGGACGCCGAGGCGTGCCGGCGAGGCGGGCTGGGGCGCGCGAGGCGAGGGCGGCGGGTTGAGCGCGCCTCGGGCGCCGGACAGGTCGGGCGAGGTCGAACGCGCGAGGCTGGTCGAGAAGGTCGGCGCTCGGTGCGGCATCGACTGGGCCGTGACAGCGAGGGCGGCACGAGGCGGGCGAGCGCGAGAGGCGGACTGGGCCGTCGACGGCGGGATGGGCGGCGGCGGCGCAAGGTGGCTGGAGGAGGATGCGGCCGGGTGGGCGGCTGCGCTCGTCGACGGCTGGTCGCGGAAGACGCCGAGACTCGAGGCCGAGGCGCGAGGCGAGCGAGACGAGGAGGTGGTGGTCGAGGGACCGGGGAGGACGAGTTGCGAAGGTCGGGCGCGCGAGGCCTTGCGGGGCGAGTCGGCGGTGAGGTTGGACTTGTCGCCGAGGGCACGCTTGCGAGGGCTGCTGAACGTCGAGCTGCTGCGAGGCGAGCGGGCGCGCTGCGACGATGCCGCGCTGGACCTGGACCGCTTGTTCTGCTCCTGCTCGTCCTCCTCGGTCGCCGTGCGCTTGGCCCGTCCGACGCGGTCGGACGTCGCGCCGCCGTTATCGCCGCTGCGATAGAGGCTGAAGATCGAGGACGACGATGGGCGCACGGCAGTCAAGCTGGAGCTTGGCCTCGCCGTGTGGAGCTGCGCGGGGAGAAGGGGTGAGCGAGTGCGCGCACGGTCGAGCGAGGGAGAGGGAGGACGCACCTTGCCCTTGACGCGAGACCGTCCACCAGGCGCAATGCCCAGTCCGACCTCGTCGTCGTTGCCCTCGTCACTCTCCTCGTCCGCCTCGCGCTCCTTCCCGCGCCTCGTCACCTTGCCTGCCCGCCCGCCCTGCCCTCGCGCCGCTCCCTGGCTCCTCGAGCTCCTCGAGCTGCGCTGCGACCCTCCACCCACGCTGCGAGCCTCGACCGAGGGCGAGCTCTCCCCGCCGCTCCCCTCCTCGCCGCTCGCGCCGCCACCTCCACCATGGTGCGCGCTCCCGCCGACGGGCTTGCGCGCCGCCTTGCGGCCGTAGAGCCGTCCTGCGGCACCTGCGGCGCCGGTGCGGCTGTGCGAGCGAGCCCGAGGGGGAGAGGGGAGGTCGTCGTAGTCGGTGTCGGGCATCGAGCGATGAAGATGAGGCGCGGCGTGGAAGGCGTGGGAGGGGGCGGGTGAGTCGGAGGGGGCTCGTAGGTGATGTGTAAGAAGGTGCCGAGCGGGACTGGGTCGGCTGAGCGCGAGGCGGCGGGACCGAGCGAGGTGGAAGAGGGAGAGGGAGGAGAGGGCGACGAAGGGGCAATCAGGTCAACGCGCTCGGCTCGGTACAGTGCCGACAGGGCACCGGGGCATCTAGACAGGTCGAGAGGATGAGAGAGGAGTACGGCACTGAGAGAAAGAGAGGCAGGGAGCCGACACGCGCGACGACCAACTTGCCCGCCGAGCCGGATGGCATCTCTCGCGCCTCGCCTGCTCCTCTTGCGCACAGAGAAAGAGAGAGATGGGGAAACCTGCGTATGTACCATGCCCTGCGCCCTCTCCTGGCGCGCTCTAGCCCCAGCGGAACTGGTACTGCTGTCCTCCTCCTCCTCCTGCCTGCGCCTGCTGGAAGAACTGCTCGAACCCGCCGCCTCCTCGCGAGCCGCCCTGCTGGAAGAAGATGGGCTGCCCGCCGCCGCCGAACGGGTTGCCGCCGCCGCCGCCGAAGCCGCCGTGGCCCGAGTGAGGGTCGTTCGGGTCCTCGCCGGCGTCGAAGCGAGCGCGCAGCTCTGCGGGACGGGGCCGACGAGCGCACAAGGTAGAAGAGATAGGCGCAGGAGACAGGGCGAGAGGGAAGGAGGAGAGGAAGGAGGGAGAGAGGGTCAGTGCGTGCCTCGAGAGACATGGGCGGGCGAGCGGGCGACGACGACGCACCCGGGTTCGAGATGACCTCGTACGCCTCGTTGAGCGCCGACATCTTCTCCTCGCTGCCGCCCTCCTTGTCCGGGTGCGCCTTGAGCGTCGCCTTGCGGCTGTAGCGAGGGAGAAAGAGAGGGAGGGGAACTCGAGGTCAGTGCGTCGCTCGGAGAAAGAGAGGCAGGGAGCGGGAGGACGCACTATGCGCGCTTGATCGTCTTGTCGTCTGCGTCTCGAGCGACGCCGAGGATCTTGTAGTAGTCCTGGAGGCGAAAATGCGAGGGTCAGTGCGAGTTCACAGTTCCATAGCTCGGCGGCGGCATTTGCAGGCTGCCGACGAGCAGAAGGACAAAGAGGAACTGCGCCGACGCACCTTAGACTTGCTCTGCTTGAGAAGCCGCTGCGCCTTCTGCAGCCGCTCGAGGACCCCCCTGTCGCTCCTGCCCGTCGCCTCGAACGCGGCGCTCAGGACCCGGACCGCCTCGTCGTACTGCTCGCCCTTGAGCAGCTCGTCCGACTTGGCGACGAGCGCCCACGTGTCGTCCGGGTCGAGCTCGAGCGCGTCGCGGCACGCGGCGGCCGCCTTGCGCGGCGAGTCGAGCGTCACGTACGCGCGGCACAGGGCGCTCGTCAACGCGCGCAGGAGCGGGCTCTTGCGCGCGAGGGGGGGGTCGCCAGCGGGCAGGGGCGCCTCGTCGAGGGGCGCGCCGCGCGCGACGGGCTTCTGGTACGCCTCGAGGAGCGCCTTGACGGTCGCGAGGACGCCCTCGCGCGACGACGAGCCGGCGATCGTGACGGCCGCCTCGGTCCACCGGCCGGCGTCGACCCAGTTGCGCAGCTGGGCGAGCTCCTTCTCGAGCTTCTTGAGCGTCTTGAGCGGCTTGGCGCACGTCTTCGAGTCGGGGTCGGCCGCGAGGCAGCGCTTGAGGGACGCGTGCGTCTCGAGCGGGACAGCGAGGCCGTGGTCGGTGAACAGGGACGACAGGAGGGCGATGCGCACGAGGAGGTGCTGGGGGAGGGTAGGGGACAGGGCCGACGCGCGCGACAGGTCGCCAATGGCCGAGTCAAAGTCGTGGGCGAGGAGGGCGCACTCGGCGCGCAGGAGGCGGAGCGACAGGGCCTGGGGCGACGTGTGGATGGCCGCCGACGACGACGAGATGCAACGGTCGAGGTTGGGCGGCGAGCGCGCGAGGGCCTTTTGCGCGGCGAGGTACTCCTTCTTGGCGGCGACGACTTGCTGGCGCTGCGGGTCCGGGCCTGGCGGGTCAGCTCGACGTGCGACGATGGAGGACGGAGAGAGAGAGAGAGAGGACGGGTGGACGCACAAGCTCGTTGGCCTCCTTGACCTCCTTGTCGTGGTCGCCCTTGTCCTTGGCGGCCGATCCGAGGAAGAGGTCGATCTGGGCTTTGGCGTCGTCGAACTCGGCGAGCTTTGTGTGGATCTTTGCGAGCTGAAGGTGGGCGAGGTCGTAGTCGCGCACGGCGAGGACGTTGTGGAAGCCGTCCTTGGCTTTGGCGAGGTGGCCGGTTGCGAGGCGGACGGTGGCGCGCTTGTAGAGGGTGGCAAAGTCTTGCGGGTCGCGCTCGAGGCAGTGGTCGTACAGGTCGAGGGCGTCGATGCTCTTGCCCTGTGCGAGCGAGTCCTGGGCGAGCTGGAGGAGGTGCGAGAGGGGGAGGTCGGCGGCGTCGTCGGGGAGGGCGGCGCGGGCGAGGCCTGCGAGGGCGAGCGAGACGAGCGCGAGTGCGCGCATGGGTGCGGCGAGGAGTAGCGAGGTCACTGCTGGGCTCTGGGCGGTGCTGCGTGAGGTCAAGGCGAGAGAGGAGCGACGACACGGAGAACGACGGCGAACACAGAACGTGGCCACGCGCCATCGCTCCGAGGGATGAATCTGGCTGGCTAGATCTCTTGTGAGAGAGCTCCTTAGCCGCTCTGCCTTGCTCCTGTGCCCTCACGAGAGTGTGGTCTTCGTCGCCGGCTTCCCCCCACCGGCTCTCATCAGTGTCGTCGCCCCGCTCCTCTCGCTCTCTCTCTACTGCCTCGAGCCCGACTCTGCTCGTCACCAGAGGGAGCCCAGCACCTCCTCATCTAGTCCCGCCAGCTCGCCCGCGTCCCCATGGCCGCCCCGCCCTCGTCCTCCCCCGCTCCAGCTCCCCCTCGCCTCGTCAACCTGTACAACCGCCGCACGGTCGCCACGTCCAAGAGCTGCTTCGTGTGCCACCGCGAGACGACCACCTGCCTCGCCACCGACGGCCTCACCGACTTCCTCTACGTCTGCCCCTCGCACCTCCTCGACCCCGGCGTGCGTCCCCGCCTCTCTCTCTCTCTCGCCCACCTCATTGCGGTCCTCGCTGACTTGTGCACCTCGTACACAGTTCGCTCGACCCGCTCCCTCGACCTCGACGCCCGCCGCATCCCCTTCGCCGGCCGGCTCGCCCTCTCCCTCGCCCGTCCCCCAGAGCGAGATCGACAAGGTCAAGAAGGAGTACGAGGACAAGCAGAAGCGCAAGGCCGAGTCGGCCTCGTCCGACAGCACCGACAAGGACGCCTCGTCGACCTCGTCGCCGGCGGTCAAACCCGCAGCCTCGACCGCGTTCGGCCTGCTCAAGACCGGCGCATCCGCCCTCTCGTCCCTCACCTCGTCCGCCCAATCCCAGCTCTTCCCTTCTCCCGCTTCACCGTCGCCCTCCGCAACCGACCTCGCACGCGCCGCCGCCCGCGACGCAAAGGTGTTTGTCCTCCAGCGCGACTTTTTCCGCATGCGCAGCGAGGCCAAGCGGCGCGAGTGGGAGAAGCGCGACGCCAAGGAGCGCGGCGGGACGTGGAGCTTCCCCAAGGCGCCGAGGGGTGGGCTGCCGGGCGCGTGAGCGGGCGAGGGCAAAGCGGTGGCGAGGCGCGAGGGCGCGAGGGTCCGTGCGACCGCCGAGCCGGCGGGGCCCGATCAGCCGTCGCCGCCGTACGCCGTCTCGAGGGCTCGCAGGGCCGACGCTCTCGCCTCATTGGACGTCCTCGAGCGTCGAGGTGGGCGTTGATGCGGCGCGAGGGGCATGCCCCGCCGCGCGAGGGCCAGCTCGCTAGCGCCCGATTCGCCACGTTCTCGTCGAAGCGGCGCCCGAGCCGGCCGCAGCGCTCGTCGACGTCTCTCTCGGTGCCGCTCGCGGTGTCCGCGCGATCGAGGTGCGCAGGTCCGGTCGGGTGCGGCGCGGCGCAGGATGTCGGGCTCGTCGACAAGGAGGAGGGGCCAGGGGCGGCGGCACGTCGAGGAGCAGGCTCGCCGATCGGCAATGTACTCGTGCACTTTCTCTCACTTTCTCGCGAGTCGTCGACGGGCAGAGCAGGCTGTCCTTGCAGAGAGACGAGCTACGAAAAGTCGACCTTCTCAAGTCGCTCGTTACCTCCTCGCCCGCCGAATCGGCGTGTCCCTACCGCGAGCGAGCCGCGAGGCCTCCCGCTCGTCGCTCTCGATCTGTTACTCGGCTCAGTCAGTCGGTGGAAGGGCGAGAGAAAGGCGCGACGCACCTGAACGTCCCGCTCGCGCTTGTGCTCGGTCACCAGTTCTGCGATTCGTCCCTGCGTGCGTGGCAATGGTCAGCTCGTCAAGATTTGAAGGCTTGAGAATGTCGCACGCACATTGAGCTTGGTCTTGGGGAGCCCTTTCGCCTTCTGCAGGGTCCAAGGAAAGTGAGGGCTCGTTCGGGGCAGAAAAAACGAGAGGACTGCAGGCTCACCGTGACATCGAGAACGCCGAGGTCGTGCATCGCCTTCATGGCGAGTAGGCAGATGCTGTGGCGCAGGCTTCGGTCCATCGGATTGACGACGCCCTCGAGGCTTTGCGTCCTGCGCGTACCGTGAGGTTGGGCGGCGAGTCGAGCCGTCGGGACGCCGCCGTGACCGAGGCCCGTCTCGACGACGACGCCGACGCCATGCCGATAGTCGGTAAGGAGGAAGTAGTTGCAGGCCGCGAGCGTGCTGTACCTGCGGTCGAGGGGTTCGGGTTTGAGAAGGTTCGCGCACGGGCTTCGGCTCGGGAAAGAGAACGAGGGGACGCACCCGATGAGCTGCTTGATGTGCGCCGACGTGTTCTGTGACTGCGTCCAGCGCTTGTTGCTCGACGGCTGCCAATCGGCGGGCGACACGTAGCCAGCTTGCTGCGAGAGAGGGCGGTTCAGCGAAGGGCGACGGACCGGTCGCAAGAGCGCGGTCTCACTTTCTCCTCGACGATCACGAGGTGGAGGTTGGAGGTGACAGGCTTGTGGCTCGTCGCGATGCGCCGTCGAGTGAGGACGAGTGCGTGATCGGGAAAGACGGCTGCGGACGAGGCGGAGCGACAGGTCAGGCACCGTGCGCAGGTCGAGATGGACCGAGTCGACGCACAGGTCGTCTCCTTGACGTGCAGGGCTTGGCTCTGCTGGGTCGTCTTGGGCAGCTTGAGCGTCGGGTGCTGGTGGATGGATACCTCAAGGAGGCCGGCGAGGTCGGGGCGGAGCAGCGAGGTGAGGATCGACGGGAGGGCGGACAAGACGTTGCTCATGACGAGGTCTCTGCGCAAGAGGACGACAGCATTAGCGAGAGCCGCACCATGCGCCCAGTGAAAGAGAGAAGGGACTCACGCGACGTCGCCCTCGCTCGCGAGATGCCGGCGTTGCTGCGGCGTTGCTGGCAGGTCTGGCGCCCCTTGTACTGCCGCCCAATACGCTCGATAGAAGCTCGCCGTAAACGTGGCTGTCCAGGGCTGAGGTACCGCCTTGAAGCTGGCCGCGAACAAGTGAAGCGCGCCGCCGTTCGAGCTGGCGTAGCCGCCGCTCTGCCACGAGCACTCGACCAAGTCCTCGTTCAGGATCGAGATGGCCGGGTGTGCCGTGTTCTGAATGCGGTCGCCATGCTGCGCAGAGATACGGTCAGGTGCGTGAAAGAGGGAGGAAGGGAGAAAGTCGACGCACAGGCCGATCGCTGTAGATGCGCACGAGCCCGTCCGGGGCGACGTCGATTTCTGGCGCTCGAGAGAGGTGTCGGGCAAGCGGTAGGAAAGGGTCGCGTCCCACAGGACGCAGAGACCACCAGGCGAAGCGGCGGAGCGGGTCCCGCTTGTGCCAGCTCAACATGGCGCGCTGACGGAAGAGATGAGCGAGGAGACGAGCGTGGGCTCCGAAGCTGCGCGGGGTACGGACTCGCAACGGACCGGAGCGTGCTTCGGAGCGGGCAGCAGAACGCCGACGCGAGGCGCTGCCCCGCGGCGAACAGTGGCTCGAGAGGAGCGTGCGCAGGCCCGAGCGCGTACGAGGCTGCTTCCGCCTCTCGCTCTCTTCTTCTTCCGCAGCTTCTCGCATGTCGTTCCTCCCGCCAGGCGACGAGATCTTTGAGCCCAACGAGCGTGCACGCGCCGCTCTCGCCGAGCCCCTTCAGTCGGGTCACCTTCTTCGTCCGACGGGCCCAGCTCTTCGCCTCGACTTGCTCAGCCGCGCCGGCGCATCGGGTGCCGTCAGCACCGGTATCGACGACGTCCCCCAGCACTTCCAGTCGCCGAACCCGCTTCGCCCGGCCAACCTCGCCCTCCTCGACGCGGCAAGCACTCGTACCGGCTGGCAGGGCATCGCGCTGCGGCTCGATACGCCGGCCTGGGTCGGGCACGCCAAATACACGCAGGTGTGGCACGCCGATGTCGACGTCGAGGGCCGCACGAGCGGGCGAGCCGTCGTCAAGCTCTTCGCCGACGCGCTCTGGCCGCTCCCGCACGTCTGGATCGAGGCGTGGCGCCCTCTCGAGCAGCGGATTGAGTCCGAGCTTCAAGCGTGCGTCCTGCCCGTCCCCCCCTAGCGAGCGAGAGCACGAGACTGACCCCAACCAGCACGCAGATACGCCTCGCTGCGACCGACGCAGGGTCGCGACGTCCCGCACTGCTACGGCGCCTACACGTTCGAGATGCCGTGGGGCGATGTGGTTACCGGCGTTGTGCTCGAGGACCTGAGCGACATCGCCGAGCCGTTCGCCGTCTTTTGCGAGCGTGAGAAGGAGGGAACGCTGCTCGACATCGAGTCGGCCTACGCTACGGTGCGTCCTCGCCACGCGCTCCCATTCTCTTCTTCTCGTCTTCTCGAACATGCCCTGAAGATCGAGCTTGCGCAGATCAGCGCCTCGTTCCACTGCCTGCATCGGCTTCACGCCCTTGACGTCGGCCGAGTCCGGCCCTGCGCCGCCAATATCTACGTCCTCCGGTCCTCGACTGCCTCTACGCCGCACCTCGTCTTCGCCGGCTTCAGCGGGACCGCATCAGACGAGGAAGGCCGCCGCCTCTACGCCGCAGAAGAGCCCGAGTCGGTCTATCGCTGGGGCGACGAAAGCCTGCTCGAAAACGTCTGGTGGATCGGCGTCGAGTACCGCCTCGACTGGTGCGAGGAGTTGGAGCGCAGGGAACCAGGGCTCGTCGCGTGGAACGGACAGCGCGAGCCGGGCCTCATCGAGGACATGCGCGAGGACCGTGCGCGCGCACTTTGTTGAGCCGGTCCTTTCTGCAATGTCGGTCGGCTCACTCTCTCTCCCTCGCTCTCCCTCGGACGACGTTTCCTCGACCGACACGCGAGAGGTGACACCGTGAGAGTGCGAGCAAGCGAAAGTGCGACCTTCTCAAATTGAGCCGGCGACGCAACGATTCGGGTGCTCCAGCGCCGTCTGTGCGTTCGCGGCTCGATGAAGCGCTGGGTTGACATCGTCAAGCTCGCCTTGTTTGCTTTGCGCAGGAGGACGGGCTTCATTCGAGTATCGCGAGCGAGAAAGAAGCCTGAGCAACCTCGAGGAGCAAGTCGAGCAGGAGGACGAAGATTGCGCAGCCGGCAGGTGTCGGTGCACTCTCTCTCGCTCGCGGGAGACTCAGAGAGACTCGAAGAGAAAGCCCTGGAGCAGAGGAGCCGACAGGAAGAGCTGCGCTTGAGTCGCTCCTCGACCGACTTGAGAAGGGAGGCGAGGCTCACAACTCTCGCTCTACATGATGAAAGGGCTCGGGAGAAGCACTCGATTGCATCGCAGACACCTCGTCGTCCGATCTGGCGCGAGCAGAAGGCCGTAACCCTGCTAGATCAAGAGCTAGCGTTTGAGCGAGGGTGCGCAGGATCCCCCTGTCTTTTGTAGGTGGCCGGGCGCACGGGCGCTCCGCAGGGGTGCGCGCCGTGCGAGCGGCTCACCAGAGTGCGCCCGCTGCCCTCAGGGGCACGTGAGGGCGGGCGCGGCCTCGTAAGGACCAGTCCGCGACGGCCCGACTCGCTGAGCCGCCGGGACGAGTGCGACGACAATCAAGAACTCTGCGCGGTCTGGGATCGCTCGACAGAGACGAGGAGAGCTTTCTGAGAGGAAAGGGCGCCGTCGCGCGGCGCAGCAAGGGCGCGAGGGGAAGCTTTCGAAGCCGAGAAGGGGGAGGTGCCATCGGGCGCGACTAACCTGCGGCGCGAGGTCGAGAGGGTCAGTGCGCGGCTCGGCGAGGAGCACATATACATGTGCAGGTCCTGCAGGGAAGAAAGAGAGTGCGCGGGACGTACAAAAGACAACATGAGCCGCCTCGAGGTCGAGAGCCCGCCTCGTGCCGCCCGGAAGACCGCCCTCCTCGCCTTGCGCAGCCGTTTTGCCTGCAAAAGGACCAAGTCAGTCCATCAAGCCCCCTGCACCGCGTCAAGAGGTAGCTGAGGGGGCGAGAGGAGAGGGAGAGGGGGGCCAAACACGGGGAGGCGGGGAGGAGGTGGACGCACCAGTCGCCCACAGCCCGCGCAGCGCGCCCGCCTGGCCTAGTGACATCCTTGACGCTGCCATAGTGCTCGACGACGATGCCCACAGGCTCATGAACCGTTGCCACCAGTTGAGAGAGGTCGGACGACGCGAGTTGCTGATGAAGAGGTAGCGAGACGGCGAGGGACGGTGGGAGGTCGGATGCAGCTCAGGATTGTCGTAGAGGGTCGCGAGTGCACGGGCAAGGCGCGAATGGTCGACCTAGCCGAGAGGATCGAGAGCTTGCGTGAGAGACGAGGATGGTCAGGCCGAGCTGGAAGGTCGTTCTTCTCCCACAGCTCAGCCTCGCCAGAATCTTGCTCGAGCCTTCACCAAAGCAGCCTACACTGCCACCCACGGCCCGAGCACTCGCCGTCTCGCCTCGACGTCGACGTCCCCCTCCTCGTTCGCCACTCCCCACCTCTCATCAGCTCTGTAACGGCGACCCTCGATGGCCACCTTTACGAGCACCCGCAAGCCCGGTACCACCTCGACTGTGACTGCCGCCAAGCCCAAACTGCGCGCCGACGCCGCGACCCTCAAGAAGTACGGCTGCTTCCTCGACAACGGCGGTCCGTCCCCTCTCGCTCTTTCAAGCGCCCACAGAGCTGACCCACCGACACAACTACAGCCGTCCTGTGCTTCTGCAACACCGAGCCGAGGATCCAGGCGACCCGCCGCGTCACTCGCAAGGAGAGCTCGCCCAACCTCGGCCGCGAGTTCTGGTCGTGCGGCTCGTGGATCGAGGACGACAACTGCGGCTTCTTTCTGTGGTGCGACCAGGCGGCAACGTGCGTCCTCGCCTCCTTTCGCTGTCAGTCTCTGCCTCAGAGCCGAACGCTAACCTCGAGTCGACGGCACGCAGTCTCGGCCGCGGCCTGAGGACACCTCCTCCCGCCGACAAGCCCACCTTTCCACCCCTCGCCAGGCCCATGACGCCTGCAACCTCGCCCCAGAAGCGCCCCCGAGCGCGCTCCCCTCCCACCTTCCGCCCCTCGACCACCGCCAGCACCACGCCCGCACCAGCACTCGCACCCGCCTCGACCCCGACCAAGCCGCGCCGACAGCCCGCCGTCGCCGAGTCGTTCGACGACGTCGACTTTGACTCGCTCGACGCCGGCCTCGACGACGAGATCGAGGACGACGACGACGACGGCGAGCCGCTCGCGTCGGGCTCGCCCTCGAAAAAGCCGCGTTTCGAGTCGTTCGCCTCGCCGTCCTCGGGCGCGAGCCGAGCGGGCCCGGCGACGCCCTCGACGTCACAGCACTGGCAGGGCGCCACGGCCGCATCGACGCCGGGCAAGCCTCGCGCGGGCGGGTACGACGCCATCCGCGCCGACCCGGACTCGCCGTTCCACGCCCTGCAGAAGGAGCTGTTCGGCGGCGGCGGCGGCGGTGGCGCCGAGCACGGTGTGGCGAGCTCGCCTGCGCCTGCGCCTGTGTCGCCGAGCAAGGCGGGCCCGGCGCCGCACGAGGGCGCGCCCTCGTCTTTCGACGCGCTCTCTGCGGCGCTCGCGAGCGCGGTCGAGGCGGTCGAGCTTGTCAAGAAGGAGCGCGAGAAGGAGGCAAGGCTGCAGGTGGCCGCGAGGCGCAAGGAGGAGGTGCTCAAGAAGGCGGTCGAGCGGGCAAAGGAGGAGAGCGAGGCGGTCAGGAGGGAGAACGAGCGGCTCAAGGAGAGGATCAGGTGCGGCCAGTCTCTCTCGTACTTCTCTCCCTCTCACTCTCGCAGACACTGACCCGTCCCTCCCCACAGGATGCTCGAGGAGGAGAACAACGAGCTGCGCACCCGGTAGAGCCTTGTCGATTTGCAACTAGCGCTTTTTTGCCTCGTCTCTCTCGCACGAGTGCACTCGCTCGATGGACAGAGCGCAAAGACGTTACACAGAGACCGAAAGACGACAAGCTGATCCCCCTCCCGACCCAGCGAAAGCAGCCGACCTCGTCCTCCCCTCCTGCTCGACAAGCCCTTTCCTCCCTTTCCTCCTCGGCGCCGGCCTAGACCATGCTGCCGGCGCTCTTCGTCTCCGCCCCGAACTCGCGCGGGTCCTCGATGAGCGTGCCCTCGGCCGACGTCATCCTCGCGAGGCCCGTCGGGCGTCCACCGCCGCCGCCGCCCTGGCGCAGGAGCTGCTGCACGAGGTGCTCGAGGCGGTCGAAGCGCATCGTCGCGTCGCCGCCGCCGCCGCCGCTGCCAGCGAGCGTGTCGAACGTGCCCGTCGGGCTCGGGAGCGGCGCCGAGAAGGTCCCGCCGGGCATGTGGACGCCGCCGGTAGGCTGCATCGACGGCTGGCGCGTGAGGAGGTCCGTCATGCCCGGGCCCTGGACCGTCACCGTGCGGTCGTCGCCGTCGCTCGCCTTGCCCGGGCGGCCCGCGCCGCCGCCGCCGCCGTCGCCGGGAGCGCTCGACTCGAACTGGCCGCCGAGGCCCATGTGGCGAGCGAGCTCGCCGGCGAGGCGCTTGGTCGACGCATCGGCCGACTCCTCGCCGAGCACCGTCTCGTACTGGAGCGCCCCGCAGAACGAGGGGGGTCGAGATGTTAAGTTTGGCCCGACGAGAGGCGGCAAGAGAGAGGGAGGACGCACTTGAGAAGGCGGTAGAAGGCGGCGGCGAGAGTCGCACCGAGAGCCGGTCCCTACAATGCCAGACTCGTCAGAAGCTTGCTCGTCCAGAGGAGAGAGAACGAGAGGGACGCACGAGCCAGTAGATCCAGGCGTAGCCGGGGAAAGAGGCGCTGACGACCTCGGGCCCGAGCGACCTCGCCGGGTTCATGCCGCAGCCCGTCCAGTAGATGCCGACGAGGTGGCAGATGGCGAGCGCGAGACCGGTGCCGATGGGCGAGAAGGGCGTGACCTTGGTGCGCTCGGCGGCGAGGAGGAAGCTGCGCAAGAGAGGCTCGAGGTCAGTGCGCGCGCTCTCGAGAGAGGTGCGAGAGGTGGACGCACATCGTGAGGGGAAGCATCGTCGTCATGAACATCTCGAGGAAGAGGCCGCGAGCCGGGCTCATGCCCGGAGCGAGCGTCGTCGCAAACAGGATCGGGCCTGTGACGAGACAGAGTCAGTCCTTGTTCCGGCGGACCGAGGCAGGCCGTCGAACAGAAGGGAGGGGACGCACCCGGCGTGAGCGCCTCGATGACCGCCGCCGCACAGATGCCGCCGAGGAGCTGGACCGGGACGAGGAACACGGCGCGAAGAGGCGTGATGCCGCCGACGAGGGCGAGGCCGAGCGTGACGGCCGGGTTGAAGAGCGAGCCCGTGAAGCGGAAGCTGCGGCGACAAAGTATGTTGAGGTGGGTTGACGATAAGGGGGGCGAGGCAGAGAGGGAGAGGGAGAGAGGGTGCGGTCAGTCGACGTTTCGTGAGGACGGGCGCCCGGACAAGGACGCACAAGACCCAGGCGTTGACGGCGAGCGAGAGACCGAACGCCATGGCGATGTAGAAGACTGTGCGAGACGGAGGACGAGAGGGGCGAGAGAGGAAGGTCAGGAAGAGGGGACCGAGCGTCAGGTCTTCTGCCGGTCCGAGGAAGAGAGAGACAAGACGCACTGCTCGACGTGTTGCCGCCGCCGACAGCGATCCCGCCGGGACCCGGCGTCGTTGTGCCCGACACGGTCGTCGCAGCCTGGTTGGCCGTCCTGCAGGCGCAGAGAGGGTCAGCTCTTGGTCCTTGCGCTCTCCCTCGAGGGCGACGGAGGGGACGTACTGAGCGGCGCCGAACGCGAAGAAGAGGAAGAGGAACGTCTGTGGGGCCACGACGAGTCAGTCGATGGGCAGAGGGAGACGAGGCGAGAAAGGGAAAGCGGGACGTACCCCCGACAAACTCGCCGAGGCACGCGAGGCCGTGGTTCTTGCGGGCGAACGCCGGCGAGCCGGCCGCAGGAGGACGCAGGTACCACGACCAGGGCGACGCACGGCGCGAGTTGCCGTTGGCCGTGGCGGTAGGCGAGTCGGCGTCGTGGTGAGTCGGGAGGGCGGTGTCCTGGGTCGACGACATGGCGGCGCCGAGGGGTGCGCTCGGAGCGGGTGCGGGCTCAAGCGAGGTAGTAGAGGTAGAAGCGAGACGCTCGAGTCTGCCGAAGCGATGTGACGAAGGGTCGAGGTGAAGAGGAGGAAGGAAAGAGGAGGCGAGCGTCGCGAGCGGCGCGCCGACCCGCTCTCGACTCGACTCGACAGCCCCTGTACCGAGGTCCGGAACGCTGTGCCCGACAGAGCTCCAGTCTCCCTTGCAGTCCCAATCCAGCACACCTCGCCTCCCGCCCCCACACATGGATCCCGCCGCGCGATTGACCTTTTCAAACTCGAGACGACGGGCACAGGAGCGAACGACGGCTCGAAGAGTACTGCGACTGCAAAGAAGGAGGGTGTGTATGTACAGGGAGCGGGGGACGACGAGGCGAGAATGCAAATGGGAAGGAAGAGGGGTGGAAAGAACAAGAGGTGCGACTAGACCGACGAGCGGTCGCTCTCCCTCGTCCAGCCGCCCGTCGACACCGTCGCTCCGTCGGGCACCGGTGACGTGCTGGGCGTAGGCGGTACTCGCCGCGTTGCGACTGCTTGACGGCGCGTGGTCGACCGCACGGTCGACGAGCGCCGACGAGCGCCGACGAGCTGCTCGAGGCGGCCGAGCCGGTGCGTGTACTCGCCGACGCGTCGACCGCCGCTGACGAGGGCGCATGTGCTGGTCCGCTGTCGGCAGGAGGACGAGTGGTGAGCGCTCTCGGCTGCGATGAGGGGGAGGGTGCAAGGCGATGACCACGCACCTGGGTGGCATCGACGGACTCAGGGCGGTGCTAGTCGCCCGTACGAGCTCTGCAGGCGGTCGCCATGCTCCTGGGTCGAGTCGGCGGTCGAGGCGGAGGGTCGGAAGATGCAGCGGGCGATGAGGACGGGGCGCGGCGAGGGGCAAGCCGGATGGCGCGGGCGGCTCGCGCAGTAGGCGGGCTGAAGCTGGCTGAGCATGTGCAGCACCTCGGCAGCAGTGCAGAGTGGTGGGGGCGAAGAGAGCCAGCTCTCGCCTTCCCCGCTCTCGTCCTCCTTCGACCCGGCCTCTCTCACAGCTCAGCCTCTCGCTCCTGCCCAGAGCTGCTCGACGCCATGAGGACGATCACGGTCTCTGGCGAGCCGCTCCTCGACATCCGCTGTCACCTCGGCGAAGGCCCGTGAGTCGCTCTCCACCCTGCCTCGCAACTCGGGCTCTCGCCGCGACTACAGCTCGGCGGCAGGTCCTGTGGCCGAACAGGCTCGTGCGTGCATCTTCAGAGTCGGCCTGGAGCTCCAGCCGTTCAGCATCAGTCTTCTTCGCGCCTCTCGGAGCACGCACTGACCTCGCTCGCCCGCGTGTGCAGGTTGTACCAGCCCGAGACGGACGAGCTGCACTTTCTCGACATCGCGCGAGGCGAGGTCCATCACTACAACTGCGCGACCCGGGCGCACGAGGTCGACGTGTACGACGCGCACGTGTCGTGTATCCGCCTTCGTCAAGATCAGCCAGGCGTGCGTCCCTCTCCCTCTTTGTCTCGCCCCAACCTTCTCGACCTATCCTGACTCTCATTCGCACGACCACCCCGACGCAGTTCGTCGCCGTCGCCGACCGCGGCTTCGCCTTCCTGCCTGCCCGAGCGCCTGGATCGTCGCACGACTCGCCCGCCCCGGTCACCTACCACGTGGAGCTCGAGCCCGACCTGCATCCTCGGTCCAAGATGTTCAACGACGGCGAGATCGACACGCTCGGGAGATTCATGGCGGGCACCAAGCCGGCGAGGGGCGAGGCGATGGGCAAGAGGGAGGAGGTCATGTGGCGGCTCGACGGCGAGGGCAAGCTGGACAAGGTCATGGACGGCCTGGCGCTGCCCAACGGCATCGGCTTCTCTGTCGATGAGACGAGGATGTGCGTCCACTCTTGCTTGTCTCGATCCTGCGCATGCACTGACAAGATCCCCCCTCCTCTCCCCGACTCGCCCGTCCCTCCCTTTCCCGCTACGCATCTCTCCTGCCTCTCCTTCGCCTCTGCTCGTCCTTCATCGCAGGTACTTTGCAGACACGATTGAGCGCACTATTTTCGTGTACGACTACGACGCCTCGACCGGCGAGTTCTCCAACCGCCGCACGTTCCACCACTCGCCGTCCCGCACCTCGCCCGGCGGCCTTCCCGACGGCCTGCTCGTCGACGCCGACGACCACGTCTACTCGGCACGGTTCGCTGGCGGCAAGATCATCCGGTTCAAGCCGTCGGGCGAGCCCGACCTCGAGATCGTGTTCGACGACGCGCGCCACGTCACGGCGTGCGAGCTCGGCGGCAAGGGCGGCAGCACGCTGTTCGTCACGACGGCGAGCTTGGCCGAGAACGGCGACGACCGGGACGAGGCGCTCGTGCGGCAGTACGGTGCGAGGAGCGGCGCGCTGTGGGCGGTCGACCTGAGCGGCGAGGGGGTCCGGGCCAAGGAGCGGTTCCGGTTCCGCAGTGTAGCCCCGAGAGCGTCGCTGTAACAGGTCCCACATACGCTCTTGCATCAGCGAGAGAAGCGCAAATGGCGAGACAGCGCACCGCCTCTCGACGAGGAGGTGGGGAGGAGCGAGAGTCGGTCTCCTCGTCTACACTCACCGACAGCTGCATGAGCGGCTCGCCCAGGCCCTGGCGCCCACCTGCTCTCTCGCCAGCACCGCGCCCACCCCCGCCATTCCTCCGCCGCCCCTCTTCCGTCTCATCGTCGTCGTTCCTCTCGACCACGACCTCGTCCCTCTCTGAGCCGTCCTCCGACGACGACTCGAGCAGCGACGACAGTAGCAGCGACGACGATGCGCCCACCGAGTCGTACTGGTCGTCGTCTGGCCTGTCGGGCGACGAGGGCCGGTTCGTCGCTCGCCTCGACCTCTCGCTGCGGGCACCCACGAGCGGCGGCGGCGGCAGCAGCAGCGGCACCGCCAGCATAGCGAGCTCGCTCGGTCCAGGCCAAGCCGGCACGGCGTCGCCCATCGCGCGGTCCAACCTGCGCCTCTCGCTCGCCGTCCTGCGCGCCCGCCAGTCGCTCGCCGCGCATAGCTTCGACGCCCTCGCCTCGTCCCTCAAGTCGCTCTCGTCGGCCCTCCCCTCCCTCTCAGCCCTCTCGCGCCCGCCGTCCGCCGCGCCAGGACCCGGGACCGAGAACCCGCTCGGCGTCTTTGTCCCGACGCTCGCGCGCCTTGCGGGCGATGTCAGGGCGGCGCTGCGGGACGAGGGCGGCAAGGGGCGCGAGTTTCGGCGCACGAAGCTTGCGAGGGACGACGCCAAGGCGCTCGTCGGGTTGCGGCAGCGGTGGAGCACCGGGGCGGCGGCAGGAGGCAAGGGCAAGGGGAGGGAGACGGACAGCTTGGAGTGGGTTCCGGTGGTCGAGGCCGCCCTCGCGAGTGTGCGTCCTCTTTTCTCCAACTCACAGCGGGCGCACTCTGACCATCTGGCCCGAGCAGAACCCGCCGCCCGACTTTCTCGCCGCCGCCGAGCGGTTCGACCACCTCACGCCCTCTCTCCTCACCTCGCTCGAGGCGTTCCTCCTCCCGTCCTCCCTCCCTCGACTATCCTTCTCCGACCTCGCCCTGACCGACACCGACCTCGCCACCTGGCCAGCGCTGCGACGCCTCGAGGACGTCGCGGCGTGGTACCTGTCGTTCGTCGTTGGCGACCCGGACGAGGCGCGCAAGCGGGCGAGGACGGCGCTCGACGGCGTCAAGAGCCTCGATCTGTCCAAAAACAAGCTCACGAGTGAGTCGAGCTCTCGTTCTGCACGTCGTCCGGCTCAAGCGCCGAACGGGGCACGTCGCTCCCGATCAACGACCAACTCACGAGTGCCTCGCGTTCACAGCCTTCCCTCTCTACCTCACTCGCCTCTTCCCGCACCTCGAGACCCTGTCCCTGTCGCACAATGCGTTCGCCCACCTCCCGCCCTGGGTCACCCTCTTCCCGTCCTTGCGCCGCCTCCGCACCCACGGCAACCGCCTCGTCAGCGCGCGCAAGGCCCTCAAGCCGCTCGCGCGCCCCAAGGACAAGCCGGCGAGGGCGCGGGCGCACCCGAGGAGGGCGGGCACGAGAGCCGACGTGCGAGACGTGCTGCCCGTCGTGCGGGCGGCGGTGCTCCGAGCGCCGCTCGAGGCGTTGCTCCCGTCGAGCCGGCTCGGCAGCCTGCCCTCGCTGTTCAGCATCGCTGCGCAACTCGCGCACGAGCAGCTCGTCGATGCCGAGGTCCAGGACGGCGCCGCGACCGACAACTTCCTCCCGCCGCACCTGCACGACGTCCTCGCCGCGGCGTACACGTGCGCCTCGTGCCGCTCCTTCGTCCTGCCCTCCTCGCCCATCTCGGTCCCGCCGTTCAGCGAGCGCGCGCACCACCTCGACCCGGGCATCTCGCTCCCGTCGCGCCTTCCGCCGCCCGTTCCGGCCCCGACCCGGTTCAGCCCGCCGACGACGCCGACCCTCGCCAGCATGCAGCAACCCCAGCATCAGCGACCGAGGTACCTCTCGGCCGCCGAGCGCCCCGCGACGCTCGAGCAGCGTCTCCTCCTCGCCCTCCTCGCCCGACTCGACGCTCCTCCTCCTCCGCCTCGCCCGCCCGCCTCGCGCCGCCGCGACTCGGAGGCGAGCCTCTCGTCACTCGCCTCGGCGCCGCCACCGCGCCGACCTCGCAGCGCGCGCGACGAGCACGAGCACGACAGCGGCCGGCGCGCACTGCCGACGCTCGTGCTCGGCGCGGCGGGCGCGGTGTGGCGCTTCTGCGCGCCGTGTGCCGCCGCGCATGTCGGTCTCGAGGACGATTTCGCGCTCAGGGCCGAGCAGGAGGAGAAGTGGGCGCTGGCGAGCGAGGAGGGGGGACAAGGGCTCGCCGACGAGCTGGAGCGCCTCGGGCGGTGGAGGTGCACGTGCGTCGTGTGCTGCGAGGAGCGGCGGGTGCGAGGGTGGGACGAGGTCGAAGGGGAGGAGGGGAGCAAGGCCGCCGGCGTTGGCGAGGGGGAGAAGGGCAAGGACGAGCCGACGAGGACGAGGGTCCTGAGGTGGTTCAGGCGCAAGGAGCAGACGCGCGGCATGTCGGCGCTCTTGGTAGCTGCCGTCGAAGGGTAACGGTCGTCTCGAGCAGTGCATCGAGCGTGTTCGGGCCGGTCCTGGAGCTGTCCACGCCTGAGAGTGCGCTCGAGCGAAGAGGAGGAGGTCGAGGTGACCTCCCTCGCTTCGGCGGTGGAGGGCAGCGAGGCCCCATGGCCACTAAGCTTGTACCGGGTCAGGCTCGAGCAGCATCCAGCCAAGAGCGAGAGAGAGGAAGCGCTCGCGGCGAGACCTTGCTCGCGCCTCCGTGTCGTCGTCGCCCCTCGTCGCTCCAGCGCCACTCGCCAGTCGAGCAGAGCCCGATACCCTCGTCAAGCGTTCCCTCTACCCGACCAGGAGCACCCCCGGCGACCATGGCCCTGCCCACCCAGCCCTCGTCCCACCGCCCTCAGCCCGCCTCATCGGCTCCGACCGACACCATGACGAGCCGCCTCGACGTGATCAACTCGGCTGCAGGCCGCATCCTCTGCGTCGCAGACATCCGAGGTGCGCCCACCTTCCCTTGTCTGGTCGAGTGCGAGAGAGGTGGAGACGGTGTCGCGCGAGGGGGACGGGCCAGCTCGCGGTCGACGCAGCGCCTTACGGGCGGGATGAGGTCGCGTACAGTGCTTTGCGGTGGACTACGAGGGCCTGGGTGAGCGCGCAGCAGCGTTGCGCGCCGCGTCGCTGTTCTTGTCCTCCCCGCCTGTGCTCGCACTCGAGCCGACGAGGCCAGCGAGGCGCCCTCCCCGGTGCTCTCATGTTTCCCGCACCGATCAGCAGCCGTCGTGACGCCGAGAGCGAGCAGAATCCTGACCTCGCTCGCCTTCCTCCCGCGCAGGCGCCCTCTCGAACCTCAACGCGCTCGCGGCCGAGCACTCGGCGGTCGCCATCATCCACAGCGGCGACTTTGGCTTCTTCGGTACGGCCAGGCCTGTCCTATGTCTTTCCTGGACGCGCCCACTGACCCGCTGTACCTCCCGCAGAGTCGTCGTCCCTGTCGACCATGTCGGACCGCACGCTCAAGCACCTCGTCCAGTACTCGTCCCTCATCAGCCCCCAGTTCCGCGCCCAGCTCCTGTCGCCCAACACGACGGCAGCGCACATGCGCGAGCTCATCGCCAACCCGCCCAAGAACGCCTACCCGGCCTCGTCCGACTTTCCCGCGTTCGCCCTGAGCGAGTTCCCCAAGCTCCTGTCGGGCGAGATCAAGCTCAACGTGCCCGTCTACACCGTGTGGGGCGCGTGCGAGGACGTCGCCATCCTCGAAAAGATCCGCCTCGCTCCGCTCTCGCCCCTGTCGATCCCGGTCGACCCGTCCAAGGCCGCACCGACCCCGCCGACGGCGTCGACTCGCCCGACCTCGACCTCGGCCTCGCCCGCGTCGTACTCGATCCCGAACCTGACAGTCCTCGACGAGGCGACGACCCGGGTCCTCCTCATCGGCGGCGTGCGGCTGCGCCTGTTCGGCCTCGGCGGCGCCGTCGTGCCGCACAAGCTGTTCGACAACGGCGCGGGCATTGCGACTATCGCTGGTGGGCAGGGCACGATGTGGACGACAATGCTGCAGGTCGGAGAGCTCGTCGACACGGCCCAGAAGGTGCGTCGCCGCGTTCATCCTGTCAGCGATCCTCCCGCACCCCTACGGCAGGCGTACTGACTACGGCTCCCGTCCTCGCACAGGTGTATGACCCGTCCGAGACTCGCCTGCTCGTCACGCACGCGTCGCCCGGGCGCGAGGGCCTCATCTCCCAGCTCGCGCTCGTCCTCAAGGCCGACCTGACCGTCTCGGCCGGGCTCCACTTCCGGTACGGCGTGTCGTACAACGAGTTCTCGGTGCAGCACGACCCGGACGCGTTCAAGGTCAAGCTCGAGGCGAGCAAGACGGCGTTCAACAAGGTGTGGGAGTCGGTCAGGAGCCAGGTCGAGGGCGTCGTCGAGTGCGTCCCGCTTTCTCTTCTCTTATTCTCCGACGTCCTCACTCTCGACCCTCGACTCTCACTCACATCTCGCTCCCTCCTGCCGCAGCGACAACCAGCGGTCGCTCCTCCAGAACGCGCTCGCCGTCGCCAACCGCATCCCGTCCGACAACCTCGTCTCGGGCGGCGCCGCCATCGAGGAGACGGCGTGGAAGAACTGCTGGAACTGGAACCTGCCCGACGTCGCGTTCGGCAGCCTCGTGCTCGACATCCGCGACGGCAGGATCGGGAGCGAGACCAAGAGCCAGGGTCCGTCCGCCCTTTCTCCCTCTCTGTCTCCCTTCCAACTCCTTCTCTCTCTGCCCGACTTCATCCTGACCTTCTTGTCGTACCAAGGCTTCAACTTTGCCTACCGCCAGAGCGCCCCTCGTCCTCCCACCTCGACCTCGTCCGCCCTCGCACCCGTCCGCTCCGCCTCCCCCGCTCCCCAGGCCGCCGCCATTCGCCAGCCGACCGGCCCCGGCTCGGCAAGCGCCTCCCCCGCACCGGGCTCGACCTCGGCCGCCGCAGCGTCCACCGCCGCGAACGCCAACGCCGGCGCGAGCGCGGGCGCAGCGCCGCCCCCCTCGGGCACGCCCTTCTCCGGCGCGCCGAGGGACGGCTTTGCCGGCGCCAACGGCGCCGTCGGCCGTCCGACGCCGTCCGGGCCTGCAGCTGCGGGCGCGATCGGCAACCACCCTCGCGGCGGCAGCGGCGGCGCGTCGGGCGGTCTGCGCGGTGGTGCGGGCGGGCGCGGCGGGTTCGCGTCGGCGCCCGGCGGGTGGGGTCACGGTGGTGCGCAGCCGGTGAGCGCTTCGGGCGTGGTCGGTGGCGGTGCACAGGGGCAGCAGGGGCAGCAGGACGCGAGGACGCCGCGTGCGCCGCACCAGAACCAGGGCCAGGGGGGCCAGGGCCAGGGGACGCAGTCGCAGCGTGCGCCTCGTGGGCAGGCGCCGCACCAGATCCAGCAGCAGCAGCAGGCCCAGCAGCAGCAGCAGCAGCAGCAGCAGGCCCAGCAGCAGTCGTCGACGCCGGCGCCAGCCACCGCCGCGACCGCCGTCGACGCCTCGGGCGCGCCCTCGGTCCCGGTCGCGTCGGCCAAGAAGGCCGACGCGTCGTCGGCGACCGCCGGCGATGCAGCAGGCGACGAGCCGGCCTCGCCGTCGACGCCGACGGGCGAGGGCACGCCGGGTGCGGGCGGGCGCGGCGGCAAGGCGCGCCGCGAGCGCGGGCCTGGACGCGCCAAGGGACGCTCGAACGGTGACTGGACGAGGGCGGCGAGTGGGAACGAGGGCGGCAAGACTGAGGGCGGCAAGGAGGAGGGGAGGGGAGGTGCGCGCGGGCAGGGGAAGAAGCAGGGCGGCGGCGGCGGTGGGGGCGCGCCCAAGGGCGAGGGCGGCGAGGGCAAGAGCGCTCCTGCGCCGTCGGGTGGCGAGGCGTGAGGGAGTGTATGTCTCGCTGTCGATAGAGGTCGTCGCAACCACGCAACTTCCCCTTTCTCGATCCTCGTCGTTCCCTTCCTCTCTCTCTTTCCTTCCTCTCTCTCCCTTTTCTCTCTTTTCTCTCTCGACGTCTGCACCGCATCAGTACCTCGCTTCCTCTCTGTGTCTCGCTCGAGCGAGTATGCGGTACTGCCTTTGGATTCCAGCGAGGAAACGAGAGAGAGAGCTACAAGGACCCGCTCAGGCGCTCTGCCCAGTCGTGACCGCCTCGACGTCGGCGACCGTCTTGGGGAGCCAGTCGGGCGTCAAGTTGCGGAAGCCGTCGGCCGTAATGAGGAGGCTGCGAAACGACGACGAGTTAATGCCGGCGAGCGAGAGAGGGACAAAGAGAGGGAGAGAAGAGGACGCACTTGTCCTCGATGCGGACGCCGCCGACGTAGCGGTACCTCGCGAGCACGTCGTGGTCGACCATGTCGCTGTTCTTGAACGGCGCAAAGAGGTGCTCGTTGAAGTAGCAGCCAGGCTCGACCGTGACGACAAAGCCCTCCTCGAGCGGGTACCGCAGGCGCAGGTACTTGAGGAGCGGGTCCGTCTTGTGGCGGCCCTCGTCGGGGAGGCCGCCGACGTCGTGAACGTCGAGGCCGAGGAGGTGGCCGACGCCGTGCGGGTAAAAGGCCGACGTGAGGCCCGAGTCGAGGAGCTTGCGGACGGCCTCCTCCTCGCGAGCGCCGTCGACCTTGAAGATGCCGAGCTTGAGGAACCCTCGTGCGAGGACGTCGTGCCTGTGAAGCAAAAGCTGTGTCAGTCGAGGCCGTCTTGATGAGAGAGGAAGGCGAAAGAGGAGAGCGAGAGGACGCACATGAGGCGCTGGATCTGCTCCCAGTTGGCGCCCGGCTTGATCTGCTCGAACGCGGCGTACTGCATGTTGAGGACGAGCTCGTAGATCTCCTTGCACTCCTTGGTGAACCGGCCGCCGTTGCCGAGCGGGATGCACCGAGTGACGTCGGCGGCGTAGCAGTTGTAGTCCGCGCCGGCGTCGACGAGGAGGAGCGTCGGCTCAGAAGGGAAGGGACGGTCGTTGTCGACGTAGTGGAGCGTACCAGCCGAGGTGCCGGCGGCCATGATGGGTGAGTAGGCCTGGTGCTTCGAGCTGAGGAAGGGGGCAAAAGGGTCACTTTTCGGCTCGAGAAAGAGAGCGAACAGAGAGAGAGAGACCTGGACGCACCCGTTCCTCCTGCAGAACGAAACGAACTCAGCCTCGGCCGCGTTCTCGTCCGAAACGTGGCCCGAGCCGACGAGGCGCATGAGGTTCTTGTGCGCGCCGGCCGTGATCTCGCTCGCCTTGGTCATGAGCTCGACCTCCTTGGGGCTCTTGTACCGCCGCGCGTAGTGGAGCGCCTTCTCGAGGTAGTCGGTCGTGTGCTTGGGCCCGTTGATGCGCGCCATGATCGTGGTCGGGGGCGAGACGAGCGGGAGGGTGTGGAGGAAGGTCGGGACGTCGGCTTGGGGCTTTGGCGGGTACAGGGCGGCGGGCGTCCATCCTCGCTGGATAGACGTGAGGTTGAGCGACTTGGCGAGTTCTTCAGGTGCGGGAGGGAGGCCGCACCACATGACCTGCACGGCGGTCGAGAGGGCAGAGTCAGCTCCGTCGCTCCCCGCTCGCCCGCTCGCCTGCGTCGACCCAGCTCCTCTAGAAAGGGAGAGAATGAGGGACGCACCTCGGCCTCGTCGACGTCGGGGAGCCAGAGGCGGGTGTGGACCCTGCTCGGGTCGACCTGGTCGCCGCCCTCGTGCTCGTACTCGATGGTGAGGGCCGAGCCGGGCACGTCGCAGCCCGAGAGCCACTTGAAGTTGGCCTCCTGGCGGAAGGGCTCCTCGGCGTCGGTGCCCCTCGTCTGGATGTGGCCGCCGACGAGGTAGCAGTAGTGGAGTGCGGGCGCGAGCGACTTGGGCTTGTTGAGGGCGAGGAGGCGCTGGAGGAGCTGCTGCGAGTGGACCAGAGGGTACAGTGAGGCCATGGCAGGTACGGCTCGTGTGGTGTAGCGAGCGGGAGGCGGTGGAGACTGTGTCCGCGTGGTGATGAGAACGGCCGGCTCGGATTGGTCCAGATCGAAATCGACGGCGAGCCGCCAACTACGTCGAGAATCGGCGCACTCGCTCTCGGCTCTCCTGCTGGACGGGAGCTCACGGGGCGGGCAGTAAAGTATGTGCTCGTTCCTCGGAAGGCCTTGCCGCCCTGCGCGAGCCCGAATTGCAAGCGCACGCCCGAGCGCGCCGCCAGACAGCTTTCCGAGGCCAGCTCTGGCTCCTCGACGACTTGAGAGTCTCTTTCTCGCCGCGCACACAGTAATCACAAGTCTCTCGACGTCCCTCTCGCTCGGCGACTGTCACGGCGAGCTCGAGAGCGCTCGCGACGACACGCTTCAAGTGGCCTTCTCAACTTGGGATGCGGCGGCGCTGAGCGGTTACGACGCTATTGCCGACGCAAAGTTGCACACAGGATCAAGCGCGACGAAAATCACTACATGTGGCCGGGTCGAGTCGCTGCAGAAAATTGCAGAGTCAGCGAGCGTCCTCGTCGAACCGAGCCGCTTCGAGGCGATCGTGCGCACCTAGTACGTCGCCTTGAACGAGGGAACGCTCTGCGTCCAGCGTTGCTCGGCCTCCTCGAGCAGGTTACGGGCGTGTCGGCGATAGCACATCATACCTTCGAGGAGAGTGAAGGCCTCGGTAAAAGGTCCGCTCGTCCTGCTCGAGCCGACGCGAGCCAAGCGCAGGACATGGAGCAGAGCGCCGGTGACCACTTTGTACGGGTCGCAGTCGTCTGTCTTGCAGTTGCCGTTACACCGCCAGCCCGTGCAGGCGATGGTCGACGCAGCGCTCCCGAGGACGTCGCACAGCACGGCACTTCTCCGAGCTCTGAAGTTGATCTGGCGGGGCGGGGACAAGAATCAGAGAGGCTATGTGCGCGTCGAACGATATCGACGTGCCACGCACCAGACGACGCTGCCATTCCTGCGAGGGGCCCGAGTCGTACAATGCGTCTCGCACGCTGTCGACCGCCCGAGAGCTGTCCTTTCTAGGAGCTCGTCGTTCCCGCAGTATGTCGCGAGCGCGTAGCTGTGTAGCTCGAGAGTGTCCTTGGCCTCGAGCTCCCTGCGATATGAGCGGCAAGCGTCAGTCGCGATGGCCGACGAGCGCGGGGAAAAGAGGCTCGAGCGCGCTCACCAGACGCGCCGCTCGATGTACTGCTTGACGACGGGGCTGTCGTACTTGTCGCCAGCTCGTGCGAGGGCCTCCCACGTCTTTGTGTCGAGCTCGCCGACAGCTTTGCCCTCAAACACGGCGAGCAACGCCGCGACGACCTTCTCGGACTCGGCGAGGACGACGCAGCCTTCCTCACCGCCGGCCTCGGCCGCCTTGTCGCGCCTCTCGAGCTGCGGTAGCTCGAACATGTCGGCGAAGACTTTTGAGCCCGCAGCGAGAACGAGTCGCGACGCCTCGAGGCGGACGGGAGGGTCGTCGGAGGTGACGAGGATGAGGGTGGCGGACATGCTCGGCGGAGGTGGCGTTGCGAGTGCGGTAGCAGCTGAGCGAGAAGCGAGAGCAGAGAGGTGTGGACGAAGCGGTCTGAGCTGGACGAGCGAAGCCTCTTGGAGCGGGAAAGCCAGCGAGGAAAGCGGAAGCACGGCGCAGGCAGCCGCTCTCGGACCTCGGGATCCTCGGTACGTCGGTCGCCGCTTCGAGGAGGTCCACCGTAGAGATCGACGTTGCTCGTGGACCGACGAGGCCATGGCTCGGACTCGAGAGCGCTCGAGCCGCCAGAGGGCGACCTTCCCAAACGCACTCTCTCGCTCCTCGCTCGCTCTCCTGCACTCGCTCGGTCGACAGAAGGCTGAAATATCACTGCATCGGGTCCGACAGTTGACCGAGAAAGTCTGCACGGTCGAGGGATAGATCAGACGAGGTAGACAAGGTGCGTCGAGAGACCGTGCACGGACCACCGGATCTGCGAGAACTGCGGCGCCTCGGTCTTCCACTCTCGCTCAGCTAGAGCGCAATGGTGGGCAAAGTCGAGCCGTGAGCAACCGAGCTGACCACTGGCGCAAAATGTTGCAGCAAGCGCCAGATTTGGCGTCGACGGGTCGAGGTTTATCAGGACGACGCCGAGCATGGCCGGCGCAGCGTCTGAAAGCACGCTGCAGGCTGCGCTGCGCGTGCAGTGTTCCTTAGTCCTGTGCACGTGTATCGCCTTCTTCAGGCCTGCAGCTATGCGCCAGGCTGCGGCGATGCGCCAAGCCTCGAAGTCGTTCTGCACAGGGTCGAGGCGGTCAGGAGCGTATCGCGAGGTGTGAAACCCAGCGACCGAGCGAGACGTTCGTAGAGTACCTACCAGGCGGTCGCCCCACTCTTTGTCCGCGCCGAGTGTGCTGCGGTCCGCAACCCGGATCGCTCGCAGGGTTGAGCGGTCGAGCAGGGCCTTGTTGCCGGTCGTGGTCGCGAGCGTGAACGCGTGCAGGGGCTCTTCGTCCTTCGACTCGAGCTTCCTGCAAAGCAGAGGGTCAGGCGTGGCTTGAGCGCGACGTCGCTCGCATCTCGAAGTGCCTCCCTGACGAGGAAAGAGCGAGTCGAGCGCACCATCCTCGAGCGTCGACAGCCTGCTGCACGACGAACGAGTCGTACTTGTCGCCGAGTCGAGCGAGGACCTCCCACTGTGGCGACGACAGCTTGGGCGCCTGTCCCTCGAGCAGCCGGAGGAAGGGCTCGAGCGCCTCCTGCGCCTCGGCGACGACGACGGGCTCGCTCGCCTTGCCGCCGGCAGGGACCGACAGCATGTCGGCGAACACCTTCGAGTTGGCGGCGAGGGCGGTGCGCGAGGCGGTGAGCGAGACGGGCGGGTCGTCCGAGGTGAGGAGGGTGAGCGAGTCGGACATGGCGAGAGGTGGGCGACGAGGTGGGAGGGTGAGAGGGAAAGGCCCAGCAGGGCCCTGAGGAGGCAGAGCGTGAGGGCGTTGCTGGCGAAAGGCGAGGAGGAAAGAAGCTCGTCCTGATCCGGGAGGTCGAGCACGCTCAGAAGGGCCGTGCGGGATCTCGCGTGCCGCAACGGGAGCAGCGACCGAGAGCGTCGACGCCGAGCGAGCGACCGAGAGAAGAGAGAGAAAGAGACGACGCTCTCTGAGCCGGGCAGAGCGGGAAGCGGTGGGTCGGCCTCTCGAGGACAGCCCGCCGCCGATGACGCTCGAGGAGAAGGTTCATGCGGGGACTGCGTTGCACTCATGCCTTCGACTGCTGCGCCTTCAACGCCGCATGCACGGCGTGTTCCTGTGGGCGACGAGGAGAGAGAGAAGAAGAGTCAGGACAGGGCGCTCGACGGTCGAGCCGCGGGTGAGGGGAACGAGCGGGACGCACCTTGGCGATCAAGTGGCAGCTCTTCTCGATAAGGCCCATGAGCTTGTGCACGTCGCTGCTCCACTCGTTGAGGACCTCGTCGCCGCGCTTGGGCTTGACGAACGAGACGATGCCGGCCGGGCGGTCGATCTTGGCGTAGACCGTCTTGGACGTGACGAGCTTCGACAGGAACTGCTCCGTCTCGGCGACAGAGAGCGACAGGAAGGTGGCGAGGCGGGAGAGGGTGATGCGGGTGTAGTAGCCGGCGACGACGCGGATGTTCTGGGAGAGGACGAGGGTCAGTTCGCGACGACGATGACGACGGCGCGAGGTAGGGAGAGAAAGAGAAAGGCAGGGACGCACGTGCTCGACGATCCGGTCGTGCAGCACCTTCCACCTCGTCTCGCCCTTGGCGTGCTTGTCGTCCTCCTCAACATCGCCCGTGACGCCCGCCGTCCCCGCCGGCCCAAACACCTTTGTCCGCCTCAAGCCCTCGCCGTACAGGTCCTGGATGTTGGGCCACCTCCTCAGTTCCGGGTCGATGAAGCACTTGACGAGGTCGCTGTGGGTAGAAGGCGGTCGTGAGCAGCCGACCTCGAGGAGGACGAGGCTCGAGGAGGGGAACGCGAGGACGCACTAGGACTCCTTCATCTCCTTGAGCCGGTCGTCCTTGTACACGCGGTTCAACAGGTCGCTCTGCTCGTTGTCGTACGGCGCCAGGACGAGGAAGTAGACGACGTTGCGCAGGACGGCCGACGCCGACTCGGCGTTCTCGGCGATCGACGACGTCTCGTAGACGGCGCGGTAGTGCTTGGCGACGTCGAGGTACTTGTCGGTCCACAGGCCGTACAGGATCATGAGGGCGTAGTAGCGCAGCTTGAGGTCCTGCGAGAGAGCGAGAGAGAGAGGTCAGGACGACTTTCGACGACGAGGAAGGGGCGAGAGGAGGAAAGTTCATGGCGCACCTCGTGCTCCTTGTCGGCAAGCCACTTGAGGTTGATGCGCTTCGACACGATCGCCATCTTCTCCCAGTCGTCCTGCGCCTTGAGGAGCCGCATCTGCTCGAGGATAAAGTCGACCTTCTCGCGCCGCTCCATCGACCCGAACGTCTCGACCTGGAGCTCCTGCATCAACTCTGACGCCGCGTTGACGTCGCCGGCCGCCTCCTTCAACTTGGACAGTGTCCGGGTCACGCGCGCTCGAGGAACCTCGAGGTAGATCTGCGCAGGCGGGGAAGAGGTGAGCGACCGGTCGATGGGAAGACATCGCGCTCGCGCCTGAGCAGCTCGGGCAGGGGATACAGGAGAGGGCATGTGGACGCACCTTGCCCTCGGTGATGTCCCTCAGCGTCTCGATGAGGCGCAGCTGGTCGTCTCCCTCGAGCTGGTCGACGTATTCCATCGCGCCGTCCACCATCTTCTGGACGGCCTGGCGGAGCTGGCCATGCTTCTTCGACAGGAGCTGGAGGTGCGCGTTGAGCTGGGCATAGTCGCGCGCGTGGTACAGGATCGAGTTGACGGCGAGGAGGAGCCGAGAGGTGGAGGCGAGGTCGGACGCCTGCGAGAATGGACCGACGGGCAGAGGTCAGCTCGGCTCGCAGGAGGGGTACACGCAAGGCGGCGGGACGCACGTTGCGGGCCTGCTTCTCGAGGACGAGGAGCTTGTCGAGCGCCTCCTGCTGCTTGCCGTCCTGCGCGAGACGAACGAGGAACGCTCTGGTCAGTGCGCCGGCTCAGGACAGGCATCAGAGGAGCTTGGACGCACCTTGGCGAGCTGCTCGGCTGCTGGGATGGCCTGTGGAGAGAGCGAGGACGAGGTCCGGGTGAGCTGACGACGATGAAGGACCACAGCCGCGACAACGGGAGGGCAGGGGCGCACCTCGTCGACTTGTGGAGACAGGTCTGCCTCCTGCTTGCGTGCGAGTCCTTCAGCGGTCGACATGGTGCTGGGTGTGGTCGAGGACGAGCAGCCGGGGCGACGACTTGGTGACGCGGCTCACACTGCCTCTCCTCAAGCTCTCTCGACAGCCGTGATTGCGCACAGAGACAGCGGTAGTATTGACAGGGGACGCTAGACGAAGGAAGTGGGACTGTACAGCCGAAGCGACGCGAGACCAAGCGGACGTCCTCCTCCTCGAGTTCCCTCCCTGGACCGTCCTCACTCGACGGACTCGACCTTGACCTTGACGCTGCAGGCGAGACGATCGAGAGAGTCAGGTAGGGAAGGCATGGTTAGAGAAGGAGAGCACGCACTTGAGCTCGTCGAGGCCGAGAGCTAGCTCTTCCTCCAAATCCGAGTCCTCGACCGTCTCGTCTTCCTCGCGCTTGAGCCCTCCCGAGCCATCGCCGACGACCTCGGGCTTGACGTCCTTGACCTTGACCTCGACCTCGGGCTGGCGCAAGTCGAAGCGGACCTTCTTGACGCTCGACGGCGGCTTGACGTCGTCGTCGTCCTCCGAACGAGCGCGCTTCTTGCCGTCGACGACCGGCGCCCGCTCGACCGAACCGACGTCGACGAATGACGAGGCGCCGAGGTTGCTCGAGCCGGGCTGCGGGTGCTCGACGTGGTCGTGCGGGTCGTCGTCGTCGCTGATCGCGCCGAGGGCGTCGTCGACGAGGCGGTCGAGGTCGAGGTTGAGGCGCTCGAGCTCGTCTTGCCACAGGAAGAAGTTGCAGCCGGTCTTCCTGCGGCACTTGAAGAACATCCTGCTCGGTGGGGAGGAGGGGCAGGGAGGCAAGGTCAGCTCGGCGGCGAGGCGAAAGTGAGTCGAGTGCAAGGGACGGACCTGCCCTGGTTGCAGTTCTTGTTGGTCGCCGTCTTCAAGAGAATGGCCCTGCGAGGCTTGCGCTTGCGTCCTTCCTCGCAGTGGCAGTAGACCCCTGTGAGTTGAGGTCAGAGTCAGCTTGCGGCGAGGAAGAGGGGGCTGGAGGAGAGAGAGGGGACGTACAGTCGACGTCGTCTTGCGCAGATGTACTCGTGCGGCCACTGCTCATCGAGCGAGCAGCCTGGCGGCCCTGTTGCGACGTGCGCGGCATGGTCGAGAGTGGGCGACGTGGAGGGCGGGGGAAGAGGTGCGAGAGGTGCGAGGTGGATGGGCGGGCGGCTGGGGCGGCGAGAGGAGCGTTGGCTCTACGCAGAACTCGCTCCTCCTGCGCAGGCAGTCGCAGGATGCGAGGCGAGTGGGCGAGAGCGAGGTGAAGAGAAGGAGGACGACGAGGCGAGGCGGGCGACGAGCCGGCCTTGCCAGCGCTCGCGCGACGGACGACTGGCAACCAGGGTGCACTGCAGCGAGGGCGCGCTGGCGAGTGCTCTCCGCGGGCAGCAGAGAGCTAGCTGGCCGCGCTGGAGCAGCACCGCCGAGCCGCGGCTGACGGCGAGGGGACTGAGCGCGACGGGCCGAACGAGCTTGTGCAGGTCCAGCGCTCGTGCGTGTGCAGGCCAGTAGAGCAGCCGACAGCGCTCTATCCGCGACGAGCGACAGAGAGACGAGGCCAAGCTGGACGAGCGCTCCTCCCAACTTCGCAGCTCTCTCTCCTCCGCTCCACCTCGAACGCACCTCTCGCCTTCACCGACTCGCACCCATGGACAACCTCATGAAGTTCGGCCAGCAGGCGAGTCCCCCTCTAGCTCTCTCTGTCCCCCTCCCCTCGCCCCCACCTCGATGACGACGCACCCGCTCACGCCTCCCTCTCGCCCGTCGACAGGCCTACAAGCAGTACCAGGACTCGCAGGACAACCAGGGCAACAGCAACAACCAGCAGCAGCAGCAGCAGCAGTACGGTGACGACTCGAACTCGCCTTACCCTCAGGCCGGCCAGCAGCAGCAGCACGACTTTACCGGCGGCCGCCAGCATGCCGGCCAGGGCGACGGCGCCTTTGGCATCCAGGGCGGCTCGCAATTCAACTCGCACGACAACCGCCCTCCTCAGCAGAGCAGCGGTGCGTCCCCCTCTCCTCGCTCCGCACCCTCCCCCCACACGCACTCGAGCACCCTCGCTGACCTGCCGTACACACAGGCGGCTTCCTCAGCGCCCTCAACCAGGACCAAACGGTGCAGCAGGCGTCCAACCAGTCGAACGAGGACCAGGGTCTCTTTGCCTCGGCCCGTGCGTCCTCGTCCGCCCCTCTCGCTCTCGTTCGCGCGGTCGCAGCTCACCTCTTGCCCCACCAGTCTCGTTCCTCAACGGCCGTGACAACGACGACGACGTCGACGAGGAGCACGTCCAGAAGGCGCACCAGGAGGCGTACTCGTCGGGCCAGAGCAACATGAGCGCCAACTCGATGGGCGCGGCGGCCGCCATGCAGGCGCTCAAGAGCTTCACCTCGGGCTCGGGCGGCCAGCAGCAGCAGAGCAGTGGCGGCGGCATGCAGAGCAACCTCATCGCGATGGGTGCGTCCTCGGCGTCTCTCTCTCTCTCCCCCCATGTCGGTGTGCTCGACGCGAGGGTTCGGCTACTGACCGAGTCGCTCGCGCGCAGCCATGAGCGAGGCGACCAAGCTCTTCAACCAGAACGGCGGCGCGTCCAACGGCAACAAGCAGGACGTCGTCAACTCGGCTGCTCAGGTGCGTCCTCGTGCACCGCCTCCTCCTCTCCACGCCCGCTCTCGTGCGGCAAGGCTGACTCGCCGGCCGTCCTCCCCCTGTCCCACCCGCAGACCATGATGAAGCTCATGATCAAGGTACGCCGTGACTGTGTCTGTGTGTCTCGTCCTCGCGAGGCAGCGCCCTGACCCTCCTCGTCGCCGACTCGCAGAACAAGGTCAGCGGCATGACCGGCGGCGGCTCTGAGGGCGGCATGGGCTCGCTCTTCTGTGCGTCGGCGGTCCCACTCTCCGTCTCTCTCTCTCGGGCGTGTCCCACTGACCGAGGTGCCTTCCTTCCGCGCAGCGATGGCGCAGAAGTTCATGTGAGGGCGCCCGCAGCTTTTCAGAGCCCCGTCGTCGCCTGCCCGACCTTGATTGTCAATACCAGAGCCGTTGAGTGTCCCCCTTCTCCCTCGAGCAAGCGAGAGGCGTGACGAGGAGCGAGGTGGCAGGGTTCAACGTTCAAGGCTCGCGAGAGCGCCGCAGCAGCGACCCTTCTCTCGAGCAGTGCCTCTTGGACCGCACGCGACGTTGCAGATCCTCGACCCTGTCCCGCGCTCGAGATCCCGCTCAGCAGGCTGTGGAACGCCGCAGCTTGACCTTGCGCCCGCTCGTACCGGCCGTGTCTCGACACCGCCCCGGGTCGATGATGCGCACCCGAGCACTTTGCCCGGCTGCGCCAGGTTCGGCCTTGCCTCGCCTGCCGTCAAAAGCTTGGGCTGAGCCGCTGAGATCGCGCGTGGCTCTCGCGATTGGACAGGCACGGCACGGCACTGCACGCGCTGCGGGGCGAGGATGCGGTCAGTGCGCGCAGATCTCTACGTCGCGCTCGAGGGCTTTCACCGTGAAAGGCTGCCTGCCTCGTCGTGGGATCTTGCTGCGGCTGTGCAACTCGAGGGCCACTGCTCGGCCGTTGCGTCCTCTCTTTTCTCTTCGTACAGCACCCGCCGCGTTCGCCCCACCGTCCGCCAGCCCTCGACTCGGCGCTTCGACCCCTCCTCGCCCCCCACATCTCGCCGGCACTCTCCCGCACCGACTGTCCAGCTCTCGCTCGACATGCCTCACCGCCCACACCGCCCCCACCGCCCGCAAATCGCTCGCCGCCGGCATGGCGACCCCCCCGAGGGGACGAACCGCATCTGGCACGGCACCCGGTTCAACATCATCGACGCCTCGAAGGGGCCCAAGCACCTCGCCGCCAAGAACCACTTCGTCGCCATGGTCGGCGAGTACGTCGGCACCTGCCTGTTCATGATCTTTGCGCTCGGCGGCACCAAGTGCGTTCGGATCCCTCCTTCGTCGCGTCCCTCCTCTTCTCGCACCGTTCCCTGACCCTGTTGCCCCTTTGACAGCGTCGCCAACGTTCCTGACACGAGCATCACCGGCGACACGCAGGCCGGGCAGGACGGCACCGCTGCGTCGACGCCCAACACCTCGAACCGTGCGTCGGCCGTTCCCTCACCTTCTCCTGCCCAACTCGACTGACGCCTCGCCTCGCTCACACAGTCCTCTACATCGCCCTCTCGTTCGGCTTCTCCCTCGCCGTCTGCGCCTGGATCTTTTTCCGGTGCGATCGAGCCCGCCTCCTCCCCCTCAGCCAGGTCCAGTCGCTCACGGACTGCCTCCCTCGCTACAGCGTCTCGGGCGGCCTCTTCAACCCTGCCGTGTCCCTCGGCATGTTCCTCGTCGGCGTCCTGACGCCGCTGCGCGCCGTCCTCCTCACGATCTCGCAAATCCTCGGCGGCATCACCGGCTCGGCCATCATCCAGGCGCTTCTCCCCGGCACGCTCAACGTGCGCACGACGCTGATACCTGGCATGTCGGTGCGCCCAACTCCTCCTTCCTCTCGGTGGCTCGACTCGACTGGACGCCCAAGTCCCTGACCCTCCCTCCTCGTCGTCGACTCGCAGGTTGTGCGAGGGCTCTTCCTCGAGATGTTCCTGACGGCCATGCTCATGATCACCATCCTCCTCCTCGCCGCCGAGAAGACCAAGGTGCGTCCCTGCCCGCTCTTTGAGGATGCGCAAGTCGCGAACGACGACTGACCCGCTCGAGCCCCTCCTCCTCTTCTTCTTCAGGCCACCTTCCTCGCCCCGATCGGCATCGGCCTAGCGCTCTTCATCGCCGAGCTCCTTGGCGGTACCTTCACTGTCTCTCTCGCCATCTCTCGACCACCAAACCCTGACGTTGCCGTTGCTCGCAGTCTACTACACGGGCGGCTCGCTCAACCCGGCTCGGTCGTTCGGCCCGTCGGTCGTCCTGCACGACTTTGACACGTATCACTGGATCTACTGGCTCGTACGTCGTCCCTCCCTCTCTCCTCACATGCCCGGAGCGAGACACTGACGATTTCGCTTCGCTCGCAGGGTCCTGCCATGGGCGCGACGCTCGCCGCCGGCTTCTACAAGTTCATCAAGTGCGTCGTCTCTTCCTCTCTCCTCCCTCTGTCCTTCTCGACGGTGAGCTCACCACCGGACGTGCCCGCAGGTGGCTCGAGTTTGAGACGGTCCTCGGCCCCGAGGACGCCGAGAACCAGCCAGCATCGCAGCGCAAGCAGCAGCAGCTTGACCAAGCCGGCGGGCTCGGCGCCCCCTCGACGACCATGATGGGCGACAGCCCGACCGGCGCAGCTGTCGGCGGCGGCGCGGACAACGCGCTCGAGAAGGTCCCGACGCGGGAGAGCAACAGCGGCGGCATCCTCGCCGGCATGATGAAGGCGCAGGGTCCTGGTCTCGGCGACCTGCTCACAGACGGCGACGCGACGGCCGTCTATGCCCTGCCCGAGCCGACGGTCGGCGAGTACACGCACCGCCTCGACCGCATCGAGCAGCTCCTCGAGTCGCTCGTCGGTCGTCCCGCCGAGCGCGTCTCGTCGACCGAGACGGTCGTCGGCAGCAGCTCGGACGTCATCGCCACCGACTCGGCGATGGACGAGCACCGCTGGAAGAAGGAGAGCGACCGCTCGGCCGTCTGAGCGCACGATCCCCTTCTCACTCGCCGCTCCCTTCCTTCCCCCTCAATTCTCGCCTATCCTTCTTGTCGTATACTTTGTCGTTTGTGCATACCTTGCTCTCGCCATGTTCGCAAGCCGCACGACCGTCGAGAGCCGGCGAGAGCGTGAGCCAGAGCAGAGCTTCACTCTCTGGCGGTCGCTCGCCTCCCTCTTGCGCAGGTGCTTGGTACTCGCGCTTCCGCAGGTCTGGGCTCTGTTCGATACATGCATGCGTCCTGAGCAGGGACAATTGCGGCGACAGCTCTCGGTGCAGTAGAGCCGAGCGAGCGAGCGCGACTGGCCCTCTTGCTCTCTCTCGCTCTCGCTCGCTGGGTCGTTCTGCATGTCAGACCTGCGGGCAGCTTCTCTCACGTCGACGATCCTTGTAAATCGAACCGAGCTTGAGAAGCGGCTCGGCAGGTCGTCGCTCCAATGACGAGGAGGAGAGGAGCAGAGCGGCGAAAGCTCGCACGCCGACACGCCGCAGGTGCGTAGAGGGGCAGCGTAGAGTCACCCCTAGCGGTCCCAGACTCGGCTGCGGCAAGCAGAACGACCGCTCGCGCTCGGAGAGGAGCGGACGAGAGGCGGCGGCGCGGCGTCGCGGGCGCAGAGGAGGAAGCGGACGGCAGCGCTCCGAGCGAGCGGCTACCGCGGACGACAGCATCGAGGGAGGTCTATAGTGCATAGACAGCTGTGTCTGCATGGCTGCTCGAGGGAGGGGAGCGACTGAGAGCAGGTGGTCGAGGGGAAACTGATGAGAACGAGATGGCCGACCTCTCGCTCACACCACCGCCTGCTTGCTCGTGTGCACAGGCACACTGCCTCTCAGCATTCTGCTGCGCACACGAGCTCCCCGCCGCCCGTCCCACGCCGCCACTCGCCTTCACCCCTCGCCCTCTCACCGCGACTCGACCGACCCGTCAGCAGCCGTCGCCGACCGCACGACCGCCCGTCAGAAGACTGCCGCCGAGCACTGCCCCGTGGAACAGTCGCTCGGGCGCTGCGCATCAGCGTCCTGCCCGACGAGTCGGCCAGGTCCCCACTCCTTCGCCGGTCCGTCCTCATTCTTCACTCCTCGGCCCGGCTCTGCGCACCAGGAGCTGACTTGCCCCTTCACCGCAGCCACACGATCCCTTTCTGCGTCGCCCGACATTCGACGGCGGGGCACAACGTGCCACGAGCCCGCGTAGGCTGCTCGTTCGACCTCGAGCCGGCCCTGCGGACGACTCGGCAACCTCGAAAAAAGGACAGTCGGCTCGCACGCTTGCTCTGGAGACTTTCAGTCGCCTCTCGCGACCTGCCGACACACATCAGCCTCAGGCGACGGCCGCCTCGTGCACACCGGCCCTCCTTTGGTCCCTCGACTTGGCGGCTCGCCCTACTCGCGCACCTCGGCACGCTCTTTCGCCGTCGCCGACCGTTCGACCTCGACTCGACTCGCCTATATGCCCCTCGACATGCCGCCGAGCCGCCGTCCTGCCCTTCCGCCATGCGCCGGGTGGACGAGGACGAGCCGCGGCAAGGTCGTCCGGCATGCGCAGACGGGCTCGGCGCGTCTAGCTGCGGCCGGTCAAGGCTCGCGAGACGGACATGAACGTCGAGGACACTGTGCTCGAGGAACGAGGTCTCGGGTGCGACGACGGCGGCTTTATCGAGGGATCTGCTCGACGGGCGACGGTCAGGCGGCGCTTTGAGAAGTTGCGGCGGCGTTTCGGCGAGCTCTCGGTGACTGGAACGTGGTCTTTTCGCTGCATGCGGTGCGTCGTGCGTGCGAGAGCTCGACCGGGAGCGAGAGCGAGAGCGCGGTTCTTTCCGGCTGGCGATGCGACGAGGACGGCGAGCGAGAGCCGGACCTCGAGTGGTTGTTCTTCCTCCAGCTCGCCTTTGCCTTTCCTCCCTGCTGTACCTTTCCTCGCCATGCTCGCACGCTCTGTCAAGGTGCGCCCCTCTCTCTCGTTCAGCCTGCGAGCACGCGCGCGGTCACTGATCCTGGACCTCCTCGGGGAATCTCGAGCGTCGCAGGCTGCGGTCGCCCTCCCGACTCGGTCGTTTGCCAACCGGACCTTTACCTCGTACTCGGCCATCCTCGTGCGTCCCTGTCCTCTCTCGAGCCAGTCCCGGGGCGAGGGAGCCGGGCCGCGAGGTGGACTCGCTGCCCTCTCGCCGGCCGGCGGCTCCTCCCCCTCTCCCTCGACATCCTCGCGTCGAAGCTGACTGCGGCCACCTTGCACCTCCTCCCACTTCCTCTCGTACCTCGCCCACACCCGCACGCCCATGTCGCTCCGCCCCACGTTCCACCCCGGGCAGGACAAGTTCCGCGTCGAGGCCGACACCTTTGGCGACCTCCAGGTCCCCTCCGACAAGTACTATGGCGCCCAGACTCAGCGGTGAGCTCCTCTGTTCCTCCTCTCGCACCGTGGGCGAGCGCGCGCGCCGCAGCCGGACCCTCCCGGCTTCGCTCTCGAGGTGCCAGCATCCGGGACGGACGGCTCCCCCCTCCTCCTCGAGCGGCCGTGTGGGGAACAACCTCGCGCACCCTCTCGCAGGTCGCTCACTCTGCCTCTCGTCCCTGCCACAGCTCGCTCCAGAACTTCGACATCGGCGGGCCCTCGGAGCGCATGCCGCCCCCGCTCATCAAGGCCTTCGCCGTCCTCAAGCGCGCCGCCGCCGAGGTCAACATGACGTACGGCCTCGACTCCAAGGTCGGCGAGGCCATCAAGCAGGCTGCTGACGAGGTGCGCTCCCTCTGTTCCCCTCCTCGTCGCTGGGCCGGGAGAAAGAGCCTCGACTGACACACTTCACCCCCTCCGCCGTGCAGGTCATCTCGGGCAAGGTCGGCCAGGAGCACTTCCCGCTCGTCGTCTTCCAGACTGGCTCGGGCACCCAGACCAACATGAACGTCAACGAGGTGCGCCCCTATCCTCCCCCTCGCGCTCCTCGATCGAGCGCACGACCTGACCCTCGCCCCCTCGCCTCCTCGCGCAGGTCATCTCGAACCGCGCCATCGAGATTCTCGGCGGCGAGCTCGGCTCGAAGAAGCCCGTGCACCCGAACGACCACGTCAACATGTCGCAGTCGTCGAACGACACGTTCCCGACGGCCATGCACGTCTCGGCCGTCGTCGAGATCTCGAACTCGCTCATCCCGGCGCTCGAGGAGCTCAAGGGCGCGCTGTACGCCAAGCAGCAGGAGTTTGAGAAGATCATCAAGATCGGCCGCACCCACCTCCAGGACGCGACGCCGCTCACGCTCGGTCAGGAGTTCTCGGGCTACGTCCAGCAGCTCGATAACTCGGTCGCGCGCATCAAGGACGTCCTCCCGCGCCTGTCCAAGCTCGCCCAGGGCGGCACGGCTGTCGGCACCGGCCTCAACACGCGCAAGGGCTTTGACGTCGCCGTCGCGGCCAAGATTGCCGAGATCACGGGCCTGCCGTTCGAGACGGCGCCCAACAAGTTCGAGGCGCTCGCCGCGCACGACGCCGTCGTCGAGGCGTCGGGCGCGCTCAACACGGTCGCGTGCAGCCTCAACAAGATCGCCAACGACATCCGGTACCTCGGGTCGGGCCCGCGCTGCGGCCTCGGCGAGCTGTCGCTCCCGGAGAACGAGCCTGGCTCGTCCATCATGCCGGGCAAGGTCAACCCGACCCAGTGCGAGGCGCTCACCATGGTCGCCGCCCAGGTCATCGGCAACAACATGGCCATCTCGATGGCGGGCGCGCAGGGCCAGTTCGAGGTGCGCCCCGTCTCTCTCTCACTCTCTCTCTCTCCCTCTCGCGGCGGCACGGACCTGACTCTCGCTCTCCCGTTCCACCCGCCTCGCAGCTCAACGTCTTCAAGCCGGTCATGATCAAGAACCTGCTCCAGTCGATCCGCCTGCTCGCCGACGGCTCGCGGTCGTTCACCAAGAACTGCGTCGTCGGCATCGTCGCCAACGAGGACCGCATCTCGAAGCTCCTCAACGAGTCGCTCATGCTCGTCACGTGCCTCAACTCGCGCATCGGGTACGACAACGCGGCCAAGTGCGCCAAGAAGGCGCACAAGGAGGGCACGACGCTCAAGGAGGCGACGCTCGCCCTCGGCCTCCTCGAGTCGGACGAGTTCGACCGCCTCGTGCGCCCGGAGCTCATGCTCGGCCCCTCGGACAAGTAGACGCTCCCGCCGTCCTCTAGACTCTCTTCTGCCACCTCCCTCCCCACCCGCGTCTCGTATTCTCTCTCCCCTCGCAGTGCCACAAGGAAAAGCAGTTGGACCTCTCTCTCTCGCGCCTCGTCTCTTGAGCTCGCCTGCGCCCTCGTCGTTCGAGAGCGGTCGTGCAGAGAGTTGAGCGCGTTTGGCGAGCGAGCGGTTCGAGGAGAGGCGGCGTCGCACTGTCGCTCGGCGGTCGGCGGGCGTGAGCAGGTCAAGGACGCGCTCGTCGAGGGTGTGAACGAGTCGCACGACCCGTGGGTGACCCGGCTGGCCCCCCGCAGAGCAAGCTTGCGGCTCTCCCACTCTTTTGGGCGACGGTCGCCTCGCTCGCGACTCTCCCTCCCCACCGTCCCTCTCGTTCGCTCGCTCTCGCTCTTGGTGCCGTGGTCTGCCTGGTGCGTGCCGTCGATCACCTCTCTCTACCGCGCCGAGCTGACTGCTGCCCCGCCCCATGCGCGCAAACAGGTTCGCCAACCCCATCTGCCTCGCCTCCCCCGACGCCGACCTCGTCCCTTCCCCGATGGAGGCCCCTCGCTTCGCCTTCGTGACGCTGTGCACCAGCGACGCGTACCTCCCCGGTGCCCTCGTCACGCTCCACTCGGTCCTCGATGTCGAGCCGGCGAGCCCGCTCGAGCGCGAGTGGACCACGGTCGCCCTCACGACCCCGGCCACGGTCGCCCACTCGACCGTGCAGGCCCTCACAAAGGCGTTCGACGTCGTCATTGGCGTCGAGAGCATCGTCACCCAGAGCTGGGAAGAGCTCAAGCTCCTCGGTGCGTCCCTCGTCGCTCTGTCTCTCTCAACCCTCCCCCCTCCCCCTCCCCCCTTGGCTCGCCTGCCCCAGACCCCGGCCGCTCCCCCGCGGCTCATCTTCCCGCCCATCTCGATCGATTGCTTCGTCCTCACCTCGCTCGACACGCTGGTCGTGTCGAGCACGCCCGTCCTCGAGCAGCAACAGAGCACTGACTTTCGTCCTTCCTCCCCTCGTCGCAGGCCGTCGCGACCTCGCAGCCACCCTCACCAAGCTGCACCTGTTCCGCCTCACCCAGTTCGACAAGGTCATCTTCCTCGACGCCGACACGCTCGTCGTCCGCCCCATCTCGCACCTGTTCCACCTCCCGCACCAGTTCGCCGCCGCGCCCGACCAGGGATGGCCCGACGCGTTCAACTCGGGCGTCCTCGTCGCGACCCCGGCCCTCGACACGTTCGACGCCCTCATGGACATGATGCGCTCGCGCGGCACGTGGGACGGCGGCGACCAGGGCCTCCTCAACGACTTCTTCCCCGACTGGCACCGGCTCAGCTTCACGTTCAACGTGACGCCGTCCGCCTACTACACGTCCGTCCTCTCTCTCTCTCGTTCTGCCCCTCCCTCGCATCCTGACCTTCTCGTCCACCTGCAGCTACGCGCCGGCGTACAAGCGCCACGGCCAAGACGTCTCGGTCCTTCATTTCATCGGCGCCGACAAGCCGTGGTACCGCGGCTCGCGCAAGACGTACGACCCCGAGGCGGCGAGCAAGGACTACTACGGGCTCGTCGGGCAATGGTTCGACGTGTTCGAGCGCCACTACGGCACCGTGTCGACGTGGGACGTCGCCGGCCGCGTCGTCGTCCCGCCCAAGAGCTTCTTGCGCAAGGACTTCTCGAGCCTGCCCCTCCTCCCGGCCTACTCGAAGCCGTCGCTCTCGTCGCCTCGCGACGAGCGCTCGTCCGCCGCCTCGTCGTCGGCGTCGACCCCGACCATCTCGGTCAAGGCGCCCTCGCCGTCCCGGCCTGTCGCCATCTCGGGCTCGACGCGCCAGCCCTCGCCGCCGCACCTCACGTGGGACCCGGCGCGCTCGTCGCCGCCGCGTGACGGCCCGCTCCAGATGCGCGACGCGATCCCGACGACGGCCAACATGTGGGACGACGGCGTCCCTCGCTCGCAGCAGCGCGCCCGCTTCGAGCCGCCGTCGGCCTATCCGCCGCCGCCGAGCGAGACGCACGACTGGTACAAGGACGTCATGCGCTCCAAGCCCGACCCGTCCCTCATCCGCCCCGTCTTCCCCTGGGAGCAACCCGCGCCGACCTCGTCCTCGTCGTCGTCGTCGGCCCCGGTCGCGCCTCCTGCGCCGACGCGCACCTTCTCGGACGAGCCTCCCGCGACCGGCGCGCCCTCGCTCCGGTTCGCCGGCGGCAGCAACTTCAGCAACGCCTGGGACACGGTCCCCGGCATCACGCGCTACGCGCAGCAGCTCGCCAAGCGCCATGTGCGCCGGCCGAGCGGCGGGCGCAGCACGAGCTCGGGCGCGCCGACGGCGAGCGCCGGCGGGTCGAGCGCGAGCACGCGCGGGCACGCGTCGGCCGAGGGCAGCTCGACGCCGCACGGCTCGAGGCCGGCCCACAGGAGGAGCAGGAGCGCGAGCACCGTGACGGCGCCTCGTGCGGGCGAGGCGGGTCACGCCCAGGGGCAGGCGGCGGTCGGCGTCGAGGGCGGCAGGAGCGCCGGCGCGCTGTACACCAAGGACGGCGACGCGAGCTCGCGCGACGGCGACGACGAGGACGAGGACGACGCCGAGGTGTCGACCTCGTCGGCGGCGACCGGTGGCGACGCCGAGGACAACGACGCCGAGGTCGACAGCGACGAGGACATCGAGGGCATCGACCGCATCACGATCAAGTTCCGCCAGGCGCTCCAGGCCGGCGAGCTCGACCCGACCAACCTGCAGCGCGGCAAGAAGAGCGGGTCGCCGAGCTCGAACGAGGGCGGCAACGACGGCGCCGACACGCCGTCGTTCTACGCCCTGCCGCCCAAGAGCCCTCGCGACGCGCCCATGGTGCCCTCGTCGCCGCAGAAGACGCGCCGCGACTCGCGCTACGTCCCGACGTCGCCTCGTCAGCCTCGTTCGCCGCAGGCCGGCCTCGCGAGCAACCCGCTCCCCTTCCTCGGCGCCCCCGTCGCCTCATCGTCGTCGGCGGCGTCGTCGGCCGCCGCCACGGCCGCCGAGCTCGCCAACCGGCCCGCGCTCCGCCTCCAGCTCCCGACTACGCCTGGCGGCTCGGCGCTCTCGCCCCGTCTCGCGGCGCAGGCGCTGCGCAACTCAACCGCCGCGCGCCTGACGGCGACCGGGTCCGGCAGCGGCGACGGCCCGCCGGTCGTGCGCGCGACGAGGGTCTTCAGCCCCGAGACCGACACGGGCGTCGTCAAGCAGCAGGGCCTCGCCGCGCTGCAGCGGTTTGTCGAGAACATGGAGAGCATGCAGCAGCAGCAGCACCAGGGCCACTACCAGGGCTGAGCGCCACCGTCGTCGTCGGCGTCGTCGTCGGCGCCACCAAAAGGTCTTCCTCATCCCTCCTCCCTCTCTCTCTCCTTTCGTGTTTCGTCCCTCCTCTTTCACCCCTAGTCACCCCCTTCTCGCGCATTCGCTTTCAGTCGTCTCTCTGTCTCCTTCGTCGTGCCCCTTCTCCGCCATACAGGTCTCGTCTCTCGATACAGCTCTCTCCCTCTCTAGGCCCCCTCTCCCTCTCTCTCTCTCTCTCTCTCTGTCACTCGCACGCTCGGCAGCTCTAGCACTTGCATGCAACTCGTACTTCTCGGTCTACTCGCACTCCTCGTCTGTCGCAGAGAGCCTGAACCACACGGAGAGAGAGAGAGAGTGGGCGGCGACGAGGTGCGGCGGGATGGCGGCTGGGCCTGAGGATCGTGTCGAGAGCTGCTGCGCCGAGCTTGATGGACGATGAAGCGGTCCTTGACGGCATCTCGAGGCGAGATGGGGCCGTGCGGCGGAAGAAGACCTGCTGGCGCCGCGCCTCGACCGGCGCGCCGCGAACGGTCTGCGCAAGTTGCGCAAAAGGTCGGGATGAGGAAAGTCGCAAAGACGTCAGGCGTGGCGGAAGATCTGGGCGCGAGAAAGAGTGTGAGTCCGCTGGGGAGCGAAAGAGGAGGGAAAAGGAGAGTGAGAGAAAGAGACGCACCTTGAGCCCCCACCAGTTGACGATGACGAAGCACACGGTAACGGGCACGAGGAGCACAACGAGGTACTTGTAGTGCGTGTCGTGCACGAGCGCGTCGAGAACCTGCACAGAGTTGGCTGTTAGTCCAAGAATGCGCAGGAGAGGAGAGGAGGAGAGGGAGGGAGCGCACCGTGATCCCGGTCGGGCCGCACAGAGGACCGACGAGCATGCTCCACAGGCCGAGAGCGAAACACGACGCCGACGCGACCACGAGCGCGACCCCGCAACGCAGCATGGCCGCTCCGTCGTCGTCGTCCGCCGCGACTGATGAACTCTGAGCCTCGCGCTCCTGGCCCTTGCCGCTGTACGACAGCCCTCCAGACTGCTTCATACCCTCCCTGGTCCTCCTGCGCGAGACCCTGTTGTCCACCGAGGCCGTGTCGAGCTCGTCGGGTTGAGGAGAGTCGGAGGCGGGGTCGACGACGAGGTTGGGAGTCGAGGCGGGCGCAGGCGGACGCGCAGCTGCAGAGCGAGTTCGAGCGACCATTCGGCTCAATCTCGAGCGGACCTTCTCGCTGCGAGGCTCAGATGCGCGAGCGCCAGAGCGAGGCTCAGATGCGCGAGCAACTCGCTGCAGCTCTCGATCTCTCGACGGGCTCCTTCTTCGAGCGCGAGAGAGACTGGCATAATAGTGGCACGACAAGGTACGAGAGGGGCTGCTACGGACGGAGAGGGAGAGCGGAACATTGCGACGAGAGAGGACGAGAGATTAGGGAGGGGTATCGGGCGAACTGGCTCAGGCGTCGCGACCGCCACTGTGAACAGGAGATACGCATCCTCAGTACCATGTCCGAGAGAAGGAGAGAGAGGAAGAGGGAAGACGGACCGCTTCGAGACCTTGTGGAAGATGCGGAACAGGGAAATGACGAGGACGACGATGTAGAAGACGACGCTGCACGTGATGAACGTGACCTGGGCGATCTGCTGGGCGCATATCGAGTCGGCGAGCGACCCTTCGACGTTGGCCGTGCCCGTCGCGGCCGGCGCGTCGTTGTAGCGGGCGTAGGGCGTGTACGCCGTGCACTGGAGCGACGACGTGAACAGGTCGTCGAACGCGAGCGACAGGATGGCCGAGTACAGGCAGATGAAGATGAGCTCGACGAGGGTAAAGATCATCTTGGTCTTGACCTCCCACAGCCCGATCGGCAGGCCAAAGTACTCGATCTGCGAGGAGATGGACGAGTTAGTCGCTGCCTCTCGCTCGAAAGGAGGCAGAGAGATGCACGCACGTAGAGCGTGACGAAGATGTGGACGATGGCGAAAGGTGCGACGACGATGGCGAACAGGGTCGAGGTCCCGATGACGCCGCGTACGTTGGCCTGCACCTCCTGGACGCGAATGTGCGCCGCGAGGCCGAGCGTGCAGCAGATGAGGACGAGGTTGATGGTGCGGATGAAGAGGGGCGAGAACGGGTTCTGCAGGATAAAGTCCTCGAATCGCGACCGCTTGGACTGCTGCGCGGCCGCGTTCTGCGACAGGTCGAACGGGTCCTGGTAGTTCTGCGCCTGGCCCTCGCGGCGGAACGGCGTCCAAGGTGTCGACCAGCCGGGTGTCTGCGAGTGGAGGAACAAAGGAGGGTCAGTGAGAGTCGCACGACGAGGAGAGAGAGAGAAACAGAGAGAGGGAGCGCACCGTCGTCTGGTTGATCGAGAAGACGTTGGGCGGTGCGAGCTTGAGCGACATGTTCTGCCGCATCTTGCGGTGGTACTCCTGCTTCTCGACGTCGCGGTTCGGCTCGGGGCGACTGCTCCGCCGGCTGAGCCTGCTCAACCGCGACCGGATCGACCTCAGGCTCTGCCCGTCGTCGTCGCCCGCCGCGCCGCCTGCCCCACCGTCCCGGTCGTAGTCGCGCATCTTGCCCTTCTCGTTCGAGTCGGTGCGGCGAGTGTAGCCGTGCACGCGATCGAGGTACTTGCCCGTGAGCGTGAACGTCCACCACCCTTTGTCGGCCGCGGCCGAGGCCGACGAGTTGCCCTGGCGGTGCAGGGCCGAGGCCGAGTGGGCCTGCGGTGGGGGCGCGATGCCGCCCATGTCGATGGCCTCGTGGGCCGGCGAGGAAGGGCGAGACGAGGACGAGGAAGGGCGCTGGATGAGCGGGGTCGAGGGGGAGCCGCCATCGCTCGGTCTGGCGGTCGAGGGCGGCGACGAGTCGGACGGCTCGCGGATGAGGGGCACTGAGGGCGAGTTGGAGTTGCTCGGGCGGGTCGAGGCCGGGTTGGAGCGGGTGCCATCGCTGCGGTTCACTGACGACAGGCGACGGGCGACACCAGAAGGGCGAGAGGGGACCGGCGGGTCGTTGTCGTCGTCCGAGAGCTCATCGGGTGGCAGGTTGCGGGCCCATGCTGCACGAAGGGGCGGGCGAGTCAGCTCGCGAGGCCCGAGGGATCGACCTGATGAGAGGAGGAGGAGCGGGGGACTTACACGGCGTGGTGACGACTATGCGCTGGCCGGTCGGGTAAATGTAACGCGAGGCAGAGTCTGACGAGCTCATGCCGAGCTGCCGCACGCTCAGCAAGGGGGCGAGGGCGACGTCGAGCAGCAGCGACCGACGAAGCTGGGCAGCTCAGAGGCGCCTCGGCCAACACAGCGTCTCTCGCATCGTCTCGCTCGGCTTGCAGTGCAGCGCAGACAGGGCAACATCGAGCGCATCACGAGTGCACAGCCGCAGCGAGAAAAAAGTAGAGAGCAAGGACGCAACCTCTCGCTCCTCCTCCTCGAACACGCAGACCTCGTCGACGTCGGCGACAGCGACAAGACTGCGTCGAAAACATCTTCGAGGAGGCAAAGAAAGTCATGCTCGAGCCCACCGCCGTCGCCCCTCGGTCCAACTTGGCCACCGCTCGTCCCCCTCCTCCTCGCTCTCGCTCACCCGTTCAGCCCGTCGCCCATCGTGATGAGCGTGTCGAACAGGTTCAGCGCCGGGTTGACGCCGCTCCCAAAGTCGTCGCCGAGCCCGCCCGTCGGTCCCGCCGCCGCACCGCCGCTGCCCCACAGGCTCTGGAAGAGCAAGTCCTGCTCGACGCCGACGGCGAGGCTCGTCGAGACCGGGTCCCACGCCCAGGCGTCGGTCGCGCCGCCGTCGCCGGGACCACCGCCGCCGCCACCGGGGATGTCGCCGAGCTTGAAGCCGCCAAAGTCGGCCGTCGGCTCGCCGATCGACGACGAGAGCCACGGCGGCGGAGGAAGGGCGTGCGCGCCGGGAGGGTACGGCGCGCCGGTGGCGGGCGACGCGTGGTACGGCGCCGACGATGCAGGGTAGTGACCGTGACCGTTGGGCCCGTGCGAGGCAGCGGCGGCGGCCCCAGGCGGTGCCGGGCTGTACAGGCCCGCGCTCGCGCCTGCGGGAGGGAGCGGGTGAAAGCCCGTGTGCGGCGTGTTGTTGGTCGACGGCGGCATCGACGGGCCGGCTGACGGCGTCGGGGCGAGTGACGGGTCGGGCTGTGCGGCCGAGGAGGAAGTGGACGCAGGGTGGGCGGCAGGGTAGGCGTCGGGGTGGGGCGACTGGGCGGGCGTCGCGGCGGGCTCGCCATTCTCGCCCTTGACGTGCTCGCCGGCGCGTACGCCGAAGCGCGACAGGAGCGTCGGCTTGCACTGCGCCTGGAGCCGGCGCAGGAGGGCCGCAAAGCCGCGGGCGATGTGCTGGCGGTCGACGGCGTTGGCGTGCAGGACCGAGATCGTCTGGTCGAGGAGGTCGAGCACCTTGGACTGGCCGTGCTCGACGACGCCGACGGCGAGCGCCTTGAAGAGGAACGTGGCGGCGAACAGGATGCGCTGGAAGATGCGCGACGGGGCGAGGCGCAGGTACCCTTTTGGCGCGAGGTAGTAGACCGTGCGGTCGAGGATCGACTGGGCCGCGGCGAGCGCGTCGAGGACCCACTGCCCTTCTTGCAGGTTGAGGAGCGACGGCGAGACGAACCACAGGTCTTGCGCCTGCGTCGAGAGGGGACGAGGGTCAGTACGAGCTCGACGACAGGCTCGAGCGCACGAGGAGAGTGAGAGAAAGGGAGGGACGCACCTTGACGGCACGACGAAGACGTTCCTGGAGAGCGCGCAAGGCGATGGCGTTGCCGTAGAGCCGCAGGTAGTCGAACTCGATCTTGAGAAACGTCGACTCGATGCTGCCTTGCTCTGCGACGACGTGGCGAAGGACGAGAAGAGTCAGTGCGTGGACGTCACGCAGGCCGCACCGTCCACCTCGCTGTCGGCGAGGAGGCAGGAAGGAGAGAGACGTCGCGACGCACGAAGGACCCTGCGCGACTTGAGGAGCATCATCTGCAACTCGTGGTCGAGCGACCGGATGAAGCTCTCCCAGTGGCCCGTGCGCAACATCGACCGCGTGATCTCCTTGTCCGGGTACAGGCGCTCCTGGATCGTGCCCATGAGCGCCGCGATGAGCCCTTGCGGGAGCGAGCGCTCGGCCCACACCTCGTTGGCGCCCTCGCGACGCACGCCCTGGCTCATGTGCGACGTGACCTGCTCCCACCATGATGACGACATGTCTGCGGTCGAGGGACGAGGTGCGGCGAGGCAAGTCAGGACGGCGAATGGCGAGGAGAGGGAGCGAAGGCGGGACGCACAGGCTTGGACGACCGTGTTGCGGCCGAGGCGGACCGAGACGTGTCGGTCGGCGTTGTAGCAGTCTGCGGGGCACGTCTCATGCGTCAGGAGCCCTGTGCGGGACCGTAAAGGGAAAGAGAGGGAGAGGAGGGGACGCACAGATCCACGTGCGCAGACAACGCTCCTCCTGCCAGGTGACGGGCCCTCGGACGCTGCCCGCCGCGAAAAAGTACGTGTTGTGGATGCCGAGTTCTTGGGCGAGTCGCACGGCGCACCCGATGAAGCTCCAGCTCATGCTGCGGGTCGAGGGCGAGACGAGGTCAGTCGGCCGATTTTGAGAAGGTCCCGACGAGGGAAAAGAGGCGACGCACCCGTCGTACTGCGCACTCGAGCGCAGCAGCGCCTCGGCGTCCTCGACGCTGTCGGTGCTCTCCTCGCCGTCGCCGCTGTCGGCCCCGTCCGCGCCGCCTCCCCACCCACGCTTCCTCTTGCCGAGCCGACTCGTCGTCCCCCTCCCGTGCGCGCTCCTGCCGTCCGTGATGGGCGGCCACTCGGTGAGGAGCAGGAGCGCCTCGACGCTCGAGATGTGGCGCAGCTCGCCCGAGCCGTCGAGGAGGCCGATGAGCTCGTCGCGGATGTAGTCGGCGACGCTCGAGTGGATGGCGCGGGCGCGAGGCGCGCTCGGGAGGGACGAGTAGCGCGCCGAGATGGTGATCATCGACGCGAGGAGGAGGGACTCGCGCGAGGTGAGGAGAGGGAGATGCGGGGCGGTGAAGATGCGCGGCGAGAGGATCGGGTACAGCGGCGCCATGTGCTGTTCGAAGCTGCGGACGCACGAGCTCGTCAGTGGCTCACTCAAGAGTAGAGAGAGAGAGAGAGAAGACAGTGGGACGCACAAGGAGAGGAGCGCCACGGCCTCGGCGACCGTCACCATGCCCTCCTTGACCGGGACCCACCTCTCCCACCCGGCCTCGACCGGTCGGTCGGAGCCCTCTCCTCCCTCGCCCTCGACCGCCTTCTCCTTCCCCTTGTCCTTGCTGCCCGTCCTCGCACCCGCTGCGCCCGTTCCCGCCCCGGCACTCGCCCCGCTGAGCGCCCTCTCGCGCGAGCTGCCCCTCCTCTTGAGCCCGCCGGCGCCCTCGGTGCCCGCCGCGCTCGCCGCCCTCGAGTCTGCCGCCGCCGACGCGCCTGCATCGCCCGAGGCCGACAGGGCCCGCAGCGACGAAGCCGTCGCGAGGAGGCGCAGGGCGTCGGACGGGTTGTGCAGCGTCGACGAGAGGAGCACGTTGCCGTCCTGCTGGCCCGACCCGACGAGCGAGTTGCGCCGACTTGGCGTCGCGGTCGCCATGTCCTCGTCCTCGTCGGCGTCGTGGTGGTGGCGGTCGTGCCCGTCGTCGTCGTCCGACTCGAGCGACGCGGCCGAGTGCGTTGTCGGGTGCGCGAGCGACGACGAGTCGCCGAGGTTGGGCGGCGGCGCGCCGTTGGACGACAGGTGACGCAGGTGCGGGCGGTTCGGGTCGTACCCGCCGGGCGTGGGCGGTCCCGCAGGCGGGCCGTACAGGTGGTGGTAGCTCGAGCCGGCGCTCGGCGGCGTCGGCCCGCTCGAGGGACCGCCGCCCATCGCGGACGGGCCCGGGTACGGCTGGTGCGAGGTCGACGGCGCGACACTCCACGCGGCGGCGTGCGGCGGCGGCGGCGGGCCGTAGCCGTGCGCGTGCCCGGGCATCTCGCCGCCGGCAGGCGAGACGGACGGCGACGTCTGCTGCTGCCCTGCTCGGACGTGGTGAGGCGGGCCGGCCGTGTACGGCGCTCCAGGCTGCTCGGCCGGCGGGTCGAGGTACGTTTTGGCGTTGGCGCGGGCGGTGAAGACGCACTCGCGCGACTCGCGGCGGCAGCGACGGCAGGGCGGGTCGGACGGGGCATCGGGGTCGCCTGCGTCGAGGAGCGGGTCAGCGCAGGTCTCGGGATTGGGGGGAGAGGGAAGAGGAGAGCGCACCGAGGTCGCACTTGAGCTTGCGCTGCAGGGAGGAGGGCCGAGGTTTGGGTGAGCGGCCAGGTGGGGCAGGAAGGGCCCGATCTCGACGACGGCGAGGCGGGCTCGTTCGGGGCGGGAGAGGGGAGAGAGGGGACGTACTGCTCGACAGGGCTGGCAGGCGCGATAGGTGCGCTTTGCGCGAGGTGGTTTGTGCGACGCCGTGGACGACTCGGCCGGGGGAGGAGGCTCGGCGGGCGGGTTGTGCTCCATGGCGGTGGTCGAGGAGGCGGGCTGCAGCTGATTGTGCTGGGCTTGGTGGCGATACGGGCTGGGCTCAGGGCGGGGCGCACGAGCTGCTCGGGGTTTGGCTCCCCCTCGGCAAAGGCCGGTAGCTGCTCGAGGCTTCAGCGCCGTTGGTTGAGGATGAGGCGGCGGGACTGGCGCGAGTCGACGCTTCTGAGTCGAGACGAGCTGCGAAAGCCGCGTCGGAAGGGTGACAGGAGACGGTGAGAGTCGACCCCACCTCGAAGATGAGGAGAGCTGATGAGGCGAGGGCGCGCCCTCTCCTCTCGTTTGGATGAGCAGCAGAGGGTGGCAGGCTTTTAACACTCTTGAGCACCTCTCGCCCGGTCCAGCGCGCTCACAGAGATGCGACGAGGCCGACTTCTCGCTCGTCGCCTCGTCCGGGCTCGCCTCTGTTGCTTCCCCGCCTCACTCGCTCTTCACTACTCGCTCTGTCGACCTCGAACATGGCCTCGGAGGCTTCTACGAGTACTCAGGTCCGTCCTCTCACTGCCCGCGTCGCACCCCTCGACCTACAGCCGGCTCTGACACCCTCACTTCAGCAGCCCGTCCAGTCGGCTCAGCCGTCGATGCAGCCGGCCAAGCTCCTCACGCTCCCCGTCGAGCTCCTCGACATAATCTTCTGGATGGCCTATCCGTGGCGGTACATGTCGGGCCCCATCTGCCGCGACCTGTTGCGCTACTGGGACCAGCGACGCCGCCGGTCCTTCCGGCGCGTCCAGATCGGCAACCTCGCCAAGCTGTCGAGCTTCCACCGCAGCTACGCCATCCGCACGTCGATCTGCGGCGCATTCGAGTCGTTCACGGTCGCGCCCGGCAAAGACCAGCCTGCCGACGTCGTGTTCGACCTCGCCGCCGGCCTTCCTCCGGCCCTCGTCTCGTTCATGCCGTCGTTGCAGCGCCTCGAGCTTCACGGCAGTCGGGTCGTCGGCGACTTTCTCGAGCAGGCGGCCGCTGCCCCGGCGCCCATCCTGCCGGTCCTGTCGGACGTCACCCTCGTCGCCAACCTCGTCGGCCAGTCGGACCCGTACCACCCGGCGCTCCTCTGCGGCCTCGGCGCCCTCGCCCGCCTCCACAAGCTCCACCTCGACCTCGATGTCGCAGACGGCAATCTCGGCCAGATCGAGCAGCACGTCCCGTACTCGTGCGCCGCGCTGCGCGAGCTCACGCTCGTCCACTGCAAGTCGAGCCTGGGCGCTAACGACTTTATCGAGCGGTGCACTCAGCTTGCCGACCTCACCATCTCGAGCCGCGACACAGCGCCCGTCAGCACGCGCTTCCTGTCGGCCGTCGGCAAACTCGGCACGGTCACGCGCATCCACCTGTCGTCGAGCTCGCAGGGACGCAGCTGGAAGCTGCTCAAGTCGCTCAAGACCCTGTCGGAGCTCAAGACGCTCATCCTCGGCGCCGGCTGTGTGTGCGACGACGCCGCCTCGTTCGACATTCTGCGCCTGCTCCCGATCACCCGCCTCGAGTTCCAGCTCGGCACGGTCGTCTCGGCGTCGCGCCTCCTCAAGCTCATCGACGGCGTCGACAAGCACCCGTACCTCGAGTCGCTCGTGCTCGACCAGGTGCACGCGTCGCTCGGCGGCATCGACGACCTGTCGCGGCGGTACGAGCAGGACCTCATCGAGGAGTGGCTCTACAACGAGCGGTGGACGTTCCCGGAGTGGACAACGACCTTCTCGCGCAACTTCGTCGTTCGGCTCATCAATACGGCGAGGACGAGCGGCGTCACGCTCTCGGGCGGTGCCGTCGAGGCCGTCGAGATCGAGACCCAGATCGCGATCCGCCGGTACGAGGTGGAGGAGTACTTGGAACGCGGTGGATGGACCGGCAGCGACAGCAGCGACGACAGCGGTTGGTGACGAGGTGGCGGCAAGCATGCGGGACGGCGGGGTGTCCAGGGTCGGGGCCGAGCGCTTGAGGAGGAGGAGGTCGTTCCGCAGGACTGGGCTTGTAGTGCAGAACTGGTACCGGCTGCAACGCTTGCAGTTTCCCTCGAAGCCGTCGCACACACCAGAGAGTCAAGCTCGTCCTGTTACAGGAGTCCCGTCGTCGGCTCAGGCTCGAGGACGAGAGGTAGACGCCGTCGAGCCGCCGAAGCACGCTTTCCTGCTCGCTCTCTATCATTCTCGGCTCTCGAGACGACGTCCTATGCGCATAAGCGATCAAGTAACGAGACGTTGAGTTGCAGGAGAGCCGGGACCAAGGACGACTGGAGGGATTCGAGGACGAGATTGGACAGGACGGAGGCGAGTGCGAGAATTGCCAGCCTGTGTGACTTACTCAGTCAGTCATACGTCACTCAGTGGCTCTTGAGGGCTCTGAGTGAGAAGGAGGGGGCGAGAAAGAGGACGAGAGACGCACCTGGCGGTGCCACGTCAGCAGCGTCGGCCGCTCGCCCAGTCGTCCTCCCACGCCTGCTTGTTGAGGCGGTAGTGCCTCGCTGCGCCGTAGCTGAGCTGGTGGGTCGGCGTTGTGCCGAGCGAGCGCAGCATAGGCAAGTCGACCTGTCGCGAGGAAATGAGCGTTTGAGAAGGTCAGGAACGAGGTCGGGCAGGGTGACGGCGAAAGAAGAGGACGCACAGGAATGACAGGGTTTCCAGGTCCTGGAGGCCCGCCGTACGGCGGTTCGAGTTGTTGCGGACGCGCGCTCGAGCCGGCCGAGCCCTCGTTCGGGTTGTCGAGCCAGCGGCCCGTGCGCTCGTCCCAGTGACGCTCGAGGCCGTGTTCCGACGCAAGCCATGCCCGCATGACCCAAAGCGGCGGCTGCAAGACAGGCTGACCAGGTCAGGGCGCTTGTCGAGAGAGAGGGGGAGAGAGTCGAGGGAGAGAGGGACGCGCCATTTCGCCAATGTCCTTGACCTCGCCTCGCTGCATCTTGGCGTTGAACCAGACCAAGCCCTTGACAAACAGAGGGCGGTTGGCTCCGACCCGCTCCCAGTCCTTGGTGAGAGCGCCGACCGTCTTCGTGCGCCAGTTGTCGAGAGTGTGGCGCCCAGGGATGACGTTGCTGTGGGTCGCCGCGTTCCTCGTCTTGATGAGCCGAAGCAGGACGGTGAGGCCGTTTTGCGTGGGGGTGAGCTTGACGGTCAACGGGAGCTCAACATCGTCGATGCTCGTCATGGTGGGTCGAGAGTTGCAGGAAGCGAAAGAGAGGAACGGGCTCTCGCTGCTCGAGCCAGCGGCGACGGAAAGTCCGCGCGCTAGTTACGGCGCGGACATTCCGAGAGCTCGCCGAGTCGATCGAAACCGGCAACAGGAGGCAGCACGGTCGTGCGGACCGGCTTCGCCGAGGAGCGGACCCGAGTCGACCTTCTCAAGTTGAGTGCGACGCGCTCGTGGGGGAGGCGAGCCACCGCCAGCTCTCGAGACAGCACAAGGACAGATCGTTCGACTCTCACTCGAAACGCTTCTGATGCGGCGCAGAGAAGAAGAGGCAAAAGAAAGCGGACAAGTACGATTGCAGGAGCTCGATTTCTCGCCGAGGAGGACAACTGGCGCCTGCCACCTCGCACATCTGCGGGACGACGCGCATGTCAGGACTGTCGACTCGAGTAGACGGTACGAGGACTGTGGGCGCACCTCAACAGCACCCAGGCCGCGCAGGCTGGACCTCCGGAGCTTTGGCCTTCTCGGCTCCCTCGCTCGCCGACAACGACTGCACCGCCGCCCTCGCTGCAGCCTGCAGGTAGAGACGCCGTGTCAGTTCACTGTTGGAGGAAAGGGGAGGGAAGAGAGGCGAAAGAGGAGAGAGAAGGACGCACCGTGAGCCTCATCCAGTGCTGCCCCTCGGCCTCCGACTCGCCCGTCTCGACGATGCCCGCCGCCTCGGCCTGCTCGACGTACGCCTTGAGCTTGCCCTTCAAATATGGGAGGGGCTTGAGCTGGTTGAGCTGGGCGCCGACGTGGGTCCACGCCGGCGAGGGCGCCGAGATGCTGAGGAGGACGGTGACGAGGGGGAGGAAGGCGACCGGGATGGTGAAGCCCGACGTATTGTCGGCAGCGCTCGACGCTGAAGTAGACGCCGAAGTAGTCTGGGGTACGAGAGGAGAGTGAGGAACGCCACCGGCGAGGGGAAGAGGCGGAAAGCGGGACGCACGCTCGCCGGCTTGACCAACTCGCTCGAGGGAAACGCCGCTGCCCTCGCCGAGCTCTGCGGACGCACTCAAGGCAGTCGTTACTGTTCGTGGAGCTCGAGAGGAAGAGAGAGAGAGAGGAGGACGCACCGTCAGCCTCATCCAGTGCTGCCCCTCCTTTTCCCTCTTGCCCGTCTCGACGACGCCCGCCTGCTCGGCGCGCTCGACGTATGCCCGGAACTTGCCCGTCTCGTACGGCGTCGGGATGACCTTGTTGAGCTTGTCGCCCACGGTGGTCCACGACGCGGTCGGCGTCGCGACGCTGCGCAGGACCGACACGAGCGGGACGAAGGCCAGCGGGACGACGAAAGCGGACGAGGACGCGGTCGCGCTCGGCACCGCGCTCGACATGTTCTGTGGACAGGTCGAGTGTCAGGACCGGGCGAGGGTCACACGGAAGGAGCGAGAGGGAGGAAGAGGACGCGCCTTGACCGGCTCGAACCGCTTGCTCTCCCGCTTCGCCGCCGTCCTCGCCGCCGCCTGCGCACTCGGTACGTCGTCAGGATCTCGGCGCAAGACTCCAACGAGAGAAAGAGGCGACGCACCGTGAGCTTGACCAAGGGCTCCCCCTCCTTGTCCTTCGAGCCCGTGTCGACCACCCTCGCCTGCTCGGCGCGCGAGACGTACAGCTTGAACTTGCCCGGCTCGTACGGTCTCGAGTCGAGGGCGTCGAACTTGGCCTCGACCTGGCTGCGGGGCAGCACGGGCGACGAGCCGTCGAGGAGGATCGACACGAGCGGGTCGAAGCTCGACGGGATGGTGTATGCGGGCGATGCCGACGGCGCGCTCGACACAGGCCTCGACATCGGCGTCTTCTGCGAGACGAGAGGAAGGCGTGAGCTTGGCCTCGACCGAGAAGACCGCGAGGGAGAGAAAGAGGGGACGCACGGACACCAACTCGATCCACTCGCTCCCGAGCTTCTCCCCGACGCCCATCCTCACGATCCCCTCCCGCTCGGCCTCGCGGCAGAACGTCGTGAAGTGCGCGTACAGGCCCGGGCACGCCTTGGCGAGCTTCTCGCCGACGTAAGCGCACAGGGGACGCGTGCGACCGGCCTTGCGCTGCGACTCGAGGAGGTGGATGAGGGGGAGGAAGCGCTTGTGGGTGGTGGTGATGGTCGAAGGGGCGGTAGTCGAAGACGAGGCGGTCGAGGTGGGCTTGGACGCGGCGACGAGTGCGACAGCAGGCGGCGCCGAGGTCGAAGCGACTGCCGGGTAAAGAGGGTCAGTGCGGCGGCTCGAGAGGAGGTGCGGCGCTCTCGACGCACCTGGTCCCTTTCCTCCAGCTCCACCGACCGTCTTGCTGCCCTGCACCACCTGCGGCGCCGCCTGGACCGCCTGACCCGCCTGCCCCGCCTTCTCCTCGACCAGCTCGACCCACTCGACCTCGCCCGTCTTGCCCTTGCCAAGCCGCACGAGCCCCTTGAGCGCCGCCTCGAGCGCGTACCGCCTGAGGTACCCGCCGAGCGCCGGGTACCGCGCCCGAAGCGCGACGTCGACCTCGTGGCGCGAGACGCGGCGCTGGCCGCGCGACGCAAAGTCGCGCAGGACGAGGACGAGCGGCGCGTAAGGCGTCGGGGCGGGCGGCGTAGTCGACGTCGACGCCTGCTGCGACGCCGAGGCGGCCGACGTGCGCGACGAGGTGCACGGGACGACGAGGCCGCTGGGCCTGAGCGCGACCGTCGACGAGAACGAGGCCGGGACAGGCGGCTTGACGGCGCTCGTCGTCGCGCCGGGCACACGAGGCACCGACGTCTTGCGGACGGCGTTGACGCTGTGCGACATGGCCGACGAGGTTGGCGCGAAGAAGGGCATCGCCGGGGCCGAGGCCCGCGTGAGGAAGGCTGTTGCCGAGGGGGACGAGCGGCGAGGTGAGGTCAGGACGTGTGTGGCGAGCGCACGCTCGGGCACACAGAGAGTGAGAGGGGGAGGGAGGGCGAGAGGAAGATAGGGAGGGAAGGGCAAAGGGGCGGGAGTGAGAGAGCGAGAGGACGCACCCGGCTTGCGGCCCGAGGAAGGGTCGGTGCCGTCGAACAAGCCCTCGAAGCGGACCTCCTCGAGACCGAGTTCGAGGATGCGTTCGGCGGCAAAGTCGGTCGTGCGCAGAAGGAGGACCTTGGTGCGGAGGACCTCGGGGTCGAGGCGCAGGAGGTCGGCAGCGTAACCGCCGTCGTGGCTGCCGCCGAGGAGGACGACGTCGCACGTCGCGAGAAGGAACGGCAAGTGACCCTTGATGGCGTCGTCTGCGGCCTGCCTCTGGCAGCCGACGTCGACCATCGAGAAGGCGAGCCCGCTCGACGAGAAGCCCTGCGCGAACGAGCGCAGGTCGACCCCGAGGAGGTGATGCGACAGGCCCGCCATGTTGAGGAACGACTGGGCGACGACGTAGAGCTCGGGAGGACGGGCGAGCGGGCCTGCGACGTGGCGGTACCGGCTGTGGACGAGCGAGTTGACCTTGTTGCGGAGGTCGAGGGCGGCCGAGCGTCCACCGCGGTAGCCTTTGAGGAGGTACGCCGACGTGAACTGCTTGAGGAGGACGGGGCAAGGGAGGAGGAAGGGGCGAGCAAAGACGAGGGGGATGAGGGAGGAGGAGAAGAGCGAGGTCAGCGGTGTGGCCGTCGTCCGGCTAGGTTGGCGGTTGCGAGAGAGGGGACGGACAAGGTCTGCGTCGCCGTCGAGGAGCACGGCGACCTTGATCGTGGGCGGTGGGTCCTGGGCGACGCTCGAGGAGGCGACCTCGAGAGAGTCGGGCGACGGGGCCGTCTCGGGCAGCTCGCCCGGCTGGACGGGCGGCGCAGGAGCGGTGGGAGGAGGGTCGACCGGGCCGACAAAGCGACCTTGGAGCCAGCTCATCATGGGACGACGTGGGAGCGGGAGGCGACGGAGCGAGAGAGCGAGGAGGAGGTGCTTGCGCTCGCGTCGTCACCTCGACCTCGTCGTCGCGCCTCGCTCAGCCAGGACGATTGGACCGGTGCAGTCTACGCGAGTAGCTGTACAAGCCAGCCCAGCTCCCCCTTGCCCGATCGCACGAGGTCGCCTTCACCGCCTCGCCCGTCTCGTCGCCTCGCAGTCGTCGCCCCTTGCCTCTCAACTCTCATCCTCGCCCGCCAGAGCCTGCCAGCCTCCAACACCGGCACCGCACACCTACACAAAGGCACCACACACGCGACTCGCGCGTCCCTGCCCTGCCCTCGCCTCGCCCTCCTCGCTCAACCCCGCGAGCGCCCTTCATCAGCAAGCCCCTCTCTCGCCCTCCAGCACGCGACCATGCCCGTGTGGAGCCGCACCTACGTGTGCTGCGCAGTCCCACTGTGTCCGTCCACGCTCTTTCCTCTCCCTCCAGCCCTCTGAGCCCCGTGCTGACCTTGCCCCCTCGTCCTCCTCCTCCTCCTCGCCTCGACACATCCCGCCGTCGCGCCTACACCACTCCCGCGCTGCAGACAACTCGGGCATCTACGCCATCCTCGCCCAGTTCCTCGTCATCTCCATCGTCACGGGCGTCCTGTGCTTCGCCGCTCCCTCGAGTCCGTCCCCCTCTCTTCCCTCTCGATCCCGAGCTGCACTCACACACCTCGACTCGCAGTCATCTCGGTCACGACGCCAAGCTTCATCTCGTACATCCTCGGCATCCTGTGCTTCGTGATAGCCGCAGCCCAGCTCTTTGGCTTCATCGGCGTCCTGCGCGACAAGCCTCGCCTCTTCAAGTCGTTGTGCGTCCCGCTCTCCCCCCCTCCTCCTCTCCTCGGCGCACGCGCCCAGACCTGACTCGACATCTACCTCCACAGCCTGCGCATCAACGGCCTCCTCGTGTGCGCCGCGCTCCTCCTCGCGCTCGCCCTCATCATCATCAGCGCCGTCAAGCACTCGGCCGGCGTCGACCAGTGCACCCGCCTCTTCTCGCTCGACGACACGGACAGCACCGCGCGCGACATCTGCAACGTGTGGACCTGGATACAGGTCGGCATCATGGGCCTCTTGTTCGTCATCGTCGGCCTGTGCGAGGTGCGTCCGGCTCTTTGTCTGCGGGTACAGCTGCAGCACGTCGAAGCGTGAGACTGACTTGCTCTTTGCCTTGCACTGTCGCAGCTCTACTTTGTCGCCTACACGAGCATCTACGCCTCGGAGCAGCGCCTCGACCAGTGCGTCCCTTTCCTCCTTCCTCCCCTCTTTCCTTCTCTCGCAACCTCGCTCACGCCTCGTCCACCCTCTCGCAGCGCCCGCTACGACTCGGTGTACTCGACCGCCGCACACGAGATCCGCCAGTCGGGCCTGTGGGACGGCTCGGCCGCTCAGCCCGGCCAAGGGCGTCCGTCGTACGCCCCGGGCGACAGCGACGAGCTCATGACGCCCGGCGGGTACGGCGGGTACGGTCACGCGCGCGAGGGCAGTCGTGCGAGCGGGCTCAGGAACGAGCTCGCGCGCGGCGGCGGCGACGAGGCGTACGACGCGCCGCCGGCGAGGGCGACGGGCGGCAAGCTGCGCAAGGGCGGCGGTGCGGTGCAGGCGACGAGCGTCGTCGGGTACCGGGACGAGGAGGAGTACGCGCCGTACGACTATGGCGGCGACGAGGGCGGGTTCAGGCCGCCCGGCCAGAGCTCCGAGACGAGGAGGTGGTGAGGACGCCGTGCGAGGCGTCGCATTCTCTCGCGAGGGTGGGCGGCGGCGCTCGGAGCGAGGAGCGCACCTGACGACGAGACGGACACTTTCTTGAGCCCGTGTAGACACTCTCTTTCTCCCCCCTCCTCGACCCTTGTCACTAGCTCTCCCTCGCCGCGCCCCTGCTTGTCTGTACACCTCGAGCTGCCCATGTCAAGGCCCTTCTCTTTTGCCAACGGCCTCTCGAGCTCTCGTGAGACGCACAGGGAGGGAAAGACAGTTGTGCAGCGGCCCTGCTCGCGAATCTACGCCTCGTGCTCGACCGCCTGCGCCTTTGCCCTCGCGGCCGCCGCCGCCGCCTGCGCGCCCCAGGTCCTGCTCTCGCGCCCCTTGTTGCCCTTGGCGCGCGCGATCGGCCCACCGCGCTTCGAGCTCGCGTCGCCACCCCGCTCGGCGTGCGCCTCCCAGCCGTCGGTGCGCTCGCCCGCCTTTGGGGACCGGCCGACGCTCGGGACGGTGAGGACCGGGCGCGGGGCGCCGCGCAGCTCGAGCGAGCCGAGGCGCTGCGTGAGCTGCTTGATGGTGCGGTCCGGGTCGGGCGCGCGCGAGGTCGACAGCGAGAGGGTCGCGAGCGACAGGAGGTAGTGGTGGTACGCGCGGTCGAGGAAGAGGGACGCCGGGTGAACGGCGGGGACGGTCGCGTCGGCGTCGGCGGCGGCTGCTGAGGACGAAGGAGCGTCGACGTCGCGCGCCGGGGCCGACACGACCTCGGCCGTAGACGAGACGCTCGTCGCCGGGTCGACGGGGAGCGGCGCGGAGCGGTACCGCAGCGCCTTGACGACGTTGTCGCGCGTGAGCGCGTCGAGCTCCTCGGCGGCGCCGAGCAGCTCGCCGATGCGCTCGGGCCCGTGCGCCTCGACCCGCTTGCGCAAGTCGTGCCACGCCGCCGGGCCCCTCATCTCGCCCGTCGCGGGGACGACCTCGCGCGCGCGGAGCGCCATCTCGCGTCCGACGGTGCGCGCCGCGCGCTCGAAGCGCAGGTCGGCGGCCGAGTCGACGAGCTCGAGGACGGCGACGGGCGCGTTGTCGCCGACGCGGTACCCGGCGCGCTGGATGCGCGTGTAGCCGCCTGGTCGCGAGGCGTAGCGCTGGGCGAGGGTCGTGAACAAAGGGCGGAGCGTGTCCTTGGGGTTCTGCGATGGCGAGGGGATCGTGAGCTTGAGAGACGTCGAGAGAGAGAGGGGGAGGACTGGGGACGCACGAGGAGGAAGGCGTTTGCGCGGTCCCAGTTGGACTTGCCGCCGAGCTTTCCCCAGTGGATGACCTGGTCGGCGAGCTTCTGGGCGGCCTTGGCCTTGGGGAGGGTGGTGGTGACCTGCTCGTGGTGGAGGAGGGACGAGACGAGGTTGCGGAGCATGAGGACGCGGTGGGCGGTCGGGCGGCCGAGCTTGGCGGTGCGCATGCCGTGCCTCATGGTGGGCTAGACGGCTGTCGGGCTTGCTGGTGGAGAGGCCGCGAGTCGGACGAGCTGATGAGGTCGACGAAGCTGAGGGGCGACAGAGGGGCGACGGCGACAGGCGGCGAGTGGATGTGCGGTGCAGTCGGCGTCTGGAGTGGCTCTGGGTCGAGTCGCGAGGTGGCCTGGCTCGTTCAAGCTGGCGTGCGGGGTGCAAGAGTTGGACCTTGGTTTCGGCGAGGAGCAAAGGGTGAGGCGTCCCTCTCGAACGCTCTCGCACCGACCCAGAGCTCGCCAAAGCTCTCGAGCGCTACCAGCACAGCCACCATGCTGTCCTCGGCCGTGCGCCCCTCTGCGCAACTCGCCGCGCGGGCTTCGTCGTGCGCCCTGTGCGCCGTCCGCCGATCCTCGCCGCGCTCGACCACCTCGTCCACACCGCCGCCGAGCACCGCCCCGAGCAGGTCACACGCCCTCCCGACCACCCTCGGCAAGCGCGGCGCAGCCTCCCTCGCCCAGGCAGGCGACCGCGTCGACCAGGACGACGACCACCTCGGACAAGCTCACGATGACCACGCCCCGCCAGAGCAGCACAAGGCCGAGGAGGCCATGGCCAACCTCATCAACGAGCTCGCCCACGAGCAGCAAGAACAACAAGCCGCCGCCGAGGCCGCCTCGTCCACCTCGACCTCGTCGCCGACCTCCCCCTCGACTGCCGCACCTCCCTCGTCCCCTCTTCCCGCCGCCGACCCGTCCCCGTCCTCGTCGACCGCCGCACCACCACCACCACCACCTCCTCCTGCCGCCCCGCCCGCCGCCGAGCTCACGCTCAAGTCGCTCCTCGAGCCGTCCGTCCAGCACGGCGGCCCGACCCTCGACGACCTGCGCGCCGTGCGGCCCAAGCGCTTCACGATCCCGGACGCCACCTCGCCCGACTCGCACCGCCTCGTGTACCGCAAGGCGTGGGAGTCGGCCGTCGCCCGCTTCGACCGCGCGTTCAACAAGCGCCAGCTGGCCGACTTTGCCGGCGAGTACGGCCTCGCGCTTGACCTGACCGACCCGCGCTTGCGCACCGGCACAAAGGGCAAGAAGCAGAAGTACTGGAAGAGCAAGCGCATCGACCAGATGACCAAGCGCGAGCTCATCCACACCATCCTCGTCCTCGAGTTCCACATGGTCGACCCCGACACGATCCCGTCGGCCAAGAGCGGGCCCAGGACGTCGGAAGGTGCGCCCTTGCTCTCACCTTTTCCTCTCGGAGAGGCGACCCTGACCCTGTCCTCTCGCGCGCAGCCTTCCCGCTCGACGACCGCGCCCTGTTCCTCCTCCTGTCGCCGAGTGCGTCCTCTCTCTCCCACTCTCCCTCGGCCCTCTACTGACGCTCGCCCCTCGACAGAATCGCGCACCATCCCCAATTTGACGCGTCAGCTCGGCGTCAACGTCGCCTTCCGCCGCAACCCCAAGACGAGCGTGGTCGAGCTCGTCCTCAACGGCTCCAAGGCGAGCGTCGCGGCGGCCAAGGAGGAACTGGAGCTTCTCGAGCACGTGCGTCCCTCTGTCCGCCTCTCTCTCTCTCCCTCCCGCCGTCAACCTGACCCTCGCACCTGTGTACAGACGTGCGCGCGCGGCGAGTTCACCCTGCCCGGGCCAGCGTCGACGCTGCGACCCGAGGTGTACCAGGCCATCTCGCGCACCGCCAAGGCCTTCCTCGCGCCGGGACCTTTGCCCGTGCGTCCTCTCTCTCCCTCTCTCCCTCTCTCCCTCTCTCGAGCCCTTTGAACTGAATCGGTCGTCCTGCAGAACACGCTCGCCGCGAGCGCGATCGAGCCAAAGCTCGTCGAGCGTGCCGAGCGCCTCGTCAACGCCGCCTTTGCTCTTGTACGTCCTCGAGCGGGTCTCCCTATCGCGACCGTCGACACTGACGACGCGCCCTCTTTGTCCCGCAGCACCTCGAGCGCACGTCGACCTCGCTCTTCGCCTCGCTCCCCGCCAACCTCGACTCGCTCAAGTACGCCATGTACCCCTTCTCGCCCCTCCTCGCGCCGCCACAACACCAAACGGGCGGCACCCCGCACTTTGCGCGCGTCAAGACGCTGTCGCTCGCCCAACCGGCGCGGGGCGACGACCCGGCGCACGACCCGGACGCGACGGCGCTCAGCGAGCTCCTCGAGTGGAGCGAGCGCATGCGCCTCGAGCGCACGGCGCGCCAGGCGCTCTTTGTGCCGCAGGGCTCGGGCGCGCACGTCGGCGATGCGCCCTCGGTGTGGAAGCTCCTGCGGGCGCCGTTCGCCGCCGAGGGCGAGGGCGAGGCGCAGCCCGAGCGGGTCGCGGTCCGAGCGCGCTTCGGGCACGTCGCGTGGCCGCTGTACCGCTCGAGGGGCGCGCTCGACGGTGCCGGCGAGGACCAGGTCGAGTTGGGCCCGGCGTTCTCGGGCGTGTGGGCGTTCGGGCGCTTCGCGCAGTGGGCCGAGAGCCAGCTCAAGCGGATCAAGACCGTCTTTATCCCTTCGTGCGCCCCACTCTCTCTCTCTCTCTCTCTCTCGGTGTCCCTCTTGAGCGACGCCCTGACCCTCATCTCCCGACAGCCCGCCGACCGGCATCCTCGACTCGACGCGCGTCCTCGATCCCCTCCCAGCCGCGCCGACCGTCTCGCCCTTTGCGTCGCTCCTCAACCCGGCCTCGGCGAGCATCTCGCGCACCGACGCCGGGGCGCACCTCGCGCGCCAGACGGCCGACGTGCTCAGCGGGCCGGCGCTCGAGAGCACGCTCGTGCGCCGGTGGACGTACCGCTCGACGGGCGCGGTCGAGAAGGGTGCGGCGCCGAGGCGGGTCGAGATCGAGTTTGAGCTCGACAACGAGGGCGAGCTGCCGAGCGTGAGGGAGATGCGGGTCGTCAGGAGCGAGGTCCGGGTCGTGAGGGAGAACAAGGTTGACGTCATGGTCCCGACTGGGTGCGTCCCTCGTCCTCTCTCTCATCGACGAGACGCACACTGACTTCTCGCCTCGGTACAGTGCGCAAGACGCCCAGTTCTCGATGAGCTCGACGACCGTCATCTCGCCCGGCGAGTACCCGACCTCGCTGTACGTCTCTCGCGCTCCCTCTCCTCTCTGTCTCTCTCCCTCTCGCGCCGCACTGACTCGCTCTCACACTCTGCAGCGACGAGCGCACAATGACGTTCCACGCCCCGCCGCCGATCCACCTGTCGCTCCTCGGCCACTCGTTCATGCTCGACACGGACCACCTCGTGCGCCGCACCGTCATCACGCCCGCCGCGTCCTCCTCGACCTCGGCCTCGGCCTCGCGCGACGACGGCGCCGACGCGCCGGCGACGAGCCTCGTGACGGTGCAGGAGGCGTGGCACAGCCTGACGCGCGACGGCACGCGCGGGACCGACGTGTTTGCGCTCGTCGGCGAGGGCGACGTGCGCGGCCTGCAGGGCGACGGCACGTGGAAGCGCGGGCTCGAGGAGGTCGAGAGGAGGTGCCTCGGGCGAGGGTCGGGCGTCAAGCGCGGCGGCGGCGGCGGCGGCAGGCGGTGAGGGTGGTCGAGGACGACGACGGAGGAGGATGAGGACCGTGCAACGCTCGCAACTCGCAACTCGTTCTGCTCTAACTCTCTGCGCCGTCGTCGTCGACTCGTCGGAGAGCTTTCGGCAGGCATCGGTCCGCACTGGGAGGGAGGAGAGTGCGGGGAGGAAAGAGCGGAGAAAGCGCGAGGCGCCGCCCGACCACGAGGTGAAGCAGAGCTGAAAAGGCGAGGGAGAGGCAGGCGGCGATGGAGGCGATCCTGTGCGGTACTGGTGGATCGAGGTCGAGGGGAGCGTTACAGCCCAGGGTACCCTGGCCCTCGCAGCTGTGAGCCGAGAGCTGTGCAAGGCGATAAACAGAATCGGAGCGAGCGCTGAGAGCTGAGGCCCGCCCTCGCTCGTCTCCCACCACTCGTCGTAGCCCCTGCCCACCATGGAGCCCGAGCCTGCAGCTCAACCGCCACCGCTGGCGACAGAGCCTCCAGTCGCCCAGCCGCAGCAGCCTGCGCCGGCGGCCCCGGTCCACACGTCGGGCAGCAGCGCCTTGCTGCCGTCCATCCCCGAGGGCGAAGCTGCGTGCGTCCCCCCCAGTTCCTCTCTCCCTCTCTGAGCCGTCTCTGCGGGCACCAGTGCGAGTGCGGGCGGGCGAGCAGCTGCACGCTGCACGGCGATCCCCAGGCCGGGGCAGCGCGGGCGGAGGGGCGAGTCGAGGCGGAGAGCAAGGGCGGGCAACACGGCCGGGTCGGATCCGCTTGGCCTGGAGCCCTCGCAGGGTGTGATCCCACGTCGAGGGCCTCGTCCAGAGGCGTGCGGACCACGACGAGCTCGCTCAGGGCACCGCCGCCGATAAGCCGTCGCTCCCTCACTGACCCTCTCTCGACAGCAGCGATCCTCCTCCTCCTCCTCCGCCAGCAGCGGCCAGCGAGCCAGCCACGTCGACACCGACACCGTCCTCGCTCCCTCCCCCTCCTCCTTCCACCACCGCCAACGCCGCCGCCGCACCCGCAACCGCAACCGCGCCTTCGCCCGCCGCCCTCGCCTCGGACGGCGCGCCCAAGAAGATGGACGACAGCGAGGCCAACGCCGCCGCCGCCACCCTCGCCGGCGTCGCAGCCTCGGCCGCCGCCGCCGCAGCCTCGTCGTCGGCGGCCCTCCCGGCGACGGCCGCTCCAGCTCCAGCTCCGCCGACTGCCGAGCGTCCGCCTGGCAGCTTCGACCCGGCTGCGCCCAACGCCATCAACGGCCTCCCGAACCCCCTCCCGGCCAACTACGATAAGGTCCGTCGCGTCGGTTTCAGCTCCTCTCGAGTCGCGACACCGAGCCCTGACCTGTTTGTCCTTCCTCGCCCTCGCAGACCCAGCCAATCTGCGCCAACTGCGCCACCCAGGTGCGCCGCCGCTCTCCTCAACCCACCCTCTCGTCGAGCTCGTCACGTCGAGAGCCAGGCCGCCGCTGTGGCGGGACCGAGAACGCCAGACTGACCTCTCGACCTTGCCGCAGACGACCCCGCTCTGGCGCCGCTCGCACGACAGCACCCACATCCTGTGCAACGCCTGCGCCCTCTTCTTCAAGATGAAAGGTCGCCCTCGCCCCATCTCGCTCAAGACGGACGTCATCAAGTCGCGCAACCGGAGCAAGGGCAAGAGCACGAGCAAGGACCGTGCGGGCAAGGGCGCGGCGGCGGCGGCGAGGACGGCGTCCAAGGACCGCAGCGAGAGCATGACGCGCTCGGGCGACGGGCGCAAGAGCGCACCGGGCGGGTCGGGCGCGAGCGAGGACCACGACATGTCGGACGGGCGGTCCAAGCCGTTCGGCGAGGGCGCCGTCTCGGACGACGGGCGCAAGGCGCGCAAGCTCGTGCCGCCGCCAGGCGCCATGCCCTATGGCATGCCGTACCCGGGCTTCCCGTACGGCTACGGCTACCCGCACCCGGCGCACCCGCACGCCCACCAGCCGTACCCGCCGCCGCGCAGCCGGTCGGGCTCGCGCGACCCGACCCGCCGCGGCGTCTCGCTCGACTCGCGCCAGCGCACGTCGGGTTCGGTGACGCCGACCGAGGGCGCCGCCGGTGCGCCGGGCGTGCCGCCCATGCCGCCGTTCCCGTACCCGGGCTTCCACCCGGGCGCGCCGCCGCCCGAGGGCTACCCTCCCTACCCGGGCTTCTACCCGTACGGCGTCCCACCCGCCGGCTACAACCCGGGCCAGGCGCCTCCCTACCCGTACCCTCCCCCACCGCACTTTCCTCCTCACGCCGCCGCCGCCGCCCTCGCCCACGCCGCACAGGCCGCGCTCCACCCTCCCTCGTCGATCACGCACGCCCAGTCCGACTCGCGCTCTCGTTCGCCCGCTCCAGGCGCCGACAGCAGCGCGTCTCGCCCCGGCTCGACACGTGGCTCGGCGAGCCCGCCGCATCCGGGCGCCGCCCTCGGCGCCGCTCCCCTCCCTGCTCCTCCGCCGCCGCACTCGTGGTACCCGCACCCGAACCCGAACTACCACCTGCACCAGCCGCACACGCACTCGCCCCTTGCCGGCCGTCCCGGCTTCGCGCCCGTTCCGCTCCCGCCCAACCGTGCGACGAGCGGCTCGCCGGCCAACGGCCTCGCGCTCGGCGCCGGCGCCGTTCCAGGGCGCGGCATGTACGGCTCGAGCATCGACGAGCAGGCCAAGGCGGCCGCCAACGCGCTCCTCGCGCCGATGATGGGCGCGAGCTCGGCCCAGCACGGCACCGGCACCGGCGGCGACGACGCCAAGGTCCAGCTCCCGTCGCTCACCAGCGGCAGCACGTCGCAGCCGCTGTTTGGCCTGCCGCCTCCCGCCGGCCTGCGCCACCACGCCGGCCTCTTTGCGCCCGCCGCACCGCATCCTGCGCTCGAGCCTCCTGTCGCCCTCGCCGCCACCGCCGCCGCCACCGCCACGGCGACCGCCTCGACGTCGACCGCCACCGCCGCTCGTGACCGCGAGCGCGGCGCGTCCGTCTCGTCCGACTCGCCGTCAGTCGCCGGCTCGAGCGAGGGCGGCGTGCGCTCGCCCGAGACGGGCAGCCGTGCACTCGCGCCGTCGTGGCGCTCGCTCGGGCTCGGCTCGGGCGCGCAGCCGGGCGGTGGGACGCCTCCCGGCGCAGACGAGCGGCGCGGCCGGCCCGAGAAGCGGTTCGACGAGTACGGCGCGAGCGCGGCGGGCAAGGGCAAGGGGCGGGGCGATGCCGCCATGGACGACCTCAACGAGGTCGACGAGCTGCAGGACGACGATGCGGCGTCGGCTGCAGCCGGGAGCGGGAGCGGGAGCGGCGGGAGCACGAGCCGAGCGAGGCTGCACGGCGTCGAGACGGGCATCCACGAGCTGCGCGTCTCGCAGTCGGGCAGCGGCGCGCCCGGTCCCGGTGCAGCAACGTCGAGCTCGGCGTCGCAGCCCATCTCGGGCTACCTGTACCCTCGCGCGACGGCGAGCCCGGGCGGGTCGGGCAGCAGCGTGCGCCGCGTCGGCGCCCAGGGCAGCCGGTCGCGCTCTCGCGCCCGGGGCGAGTCGGAGCGCGGTCGCCCTCGCGGCGTGCAGCTCGGCGGGCCCTCGGCGCGCAGCGCGTCGTCGACGACGGCGAGCTCGAGCCGGGTTCGCGGCTCGTCGTCGGCGTCGTCGGGCGGTCGGGGCCGGCCCTCGGGAGGGCTCGGCGGCTTGCCCGCGCCGTCGACGGCGACCGACGGGACCCTGACGCCCGGCGGCTCGTCGGTCGCGAGCGCGACGGCAGGGCGCGACTGGCCGCCCGAGGCGCACGCCGAGGTGCAGCGCCTGAGGACCAAAATCTCGGAGCTCACGTTCCTCAACGGCCTCATGCAGTCGCGCCTCGCGCAGCTCGAGGGCCCGGGTCGGGTGCCGAGGCACGTCATGACGAGCTTGACGGCCGAGACGCCGAGGCCCGACCCGGACGAGTTCCTCGACGAGGACGAGGAGATGGACAGGCCCGAGGCGATCGAGGAGGAGGAGGTCCCGGCGGGCTTTGAGTAGAGTCGCCTGCCTGTGCATGTCAAGGACACTGCTTTACCGCATTCTCTCACTCTCTGCGTGTCTCTAGAGCTCGAGAGAGAGAGCCAGGTCGAGAGAAAGAGACTGATCAAGGGACGAGATTGCTACTTCGCTACAAGGAAAACGGACGACGTTCTCGAGAGGGCACAAAAGGGAGGAAAAAGAGGAAGGAGGTGCGCAAGGAGGGGTACAGCAACAACAGGAAGTGGCATGAAAGGGAGAAAGGAGAAAGAGAAGGAAGTATGTCCGCTACGAGCGGGTCTTGGCGCGAGTTGAGGGAAGACGGGACGACGACGACGCCGACGGCGGCGGCGGTGGCGGCGAGGCCTACAGGTAGTCGGCGCCGAGCGTGAGCAGGGCCTGCCTGCACTGCTCGCGCACGTGGACCGGAAAGTTGGGCAGCGCCTCGAACCGGACCTTGAGCCCGTGCGCGTGCGCGCGCTCGACCTGCGCCCGGATGCGCTCGCGCTGCTCGTCCGAGAGGCTCTTCTGCCCGTCCCACCCGGTCACCTCGACGAGCGCGCCCGCCGCGACGGGCGTCAGGGCCGGGTCGATATTCGAGTCGGCGAGCGCCTCGTCGCTGTCGAACGCGGCGAGGGGCGCGTCGCGGTAGACGAAGCGCTGGCCCTGGACGGCCGAGAGCTGCTCGAACGGGACCATCTCGGCGCCGTTGGCCGACGACGAGACGACCGTGATGAGGCCGGCCGTGCTCGAGCCCGCGTTCGGGCAGTACATGGTGAGGAGCGACGCGTCGTGCAGGGGCTCAAGGTCGCTGACGACGTAAGGGAATGTCGTCGTGGCCGGTGTGCGGAGGCGAATGACGAGCTGGAAGGGCGAGTGCGGCTTGACGTGCGCGTAGACCGAGCTGCGGCGGCGGTGCATCTTGATCGTCGAGTCGTCTTGCGGCGAGAAGATGCGGAGCAAGGGTTCTGCGACGGCGCTCGAGAACTGGTGAGTGAGATATACGAGAGATGGAAAGAAAGAAAGAGGACGCACGAACGACGGTGGCCGAGAAAGTCCTCGACGGGTCGAGCGACGACTGCGACGATGCGACCTGTCGACGGGACGACGTCAGGAGCTCGTTCCGGGACGGATGGACGAGGGAGGGAATAAAAGACGCACCAGAACTTCGCCGTCGACGAGCCACAGGTCGACGCCGAGCCATGTCGCGCCGTCCTTGAGCGCGTGGCGCAGCTCGTTCTCGCGCTCCTCGATGGTCGCCTCCTCCATGTCCGTGTCGTCGTCGTCGTCTCCCTGCTGCAGGTCGAGGAGCATGCTGCTCGCGAAGCTCGGGCGACGGCTCGAGCCCAGGGACCCGGTGCTCGCCGTCCTCGAGGCCGTGCCGTAGCTGCGCGTCGGCGACGGCGGGGCCTGAGCGCCGCCGTCGTACCCGCCGGGGAGCGGCTTGGTGACGGTGCCCGGCGAGACGAGCTCGTTGTGCGCAAAGTGCTGCTGCGGGTCGGTCGCCTGGCCCGGGACAGCGAGGCGAGGTGGAGCCCACGCCGACGTCATGTCCTGCTCGACCTTGGGCGTCGACTCGCCGCCGTCCTCCTCCTCGCGGATCTCGTCGAGGATGTGCTGCGGGGCGGCGTCGAACCCGAGCAGGCTCGAGCGCGGCGACAGGGGAAAGCTCGGCGGCGGGTTGGACGGCGACGCGAGGCTGGTGCCGACGCGAGGCGAGCGACCGGGCGAGGGCGAGGGCGACGTGCGGTGCGGGCTCGCGGGCGCGCTCGAGGTCGGGGTGGTGCCCTCGAAGTGGGCGTCGTCGTGCACGGCGCTGCCGCCGAGGCGCGAGGCGAGGTACCGGCACCGAGCCGAGAGCGACGACGACGAGTCGGTTGTGGGCGAGATGGGCGAGACGACGGGCTGCCAGGACGAGCCGGTGCTGCTTGGCGGGGTGATGCGCAGGGCAGCCATGCGTGCTTGGTGGCGGGTGTTGGTGAAGAGCGAGAGAGCGAGAGGGTGAGGTGGACGAGGGCGAGGCCGCAGGCTCGCGCCAAGGGGGAGCCCCGCAGCTCGCAGCTCGCGCGCGAGCGTCTCGCACTTTCTTATTTCTCGCCCTCGCTCGGCGCAAGTTCCACGCACTGTGACACAGGAGAGTACGCCGAGAGAGTGGGAGCCAGCGTGGTACTGAGAACAAAGTCTATTGCGAACGAAAAATCTAAAGTGGTCGTCGTCGAGGTCAAAGCGGCGCAGCTAGACGAGCACCGACCAGTCGGCAAACTCGCGCGAGCCGTACTGGATCTCTTGCAGAACGTCGTAGAACGCGCCTGCGACCGGCCCGAACCCGCCGTCGCCCTCGACCGGCACCTGGACGTCCGCGCCCTCGTACCCGATGCGCTCGACCGACGTGACGATGGCCGCCGTGCCCGTGCCGTACACCTCGCGCAGCGTGCCGTCCCGAGCGGCGTCGCGCAGCTCGGGCATGCACACCCGTCGCTCCGAGACGACGAGCTTGTCCGGAACGCCCTCGAGGCGGAACGGGTTGCTCGGGTCGGCGTGCGCTCGTGCGAGGGCGAGCACCGAGTCGCGCGTGACGCCGGGCAGGATGATGTCGCCGAGAGGAGGGGTGAAGAGCTCGACGGCTGCAGGACGAGGAAGGGTCAGTTCGTCGTCGACGGCGCGAGGGAAGGGTGGAACGGAGGACGCACCGCCGTTGCCCAAGTCCTTTGCCCCAAAGAAGTTCATCATGCCCACCTCGGTCACCTCGTCGTCCTCGCCGAGAACCCAGAGAACCTGCGCGAGCGAGAGAAAAGGTCAGGACAGGGTCCGAGCGGGCCTCGCTCGAGCGCGCCCTGAGAGCGGCGACGCACCTGCTGGTAGCCCTGCTGCGCTGCCTCGAGCTGCGGCGCAACGCAAGGCCCGTAGTTCGCCCCGAGCTTGTACGCGCCGCTGCCGCCCGGCCAAGCGCGCACGTCCTTGGTGCTCGCGAGGAGGCTGACCGGCTTGGCGCCCGAGGCGTAGTACTTGGCGACGGGCGACATGCTGTTTGCGCGGGTAAGGATGGTCAGTGAGGTGCGGAACGAGACTCGGGCAAGGAAAGAGGGCGGAAGGAGGAGGAGAGCGAGAGCGAGAGCGAGACGAACATTACGAAAAGGAGGACCTCGGTCGAGGGACCGACGCCGAGGCTCGCCCGGGTGCCGATCATAGTAGGACGGATGTCTGCGGGTGGCGGTCGATAGCGTCAGTCGAGGACAGGAGGACGCAGGGAGCGAGCTGGGGAAAGCGGAGGAGAGGGACGCACAGAGGGAGCAGCCCTCCTCGTCGGGCACGAACCGCTCGTCGACGCGCACGAGCTCCTTGATCAGTTCGGTGAGGACCTCGCCGTCGAACGTCGGGAACGCGAGGCGCTTTGCGCTGCTGTTCATGCGGCGCATGTTGAGGTCGGGGCGGAACAGGCGGCACCGGCCCTGCTTGTCGCGGTACGCCTTCATGCCTTCGAACAGCTCGGCCGCGTAGTGCAGCACGGTCGACGACGGGTCGAGCTGGAGCGGGCCGTACGGCTTGATCTCGGGAGCTTGCCAGCCCTTCTCGAGCGACCACTTGACGGTGAGCACTGCGGGTGCTCGAGGTGAGTGCTGCGCCCGCTCGCTCGCTCGACCTCGTGCAGACAGAGAGAGAGGGAACGCACTGTGGTCGGTGAACGTCTGGCCGAAGACGAGCGACGAGGTGGGCGGCAGCTCCTTGGGCTGCTTGGTGAGCTCGACCGTGAGCTTTGAGGCGTCGAGGGGCGCGACAGAGGGCATCGACATGGCGGGCAGCGGTGCTCGGTGGGCGTGCAAGCAGGCAGCAGTGGAGGGAACAGAGCAAAGCCGGGTGCGGCGCGTCGAGCCCGAGGAAATCTCGCTCGCCGCCGGCACGCCGCACGTGCGGAGACTCCGCAAGAGTCAAGCGGGGCAGCGGGGCAGCTGAAGCGCGCTCGTCGTCGCAGAGCACAGGCTCTGCCGACAGCGTCTGCACTCGCGGCGCGCGACGAGCGAGGGGGAAGGTGAAGCAAAGAGGAGGCCCGAGCGGGCGGGCGGCGAAACACGACGTAGTCGGCATGCCGCGGCTCGCTCGGCAAGCGGCTCTCGAACCACGCACGCCTCGTCCAGCCTGTGCTGCTGCTCGACGCACAGTACACTGCTACGATGAGCCTTCTCAGGAGGCTCTCGAGGGGCAGCAAGTCGAGCTGCGCTGCGAAACTCATCCTCGACCTTCCCAAGTCGAGCGACCTGCTCGACACGGCCCGCAGCTCTCGCCCGGACAGAATAATTCTCGCAGGAGACGCTCGGCGGAACGAAGCCGAGTACTGGACGCTGTACGAGAGGCATCGCCGACACTGTATTGCAAGAGAGGGCGCGGAACGAAGAGAGAAAGGTTCTGCTGCTCGTCGTCGGCTCTCGTACGCGCGCTCGAGACATTGACGCTCCCGATGGGCTGTAGGCTGCTGCTGACGAGGGAGCAGGGTCAGGGCACGGTACGGGGAGAGAGGGAGGCACAGAACGAGAGCAAGAGAACGGTCGACGCACCCGCTCGGGCCTCACGCTCGGCGAGCGAGACGCCTCGCCCACTCAGCCTCCCAGCTCCGCTTGTCGAGGCCGTAGCGCTGCGCGGTCCGCTCGCTGATCTCGGCGCGATGGCCCTTGTCGAGCGAGTGCTCGGCGTCGGCGTCGGCGTCGGCGCGCTTGACGCGCTCCCAGTGTGCTTTGCGATCTGCGAGCTGCGGCGGGATTGTCAGTCCGTGTGCTCGGGGACGAGGCGAGAGTATGGACGCACTTGCTTCAGCTCGAGCTGCCGTGCCTCGTACGCCTCGACGACGTCGACCAAGGCCGCGTCCTCCTCCGGGGCGTTCAACGTGATCCAGATCCACATGCGCACGAGGTCATCGGGCGGCTGCGCGGGAGACATTGTGCGTGAGAGACTGAACGAGTGCCTCAAAGCGAGAGGAGCGACGCACAAGCTGGTCCACCTGCGTGATCTCCTGATGCAGCATCGCCTGGACGACCCACTGCAGCCCCTTGTGGACGTTGTCGATGCGCTCCTTCGCGGTCGCGAAGTGGGGCTCGCGGATGATCGCCTGGTCCCAGTCATTGTGGAGCCGCTCGATAATGCCGTCCTTCCAGTGCTTGAGGGTGCCGCGGTCGATGAGGTGACGCAGGGATACGCGCGAGAAACTCGCTCCTTCAACGGCACCCCTGAGCGTGAGGCGCATTCCCATGTCGAGATAGCGTCACGGTGAGCCGGTCGAAGAGAAGCAGAAGAGCAAGAGCGATGGAGCAGCCGCTAGCCGGTCCGCTCTCAGCTCCGAGAAGTCGCCGAGGCTGCACGGACGGGAGCTTGCGCCCTCGGGAGAGACTGACGTCTCGGCAATGAGCTCGTCTGACGACCGGTATCGATCGACGGGCGCGGGTACCGGGAGCGGTCGAGCAGCGCGCCGACGAGGAGCGAGAGGGGGAGCGCCAGGCGCGGTCGTCTGCGCTCGGCGAGTCGGCGCATGCGCCGGACAACGCGAAAGAAGTGAGCGAAGCAGACCCGTGCGAGAGGGCGAGAGACAAAGAGAGAGAGAGAGAGAGAGAGAGAGAGAGAGAGAAGGGAGAGGTCCGAGCGCTCGCGACAGCCCTCGCTCCTCGAAGGACCGTGCGAGCTGGGTGAAGAGGCTGACATGACAAGGCGAGGAAGGTGCACACTCTTCCTCCTCGCTCAGTCGACGAACACCTTGAACGCCCTCGTGCCCGTCCACGCCCTCGCAAGCTTCTGCCCCTTGCCCGTCGGCTGGCTGAAGGCAAAGTCGACGGCGCGCCGCTCGCGCTCGATCGGGCTGCCGTAGACGAACTTGGCGGCGGCAAAGTCGAGGAGGAGAGAGGCGAGGCCGTGACGGCGGGACGAGGTCGAGGTCCAGATGCGCTGGATGCCGAGGAGGGTTGGGGACGGGGTGGACCTGCGCGCGAGGAGGAGAGGTCGATTGGGCTCGCTGCAACCTCGAGAGAGGAAGAATGGGACGCACGAGCAGAAGATGGCGCCATCGTCGTCGCCGAACCGTAGCAGGCCGGTCGACGGCTTGAGGTCGGCGAGCTGCTCGTCGTCCTCCTTGACGACGACCTCGAACGCCTCCGAGATGCGCTGCACGACGGCGGCAGCAATGACCTTGCGCTGTGGCGTAACGAAGAGGAACACCTTGGACAGGGCGAGCTGCTCGGGCGTGAGGCCGGTCGACGACAGCTCGGTATCGATCGTGTCGAGGACGTCCTTGAGCTGCACGCGCTCGAGGGTCAGTGCCGTTCTCGGGCCCCAGGAATAGAGAAGGGGAGAAGGTGAGGCGCACTTTGCGCCTGAGCGACGAGTCGGTCGCCGCCGCGTAGTCGACCATGAGCACCCTCCCGCCCGTGCGCTCCCCCCAATCCGCCGCCTCGTCGAGCACCGACACGCCCCTCGCGCCCTCGTCGCTCGCGATCCAGTCGCACCCGCCGACGACCTTCTTGTGGTGCCGCGCGTGGAACGCCTGGTCCTCGGGCGTGCGGGCGTACGAGAGGGCGCAGGTCGCGCACGACAAGGTGAGGTGGCCCGAGGTGCGGAACGGGTCGAGGTACAGCTGCTCGAGCTTGGGGCGCTTGGCGACGGTAGACGAGGTCGAGGTCGGAGTCGAAGAGGAGGAGGAGGAGAGGGAGGAACGCGAGGTGCGCGTAGACGTGCTCGAGGCGGACCCCGACGAGCCGCTCGACCCGCTCGACGCCGTCCGCGCCATCGCCTCGGACTGCTCGTCGTACTCGACGGCCGAGGGCGACAGGCGAACGCGTTTCCGCGGCGAGGTGCGCTGGAAGAACGAGCGCAGGTCGCCCTTGGCCGCCGGCGCAGGCGCAGGTGGTGCGGCCTCGACGGGCGTCTTGCGCTCGCGCAGCGTCCTCGCGCTCGAGCTCGGTGCGCTCTTGAGCTCGTCGTCCTCGCCCTCGGTCGTCGGCGGCGTCGAGGGGCGCTCCCGCTCCGAGCTCGCGCCTGATGTCATGCGGGCTCGGCGTCGGGGCGTCGGGGCGGGCGACGAGAACGAGTCCTTGACGGCGTCGCTCCAGTCGGAGCTCGGGGCAGGTGGCTCGTGCGGTCGGGTGCGGGTGGGCGAAGAGCTGGATGCGGTGGAGGGGGGGCGGCGGGAGGTCGAGGGCCTGGGTGGAGAAGACGAGAGTCAGTGAGGGGCGCGGGTGCTGCAGGCCAGACGCGAGGGCGCACATTGCCGATGTGGAGGTGCTGATTGGTGCTGCTGCAGGCTTGCGCGCGCCGTACTGCCGCTTGACGGCCGGCCGACTGCTGGGAGATGAGGAGGGAGGCTCGCGTCAGGGGGGCGTGAGCGGGATGGACGGGCGAGGGGATAGGGGGCGCACCTCGTGGACATGACCAAGAAGTACTGCGTCGTGCAGGCGATAGCCAAGAAGGTGAGGGCGAGGACGAGGACGAGCAGAGCCAAACAGCGACGACGACGCGCCGCGAGCGCGTCGGCCTTCCCCGCAAAGTCCAGTCTCGAACAGAATCTCTCGCTCGCGAGCTCTCGCAGACGACCACAGAGCTCAGTATGCACGCCCTTTGCCCTTGCGGTCTCGTTGTACAGCGTGCAGCTCGACCTCGCCACTGCTGCTCAGCAGCTCGTCCGTCCTGAACTTGTCCGCCGTCTCCTCGACCCGCATGTTCATCTGCCGGCGACACGGGGCGGCGACAAGGTCAGCTGGCGCTCCTCTGAGAGACACAGAGAGACGAGGACGCACGTTGATGACGCCAAGCCCGATCGTCTCGAGCGGCGCGATCGTGCTCAGGTCGATGTCGCTCGCTCGACGACCACGCCCAGGTCGCTCGCCGCCGTCCTCGGCCGCCTGCCGCCGCTCTGCCGGGACCCACTCGGCCGGCACGTGCTGCGCACGTGAGAGGGAGGGTCAAGGAAGGCTCGCAAGGGAGAGAGGCGGCGAGGGAGGGGACGCACCCCTGCTCGAGCCGCTTTCGACTCTGGCGGCGGCGCGTCGTCGCGCATCTCGAGGATGATGGCGAACGTGACTTCTGCAGGACGACAAAGGGTCAATCGTGCTCCGCAATACCGAGCAGGAGGAGAGTGGGCGCACCTTGGCTGAGGCGCTTGAGGAGCGACTGCGAGAGATTGAGCTTGAGGAGGCAGGCGTGGAACAGAGGCTCGACGTCGCCCTGAGCGAGGCCGTCCTTTTGAGGCCTGTGGGACAAAGTTTCGTCAGGCTTTCGACGCGAGGGTCGGAAGAAGAGAGAGGGAGAGCGGACGCACGTAAAGTCGTCGCCGTCCTTGGGCAGGGCGCTTTGCGAGACGAGCCATTCGAACTCGAACACGAAGCGCTCGAGGGGCGTCTCGTCGCCCGCCGTCTCCTTGATGACGAGGATGACCCTCCTGATCGTGCCCTGGCGGTACAGAATAGTCAGGAGGCGTTTGACGGCGGGCGAGGAAGCGAGGGGACGCACCTTGTCGAGCTCCTCGTGGATGCACTCGAGCACGCGGCCGAGGTAGGCGTTGAGGGGCGAAGCGCGCGACTGCCAGGTCGGAACGTTGTACTTTTTGACCTGGTGGAACAGCTCTGTGCGCAGCGTACAGAACCTTACAGGTCAGTTCGTCCGAGGGAGAGGAGGGGCGAGGGGCACCGGGCTTGGACGGCAGGGCGCACCTGCAGGGTAGACCTGGCGGATGTACAGGATGGTGTGGAAGGCGACCTCGACTGCGGAGAACAGGATGCAAGGGCGGTCAGCTCGAGAGTCGGCGGGCGAGGTGGGGCGCAGGAGGAGGGGAGGCGGCTCACGGTAGTCGCGCACGAGTTTGAGCACCTCTGCGGGCGGGTGTGCGGTCAGTACGAGATCTATACGGGGAATGCGTGGCTGCACGCACCTTTGTAGGTGAGCTGGCCGCCCATGTCGACTGACCGAGGCGGTGCTTGCGAGGTTGCGGAGGTGGAGAGCGGCGGCGACGGCAGGTGGTGACGGCAGGCGCAGCGCAGGAGGCTGCGACAGCTCTGCAGAGGCGCAGCAGGGCGCAGCGAGCGTGTGTCGAGAGGGATCGAGGTCAAGCCGGATGCGGCTCGCGGGCGGCGATGTCAAACGGCCGCAGCTCGTCTCGTCTCGCTCGCTTTGGGCTCGTTCTTGCTCGCAAGGCCGCAGAAAGAGTGTTTGCGTGGCCTGGTACGACTTACAAGCCAAGTGCTGGCCGAGAGAGAGCGAGGGAGCGGGTTTGGTTGTGGCTCGCGGCGCGGCGTCCAAGTGTGGGCGGCCGCGCCCTCGTCTGAGCGGGCTTTCGACGAGTTCGAGCTGCTGTGGCCGCTCACGACGAGACTCGGGTGGCAACAAGCCCCTCTGTCCGGCCGCACGAGGCGCTGGGAGCGAGTCGGGCTGGGCGCGCCTCTCCTCGCTGCGCCTCCTCCCACCCTCGCCCTCGTTCACTCGCCGCCAGCACCGCCCACTCGCCTGTCCAGAGCAGCGAGTACCTGCCAGCACTCGGTACACCCCCACTCGTCACCCGGCGCACCATGGCAGCAGCCGCTCAAGGCCCGTTCAAGCTCAAGCTCACGCTCGGGGGAGGACCACAAGGGCCATCCGCCACCGCCGCACCACTCCACCCGGCACACCCGGCGCACGCCCACCACCCTCCACCAGCCACCGGTCACCCACCCGCACCACACCCGCCCTCGGCCGCCTACGCTCCGCCTCCCTCGACCTCGTCCCCTCAGCCGCACCGTCAGCCGCCTCCTCCTCCTCCTCCCGGCGCGCCGCAGCACTACGCCCACCAGCCCGCCCACTACCCGCCGCAACATGCGCCTCACCTCCCCCAGTACCACCAGCCTCCAGTCGCCGACGACCACGGCGACCGCGTCTCGGCCAACAAGTACCGCAAGCTCAAGCAGCTCCACCTCGACGCCGTCGCAAGCCGCGACGACGCCCACCTCGCCCTGTACCGCGCCCAGAAGCTCATCGCCCGCCTGCGCGACGACAAGTCGTCCCTCCTCGACCGCGTCGTCGAACTCGAACTCGCCGCCGGCCTCACCTCGGCCGACGTCGCCCACCTGCGCGACCAGGCCCTCCGCTCCGAGCGCGAGCTCGCCTTCCCGCTCCTCCACCCGCCGACCCCGCTCTCGATGGCCGACCGCGCGCGCCCTCGCCCCGTCCTCACCACCTCGACCGACCTCGCCAACGACCAGTACAACGCGCCCATCGGCCCGGCCCCGCTTCCCAAGACGCTCGCGCCCCGCCAGCGCTCGCACCACCTGCGCACCGCCGTCGCGGCGCAAAAGCTCCGCGACGACTACGACGCGCAGCGCGTCGCGCACGGCCTCCCGCGCCCGGCCTTCCCCGCCGTCGCCGTCCTCGGCCTCGAGGGCTCGTCGATCGCGCTCAACGTCGAGCGCGCCATGTCGGGCGTCGAGCTCGTGCCCGCCGCCGAGGTCGCCGCCGCCGCTCGCGCCGGCAAGCGCCCGCGCGAGAGCTCGAGCGGCGTGAGCGGCGGCGCAGCGGCGCGGCCACGAGGGCGGGCCCGCCGCTCGAGCTTCTCGCAGCCGACGGCGGCTGCCGCAGCGAGTGCAGCAGGCGCCGTCGACGCGCCGACGTACAACAACCTGCCCAACCCGTTCGCCGCCGTCGGCGCCGTCCCGCTCGGCTCGACCATGGCGCGCAACAACGCCGAGGCGATCGCGGCCGCCGGGCCGAGCGACGCGCACGCGAGCGCCGTCGCCGCCGCCGCCGGTGCAGCTGCGCCCGAGGCGTCGGTCGAGCCCGACTCGGTCATGGACGACGCGGCGTCGGTCGGCTCGGGCGAGCACGGCGAGGGCGAGGGCTTCCTCGACGAGGACGGCGGCGACTACAAGCCTGCGGCGCGGCGTGCCGGCGCGCGCAAGTCGGACACGGGCGCGGCCGGCGACGGCAAGCTGTTCAAGCCCAAAAAGGTCAAGCAGCACAACCTGACGACGGGCACGTTCAGCATCCCGCCGATCGCCCGCAACCCCGACGGCTCGGTGCGACTCCCGGCGTCGGTCGGCATCATGCAGATCAAGAGCCTCGGCAGTGCGTCCCTCTTTCTCTCTCTCTTTCCTCGCCTTCCTCGTCGTCCTAGACGAGGCTGACCTTTTCCCCTACGTGTCTCGCCTCGCAGCGGTCGACCCTCGTGAAGGCTTCCACACCGAGCGCTACATCTTCCCCGTCGAGTTCGAGGCGACGAGGTGCGCTCCCTCCCCCTACTTCTGCGCGACCGGATCTCGAGGACTCGTCCCTGACCTTCTCCCCTTTCCTCTCGCGCAGGCGCTACCCGTCCATGGTCAACCGCACGGGCACGGCCGACTACACGTGCCGCATCACGGACGGCGGCGACGGCAACGCGCGCTTCGAGCTGTACCCGTCGGACCAGCCGGGCGTCGTCATCTCGTCCGGGACGCCGACGGGCGCGTGGAGCCAGGTCGTCAAGGCGACCAACAAGCTGCGCGAGCGCAACCACTCGAACTCGGTGTCCGGGCCCGACTACTACGGCCTGAGCCACAACGTCGTCAAGGCCATGATCCAGGAGCTCCCCGGCGCCGACTCGGTCCCGGGCTACATCTGGCAGCACTTTGTCGAGGACGCCGCGCAGGCTCGCGCGCCGCCCGGCGGCGCGGCAGGCGGCAAGAAGGCGGCGGCGGCGGCGAGCAGGCGCAAGAGCCGAGGCGGCGGCGCCGGCGCCGGCAACGACGGGTACGACCAGATGTCGCCCGGCGCGAGCGGCGAGATCGCGGTCGACGACGGCGGCTACGGCCTCGACACGGGCTACGACCACGACGAGTACGGCTCGCCAGACGGCTACGCGCCGGGCACGGCGGGCGACTACCAGGTGCAGCCCAACTCGTCGTTGCAGCACCTCCTCGCGTCGGCCAACGCCGCGCCGCCGGCCAACCCGTACGACATCCCGACGAGCATGCCCGGCTCGTCGGCTCTCGACGTCGGCGCCGGCGTCGGTGCGGGCGGCGCCATCGACCCCATGTTCAACCTCGCCGGCGCCGGCTCGGCCGCGTTCGACCCGTACGCCGTCGGCGGGCAGGCCATCATCGACCCGGCCTTCGCCGACGCGAGCACGTACGCGTACCCGATGCAGCCGGGCGGGCAACCCGTCGAGTACCCGTCGTCCGAGGCCGAGTCGGACTAGGTCGGACGGCTACGTCCCGCCGTCGTCGTCAACTCGCCCTTCCTCCTTCCTCCCTCGTCACGCCTCGCCACCTCCTCGTCTTCCTCTCGCATGTCCGCCTGAACCTCGTCGTACCCGGTCCTCCTTCGTCACCTACTCGCGCCCTCGTCGTTCGGCAGACTCGCACCTCGAGGCCGGCGCGCCTCGTCCTGCGCCGCAATTGAGCTCGTTGCGCCTGTCGCGAGCCGTCTTTGAGAGGCTGTCCGGCTTTGTCTCTGCTTCTTGCGTCGAGGCAGGCAGTGGCTGTCGTGAACTTTCCCTTCCTCCTTCCCCTCTTCTTCCTCTCCTTCCTCCTCCTCCTTTCCTCCTCGCTCAGCCCGCGCTCTGCCATCGACTCGCCTCGCGCGAACCGCCTATCGAGGCGCAGAGTGCGTGGCACACGCCGCAATCGCGCTCAACGCGTCGCGAGCCGTCACGCTCGTCCTCCCTCGGGAGCGAGCCCTGAGCGCAGAGTAACTCTTCTCGGCCGCCCTCTCTTCGCCCGTCGCCCTTCTCTTTTCCTCTCTCGTCGATCGTGCGGCATCGAGCAGTGGATGTGGTCCTCTCGGGCTGCTCCTTGCGCGACGTCGGCGTCGTCGAGCAGGAGGGACGAGGAGGGTCCGGGCGCAGCGAGGGACCAGGTCGCGCGAGCCCACCCCCTCTTTCAGGGCTGCGCTGTCGCAAGGCGCACGCGGTCGCAGCAGTAGACTGAGGGGGACATGCTGTCGATGCAGAAAGCGGGATCGCTACAAGTGGGAAGTGCGGGAGGGGAAACTGGAATACAAGGCTCGTCGACGGGTATACGGTCGTGTGTTCTCCCCCTCGTCCTCGGTCCTCCTCTCGCTCAGAGGAGTAGCGCTGCGCCGGCGCCGGCGAGAAGAGAGAGGCCCGCCGCCGCCGAGAGTCCTGCTCGTACGCCGCTCGCACCGCTCGGGACGAGGTTGAACCCTTGCTCGTTCGGCCCGCCGGGCGCAGGTGCGGCAGTGATACCGCCTGCTGGTGCGCTTGACGAGGAGGACGAGACCGGCGCCGGAGAAGGAGAGGACGAGGACGTGACCGAGGTGATCATGCCGCTCGAGGTCGAGGTCGAGTCGGTGCTCGCTGGCTCGTACGACAACGTTTCGGTCGACGAGGGCTCGACCGTCGTCTCCTCGGTGGACGTCGGCGCCGCCGCTGCCCTCGTCTCGGTCGAGGAAGCCGACGCTTCGGCTTGAGTCGAGCTGTCGACGTCCGACGAGGAGGAGGACGTCGGCGACGGCCCGTTAATCTCGTACGACCCGATTGCGAACACGTCCGAGTCGCAGTAGACAGTCGCAGGGTTGGCCGGGTCGCTGAAGAAGAGCTGGTCTGCGAGGGCGAAAAGCGCGTGAGTCTCGACGAAAAACGGGTCCGTGCGAGGAGAAGAGGACGCACAGCCTGGGCCCGGGACGAACTTGTCGGTCGCTGCGACGTCCAAGTAGGTCGATGCAAGCGAGTCGACCTTCGTCGCAAGAAGCAGCTGCGCGAGAGAAGGCCATGAGCGAGCTGAACTCGAAGTCGACGAAGAACGAGGGCGAACTTACGTTCAGCGACGGCGTGTACATGGCGCCGACGCCGTTGCGCAGGTAAATGTCGAAGTACTGTGTCGCAAGCCCGTCAGTGACAGAGCAGGACCGAAGAGAGTGACGGCGGGCGCACCTGAGTGGCTGGAGGAGGAGACGTCGCCGGGAGAAGGGACCACTCGATGCGAGCATCGCCGTCGGCGCTTTGGCTGCGGTTCAACGAACGAATCAGTATACTCGAGGTGCCCAAGAGGACGAGAGAGGCGACACACCTCCAAACGCTCGTCGCCGTCGGCGACGAGACGACGATGGCCTGAGCCACGCCGGCGAGGACGACCAGCGCCGCAGCTGTCGCACGTCCGAGCATCGTGTCGGCGAGTCTTGAGGGTTCGGCGGGAACGTCGGGTCGAATGACGGACTGATGAGGACGGATGCCAGGGGTGAGAACCGGCGATGGAGGCTGGCTCGAGGCCGGCGAGGAGCGAAAGACGGGTCGAACGAGTGTGGGAGGCCCTGAGGATGGGCGTAGGCGGGCCGCGCGCTCAGCAGGGAGCAGCAGGCGTGGGATACAGAGGTCGAGAGAGCGAGGAACGCAGACAAAGAGTCGAGCGGGAAGCGAGAGAGCGAGCCTCGAAGCCTGTTTGGGAAGGTCGACGAGCGACCTTCAAGCCCCGGTTCAGGAAGGGCCGGAGCGCAAGAGGACGCCGCACGAGGCTAATGACCTCGATCGAGCACGAGGCCCGTTGCGAGGCGACAGGAAGCCGTCGCCGAGGCAGCTCGAGCCGGCGAGGTTCGACGACGACGTCGACGGCGCATCTTTCGCTCGTCGCGCACAGGGGAGAGGGTCGGTAAAGCACAGCAGTTGATTCGAGACAGCTAGATCTACAAGGAGAGGATGAGGTGCGCCGAACCGCATGGAGGGTACGAAAGGAGGAACAGGAGGCCCGAGCGGCGACGACGACGACGACGAGCTTAGTGCTTGAACTGCGACTCGGTGACGCCGGCGCCCATGGCAGCAGTCGACGAGATGCCGCCCGTGACCGTCTTGAGCAGGTTGTCGGCGTAGTCGGCGCCGGACCACTGCGAGCGGGGAGGAGAAAGGTGAGCGAGCTGCATGGCGACGACGACGACGGCGAGGAAAGAGGTCGAGACGCACCTTCTGGTGCGTGAGGACGTCGCAGCCAATCTCGCGCTCGCGCTCCTGGACGATCTTGACGTACGCCTTCATGCCGTCCTGCAAAAGGGCGAAAGAGGTCGAGGTTAGGAAGGCCGATCTGGTTCGAGGCGGGCGAGAGGAGGAAGGGGGACGCACCTTTGCGAAACCAGCAGCGAACAGGTCCGAGATGTAGGCGTTCGAGTGCAGGCCGGCGAGCTGTGCGGCGAGGGAGAGAGAGAGAGAGTCAGGCTCGGTCCCGAGGGCTCGCTGATGACGACGACGACGACGACGACGACGACGACGACGACGACGACGACGACGAGGGGGAAAAGAAAATGAGACGCACCGTGATGAACTGCCAGACGAAGCCGAGCTTGCCGAGGTCCCACACGTAGCTCTTCATCTGGTTCTCGTCGAGGCCGGCCGCGCTCCAGTTGAACGACGGCGAGAGGTTGTAGGCGAGCCACTTGCCCGGGTGGACGGCGTGCACGCCGTCGGCGAACTCCTTGGCCTGCTCGTAGATCGGCTTCTTGGTCTCCATCCACAGGAGGTCGCAGTAGGGCGCGAACGCGACGGCGCGGTTGATGGCGCACTGCGTGCCGCCCTGGTACCGGTAGAAGCCCTCGCGGGTACGGGGCGCGTCCCAGTTCCAGTAGGGCTCGACGCCGAGGATCTGCTTGGCGAGCTTCTTGGCCTTGCGGTGCGAGACGTGCGCCGACTGCTTGATGAACTCGTCAATCTGCAAGGGTAGGGAGGAGAGGAAGAGTAAGCGACTCGCTCTCGCGCGACGACGACGGCCTCGACAGGGGGTAGAGGAGGGACGCACCTTGGACTGCGAGGCACCCTTCTGCTTGGCGGCGGCGGCGACGCACTCGGAATAGAGCATGAGCTTGGCGCCCTGGGTCCAGTCGTCCTCGACCTTTTGCAGCGCCTCGCCGACGACGTTCTTGCGCTCGGCCTCGTTCATGGCCGACACGAGGTCGTCGAGGTCCTCGTTGGTCGAGCCGAGGATGAACGGGTGGTCACGCTCGTCGACGTTGGACGAGAGGAGGGTCGCCGCCTCGGCGTCGGTGCGCGCGACGGCGAGGTTCTCGACGCCCATGATGTCGTACTGGAGGCGGATGGCGAGGAGGCGGTTGATGTGCTCCGAGATAGGGACGAGGACCTTGCCGGCCATCTGCGAGAGGGCGAGGTGGAGGAGAAGGGGTCAGTTCGAGTCGTCGCGAAAGTCGACGAGGGAGATCGAGGGAAACGAGGCCGACGCACGTGGCCACACTTCTTGGTTCCCGGCATCTGGTCCTCGACGTGGATGCCCGCCGCGCCCTTCTCGACGAACATCTTGGTGAGCTTCATGACGGCAGTCAGGCCGCCGTGGCCCGTGTCGGCGTCGGCGACGATGGGGCGCAGGTAGTCGATGTAGGGCGTGTTCTTGCGCTCTTCGGGGCTCATGCGGGAGCGAGCCTCGCGCTGCTTGCGGTCGTGGAAGAGCTGGGCCATGAAGAGGTGCTCGACCTTGTTCGGGACCGTGTTGGACGGGTAGTCGGCGAGGTCGGGGCCGGGCTCGTTGCTCGACGAGGCGGTCGACGACGACTGCCAGCCCGAGACGTAGACGGTCTCGAGGTGCTTGGCCATCTGGGTGACCTGGACCGGGTCGAGACTGCGAGGACGAGAGCGAGGCGAGGAGGGGAAGGAGGGGGGAGAGGACGGGGGTCAGCTCGGAGTCGACTGCGGCCATGCGGCTCGACTGTGCTGCTCATCCTCGCCGCACAGTGCCCATGAGCAGTGGGAAAGGCGAGGACGCAGCTCGAGGCTCGCCCCAGATTTCCCCGCGGACACCGCCTCCTCCGCACCCGGCAACCTCCTCCGGACGACGACGACGACGACTGGGTGACAGGAGAGGGGAAGGAGGACGCACGCGCCATAGGTGTGCGACGGCTCGCCTCGGCTGAAGCGCTCCTCGAGGAGCTTGTGGAGCTTCTTGCCCTGGACGGCCGACGGGTACGAGGGCTGGAGGGTGCCGCGCTTCGAGACGACGTCTTCAGGCGACCAGGTGCGGATCAGGCCCTTGAACCGGGGCGACTGCGTGGGAGGGAGGGGCGAGGGGGGCCGCAGGTCAGGTCGGGTTGCTCGTGCGAGGAGCCGGGCGTGGTCGAGGGGAGCGGGGGAGCTCACCTGCCACCAATCCTTGACGGCGGCGACCTCCTGCGCAAACACCTCGTCCTCGCGAGCTTCGAAAGAGTTGACCATGGCGGGTAGTAGCAGTGGTGGTGGTGCTGGGTCGCGTGAGAGAGGGAGAGAGGAAGGGAGAGCGAGTCGGAGGGCGCGAGCCCTTTCAGGCGCGACATCGCCGGTTCGACCAAGCCCGCGGACTCGCTTTCCCCTCGGCTTTTTGCTCGCACGCTCTCCGTCGCTCGAGCCTGTTGACTCTCGTCCCAGCCGATCAGCAGGCCACCTGCACGCGACCGCTCTGTCAAAGTCGGCCAGCTGCCCGTCTCCGCCCAAGTCCACCTCTCGACGAGTCGACCTCGTCCGACGATTGTTGCCCGCTCGCACGTCCTGCGTCGAGACAAGGCGAGAGAGAGACAACGAGAGGAGCGAGAGGAACCGCTCGCTCGAGGTGGGACGGGCACGCGTCGGAAGAACCGGGTCGAGACGATGCAGGAGAGGGGAGGCACGTGCGAGAGGATGGGGGTATGCAACAAGGGGGGAGGGTACACAGTACAAGGAAGAGGGTCAAGAAGGGCAATCAGTCGTAGATCTGCGGCAGGAGAGGGAGGACGACGAGTCAGTGCCGGGTCGACGAAATGCGAGCGAGAGAGAGAGGAGACGCACAGCCATCGGCCTGCGAGCGGCGAGAACGAGTCAGTCAGTAAGGCCGGGCACGGACGTCGAGAGGGAGTGAGAGAGGACGCACGGAATGCGGTCCTTGGAAAAGAGGAAGTTGCCGCCGGCCGACTCGGCCTCGAGGAACCTGCAGAGCGAGCGCGCAACGTCAGGACGGCGCAGAACGAGAGCACGAGAGAAAGGTGAGCGTACCTGGTCGGGAAGACGACTGCGAGAGAGGGAAAGAGAGAGCAAAGTGGGTCAGTCGAGGCGCAAGAGACGATGAGGAAAGCGGACGACGCACCGAGCTGGCCCGTCACCTCCTCGAGCAGGGCCTCCATCTGCTTGCGCTCCTCCTCCGGGAACGCTTCGTCGTGGTCGTGGCCGTCGGCGCCGCCCTTGTCGTCCTTGCCGCCGTCCTTGCTGCCGCCGCCGGCGAGCGTCGAGCTCCTCCCTCGGCCCTTCTTCTCGTTGAGCGCCGCGCCGCCGACGTCGGCCGACGAGTCCTCGCTGCCGCCGGGCACCGTCGAACGGGCGCGACGCGAGATGGTCGAGCCGCGCTGGCGCGAGCGCTCGATGCCGTCGACCTTGGACTGCGGCACGTCGAGCTTGTCGCCGTTCTGGCCGGACGGGCTCTCGCCGGCCGTCGAGCTGTTGCCCTGCCGCACCGCGTCGTACGCGCCGAGACCCTTCTCGAGGAGGACCTCCTTCTCGGTCTTGTCGCCGCCTCGGGTCCACATGCCGAAGCCGGGGACGCCCGTGTGCTCGTCGACCTTGCCCGCCGCGACGTGCACGTTCTGGTCGACGTGGTTGCGCGTCGAGTTCTCCTTGTCCATCGTCTTGCCCTCCTCGTCCTTGCCCTGGCCCATGGCGCCGCCGCCCGAGCCTCCTCCTCCGGCGCCGTGCTGGCCCGAGTGGCCGGCCGGGTTCGAGTGCGGCGGCTCGTCGCCGGCGGGCACGACGTTCTTGGGCGGCTGCGGACGAGCGAGAGAGAGGCAGATGTGAGCTCGAGGCGCTCGAGGAAGGGGGAGGAGGAGGGAGGAAGAGGCCGGCGACGCACCTTGTTGTGGCGCTCGGCCCAGTTCTGCGACGACGAGGGGCACAGGGTCAGGTCGAGGACACAGGGGAGGACGCCCACAGACAGAGAGAGGGAGGGAGAGGGGGCGCACCTGGAACTCGCGGTACTGCTTCCACGTCTGGACGAGGTCGTCGGGCATGGTGCGGAACACCTTGCGGAAGATCTGCGTGTTGCGCACGGCGGCGGCGAGCCACACGTCCTTGTAGAAGCCGTCGACGAGCGGGTCGGCAAAGCCGTACGGGTCGACCTCGGGCGCCGGCGTCGGGATCGTGTACGCGCCGCGCTCGCGCAGGTTCTTGCGCAAGGCGGTCGTGACGGCGTTGCGGTTGACGGCCTGCTCGTTGCCCTGCGCCTGCGACGCCGTGCGCTGCTGGTGCAGGGGCCGCTTCTTGTCGTCGTCGTCCTTGGTGCCGTCGGCCTTGCCGTGCGCCGGGTCGAGGTCGGGCGGGTCGTACCTCGCCTCGGGCGGGTTCGGGTCGACCTTGATGGCCTTGTCGGCCTTGCCGTGCTTGGCGTCGGGCCCGTCCTCGTCGATCGACGACAGGGGAGCAGCCGCCTCCTCGGTCGGGTCCGACATGGGCAACTTGCGCGTGTCGTCGACCTTGGACTCGTTCTGGGTGAACTCGGCGCCCTCCTGGCTGCGCTGCGGGTGCCGCTCGCTCGGGAGGTCCTCGCCGCCGTTCTGACGCGGCATGGGCGCGCCGTGGTCGCCGTGCGCCTCCTGCTCCTCCTCGCGCCGCTGCGCCGGCGAGCGCGTCGTCGGGCCCTCCTCGCGCTCGCGCTGCGCGACCTGCTTGCGCTGCGAGGCGCCGTCGTCGTCGCGGTGCTCGGGCGGCGGCCGGTTCTCGGTCATGACCTTCTCCTCGATGGTCGGGACGACGCTCGACGCGAAGCCCGGCGTGCCGTCCTGGCCCTGGACGATGCGGTCGGCGTTCGTCTCCTCGTCCTCGGCGACGGCCGACGGCGGCTTGTTCTCGCGCTCGTCCATGTCGACCCGGAGCGTCTGGCGCACCTTGCCCGCCGTCTTTTCGAGGCCGAGCGACGCCGCCTCGACCGTGCCGCCTGCGACGCCGCCGGTGTACTCGGCCGCCGAGCCGAGAGCGCTGCGGATGAAGCGGTCCGTCTTGCCCGCCTTGGCGCCGCGGTTGGTGCCGTGGCTCTGCTCGCTGTCCGGGTCCCACTCCTCGTCGCGGTGCTGGATGTGGTCGGCCTCGCGCGCCTCGAGCTCCTCGCGGCCCTCGGCCGACTCGATCTCGTCGACGTCGATGCCGAGGTGCTCGCGCATGAGGCGCACACGCATCGTGTGCGCGAAGCGGCCGACCTTGTACGGCTTGCCCGCCATGGTCGAGTCGATCATGTCGGTGTCGCGGATGATGCACGCGAGCTCCGAGTCGCGGTCGCCGCGCTGCGAGCGCTCGTTGATGTTGGCCGAGCCGATGATGGCGATGCGGTCGTCGACGATCATGCCCTTGGCGTGGATGTAGGTCTGCGGGAGGGCAGGAAAGAGTCAGGGACGGGGCTCGAGACGGATGAGGACGAGGTCGACGCACCGACTCGGTCGTGAGGGCGCCGTTGCTGAGCTTGCCCCACGCTCGCAGGCCGAAGAAGGTGATGTACTCGTCCGGGTCGATGCCCTCGCGGCGCAGGCGCGCAAAGATCGAGTGCTCGCCGCGGCAGATGGTGCGGAACTGGCACTCCATAATGAGGCGGACCGAGGACGCCTCCGAGTGGTCGAGCGGGTACGGGTCTGCGCGAGGAGGAAGATCGTCAGGTCGAGGGAGAGGGAAGGAGAGCGCAAGGGGAGAGAAGGCGACGTACAGCCCGGGATGAGGGGGACGACGACCATGGCGCGCCACGGCGTGCCCTCGGTGTGAGCGCGGATGATGCGCGACACGAGCGCGTCGCCGATCTTGTTCTCGATGATGGTGCCCTCGCACTCGCTCGAGCTGATGAAGAACTGGTTCTGCAGGCGAGAAAGGACGACGAGGAGGTCGTCGAGGAGTCAGTCCGACCGTCGCACGCGCACGACGAGGGGGAGGAGAGAGCGAGGGCGCACCTCGATGTAGACAAAGTGGTCCGAGAGCTGGATCGACTTGATGTAGGCGTTCTGGATCGAGTGCTCGACGTGCGAGATGCCCATGGACCACGGGCCGACCGAGCGACAGATCTGGACCTCGCACGTGCCCGTGATGCGCTGGCTCTGGAGCTGCTCAGGCGTAAAGTCGGGCGCCGGGATGAGGAACGGCATCTTAACCGTGTGGTTCTTGGTGCGCAGGAGGTAGTTCCAGCGCTGCATGAAGTGGCGGCACAGGTCGCGCGCCGGCTGGCCGATGATCTGCAGGCCGATGTCGTGCCTGCGAGAGAGAGTGTGGGTCAGAGAGGGCACGTAGAGAGAGGGAGAGGGAGGGGGCGAGGAGGTAGAGAAAGAGGGACGGGACGGACCAGGGCTGACGCGGGACCTTGCTGCGGTCGTACATGTCCTCCTCGGGCTTGTTGAGCGTGTGAAAGTCGAGCACGCGCTGGTTCGAGTAGTCCTTGCCGGGCCAGATCTGCGCCTTGGCCGCCTCGTCGTCGCTCACCTTCTTGCCGTCGACGCCGTCCTTGAGCGGGTTGGGCCCGTCGTCGGTCAGGACGTGGCCCGGCGTGTCCCACCGGCCGAAGCACAGGTCGAGGCCGCCCATGAAGCCGATGGTCTCGTCGATGACGCACATCTTCTCGTGCTGCAGGGGTGAAAGAGAGTCAGGGCAAGGTCCAACGAGAAAGGGCTCGACGGCGCCGACGAGTGAGAGAGGGAGAGAGAGGAGGACGCACGTGCGACCAAAGGAGCGTGCCTGTCGACGTGTGCGACGGCGAGCGCTGGACGTGAATGTTGGGGTGCAGGCCTCGCAGGCGCGTCTTGGTGTAGGTCGAGTCGACCGGCGTAAAGTCGTTCGACACCTCCTTGTACACGATGACGAACACCTGGACGCCCTCGCGGGCCTTGCGCTGCAAGAGGCGGTCGAGGCGCCATTTCTCTGCGGCCGGGGAGGAGGAGGCGAGCTTGGGAAGGTCAGTACGAGAAGGGGTCCGAGCGACGAGGCGGGAGGGACGGTCTCGACGCACCGTTCTTGATGGCGGGACGACGCAGGTACAGCTCGGGCGAGAGCCACCAGTCGTGGATGCTGCAGGGCGGGAGGAGGTGGTCAGAGCGCGAACGAGACGAGCCGGGGCCGAGGAGAGAAATCTCGACGCACTAGATCTTGTGCTTGGCGAGCGCGATCGCGCGCGAGAGGCTCCAGAAGTAGTCGCGCTGTCGAGGGAGATGCCGTCAGGAATGCCCACACCGAGAGAGGCTCGCCGAGGAGGGAGGGAGAGAGGGACGCACCCCGTCGATGAGCCACTGAGCGGCGACGTTGAGGCGGATCGGCGCAAAGCTGTCGAACCGGTTCCTGCCGGCCCAGATCGTCTTGGCGAGCATCTTCTCGATCGAGGCGATGAACTGGTCCTGCTGGCGCTCGGTCTTGGCGACGAGGCGCAGCTTGCGCTCGCTCGAGCGCAGGTAGAACGTGTGGGTCGACGAGTTCTTGAGGCCGTTGCCGTCCTCGTCGTCCTGCATGTTGGGGTGCGTCGTCGACGGGTCGCGAGGGTCGGCGACGCCCCGGTGGCCCGAGGGCGGCGTCGGCTCGTCGGCGAGCAGGTCGGCGTGGCCGGCACGCAGCTCGTCGTCGCCGTTGAGCGACTCGCGCGAGCCGTCGGGCTGCAGGAGGTTGAGGCCCTTGCGGTACACGCGCGTCGGGCGCTCGATCTCGAACGTCGAGTCGACCATGATCACGTCGAACACGTCGGTCTGCGGGCGGCGAGGACAGGGTCACTGGGTGTCGACGACGACGGACCGAGGCAGGAGAGTCGAGGACGCACCGATGCAGGGCTCTCGACAGCGACGATGTAGCTGTCGCGGACGATGAACCACTTGGGCTCGTGGCGCTTCTTCCAGCTGATCGGGTGGAAGCCGGGCTGCTTGCGCCTGCCGCCGCTCGACGACGTGACGCGCTGCGGGTCCGAGGAGCGTCAGTACGAGACGCAAGAAGAGACTGTGAGAGAGGAGGACGCACGAGGTAGCCCTGCTTGCCCTGCTCGCCGCCCCGAGTGGCGAGCTGGATCGACATGGCCGAGATCTCGAGGAACTTGCACAGGCGGTTGGCGCCGGCGCCGAACATCTGCGTGTCGCTCGTCGGGCCATCAGTATCGAGTGTGGACCCTGAGGAGGCGAGGAGAGAGAGAGAGAGGGACGCACGGTCGCACGAATGAGCTTGAGAAGGTAGTTCTCGAGCGCCTCGCGCTGCATCCTCGCAAAGTCGGCCTTGCCAACGTTGCCGCGCCCCTCGCTCTTGAGCCAGTTGAGGTACGGCAGGCTCGTCTTGGGGAACGCCGGGAACTTGTCGATGCCCTGGCGCAGGTTGGCGACGCGGTAGTGGGCGTGCAGATTGACAAAGTCCTTGAGCTCGCGGTAGATGACCCACTTGACGGCGCTGTCGCCGTACTCGAGCTCGATGCGGAAGATGGCGTGCTTGTCGTGGAACGGGTAGACCGAGTCGGTGATGCGCAGCTCTGCGAGCGAGAGGGCGAACGAGGGTCAGTGCGCGCAACGACGACAACAACGGCAGGCGAGACGGCGAGCGAGACGACGCACTGAGGTAGTTCATGAGGATCGGGATGCGCTTGTCGCCCTTGTCGTCGCGGTCCATGGTGCCCATCTTGACGAGGACGAGCGGGAGCGCGCCGGTCGACAGTTCCTGCGAGACCACGATCCTCGTCAGTCGTCGCCTCGGTAAGGAAGGCTCGAGAGGGAGGGAGAGAGAGAAGGTGACGCACAGCGACGAGCTCGTGCCCGGTGAGCGACGCGCCCTGCTTCTCCTTCTTCTTCTTGGGCTGCACGCCGCCGAGCTTGTTGCGCACGACGTTCCACGCGCTGCCCCTCCTCGCGCTCCCAGCTCCCGCTCCACCGTTCGCCGCCGGCCGCTTGGGCCCCGGTCCTGGCGCACCCGAGCCCTCGTCGTCGCTCGCGCCCTCGCGCGGCGTGCTCGCGCCCGACTCGCCCTCGCGGTGGTGGCCAGGGAGATGCAGGTGCGGCAACGACGACGACGGCGAGCCGGCGCCCCACAGGCTGCCCCTGCGGCTCGACGAGGCGCCGCCGGCGCCGCCTTGGCCCGGGCGAGAGTGCGCCGGCGCGTCCGTGTCGAACTGGTCGCGCGTCTCGTCCTCCCAGTCGTCGCCCTGCAGCTGCTCGTGCGCCGGCGCCGCGCCGTGCATGCTCCTCGGGCGCGCAGGCGTCGTCGTGCCGCTGGCGCCGTCGCGCTCGGCGGCGCCGGCGCTCCTCCTGCGCTCGCGGTTCTTGCTCGCCTGCCGGCTCCCGGCGCCGCTCGACCCTCCGCCGCCCGCACCGACGGCCTCGGCCGTCTTGCGCTTGAGCGCCTCGACGGCGTTGCGAGCGCTCTGGGCACGGCTGCGCGGCATGCCGGCGCCGTCCGACTTGCCCGCGCCGGCCGCCGTCGTGTTCGGGTCGTCGTCCTCCTCGCCGCGCAGGATGCGCGCACCGCGCTCGAGGTCGGCGGCCGTGAAGGCGCCGCGCAGGTGCGTCGAGCCGCCGGGCCCGTCGGACGACGACTCGCCGCTGCCCTGGCGCTGCTGGTCGGTGCGGCGACGACCGGGCTGACCGGCGGCGGCGGCGGTGGGCGACTTGGGGCCCTCGACGTCGCTCCAGTCGCTCGCGCTCGCGGCAGCGGCGCTGCTCGCACCGTCGTCGGGCGCCGACTTGGGCGTGCGCGACTGGCGGCGGCGCGGCTTGGCGGCCTCGGACGAGCGACGCCCTGCCGACGGGCTGCGCGCCGCCGACGACGACGACGAGGGCGAGCCGGGCGAGGTCGCGAGGCGCAGAGGCGAGCGCACGCCGGCGCCGGCGGGGCCGTTCGGGCTTGCGACGGGCGTGCCGCCACCGTTGGTCGACACGGACGACGTGCGGCTCAGGTCGGCGATGCGGCCCGGGCTCTCGGTGCGCTGCTGCTGAGCGGCGGCTGGAGCGGCGGCGTTGGCGAGGAAGAAGCCGCCCTCGCCGTCCTCGCGAGGGTGGACGAGCTGGGCGGCGCCGAGGGTGGGCGCGCCCGAGAGCGGGGCGCCCGCGGCGTCGCCGAACCAGTTGAAGCTCGCCTGAGAGCGGTGCTTGGGGCGCGGGACGTCGAGGCCGAGCGGGGACGAGGGGCCCTGGGGCGGGCTCGAGGGCGGCGACGAGAAGGAAGGGATGGGCGGGAGGAGGTAGTCGTCGCCCATGGTGGACCTGCGCGAGGGCGAGCGCGACTGGGCCGGGGATGCACGCTTGCTCGACGACGATGTAGTCGGCGGGTGGCTCGACTTGAGGAGGTTGAGCGAGGCGTTGGCGGGCGGGCGCACGAGGGTCGGGGTCGAGGGGGACGAGGCCGAGTCGCGCTCACGGGCGGCCGGGGACGCGCCGCTCGAGGTAGGGTTTGTGACGGCGAGCGAGTTGGCGGCGCCGACGTCGACGGGGCGCGGGCGTTGCTTGAGGTTGTCGGGGGACGAGGAGGCGGTGCCCGGTTGCGGCTGGTCGTGGACCGACTGCTTGTCGGCGAGGGCCTTGTGGACGATGTCGGAGAAGTCCATGGTCGACGCGGGCTCGTCGCTCGGGCAGAGCGGCGGGCGATGGATGCTGCGGCTCGAGTTGGCCGAGTCCGGGGGGCGGGCGGACGAAGGGGAGGGGGCAGCGAGGGAGCGCTCTGCTGGGGGAGCGGGAGGTGGCTCGGTGCGGGTGTGCTCGAGTGTGGACCCTCTCAGCTGAACAAGGGAGAGCAGGACGAGGAGGGAGATGACGGCGGGCGGGTGCCTCCTCCCTCCAGCTCGCTCTCGTCGTCCCTCTCTCAGACCGATTCACCTGCCTCGAACAACTCGGCCACAACCACAGCCGTGCAGCCACCGCACCCCGCAACCCGCCCGCCCTCGCCTCGCTCGCTCCACCTCTCCCCGAGCCCAGCCCTCGCTCTCGCCCCCCACTTGGTCGCCCCCATCGCCCGTCCGACCATGAGCCTCTTTGGCCTGCGCAGGTCCGACAAGCACAAGAACAAGGGCCCAGCTCCGACCTCGCCCACCAACGACGACGAGCGCGAGGGCCGCTCCCAGTCGCGCGGCCGCTCCCTCTCGCCTTGGCGCCGCTCGTCAAAGTCGCGCTCGCGCAACCGCGCCATCCAACAGCCGCGCAGCCGTGACCCCTCGGCCGAGGGCGTCCGAGGCGACGACACCGAGGGCGAGAGCGAGGGCGAGAACGCCCGCCCGATGCCCCTCGTCCAGGTCGCCAACGCCTTCGAGGACGACTCGGACGACGACAGCGAGGCCGGCAGCGTCGCCACCGCCGGCTCGCGCGACGACTTTACCGACGACGACGACGACGACCTGTTTGACGCAAACGGCGACTTCTTCGACGAGGAGGTCGAGAAGAACACCGAGGTCCGCCCCTCTCTCCCTTCTCCCTCTCTCTCTCCCTCTACGAGCTGACCTCGGTCCTCACGCGCAGGCCAACGCCTCGGCCGACACGCCGTTCGACTTTCTCACGCGCGAGGGCACGACCATGGTCTACCCGGGCGAGGGCCCCAACCTCCTCCCGCCGACCGACCCCATGTCGGCCGCCTTCCGCGCCGGCGCCATGCCGCAGCGCACCCCGGTCGCCACCCCTCTCGCGACCCCGACCCTCGCCAACCCGTCCCCGTCCTCTACCGCCGCACCCTCGTCGTCGGCGGCGACGCGCACCAACCCGCGCACGTCCCTCCCGCCGCGCCGCCGCCCAACCCGCTCCGGCACCCTGTCGTCGGCCGCGCCCAAGCTCGAGCTGCACACGGGCCGTCCCACGTTCAAGAAGAACCGCTGCACGGTGACGATCACGCACGGCGAGCCGGACCGGGTCCTCGAGGAGAGCGGCGGGAGGAAGCAGCGCAGGCGGTACCTCGTCGCGAGCGACTTGAGCGAGGAGTCGATGTACGCCATCCAGTGGGCGATCGGGACCGTCATTCGCGAGGGCGACGAGGTGCGTCCCCCCTCTCTCTTTCTCCTTCCTCCCGCAGGCGCCTTGACTGACCCTCGTCGTCTCGCCCGCAGTGCATCATCGTCTCGGTCATGGAGACCGACACCAAGCGTGCGCCCCTCTCTCGCTCTTCTCGTTCCCTCTCCCGGTCCTGACGCACCTCCCTCGCACCCGCAGTCGACCAGGACCACCCCGACGCGGCGGCCAAGCAGTCCAAGATCGCCAACCAGCGCGAGCGCCAGGCGGCGTGCCTGCAGCTCGCCCGCGGTGCGACGGCCCTCCTCGAGCGCACTCGCCTCAACGTGCGCATCGTGTGCCAGGCCATCCACGCCAAGGTGCCGCGGCACATGCTCGTCGACATGATCGACTACCTCGAGCCGACCCTCGTCCTCGTCGGCAGCCGAGGCTTGACGAGGCTCAAGGGGTCCGTCACCCTCTCTTTCTCTCTCCTCTCTTTCTCGAGCACGTACTGACTAAGTGTCGGTGTGCGCGCGCAGTATGCTCCTCGGATCCACGTCCAACTACCTCATCCAGAAGTCGTCGGCGCCCGTCATGGTGCGTCCCTCCTCTCCCTTCCCTTCTTCCCGTGCCCTCTCTGTCCCTCACTCGAGCCTCACAGGACGCGTCACTGACCGGGATCGTCCCGTCGCACAGGTCACCCGTCGCCCGCTGCGCGTCTCGCGCACCGTCCACCGCAAGCTCGCCTCGCTCGACCGCATGCCGCGCACGTCGCTCGCCGACGCCACGATCGACAAGGAGTCGCACGCGCAGGCCGTCGACGACCCGGAGGACCGCGCGACCGAGGGCGAGGACGTCAAGGAGCGCGTCGAGGAGATGAGCGTCGGGCAGGGGCAGGGGCAGGGCGGTGGGCAGGGCCTCGGGAGGGTCGTCAGTCGGGAGACGGGGCCGTGAGTGGGTCGAGTGCGTGCGCGACGAGGAGGAGGGTTTGTACCGGCGTCTGCCCTTTGTGCGTTTAGCAATCTCACCTCTCGTTCTCCTTCTCTCCTCTGCGCGAGCCTGACTCTCTTTCTCCCTCGCCTTCTTCTCCCTGCCTCTCTCGTGCGACTCAACAGGTACATGTTCGACAGGTACGTGTTCGAGCACGCCTCGCACAGTCGCCTCGTGTCCCGTCTTCGTCCCGCTCGAGCCCCTCTTTCCGGCGCATCGTCCGCCGTTCGACTCGACCGTCTGCGCCTCCTCGGTGTTGCCGCTTCTCGTCCGCGATCGGCTGCGGGCAGCTCAGGCTATAGGGCGGCGCACCGAGCGCGCCGCTCTCGGCTGGCGCAGGCTGCCGAACGCCTCTTTCGCTCTCCCTCTCCCTCATCCCGCTCTCCTTCGCCTCGTCGCCGCCGTCATGTCCGCCGTCGTGTCCTGCGTGATCCCGACCGGCATCCTCGCGCGCGACAAGTTCCTCAGCCCGCACTTTACCGGCCTGCACCTCGTCCTCAAACACCTGATCCGGACCAAGCGCCGCGACCCGAACAGGTTCGTCGTCAGGGACAGGTCGGCGCTCATCCGGTGGCGAGAAGCCGTCGAGGATCATCTCACGTCTGCATGGGTCGCCGCGCCGGCGGAGCATCGCGAGCTGTTCGCCAAAGCCATGGTCTGGTGGGACCGTCGCCTGCAGCACGGAGACCTCCTGATCGCCCAGATGGTGCGTCTCGCTCTCTTTCTCTTCCTGTCCTTCGGGTCGACGAGACATCTTCTCACGCCTCTCGTCGCTCGCAGCCGCCGACATCGGTCCTCAAAGGGTGGCTCGGCGGCGACACGAGGATGGAGCGGTACTGGGACGAGGACACCAAGACGTGGAGGACGCACCTGCCCCACGACCTGGCACGAGCGTCTGCCGCTGCGCACTCGCTCTCGAAGGCGCCGAGGGCGCAGCTCGGCCTGAGGGCGGCGCAGATTTACGGGCTCGACGGGCAGGACTGGGAGGAGAGAAACGCGGCGAGGCGGTTCTAGCAGGTGCGCTCACTGTTCCTCTTGTCCCTCGCCTCGACAATTACGTGCAACTGATGCGCTCGTCGAGACCCAGTCCTGCAGGGTGAGCTAGACGTCGACTCTCTCGAGTCCGCCTCTTCCCTTGCGGCTCGTTCTCCTTTCTCTGCCTACTCGAACCTGCATTGCACTCCTCGCTCTTGTCCTTCGACGACGAGCATCTCGTGCATCGAGCGAGAGACTCAGCCAGCGAAAGATAGCGCAAGCCGAGAGAGGTCCGTGCGCCAAATCGCCCACTTGCGAAGGTCGAGCTGGACCTCTGAGCTGCCGCCGAGGCTCGCAGCGTTCTCTTGCGCTGGCTTTACGCGCACGGTTGTCTTTCGGCCTCTACTTTAGCTGTGTACCTGCGTTACTACCGCGCTTTTGACGAGGGAGGTGGGAGCGGGCGAGGGAGAACGGACGCTGCTGACGTGGCTCGGCAGGAAGCCTCAAGCTGCAAGGGTTGCTCGCTCAAAGCCTCGCAGACACAGCCGACTCACACGAAAGCGGAAAGTACAAAGAAGCCAAGCGATGGTTCCAAGCGTCGTCCATCTACCGCCGTAAGCTGCTCCTCGCCCTCGCTCCTCGAGACCTCGCCTGCCCGAGATCCTCCTCCTCGCCCCTTACCAGCGGTTCCAGCGGCCGCCCCCTCCTCCTCCTCCCCAACCGCCTGCCGCACGCCTCTCACGGCGCGCCTCGCGCTGCTGCCACCCCTTGACCTCGTCCTTCTTGGCCTTGATCTCCCACTCGAGGTCGAGGGCATCGACCGCCTCGCCCGACACGTCGACACCGTTGGCCGTACCGGCGCTGATGACCGCCTCGAGGCCCTCGCGCGAGAACGTCTTGTTCCATTTCGGCAGCGTCCAGCCGCCGACGAGCCAGTCGTAGAGCTCGCGCTGCTGCTCGCGCCACTCGAGGTCTTGCACCTCGCCGAGGTCCGCAGAGACCTGGTCGAGGACGATCGACTGGAGGTTCTGGTGCTTGGTGTCGCCGCCGACGAGTTCGAGCAGGTGCGACGCCGAGACGATCGAGCCGGGCTGGAACACGAGCCGGCTGATCGGGACGTCGCGGAGGGTCCCGAACGAGGGCTTGTCCCGACACGCACAGCCCGCGCCGAGGATGAGGTTGTCGAGCGACGACAGGTTCTTGAGCGCCTTGGGCAGCTTCCAGCTGTGGCCGGTGGTCGACGACAAGTCGAGGTTCTTGAGGGTGCCAAGTCGGCCGACAGCGTTGAGGAACGGCGCCTCGACGAGCGACTTGGTGCTGTCGCTCAGGTGGAGCGTCTCGAGCTGGTCGCAGCGCTGAATAAAGTCGACCGCGCCCGGGCTCGACTTGCAGTCGATGAGCGTGAGCTCGCGCAGGGCGGCGCACGAGTACAGGACCTGCTGCTGGATCTCGCCGAGGTCGCCATCGCCGACGACGAGGTCGAGTTGAGCCTTCTTGAGCTGCGCGAACCTGCCGAGGCCGCAGAGCAGGGTCGGGTCGTACGGGTCGACGTGCTGGCCGCCGGTGTCGGCGAGGCTGACGAAGACCAAGCGCGGCATGAACGACGGTTCCGACGACGACGCGCGTGCGAGGAATGCGGTGACGAGCTGGTTGCCGCTGAGCTCGAGGTACCTCACGTTGGACAGGGACGCCAACAGGAGGGCGACCAGGGCCGCGTCGACGGGAGCGGCGAGGGATTTGGCCTGGGTGTGCACGACCTTGAACGACTCGCACATGGCGCCGATGGACGAACGCATCTTGAGGCTGCGGCAGTAGCTCGACAGCATGGCGGACCCGACGACCTTGACCCGGCGGAACCGCGAGCGGTGGTGCTGGTCGTGGTAGGCGAGGAGACGGCGACAGATTGGGCCGCGAGGCGGCGCAGTGGCGTACAGGTCCTTGAAGATGAAGTCGAGGAGCTCGACGGGGAGCGTGAGGAGCTTGGACGGCTGCATCGACGGCTGAACCGACTGGACGAGCTGCTGAAGGGAGGGCGTCAGAGCCGGCTACAGGACGAGGGGTGCGATGCGGGCAGTGGGAGGACGGACCTGAGTACTCGTAGAAGCGTCCGAGGCCATGTTCGGGGTCGACGGAGCGAGTAGTGAAGAGCGAGTGAAGCGGAGGAGCAACAGAGGCGAGCCGACGAGGCGACGAGCGAAAGTCGGCTGGTGGACCTCGTCCCACGGCAGAGCTGTGAGTGGCTCTAGTCAGAGCAAGTGCTCTCGAGCCCAGTCAAGCTGAGCCACAAGCCGCAGTGCCAGCAGAAGCGGGACAAACCGCCGGCGACCAGCACGACCGCCGCTGCTCCTCAGAGCGCTCGCGCCTGAGGATGGACCGGTGTGCGCGAGTCCCAGGTCTCCGGAGAGTGCCTCCCATACCTGCCCATCCGCCCCAGCAGCCCTGACCGAGACGATGTGAGCGTCGTGCGAGCGACTTGGCCACGGGCTCGCTCGACCTTCGTCATCTCTCACCGCTTCAGCTCCACCCAGCCCAGGATGCCGCCCAGGCTGTCCAAGCGCCAACAGCGCGAGCAAGATGAGCTCGCCGACCTCGAGCGCGCCAACACGGCCGTCTCGGCCCTCCCGACCGCCGACGAGGTCGAGTCCAGCGATGAGGAGGAGCTCGCCGTCAAGCAGCCAGCAAAGGCCGGCTTTGGTGCTGTGCGTCCCTCTCTACCTCTTCCTACTGCCGCAGGACCTGACCCTCTGTCCACCACAGCTCGATCTCGGAGACGACCTCGACGACGACGACCCGCAAGAGGACGACGAGGTCCTCGCGACGCCTGTAAAGGTGCGCCCGATCTCTCCCGCCACGTTCATGAGCCCGCACTGACAATAATCCTGCAGGCCAAGAAGAACAACCGCAAGAAGAAGAAGAAGAAGGCCGCCGCGACCGACTCTCCCGTCGCCGATGCACCCTCTCCCCCTCCTCCAGCACAACCCGACACGCCGTCGCAGCCGAGCAAGAGCTCGTCGAAGAAGAAGAAGAAGGCGAACAAGCCCGAGGCGGTCGCGGCGGCGCCGGTGGACGACGGCATGGACGAGATCGACCGTGCCCTCGCAGAGCTGGCGGCGAAGGGCGGCGAGGCCGGTGCGACGGCGACGGCGGGACCGCAGAAGCGTCTCGACCCGAAGTGGGTGGCGGTCAAGGAGGTGCGCCTCTGTCCTCTCTCTCTCTCTCTCGAAGCATGGCGAGCTCACCCTCCTCTCTCTCGCAGGCCTACACCTTCGACCCCAAATTCCTCGATTCGGACGCCGAGCTGCGGCGCATGTTCGGCAGCAAGGTCGTACGTCCTCGCCTGCCTCCCTCTCGACCGCCGAGCGACCGTCCCTGACACCCTCGCCTCGTGCAGATCGGCAGCGCGCCGCAAGCGCCTCGGTCGCACCTGCACGCCCGCTTCGCCAACAACCCTCACCACGCCTCGTCCGTCCGCCGCGCACCCTCGTACCTTGCCACGCCTGAGCCAGGGTGGCCCTCGCCGTCGGGCGTCCTCGCCCTCACGCGGTACGACGGGCCCGAGGCGCGCGACGACGAGAGCGGCGAGTGGCACACGTTTGCGCACCCGCCGAGCTACAAGCAGGCGCAGCTCATGTTCCTCGAGGTGCTTCAGCAGGCCGACGGCAACCGCCTGTACGACGTCCTCGCCGCGTTGCCGTACCACGTCGACACGCACATGCAGCTCTCGGAGATGATGGCGCAGCAAGGCGACCTCGGTACGTCCCCTGCCCTCTCGTGGTCCTTGAACTCGCCAGTACTGTTCCTAACGGACTCTGTCCATCCGCAGGCGCATCCTCGACCCACCTCACCCGTGCCCTGTACGCCCTGTCGGCGCCTCTTCCGCCGACTTTCCCCTCGGGCTCGTTCCGCCTCCCGTACAGCCAGGTCGAGAACCGCGCCCTGTACCTCGGCATTGCGCGCAAGGTCGCCCTCATGGTCAAGCGCGGCACGTGGCGCACCGGCTTCGAGTGGGCCAAGATCGGCCTCGGCATGGGCGGCGCAGAGGACCCGGTCGGCATGCTGTGCTGGTACGTCCTCCTCCTCTCTATCCTCCTCGACACTAGAATGTCTCAAGTCGTCCCTCTGACTCGTCCCGCATGCGCAGGATCGACTTTCTCGCGCCCAAGGCGGGGCAGAACGACTGGTTCTTCAACACGATCGACGCACTCGACGCCGCCTACCCGCAGATGCTCGTGCACAGCTACCCGGGCCTCGCGTTCGCCAAGGCGCTGTGCGTCCGGAACCAGGAGGAGGAGCGCAAGGAGGTGCGTCCCTGCTTGTCTTTCCCCTTGTCCGGGTTGCCGGTCCTGACTCGCTCGCCCCTCCCGCAGGACGACACCAAGAGCTCGGCGGCGCTCAAGAGCGCCATCCTACGCTTCCCGATGGTCGCCACCCTCCTGTCCAACACGAGCGCGTTCGACCTGCCGCCCTCGTTCGTGACGCACCGCCGCGCTCAGCTTGACGGTACCTTCACGTGCGTCCCTCGCCCCTTCTCACGCCTCCTCGAGCCGCAGACTGACATACCACACTCTCCCCGCAAACAGCAAGAACCCGTCGTACGCCCTGTCGCTCCTGTCCGAGCTGTACGTCGCGCGCTCGTCGCCCCTGTGGAAGGACCCGGCGTCGACCGCCTGGCTCCGCAAAGTCGTCGCGCAGGCGGCGCCGCAGCTCGACGACCAGTCGCTCGAGGACGTGCGCATCGGCGAGAAGCTGTTCAGCGAGCCCCCGTTCCCGCAAGGGTACGCGCCCGCCGGGCTCATCCGGGCCGCTTTCATCTCGGGTGCGCCCCCTCTTTCCCTCTCTCGGTCTCCTCGCCCGAGGATCTCTCTCGAACGACTGCTCACGCTTCATCGTTGCGCAGAGATTGCCTCGGTCAAGCCGTACCTCCCTCCCTCGACCCGCTCGGGCACGACCTACTCGTTCGACCCGCTCCCGCCGACCTCGCCGCACGCCACCTTCTACAACGACGCCTACTTTGCCGACCTGTACGCCGCATCGTCGTCGGCTCGTCGGCGGCGAGGTGCAGCCGCACGAGCCGGCCAGCAGGGTCAGCAGGGCGGCGCAGGCGGCGACGTCGTCGCGGCGATGCGCGACGGCCTGATGCGCATGCTCGGCATGGGCGCCGATGGCCCGCAGGTCGAGCTCAACGACGAGCTGCGCGCCGAGCTGCTCGAGGAGCTCGCGGTGCTCAACGGCGGCGGCGGCGGCATGCCTGGCGGGTTCGAGGGAGACGAGGTCGACGATGAGGGTGAAGAAGGCGAGGAGTGGGAGGACGACGAGGAGCAGGAGGCGCAGGCGGCGAACGTGGTGCAGCGGCTAGCGGCCATGTTCGGCATGGGCGGCGGGAACCGTCCGGCCGAGCAGCCGGCGCCCGAGCAGGAGGAGCACTGAGTCTGCAACTTGCTCTCTCGTTGTCGCCCACGGTCGAGAGGATGTTCGCTCGAGAGAGTTGCACAACGACAGCGAGAGAGGGCGAGGCAAAGGAACAGGGCTCGGCAACAAGAGGAACGAGGGAAAGTCTACCGCACGACGACCGCGACCCACTGATCCAGCTCCTCGACCGACGGCCGCTCGTCCGCCCAGCTCCCGCCAAAGATCGACGCGACGAGGCTTCTCCTCCTGTACGCCTTGACGTCCCGCTCGCGTCCCTCGTGCCCGTCCTGCTCGAGCTCGTCGCCGCTCGCTCGAGGCCCCAAGCTCATGCGCCGCCCGAGCCTGCTCAGGCTGCGTCGCACCGACGCCATGCTGCCCGAGCGCACGATACCCGCTCGAGGCGCGGCCGGCGGTGCGAGGACGGCGAGCTCGTCGAGCCGGGAAGGCGTCGAGCGCCGAGACGGCCCGTGCGCTTCGTCCGGTCGCGACGACGGCGCCGACGCCTTGCCGAACCAGCTCCTCCTGCGCGCCCCTCCCTCGCACGCCCCAACTGCTCCCGCACGACCCCTCGCCCCGCTCCTCGGCTCCTCCACCCGCCTCTCGACCGCACCCCACACGTCGCCGCACCTCCCGCTGCCCCTGCCAGCCCTCACGAACGCGCTCGGGCGCACGACGTCGGTCCACGACACGCGGTATGGCCGCTCGCGGGGCGAGTTGGGCGCGGGGAGGTGCGACAGGTCGTAGGTGAGCAGGGTCGAGCTCGAGGGCTGGTGCCGGGGCGCGGGAAGGCGGGAAGAGCGGGCGGCGTCGGGGCGGTTGTGAAGGGGCCCAGGGGAGACGAGGGACGAGAAGGGCGCAGGCGAGGCGCTAGAGCGCCGCAGGGCGCAGGCGTCGTCGAGCCCGGGCGTCGTCACGGGCCGGACGTGTCGGAGCGGCTCGAGCGCCTCGTCGCCGTCCCACGCTCCTCGCCTCGCCGCCGCCTCGCCAGGTTGCGCGCGCAGCAGGTCGGCGACGAGCGCTTCGGCGGGCGGGAACGCGAGCGCGTCGCGCAGCTGCTCGTCGCCGTTGTCGACGTCGCCGACCTGCTCCTCGGGCGCGAACATGTGCGTCACGGAGCGGCGCAGGCGCGGCCGGCGGGTATACGTGTCGTAGTGTGCCGCGTCGGGGTACAGGGATGGCGTGTACGAGCTCGCGGGGCTCGACTCGGGCCGCGGAAAGGTCGGCTCGGCGAGGTCGGGCGAGGGCGCGCGCGTCGAGTGCGCCGACGAGGAGCGCGTGCGCTCGCGCGAGCGGCTCGCTGTACGAGAAGACCGACGCGACGACGAGGCGGCGAGGAGGGCGTCGCCGTTGATGTCGTGGCCGCCATCTGGCGCGTCCGAGACGCCGAGCCCGCTCGCGACGAGGAGGCTGCGGCTGCGCGCGCTCGTCGTCGCTCTCGGCGGTGGCGTTGGGCACGTCTCGACGAGCTCGACGAACCGCCCCGACGGGCGCGGCGGCGTCGACGTCGACGTCGAGGCGTCGACGCGCTCGGGCCGCTCGAACTCGGACGACTCGTCGTGAGGGTCGCAGCGCTCGGTCCAGGGCGACGACGACGCCGGGACCGACGTGTCGGGCGTCGTGATCGTGCTCGCGCCGTCCTCGCTCGACCGCTTAGAGGCGCCGTCGTGCTCGTCGACCGTCGAGACGGATCTCGCGCTCAGGCCGTCGAGCTCGTCGCCGCACGCCTCGTCGTCGCTCGAGCTGGTGCACTGGGCGGTGAAAGGCTCGATAGGCCGCGACGCATCGGCCGACAAGGGCGACGCGATGAACGACTGCTCGGCAAGAGCCTCGCCGACCGGGTCGTCGAGGATCGGGGTGCACTCCTTCCACTGGCGCGACTCGAACGAGGTGCGGAAAGCCCGAGGCGGCTCGAGGTCGTCGTTGTCGTCGTCGCTGTCGAAGCTGCTGTCGAAACAGTCGTCGGTGCCGGAATTAGGCGTGAACGGCGGCGAGTCGGTGTGCGGGAGGTCGACGAGCGGTGACGAGGACGGCTGCGCGAGCCCGGTCTTGCAGGCGATAGGTGCAGAGGGCAGTGTGGGTGCCGTCTTGAGGTTGCTGATGTCGGCCAAGGGCTGCGGGGCAGGCAAGTCGGTGAGCGTGCGGGTCAATTGGGCGAGAGGGAGGAGAGGGCGCGAGCGTACACGAGAACGGGAGCGCCTCAGGGTTTGTGGCATTGTCGGGGATCGTCGAGGTGGTCGTGAGAGGTCGTGAGAGGTCGTAGCAGGTCGTCAAGTGGCCGTGTTGGCTCGGTGAAGAGGAGGTCGAGCCGAACGAGGTGTGTCCTGCGGTGCGAGGAACGGGCGTCAGGGCTTCTGGACAGTGGACCGGGACAGAGGTGGGGCTGAAAGAGCTGTGCGCACCTTTACGAAGCAGGCTGCGCCAGGTCGAGTGGTTGAAAAGGGCGAGGTTGTTGTCGATCAACTTGAGGCGATCCGGTTGAGGAGGACGAGGCGACGGGGCGACTCGGGTGCTGGACGGGTGCTTGCGGCCGCTTTGGTGGCGGTCGTTGATGCCCGTGACTGGACAGCAGGTGTGCGTAGGGCGGTGCGGGCGGTGTGGTCGCGGTGCGAGATGAGCTCTCGGTCGTCGGCCATCTCGCTCACCCTGTCACGCACCAGCTGGGCCAGCTGCGAGCTCACGAGCCGCCTCAGTCGATTTATCCAGCGCTACCCACCCTCTCGCCGCGCCATGACGGCCGCCCCGACCCCGGCTCCTCCTCCTCCCGCCCCGGAACCAGCACCAGCACCAGCACCGCCTCGAGTCCAGGTCGAGCAGACGCTCGAACAGCTCCTCCAGACCCTCCTCGAACTCGGCATCTGTCCGTCCCCCTTCCTCGCCCGCCTTGAGCCGGACCCCCCCTGACCTCGCCTCCCTCCCCACCCTCATCAGGCGCGAGCGACGTCCAGGAAACCGCTCTCGAGAGCTCGCCACACGGCGTCGCCAGCGGAACACCCGGTGGACTCGTCGGCAGAAAGACGTGCGTCCCACCCCGTCTCGCACACTCTTCCTCGCCGCCGTCCTCACCTCGTCCTTGTCCTCGCGCACCGCCGCCGACCACAGCCAGCAGACGATTGAGCAGCTCGCTCGCCTCCATTCCCTCAAGGACACGGTCGTCGACGTCAACATCCCCATCGAGGTCATCAAGTGCGTCCCACCTCGTCCCTCCCCTTCTCAGTCCTCCTCCCTGACCAACAGCCTGCGCCCACAGCCTCGTCGACCAGGGCAAGAACCCGCACCTGCACACCAAGAACTACATCGAGCGCCTCTCGGGCGAGAACATGTACACCAACGGCATCCTGTCGGCCGTCACCGTGCGTCGTCGCCTTTTCTCTCCTCTCCCAAAATCAGTCAAGCTCACCCTCCTTGGGCACCCGCAGGACTACCGCGACCTCCTCCGCGCCCAGCTCGGTGACGCCTTCCCCGACCTCGCCGAGTACGTCGCCGCGACGAGCGCGCCCCGGCCCGCTCCCGAGTCGTCCCTCGCCGTCGCCGCGCCGCCTGCACCTGTCGCGTCGACTGCGCCGAACGGCATGAGCGCCGAGCACGGCGCGGTCAATGGTGGAGGTGACGTCAAGATGGAGGAGGTGCGGTGAGCCGCGAGCGGGAAATGCAGGGCGACGAGCCCTCGCAGAAGCTTCCACGACGAGCTGCGCCGGGACGCCGGCTCTCGACGCCAGCCATGCCCCGCACAAGGTCCGCCCTCTTCCTCTTCTCTCTCGGAGTGTACTTGAGCGAGCCCATGACCTTGTTCGGCTCACGCAGATCTACCCACCGCGCCGCTCCTCGAGAAGGACGACTCGCCGTCTCGACCTCGACCGACCTCTTGCCCCACGACCCTGTCCTCGCGCAAGGGGCAACGCCGAGATACGCTCGACACGCCGCAATGACACGCCGTCTTGATCGTCGACTTTGCGTGGTCGGAGAGAGGCAACGCTCGTCGTCGCTCGCTTCCCCGTTTGCCCCGCTCGAGCCCCCGGTCCGCTCGGGCGGCCGTGCGCCAACGCCGACGAGCGGCGTCGCCTCCTGCCGTCGTCGACGCTCCTCGAGAGATGCGAGCGTCCTCGTCTCGGCGTCGAGCTGCTCCCCTGAGCCTCCTGAACGTCGCTCGGTCCAAGCCTTTTTGGCTCGCTCGCCCTCGCCTCTTCGCTTTTCCTCCTGCGTCCTCTCTCGCTTCCCACCCCTCCACACTCTTGAGCGCCGTCTCCTCTCGCCCTCTCGCCATGCCGCCGCCCGGTCCCTCGCGCACCTCGCTCGCCAACGTCTTCCGCCGCGTACGCCAGTTCTTCGCGCCGGGCCACCCGCACGCCGACCAGTCCATCCTCGCCGGTAACGTCACGCAGTGGAAGGCCGACAGCATGAACGGCCTGTGGGATGCCGGGGCGTGGCAAGGGGCGGACAGTGCGGTGCGCAGGAGGTTCTCGAGGGCCGTGCTGTGGCTCGATCAGCAGCTGCAGGGGCAGGACGACCCGTCGAGGGTGATCCAGACGGTGCGCAAGCTCACGAGCGTCGACCAACTCGTGCGTCTCTCGTTCTTCCTCCTCTCTTGCTCTCTGCCTCGCCGAGACGAACCGTCACTGACCTTGCGCACGAGCCTCGACAGCCCAACCTCGACACTCTCAAAGCCTGGCTCGGTCCCGAATCGGTTCGTCGCTCTTTCCCGCCATTCTCTCTCACTCTCGACGGGCTCTCTGACCCGACACTCGTTGCCGCAGGCCCACTACACGACCGCGCAAGGCTACCCTCTCCGGTTCTTCGTCGAGCCCGGCAGCGCCGAGGTGCTCTTCCACGAGGCGCCGGCCGGCACCGAGGCGCACTCGCTCGGGCGAGTGAGTCGAGGACCCGAGGCCGAGATTGGGCGCAGGGCGGCGTGCGTGTACGGCGTCGACCGGGAGGAGTGGAGGAGGGAGCGGGCGCGGTGGGCCGAGTAGAGCCGAGGGCTCGAGGTGCGTCTCTCTCTCTCTTACTGTCAGTCTCTCGGGCGCCGTACTGAACCTCGTCTTGCCGACAGGAGCGAGCCGCATGACCCCGACGATCAGCGACGACTTGAGCTCCCTTTCCTCTCTTCCTCGATCTCACGCTCCCTCTCAACTTCTCTCGGTGCAACTCGCGCGTTTCGTCTTGCCCTCGTACTCGAGGATACCTGAGAGATAGCGAGAGCGTGATCGGGGAGCGCGAGACGTCGGTGAGCGGGCTGCGTGAGGAGTCTCTTGAGCACGACGTGTTGGAGAAGGTCAGACGGCGGGTCGGCGCCTCGCATGAGAGCTCGCACAGATGCGGAGCTGGAGCGCAAGCTCGCGCAAAAGAAAAGGTCGCTCGGTAAAGTGTGAGAGAGCGAAGCGGAGAAGAGGAAGCGAGGCCAAAAGCAGGATCGAGCGCGCGCCGAGCGTCGCCAGCTTCGGACGCTCGGCGACCAGTCGATCCACGAGCTCAAGCTGGTACGGACGGAGCGAGAGTCGTCTGCGGAAGAGCCACCGTCGGCCGCGGTCGGCGGAAGAAAGAGAGGGGGGAGCGACGAGGAGACGAGGCCCGAGCGGCGCCGATAGTGGCTCGCTCGTCCTCTCGCCAAAGTGCTTCTCACGCTCTCACACGTGCACACGCTCTCGAGAACTTGCAGTAGCAGGCACAGAGACCCTCGTCGACGTTGCAGAGAACGCTCCCTCTTCCTCCTCGCCCTCTCGACCCGGCTCACTCCTCGGCGTGGTAGTGCGACCGTCGGTACGCTCCGAGTCGCCGCCTCGCGTCGGCGAGGTTCTTCTCGAGCGTGACGATCTCGACCTGGACCTCCATCTCGCGCATTTTGAACTCGTGGGCGTTGAGCGCGTCCGGGTCGACGTCGTCGCCGTCGCGCTTGAGCTGCTCCTCGGTGATGGCCTTGACCTGGCGCACGAGGGCGCGGCACGCGTCCGTGACGGCCTTGGCGGCGCGCTCGAGCTGCTCCTGCGTCTGCGACATGAGCTCGCTCTTGACCCGGCTCGCCTGGACGAGCTGCGCCGTCGCGCTCGCCACCTCGTTCGACGCGACGATGAGCTGCTCGAGCGTCTTGGTGCCGCTGATGACGCCGTCGGCCGTCTCGATGAGGAACGTCGTCGCGCGCGCGACGGCCTTGGCCGCCGAGATGAGGCCCTCGGTCCACCGGTGGTTGCGCTTGTAGAACGCCGTCGACGAGCTCGAGCCCTTGCCCTGCGCGACGATCTCCTGCTGCGAGTCGGTCGCCGCCTTGATGAGGCGCCCGATGGCGTTGGTGATGGCGAGCGCGCTCGCGAGGATGGCGTCGTGGACCTGGAGGTCGGTCGCCGATTGGCGCGAGTCCCTCGGACGGGCCATGAGCGCCTGCAGGCGCTTGGTCGCCTCCTCGATCGCGCGAGCCGCCGCCTGCATCTCGGACTCGACGAGGTCGTTCAGGTCGCCGCTCGCCTTGGCGAGGTTGTTGGCGCCCGCCTTGGGCTTGAGGCCCTCGACCGAGGCCGCGAGCTTCTGGAGCGCGCTGCGGACCTCCATGTTGTTGCGGATGACGACCTCCTTGCGGGCGTCGGGCTGCGCGCCCTGGAGGCGGTACGACTGGACGGCGTTGAAGAAGCGCAGGGCGGCCGTGCCCGGGACCCGGCCCGTCTGGGTGAGGGCGTCGATGGCGGCGTCGTCGGGCGCGAGGCGCGACAGGCCCTTGGTGTTGGTGAGGACCTCGGCGAGCGCCTGCGCAAAGTTGTTGGCCGTCTTGATCACCTCGACGTGCTCGCCGCCCTTGTCGCGCGACAGGAACAGGTCGAACACCATGGCGAACTCGGTCGCGCTCGTCGTCGCCTTCTCGATCATCGACAGCGTGTACTCGGGCGTCGAGTTCTGGTTGCCGTCGTGCATGGGCGACTCGAGCTCGTACAGGGCGTCGTCGACCTTGTGCGCGCACGCCTGGAGGATCGAGTCGATGATGTCGTTGAACTTGCGCTCCTGATCGAGGACGAGCGTGTCGATCTGGGCGTTGACGGCCTCGTCGGCGACGCCCTGCGTCACCTGGAGCTCGGACAGCTGGCGGATCGTGTCGTCCATGCCCTCCTGCATGATGGCGATCTCCTGGTCCTTCTCGTCGCGCACTCGGTCGGCGTCGCCGCGCTGCTCGTCGAGCTTGGAGAGGAGCTCGTCGATGCGGTCCTGCTTATTCTGTTGGCGAGGAACGAGGCGAAAAGGGGGACGAGTCAGGCCGGTGTACGGGGAAAGAGAGGACAGGCGAGGAGAGGACAGGGACGCACGCGCAGCGAGTTTTCGAGCTCGTCAATCTGGCGGTTGAACTTGCTCATGACGGACGACACCTCGGAGCCCTTGCTGCGCGACGCGTCCTCGAAGCGCTCCTCGGCGAAGCGCAGGTCGCGCTTGAGGCGCTCGACCTCGTCCTTCTGGCTCGACTTGACGCGGTCGAGGTCGAACCGGGCGCGGTCGCGCTCGCGCATCATGTCGGCGAGCTCGAGGTTCTTGGCCTTGACGTCGCGCTCCATGCGCTCCATCTTGTCGATCGACTCCTGCGCCGAGGCCGCCTTGAGCTGCATCTGCTTGTACTTGCCGAGCATCTCGAGGTGCTCGTTGCGGAGCTGCGAGTAGAGCTTGGCGAGCGCCTCGTACTTGTTGCGCCACAGCGTGACCTGATCCTGCAGCTGCTGGAGCATCTGGTCCTTGCTCATGAGCTGCTGCTGGATCGTCGCCGACACGTTGGCGAGCTCGCCCTCGAGCGCCTTGACGCGCTGCACGTGAGGGAACGAGGCAGACAGGTCAGTGACGCACTCGACGACGCTAAGAGAGAGACAGAGAGTGAAACGAGAGAGAGAGAGAGAGAGAGAGAGGGACGTACTGCATCGTACCGCTCGAGCATCATCTGGTCCCGCTCCCACTGCCCGCGCAGGCCGAGGATCTCGCGCTCGAGCTCGGCCATGCGGCCCTGGCTCATGCCCATCATCTGCTGCTCGCGCAGCTGGCGCTCGAGCGCCTCCTGCGCCTCGCGCTCGCGCTGCTGCTGCAGGCGCTGCTGCTCGGCGAACTCGCGCTCCTGGCGCTCCTGGTCCTCGCGCAGGCGGCGCGCGTCGGCGTCGCGCTGCGCGACGAGCGCAGCCTGCTTGCGCTCGTACTCCTCGAGGGCGCGACGCTGCTCCTCGATGTCGATGCCGTCCGAGGGCGGAGCGGGAGGCGGCGTCGGCTTCTGGGCCTGCTGCTGGGGCGGCGGCCGGCGAGGGAGGTCGGGCGTGTCGCCCGAGTCGATGAGCGACGGCGGGTCCTGGGGGAGCTTGGGCACGTTGATGAGACCGGTGAGGTACTTGAGGTTCGAGCACTCGTAGTAGAACTTGCGGAGCGAGAAGTGCTGGTGGTCGTAGCGGTCCTTGAGCGGCTCGAGGGCGTCCATCGACTCGGTGCGGCGGTACATGGCGCGCAACATGCTGATGATGAACCGGTAGATGCCGTACGACTCCTTGACCTGGGGCACGAGGGCCGAGATGCGGCACTCGTTGTTGGCCGAGCCGCGGAAGTGGGCAAAGATGAGCTTCTGGAACGCGTCGATGTCGTCCTGCAGGTTCATGAGGTCCATGATCGTCTCGAAGCTGCAGGAGAGAGTGAGGTCAGGGCGTGCTCGGACCCGGAGGGAGAGAAAGGAGAGAGCCGGCGGCGCACCCCTCGTTCGGGTCGTCGATGCCGCGTAACGCGACGTATTCCTCGTACTCGAACAGGCCGTTGAACGCGGTGTGGTGCCGGTGGAACTTGAGCTTGGCGAGGATGAGCTTGACATAGGCCCGGATGAGCGAGCCGTAACCTGAGGCGAGGGGAGGAAGACTCAGGTCAGTGTCGGCAAGAGGAAGGAGGGGGCAAGAGGAACCAGGCGGGACGTACCACGAGTCGCATCGCCGCCGACTGTCCGTGCGCACGTCTCAAGCCACGACGTCTGGTGCTGCGCCTCCTTGAGCGTCTGCGGGAGGAAGGAGGGCTCGTCAGGCTCGATCTCGCTGACGGTGTCCATGGCGAGCGAAAGAGGCGGCGACGCACGATCGGGTGACCCTCCTGGAGGATCTTGTGGACGGTGATGAGGCCCTTGAACGTCTGCACCTCGTCCGAGAGGATGGGCTGGACGCGCAGGGCGGCCCAGATGCTCGCCGACGAACGGTAGTCCCACGTGTAGACGATCGCCTCTGCGCACGCACGGAATCGGTGTCAGTCTCGGGAGAGAGGCGAAGAGGGCGAGGCTGTCGAGGCGGGCGCAGAGTCCGCCGCGACGAGCCCGGTCGTGCGGCCGAGAGGAGGGTTGGGGACGCACTGCGGACGTGTTTCTGCTTCGGGGCCGTCTCGTCCGGGTTGGTGGCCTTCTTGATGGCGTTGTTGAGCTCTGCCTCGGCCTTCTCCTTGTCGACTGGGCGAGTCGGGTTGTGCGGCACGTTGGACGGGCGCGAGTCGTAGTCGTCGCGGTCGCGGTCGATGTAGTCGGACGTGGCCGTGGCCGTGTTGGACCGGCTGCGGGAGCCGAACCTGCGTGCGGGGGCAGAGGTGGGTGAGCGCGGGATGCGAGAGGGCGGTGCTTGAGGTCGAGGGAGAGCTGCGAAGCGGGCGACGTACATGGTAGATGGTGGGCGCGGCTACGCGGTGGACCTGGGGGAGGTACGAGGTGAGGCGAGGTCGACAGAAGCAGTCACGGCTGGTGCTCACCTGAGAGAGACGAGGGATGCGATCGGGGGTGACGAGCGAGGTGGGGGTCGAGCCAGGCAAGCGGCAGACGGGTGCTGGCGCTGGGGCGATGCGGTGCTGTCGTCGGCGTGCGTCGCTGAGCGGTGCTTGCCGGCTAGCGCTCGAGGTCGGGGTGGGAGCGTGAGGTGGAGCCGGGAGCCGACCGAGGGACGAGAGCGTCCACCTTGTTCCGCTCCTCACACACCTCGAGCCTGTTCGTGCTGCTCGCAAGTCGCTCCCTGTCCGCCTCGACAACAAGCAGGCGAGGCTGCAGCCCCTGTCACCCCTTCGTCACCTCCCTCGCCTCGTTCTTCTCGGCCTCGCCTTCTTCCACCTCGATGAGCGCCAGCACAGCAGCCAGTGCCTCGAGTCGCCACCAGCACCGTCGATATAGCTCTCACACAGCTGTGCTGCAGAGCGCAGCCGTATACGACCGCCTCAAGGCCGTCTTTGCCTGCTCCCTGCTCGCCGACCTGGGCGGCTGCCGTCTCTGCGTGCGCCTCCCTCTAGCTTGAGGAGCTGCGCCGCTCAGTCACCTACTCGACTCGCGGTGGACGTTCCTGCCGCAGACCAAGCTGCAGCTTGTCGCCGCGCAGCGGGCCTCGAGCCGCTTCCTTCCGCTGTGCGCCGCTTTCGGTCGCTCTCGCCGTCTCCTTTGGCTCGCTGGACAAGCCGGCTCGCTCAGGAGGAGGCGCTGCGTCCTGCACGCTGTCGAGCGCGACCGAGCGCGCGACAAGTCACGAGACTGAGCCCGCGCCCGGCTCGCTATTCGCGAAGCACGAGAAAAGCGGGTCGAGATGAGCCGGCTTTGTCCTCTGCTTTGCTCGACACGGCGGCATCGCCCCTGTGTGCAGGTGCCGCGAGAGAGCCGCCGAGAGAACGAAAGCCGCGCGCGAGGCAAAGTGCGAAACAGGCGACGAGCCGCGGCGACTCGGCTATCAGATGGCGGTGGACGACCCATCGCAGGCTCCCGGGGCTTGCCGATCTCGCTCAGGTGTAAGCGTAGAGACTCACGGCCAAGTACTGCCAGTCAGATCGCGCAAAGAAGCGAGTGCGAGCGCGAGGTCGGAGGTTTCGCTGCGTGCGCTGCCTTGGCCCGGTCCTTGTCCTCGCTCTTCTCGTCTCGACTCGCCATCGCGCTCCGAAGCTGCCGGCTCGCACTCGACCATGCCGCCCGTCATGCTGAGCGCGCCTCCAGCCGACCGATCAGAGCCGCGGTGCCTCGTCAAGCCGTCAAAGGTGCGTCCCCCTCGGCCTTCCTTCTCGCGGGAGGCGGTCTCGCGCAGTGGGCGGGCAGTGACGGGCTGCGGGCGAGGGCCTCTCGAGATCTCTTTCGGTGGCAGCTCTGCAGACCATGTCTGGGCAGGCGATGTTGCGGGCGCGAGGGATTCCTCCCCGCTCACGCCCGACGAGATGAAGCGGCGGCGGCGCACTCGCTGGAGGACTCGTGCGGGGGCTCGGATCCGTCGCAGAGCTGCACATGGACGCGTCAGGCGCGAGCACAGCCTCGCAGCAGCCCCTCGCCACCGCGTCGAGCTCGCGACAGCCGAGATCCATCGCCGCCGAGTTGCACTCGCTCACCCTCTCCTTCCGACGCGCGCAGGAGTGGGTCGTACCGCCGAGGCCCAAGCCTGGTCGCAAGAGCACCAAGAAGGACGACTCGACTGCTGTGCGTCGCCGATCCCGGCCTTCCTTCAGCGCGTCCACCCGGCCGCCGTCAACGTGCTCACGAACCCTCTCCCGCCCGCAGAAGAGCAGCAGCAAGACCACGCAGAAGGCGGTTCGCGAGCGCCGTCAAGAGTACGTCACCGAGCTCGAGGAAAAGGTCCGCCAGCTCGAGGCCGGCGAGGGCGACAAGTGCGTCTTCTACCAGCAGCAGGCGCAAAAGGCCAAGACCGAGACGGTCGCGCTCCAGCACGAGAACGACGTCCTCAAGAAGGAGATCGAGCAGCTGCGGCGCGAGCTTGAGCGTGTCCAGGGCGCAGGAGCGTCGGCCACCCCGGTCGGGCGACCCGCCGGCGGCAAGGACAAGGGCAAAGGGCGCGCCGCGCCGCACGAGTTCCACGACACGGCGTCGCCGGGCCCGTCAAAGCGCCCGAGGAGGTCTGCCGCCGTGCGCGCGTCCGCCGTCGTCGCCCAGGCGGCCGGCTCGTCGCCCGTCTTCCACTACCCGCCCGTCGCCGCCGGCGAGTCGCCCGTCCCCGCGCTCTCGCCCGCCGGCACGTCGAGCTCGTCGGCCCACTCGGCCTATGTCCACTCGCCGCTCAACGACTTCCACGACGGGCCCGCCTCGCCGAGCGGCGGCAGCCACCACCACCACCCGCACCTCGCGCCGAGCACGACGCAGGCGTCGTCGCAGCACCAGCGATGCACGTTCTGCCCGTCCAGCGACAACTGCTTCTGCGCCCAGGTCGGCTACGAGATCGCGCCGTCGCCGCTCCCGCTGCAGACGACGGCGCTCCTCGCCGCCGCGTCGTCGCCGGCCGCCCAGATCAAGCTCGAGGACCCGGACGACCTCTTCTTCCACGAAGCGGCGTACGAGCCCGCCGTCCCGCTCCGGCTGCGCAAGTCGGCCAACAAGGCGTCGAGCGTATGGGCAATCGAGTCGCCACGTGCCGCCCAGGTCAAGCGGTCGGTCGTGGTCGGCGCTCAGGCCGTGTGCAGCGGCGACCCGTCGAACTGCCCTGCCTGCTCAGACGACCCGTGTGTCCTCTCTCTCTCTCTCTCTCTGTCCTCCTCTCGACGGGCCCGTCCCTGACTCGTCCTCCCACAGGTTCGGCAAGGCTTTCTGCAACGCCCTGTCGTCGACCGTCTGCTCGACCCAGCCGTGCTCCAACTGCCCGTCGCACTCGGGCGTGCGCAAGATCCCGACGCCGCCACCCGAGCCGACGCCGCCACCCGAGCCGACGACGTCGTCGACGACGACCGACGAGGAGGCGGCCCTGTTCGAGTCGCTCACGGACCTCCCGTGCTGCGGCGACCCGCGCATCTGCGGCTCGCTCACGTGCAAGCCGAGCGGCGACGCCGAGCCCGTCGTCACGTCGGCGCCGCAGAGCGGCTCGTCGAGGTTCTCGAGCGCGTCGGTCGCGCCCGGCGTCGAGACGGTCCCGTGCAACGAGGCGTGGACCGCCCTCAAGCAGCACCCCAACATCGCCTTTGCCGGTGCGCCTCCCTCTCTCTCTCTCCTTCTGGCGGCCCTCTTGGACGACGTCCTGACCCGCTTGTGCCACTTGCAGACCTCCAGATGCTCGCCGACGTCGTCGCCAAGCGCACCTTCTGCGGCGGCCCCGTCTGCAGTACGCCACCTCCTCCCGCCGGCCTCGTATCCGAGACCTTCCCGGCGACAGCCACCGCCACGAGCTCTATGGACCGACACCGTCCCGAACTCGTCCCGCAGTCGGCGCTGCAGAGCTCGGCGCTCGACTCGGGCGCTCGCAAGCGCCTTACGGTCGAGCGCGGCGCCGTCAACGAGGCGCTCGACCTGCTCGACCGGGCTGTCGCACGGGGTGGGCCGCTCAGGCACTAGATGCGGCCGTCGCTCACGTCGAGGGCGAGCCTCGTCGTGTCGAAAAGGGCGCATCGTCGTCCCTCTCCCTTTCTCCCTATTCCTCTTCCCCCCTTCCTGTTGTGCCCTCTCTCACTTTGCGTCGTCCTCTTCTTGCCTGTAGCTCTCTCGCCGAGGCGCCATTTGTGCATCGAGGTTCTCTTTGCCGTGCACGAGCCGCCGAAAGACGAGAGAAACGAATCTAGTCGATTGCGAGTGCAAGGGGAAACGTGCGAAAAAAAGATAGCTGCTGCTGCGAGTGCTACGGATGTACTGCAAGTTGCGAATGCGCCTAGTCCTGACCGTCCTCCTCGTCCCGCCTCGAGCCCAACCCGAGCGGCCTCGGCTCCTTCTCGGCGCGCCGCCAGTAGTCGAGCATGCCGCGCAGCTCCTTCTTCTCGACGACGGGCTTCATGCGGCGCAGCATCTTGCGCGCATGCGTGATGTTGAGCGCATTGAGGTGCTTGACCTCGGCGAGCTCGTCGACCGACAAGTCGCCCTCGCCCGCACGACCGCCGAGGCCGGCCCCGGCGCCGCGCGCTCGCCCGACCGCGCTCGTGCGCACGCCGCCGACCCGGTGCGACGCGTTCTCCTTCCACTTGATCCACTTGCGCGTGCGCTGCAGCGCGTGGAGGAGGAGCCGGTCTGGGACGAGGCCTCGCGCGAACGCGTCGTGCACGCGCTGCTGCGCCGCGAGGTACTCGTTGGTGCTGACGAGGGTGCGGTACAGGATGGTGAGGAAGAGGGCGTCGAGGGTCGGGTCGTAGGGCGTGAGGAGGGTCGAGGGAAGCCCGGCGCCGGGGTCGACGGTGCTGCTCCCGCTCGACGTCGACGATGCCGCCGCCGGCGCCTGGGACGACGACGATGCGGCCGACGAGGGCATCGTGCGGCCCGCCGCACTCGAGAGGCGGAGCGACTGGGCCTGGAGCTGCGGGACGAGCGCCCGCGCACGGACCTGCTCCTGCATGAGGGCGAACACGCGCTCGACGCCCTTGACGTCGCGCTGCCGCGCGTACAGCATGGCGAGCGCCGCGTACAGGTTGCGATCGTGCGCGAGCCCGCTCTTGCGGAACTCGGCGTAGACGCTGACGGCGGCGCCGTACTCGCCGAGGCGCGCGAGGCCGCCGATCAGGGTCGTGTAGTAGGCCTGGTGCGGCTCGAGGCCGAGGTCGTCGACGGCGTACTGCATGGCGAGGCGGGCACCCTTGGCGTCGCCGAGGCGCAGGTAGGCGCGCATGAGGACGGCGACGTGGTGGAAGCTCGGGCGGATCCCGAGGTCGACGACGTGCGACTGCAGGTAGTCCCACTTGGCGGCGATGTACCGGATGAGGTAGTCGTTGCGCAGGATGTGCCTCGACGTGTCGCGGTCGTGGCGCACGTCGCGGTCGGCGAGCGAGGCGCGCAGGCGCGACACGCTCGACTCGTGGCGGCCGCCGGACGGGATGAGGAGCTCGGCCTCGCGCGGGACGTACTGCGACGACGACGACGGCGCCTCGGGCCGAGGCGGTGCGCGGTCGAGCTTGGTGCGCTCGGGCGGGAGCGGCTCGTCGGGCATGGGGAACTCGGACTCGAGGGGCGTCTCGGGCCCGTCGAGGTCGTGCTGCCACCGGCGCTCGCGCGTCCACGCCGCCCGCAGGAGCGTGTTGAGGTGCGCGACCGACGGGCGCGTCTTGTTGCCCGTCATCTGCTTGACCTTGAGGAGCACGCTCGACGAGACGCCGACCTCGCTCTCCGAGTCGAGCGCGAGGTGGTCGACGAGCGCGCGCGTCATGCCCTCGGTCACCTGCATCGAGCTGCCGCTCGACGCCGACAGCCGCTCGAGGCACGCGTTGGCGCCCGGGATGCCGCGGTACCGGAGCATGCCGCCGAGCAGGAGCTCGTACACCTTGACCGACGGCTCGAGCGCCGGGAGGGCCGTCCCGCCGAGCGTCGCCGTGCCCTGCGAGAGCGCCTCGACGAAGCTCGCCGCCGAGTCGAGGTTGTGCTGCGCGAGCAACGTGCGCACGACGGCGGCGGCGAGGAAGTCGTTGAACCGGATCCCGGCGCCGAGCGAGCTGACGAGGAGGCGGCGCGCGAGCTGCGGCTGCTGCTGTCGCAGGACGAGGCCGACGAGCGTGACGATCGTCGAGGCGTCGGGTGCTGGACGCCAGTGCGAGTCGGCGACGGCGGGAGGATGTGGAGCGGTGGCGGGGGAGGGCGAGAGGGAAAGGATGGCGTCGACGAGGTCGGGCGGGTACTGGGCGAGGTCGAAGCGGGGGAGAATGGCGAGGGCGTCGGCGAGGGCGCCACGCGCGGCGCGGACCGAGAGGATCTTGTTGAGGACGCGCGGGTCCTGCCGCATCGCCCTGCGCTTGACGAGATCGTCGTCGCTCGCCTGCTCGAGGAGCCGCTCCTCCATGATGCGGTTGCCGCCGTACTGGACCATGCCGCCGACGAGCACGAGGCACGTCTGGGCCGTCGTGCGCAGGCCCTTGCGGACCTTGTCGGCGAGAAGGTCCTGCGCCTTGGCCAGCTCGCCGTTGAGGAGGTGGGCGCTGATGACCTCGTCGTAGTCGCGCCAGTCGGGCTCGATGCCGTGTCGCGCAAAGAGCTTGAAAGTCGCGATGGCGTCGACGTAGCGCTGCGACTCGTGCAGGGCCCGGATGCGCCGCGCGAGGATGAAGTGCGAGACGACGCCGAGCGCGAGGGCGTCGTTGGTGAACGCGACGACCGAGTCCCATCGCCGAGCCCGCTCGAGCGCGACGATGAGCTGCTCGTACATGGCGACGACGGCCGCCTTGGCGTCGGCGGGTCGACGGGCGGCGACGAGCTTGGCGCACTCGTGCACGAGGCGGAGCGCGTCGTTGTCGAGCCGCGCGCGGATGGCGGCCGCGCCGAGAGCGCGCACGACGGCCGTATCGTCGAGCGCGTCGAGCGCCTTGAGCCGAGCTCGCGCGTCGCGGAACTCGTCGCGGGAAGGACGCCGAGGGAGCTCTTTGGCGACGAGCATGAGGTCCTTGCGGCTCGCGGGCCGCGGTGCGAGCACGTCGACGGCATTCGACGTCGTCGACGTACCCGCATGGACGGGCTCGTGCTCGGCGCCGCTGCGCTGCGCCTCGTGGCACGACGGCGGCGGCGGCGCCGACCGTGACGGGCGCCCCGCCGAGCTGCCGGACACGAGCCCTCCTGCCTCTCCCTTCTGTCCATCTTCTGCTCCTCGACCCTGCTCTGCCATCGCCTCGCTCACAGCGGCTCGCTCCTTGCCCTTGCCGACTGGTCGAGCTGGCGGCGGCGGAGGTGATCGAGCGGTGACGAGAGTGGAAGCGCGTCGCCGATAGGGAGCGCCTGGCGCAGCGATCGTGCAGGAGCGGGGTGATGTGGGTGCGAGGGGATGGTCGTAGATGGTCGAGCGGTGGGACAGGGAGGTGGTGGTCGAAGCGGATGCGGCTGTGCAAGAGGAGCAAGGTCAGGCTCGAGGCTGGGAAACAGACGGACGGGCTGGACGCACTGGTCGACGGCGTAGTGACCGTCCTCTTGAGCGCTGCCGATGACGCTGGCCCGCCGCCACTGCCGCGAGGTGGCCGTTGACGGTCCGAGGCGAACGAAGGGACGAGGAAGGGTGGGAGTTGGGCGAGGGCGGCTGCGACGTCGGTGGCGGGTGGGGCATTGCGCGGTGCGAGGCCAGTGCGGCAGCCTCGGACGATCATGCGCGCTGCTCGACGGCTCGTGGCTCTGGCTCCCCTCGAGACGGAGGAATTGCTGGTGGCTGCAGAGGAGCGAGGGTGAGCTCGATGGACGATGCGGTTGGACAAGGGTATGTGGACGCACTTGTACGACCTTGTGCGCTAGCGTGACAAGCGTCTTGAGCGAGGGAGCGAGGCGAGAGCACGGCGATGAGGGACGACGACGACGACTGGCTCGGGTCGGCTCTCGCTCTCCTCCCCACCCGCTCAGATGTCGAGGTTTGCGCTCAGCAGGAAGGAGGAAGAGGCCATCATCTCGCTCTGCCGCACAGAGGCACTGCGCGCGTGCGAGATCGACGTCTCGAGTGAGTCCTCCTCCTCCTCGTCCTCATCCTCATCTCTGTCGCCGCCTGCCTCCCGACTGACCCTCTCTGCCGCGCAGACTTCTCGGCCTGCTCCGAGGGACGCACCATCTCGGTCACCTGGGCCTGCCGCGACCAGTTCAAGGCCATGCAGCGGTGCATGTCGCCCCAGTTCGTCCCTCGTCCCTCCTCTGCCTCTCTCTCCCTCGCGATCGGGAGCCCAAAGCTGACCTCTGCGCCCGCCCCTGTCCTCACAGCATGTCCGAGGAGAAGCTCGACGCAGCAAAGCGGCGCTTCTTCCAGGAGGGCGCCGTCCCGAAACCGGCCCCCCTTCCCTCCAAGCCGACTTGATCCTCGCCCTGCACCACTCCCCTCGTCGTTCCAGCCCACAGCATGCATTGTACCAGCACTTTGTCCCACTCTCGTCGCCGCTCTGGCCCTGAGCTGGGCGATTTTCGACGGCACTGCCTCGCCACAGCTCGTCCCGCTCGGTCCTCCTGCCTCTTCTCCTCGCGAGCGGCCGGAAGTGCGCTACATACTTTCAGCCACGCGAGCGCGCCGACGTCGGGCAGCGAACCGGAGCCCCTGCCCGGCGGACGCTCCACGGACGCTCCGGCCCTCGGACGCCGCCAGCACCTCGCCCGCTCGCTTCTCTCGCTGTTCTCGCTCTCGCTTCGCGCTTCTCCTTCTCTCGCCTGGCTCGCCTTGGCCCTTCTGTCGTCCATGTGTGCGTCCATCTCTTCCCCTGTACCCTGTTCGTCGCACTGACTCTCCTCGTCGCGAGCAGCTTTCCATCTCAGCAGCTTCGGTCAGCCAGAGCCCACCTCGCACGCCGGCGTACGCCGACATGACTGACCTTTCCCCTCGCCCAGTGCATGCGGCGGCGAGCGGCCTGGACCGGTATTACAACCCACTTCCGCCCGGCACGCGCGGCATCACGGTCGAGTGGACTGGCGGCAACACGCGGCGCCGTGCGTCCCTCTCTCCTCTCTCTTCGGCGATCCTGTACGGTCGATGCGACGATACTGACCCTCTCGTCCATCCATGCAGTCCGCGAGGCGGGTCTGACCGAGCTCCACGCGCTCCAGTCGATCGCCATGGCGATCCGCACTTTCCTCGAGGACGTAAAGGAGCACGAGCACGAGCACACCTCGCGCCACTGGTGCTTCAAGGTCGCTGTTAGTCAGGACAACAGTGCGTCGAACGTCTCCCCTCGCTCTCGGGGCTCGAGCCCGGATTGACCTGCCCCACGTACGGCCGCAGCCGCGGGCGAGCTCCCTCTGAGCGACGTCCTCCGCGTCCAGGTCTGGCCCGTCTCGTCCGGCGGGAGCGTCAGGCTTCCTTCCTTCAACGACCCGAGAAAGGCCTACCTGGTCAGAGCTCCGGGTGCGTCCTTCTCTTCCTCCCTCGAGGCCCGGGCGCCGACGACCTAACCCTTTTCCTCCCGTCGCCCGCCTCGCTCGCTCGCAGCCGTCGACCACCCGAACGGCATTCACGCCTCACTCTGGAACGAGCTCGCCGAGCCGGAGCTCGACGGGCAATCGGGCGGTGCGCGCACGTCGGTCGCGTTTCGCTGGCACTGGTTCGACTCCACGCGCTACCCGCCGAGGACGGCCCAGGACAAGAAGCGCAGGGTCCTGCAGGCCTACGAGAAGGACGTCGTGCTCCTTACGAGCGAGTCGGAGTACAAGCCGTCGGCCGACTACATCTTCGTCACCTTCTTCGCGCAGGAGCCGCGCGCGCCGCGCTGAGGAGCGTCCGGCTCTCCTCGTCCTCCCTTTCTCTCTCGCCCGGTCCTTTTGCGTAGCTGTCTCGTGCAGTACACTCGTCTTTACTCTGACGCAACGAGGGCAGCTCTCGATCGAGCGCGAGAGCTCGCGAGGGGAGAGAGAGAGCGGGAGAGGAAACAGCTTCGAGGGTTACATCGCTACACAAGGAGAACAACGATCGAGAGATGAGAGCGACAGCGAGCCCGCTCAGATGAACATCATGAGGTGGTCGCGCTCGTAGACGTTGCGGTCGTCCGACAGCTCGAGCGAGGGGTAGAAGGCGACGAGGGCGTCCTGCGCGCCGAGGTACAGCGAGTTGTAGATCGACCAGTACACCTGCGAGCGAAGCAACGTCGTCAGTACGAGAGTGCGTGGCAGATACGAGGAGGAGTGGGACGCACCTCGCGGACCTTGCGCGCCGGGTGGAACAGGCCCTGGAGGACGTGCTGCAGGACGATGCCCGGACCGAGGGCGACGCGCATGGCCTCGATGGCGTCGAGCATCGCGTTGATGACGTGCGGCGAAGCTACAGGGCGAGAGCAGGTGAGTTTGGGCGCGTGCGCGACGAGGAAGCGGACGCACTCTCGAAGATGTTGGGCCAGATGAGGTTGAGCAGGTGCAGGTTGGCGTCCTCGGCGCCGAGACCGGCGGTGCCGAGCGCGAGATGCTTGACGATCGAGGCGGCCGTCTGTCGGTGGACCTGGTCGCGGTCGGTGAGGGCGTCCTCGAGGCAGGTGAGGACGCTGTGGATGTAGTCCTTGCCCATCTCGCCGATGTACTCGAACAGGAACGAGAGCGCCTTGAGGCAACCGTTGCGCACGTTGAGCTCGGGCGTGCGGTACTCGTTCAGGACGGCCGGGATGCACGTGAACGGGCCGCAGGTCTCGGCGACGATGGCTGCGCACGAGAGAGAGAGCGAGAGCGTGAGTCGGCGTCGACAGGTGGATCGAGACAGGCAAGAGATAGAGAGAGGGGACGCACCGATGGCCACGGTGCTGCAGACGCGAGACTGGCGGTCCTGGACCTTGAGGTTGGTCAGGAGGACGCTCAGGACGTCTTGCGGGCCGATGGCCTTGGCGATGTAGCCGAACGAGTTGACGGCCGCACGCCGGATCGCCTTCTTGTGCGCCTTGAGGAGGTCGAGCAGCTCGAAGCAGATGCGCATCCACTCGCGAGCCGAGACGAACTCTGCGCCGCGGTCGGCGATGCGCCCGATGAGGTTGATCGACGACTCCTGCACCTTCTCGTGCCGGTTGCGCAGGATGGGCGTCATGCGAGGAACTGTGTGCGGCGAGGAGAGAGTGTCAGGCGAGGCGCTCCAAGGAGAGAGGAGGGAGAAAGAGGAGGACGCACGCAGGTCCTTGACGGGCGGGCTCATCTGGGTCATGCCGACGACGTTGGCGATGGCAGCAATGGCCGAGATGATGCTGCCGAGCGTGTCCGGGTACTCCTCGCCGAGCTGCTCGAACAGGACGATGCCGAGCTTGGAAAGGAGCGTGTCCTCCTCGCACTGCTTGATGACGAGGGCGAGCATGCTCGTCAGGTCGGCCGCCTGCTGCCGCACCTTTGCGCTCTTGTTGTTGAGGCGCCACAGGATGGTCGACACGATCTGCGTCAGGTACGGCTTGACCCGGATACCTGTCGGTGAGGGGGTGAAAGGTCAGGACCGAGCGGGGCGAAGAGACTGAGGTGCGCTCCGAGAGAGAGGGACGCACCGAGCGACGACACGACGGTGCCGAAACCCTCGAGCATGACGTTGTCCTCGACCGTCTGCTCCTGGAACGAGTAGATGATGCCGTCGATGAGCTGCACCTCGAGGCGCTCGTCGATGTCGGCCGCGCCGAGGTTCGACACGACCTTGGTGATGATCTCCATGCACATCTTGCGGTACGGCTCGCTCTCGTCCTTGAGGTCGTTGACGATGCGGCCGACAATCTCGGACACGCCGGCCTTGTTGGCGAGCTCGACCGTCGTCTCGACGACCTGGCGGTAGTTGCGGCGGTCGAGCGCCATGCGGCGCACGAGGAAGTTCTTGAAGAACTCGGGCAGGATCTCCTCGCGGACGTACTGCGGCTGGACGCCGTCGGTCGCGGCGCACTGCTTGACGACCTTGAGCACGATCTTCTTCATCTCCTCGTCGGGCGACTGGAACTCGCGGATGAGGATGACCATGACCTCGCGCGTGTAGTAGTTGGCGTACTCGGGGTCCATGAGGGGGATGATGAAGCCGATCGCCTTGAGGAACGCGGCGAGCCCTTTGCCACGGTGCTTGCGGATGCCGGTCCACAACGGCTTGAGGACGCTGTCGAACGACTCGATGCCGTACGGGGCCGCCGCCTCGGCGAGGGCGGCGATGCACAGCGCCGTCATCGTGCGCACCTTCTGCTGCTCGTCTTCGAGACCGTGCGCGACCGACTCGACGAGGTTCTTGAGGTGCGGCAGGACGGCGCAGCCCATCATGATGGCGATCTGCTGGATGATCTTGATGCCCGTGTGACGCGCCTGCCACGACTTCTTCGAACGGCACACGGCACGCAGGAAGGGGAGGAGCGAGGGGATGCCGAGCGCCGAGGCGACGACCGAGAAGGCGCGAGCGGTCGTGTTGCGGACGTACTCGTCGGCGTGGTCGATGTCTGCGTGCAAGATCGTCCAGAGTCAGTGAGGGCGAACGAGGAAGTGCAGGGCGAGCCGAGAAGGGGAGGGAAAGAGGGACGGACCGGGTCGCATCGTCGAGATCATGTGGGCGAGGCCGGCCGCCTTGGACAGGTTGCTGATGATCTCGCGGCCCTCGACGCGAGCGTAGTAGTCCTCGTCGATGAGGAGCGGCTCGATGACGACGAGGATCTTGTGCACGTACGGCCGCACGAGGTCGTCGAGCTTGTACAGGACGCGGTCGATGACCTTGACGAGGAGGTGGCGCTCCTGGTCCTCGAGCGTGCGCTCCATGAGGAGCGGGAGGATCTTGTCGAACAGCGGGCCGGCGCCAAAGTCGCGCGCCTTGTCGGTGATCTGCCGCAGCGCCGACTTGCGCATCGGCGGCGTGCCGTTCTTGATCTTGAGCAGGAGGCGCATGATCTTGCGCTCCTTGAGCTCCTCGACCGTCAACGCGCCCTCGTCCTCGTTCGTCAGGATCTGTGGGGCGAAACGAGGTCAGGGTTTCGGCTCGTGAGACAGGGAAGGGATGGAGGAAGGAAGGGAGGGAGCGAGGACGCACCTTGGCGAAGTACTGCGCGTCCTCCTTCTTGAAGAACTGGAGGTCGCCGACGCCCTCGATGTCGGTCGGGAGCTCGGTCGTGATGCCGAGCGCCTCGGCGCTCACGCCCGTCTCGGGCATCATGAAGCCGCCCGTGTCGGCGAGGGGCGCCTCGGTGAGCTTGCGCGCCGGCGTGCGGATGGGCGCATAGCCCTGCGGCGGCTCGACGATCTCGTAGCCCTCGCTCGGGAGCATGGCGTCGAGCTCCTCGTCGGTGAGGTAGCGCACTCGCCGGTCCATGACGCCGCCGACGAGGAGGAAGCCCTCGCCCGCCGTGCCCTGCTGCACCGTGTTGATCGTCGGCGTCATGTTGAAAGGCATGAGCGAGCCCGGGACGGGCGTCGCCGAGACGTTGCCGACCGGCGTCTGGTCCCATCGCGAGCGCTTGGGCGTCTCGCCCGGTGCGCCCGCCGTCACGCCCGCCGGCGTCTCGTCCCACCGGCTGCGCTTGCGCCGCGGCGTCTCCTCGGGCGCAGCAGCCGCCTTGCCCTTGAGCTTGGCCTCGTCCCACTCGCCGCCGCGCTCCTTGCCCGCCGAGGTGCCGTCGACCATGGCCGAGTCGCGAGCAGGCTCGGAAGGCTCGGCGACGTCCCACCGTTTCCGACGCGGCGTCTGGTCGACGGCCTCGATCGACTTGAGCGGCTCGCCCTCGGCGTCGGTGCCCTCCTGCTCGCGGCGCTCGAGCTCGCGACGGACGCGCAGCTCCTCGCGCTCGATCTCGGCGCGCCGCATCTTGTCGACGTACGACTCGCCCTCGCCGCCCTCGCCGCCGTTGCCGAACGCGTCGGACGAGACGCCGGTCTCGCGGTCAAAGCGCCGCGCGTGGTACTCGGACTGGCGGGATGCGACCTGACGGCTCTTGGCCGTCTCGGCGAACGGGTCCTCGGCGTCGACGTCGGCGAACTCGTTGAGGAGGTGCTTCGGGGCGGTGACTGTTGCGAAAGAGGGAGGTGAGCGAGCTGCCCCGAGAGCGAGAGGTGGACAGCGAAAACGAGAAGGGGACGCACACGAGTCGAGGAGGCGGACCTGGCTCGGGCCGCCCTCGTCGTCGAGGTCCATGTCGGCACCGGTACCGGCGTCGATCTCGGTGTCGAACTTGCTCGAGCGGCTCTTCTTGCTCGCCTTGGGGGCTGCGACCTCGGTCGAGAGGCCCGCGTCGGGCTGGTTGGCGGACGAGGCGAGGCGGGCCTCGCGACGCTGCGCCTGGGCGGCGCGGATCTCGTCACTGGTCGAGTCGGACATGGCGGGTGGTCGCGCAGTCGTCTGGCGGTGTGGGCGAGGTGGCGGTTCGAGGTGGAGAGGGGAAGGCGATGAGGGCGCAACGGGAGGCGGCGAACGGTGGTGGTGCGGTGCGGCGGCGCGTGTGGCGAGCTTGAAGCTGAGCTCTGCGCTGTACAGGCCAGCTCGGCACCCGAGAGCCGTGTGTTGCGAGGACGAGGAGCTCCTCGCCGCTCGCCAACTCTCCGCCTCTCGACCGCTCGCTCAGCGCTCGCACGGCGAGCCAGGCTGCTCTGCCGCGCGTGTGCAAGCCAAGGGATCGTCGCTGAGAGAGCGGGCAGTCTCAGGCTCGCCCGTGCTTCTGCTGCTTCGGAGCCGCCCGCTTGCTCGTCGTCGGCTCTCTCTCAGTCGGGCTCGGTGCGCCAGCTCGACCGGTCCAGGCTACCGTCTCGCTCGCAAGGCAGAGCGCGACTCGCTCGCGGCCCCTTGGCGGGGCGAGACTCGCACGCGCTTCTCTCGACGAGATGCAAGTCTTCCGAAATCGAAACTGCTCTTTCTCCTTTTCAGGCGCTCGACCGACGCACATCTACGCCCACATGTCGACGACGCAGCGGATACAGTCACCGCCGTGCACTGTGTCGAGGAGGAGGTGTCAGGAGCGCGTTCGAGAGCGAGAGAGGAAGGAGGAGGACAGGACGCACTGTAGTCAAAGCCCTTCGAGATCTCGTCGAGCGAGGTCTGCAGGGAGAACGGTCGCGGTCAGTCGCTGCTTGACCATTGGCCGGAAGGAGAGACGAGGACGCACGCGGTGGGTAACGTAGTCGTCGACGGTGAGCTTGCCCGCAAGGTAGTCGTCAACGAGCCCGGGCAGCCTGCGCGACGACGAGACGAGCCCGTTAGTCGCTGAATGAGAGACTCGCGAGGTCCGTGTACACAAGAGAGAGAGAGAAGGCGAGGACGCACTCGGTACGACCCTTGACGCCGCCGAACGCCGAGCCCTGCCACTTCCTGCCCGTGACGAGCTGGAACGGCCGCGTCTGGATCTCCTTGCCGGCCGCCGCAACGCCGATGATGGTCGACACGCCCCAACCCTTGTGGCACGCCTCGAGCGCCTGGCGCATGACGTTGACGTTGCCCGTGCAGTCGCTGTGGGTCAGAGCGCGAGGTCAGCTCGATTGCGCTCGGCGGGCGCGTTGGCGGGACCTGGTGCTCAGGGCGCGAGGGGGCTGAGGAGGAGGGAAAGGTGAGGCGCACAAGGTGTGGTCACAACCGCCGTCCGTCTTCTCGACGAGCACGTCGACGATCGTCTTGCCCTCCGGGAGCTTGGTCGGGTTGATAAAGTCGGTCGCGCCCATGCTGCGGGCCCACTCCTCCTTGCGGTCGTTCGTGTCGATGGCGATGATCTGCTTGGCCTTGCGGACCTTGCAGCCCTGGACGACGGCGAGGCCGACGGCGCCGAGGCCAAAGATGGCCGTGTTGTCGCCCTCCTGGACGTTGGCCGTCTTGGTGCTGCATACGTGGGGCTCGTCAGGTCGTCGCACAAGAGGACGAGAGGTGGGAGTGAGCGAGAGGGGACGTACGCTGCGCCGTAGCCCGTCGTGAGGCCGCAGCCGAGGAGGCACGCCTTGTCGAGCGGCGCCTTGTCGGTGATGGCGACGACCGAGTACTTGCTCACGACCGTGTACTGCGAGAAGGTCGAGCAGCCCATGAAGTGGAGGAGCTCCTTGCCCTTGCACTTGAAGCGCTTGGTGCCGTCGGGCATGACGCCCTTGCCCTGGGTCGCGCGCACGGCGCTGCACAGGTTGGTCTTGCCCGACTTGCAGAACTTGCACTCGCGGCACTCGGCGGTGTACAGCTGTGTGTGCGCAGGACGTCAGGGTGCAGTTCGAGGGAGAGGACGCTGGGGGAGAGGACGAAAGAGGAGCTCACCGGCACGACGTGGTCGCCAACCTTGACGTCCGTGACGCCCTCGCCGACCGACTCGACGACACCACCACCCTCGTGTCCGAGGATGACGGGGAAGTCGCCCTCGGGGTCGTCGCCGGAGAGCTGCCGGGAGGAGGGAGGGTCAGTTCCTGTCGCCCGGCTGAACCAAAGAGCCGCCGAGCCGGGGACGCACGGTGAAGAGGTCCTGCAGGGCACAAGTGGGTCAGGTCGAGTGCTTGTTGCGGTGAAAGAAAGCTGCGGGACGCACCGTGTGGCAGAGCGCGTTGTAGAGGACCTTGATGCGGACCTCGCCCGCCTGAGGCGGGTCGACCGTGATCTCCTCGATCGAGACGGGCTTGCCCGCCTCCCAGGCGACGGCAGCCTTGCAGGTGATGACCTGCGAGTGCGCGCACGACCGAGGTCAGCCAGGTGCGCAGGGCCTTGGACCAGGAGCGATGATGCGGGCGGCCGAGTCGAGCGGGGCGGGGACAGGCTGCCGGCACGCAGAGGGGAGGGCGAGAGGACCGTGGGCGCACCTTGCCCTGAGTGTCCGACATTGTGATGCTGTAGTGGTAGAGGGGCGAGTCGAGGAGCGTTGAGTTGGGAGACGAGCAGAGCCGACGACGGCCCTCCCTCCCCTCGGGCTGCGGGCGAGCGCGCGAGCGCCTCCACTCGGCTGCGTCGGCAACGCGCGCGTGTCGAATCTCTCCGTCTTCCGCTCACGCAGATGCTCTGCTTGGTCAGCTTGCTCGCTACGAGGAACAGATTGACCGGCGAGAGCCGAGAGGTCGAGCCTGTCCCTCTCGCGCCTTCCTCTCCACGTCCACTCGGACCTCTTCCTGCTCACAGACCGCTGTTACTTGCTCGTACGAGCGTGTTCGTTGTGCGCTAGCGAGATGTTGTCGAGCCCTCTACCCCTCGCAGCGTGCGCACTTGCGCTTGGCCCGACGCGAGCCGCAGCTGTCGAGCGGCCCGTGCGAGCTCGTCTGGCCGCGGCAAGCCTTTCCCAGCCAGTCTCTCTCTCCCTGCACCGCTTTCCGGGCGGCTTTGCTTCGTGTCAGCGTGTTCGTCGCTGTCGGTGCCAAACGAGCCGTTCCGAGCTTCGCCTTGGCCTCGACACTCTGCTTCCTCCCAACCTTCTCAAGTTGCAACTCCTCGTGCGTCAACAGCTCAAGCATCCTGCGGTTGCGGGAACACTCTCTCTCCGTCGACTAGGTCGGCTGTGTGAGCTCAACGACGCTAGGCGAGACTCGCACGACGCCGTCTCGACTCTTCAGCTTGCGCAGGGTCCGCTTCTCGCCGGGCAGGCTGCGCGTCGTCAACGAGGTCCGTAGAGCTACATTGACGTCCTGTCTCTCTCGATAAAGCTGTACTCGACGAACCCAGACGACCTCGACGTTGCAGACTGGACGAGCTACGTCAGGGGATGTGCGAAGGCTTTCGCTCAAAGAAGACGGCGACGAGGCAGTCGTCGACGAGCGGGTACAGAGAGCGACCAGGTTCGCCCCCGACGAGCTCGATGTTCTCGGGGAAGACGGCCGTCAACTCGTGCCGCATCTGCAGCTCGGTGAGCGGGGCGAGCACACCCGCCGCGCCGGGCGCCTTCCGCCGGTCGAACCAGAACCACCTGAACGCCGCCTTTTTGCCCTCGACTCCCGCACGTGCCTTCTCGAGCTCGGGCACGAAGCCAGTAGAGCCCTCGTCGGCGCCGTACATGCGCCACAGCGCGGCGTGTACGGTCGTGCCGCTGGCGTGGACGCGGTCGGCGGGCGCGAGGACCGCGGTCGGCCCGTCGGCGACTAGTTCTGCACGCTCAGAGGATGTCAGAGGCTCGTCGACACGATGGCGAGGAACGAGGACGAGAGGGACGGACTCCAAAAGCGGGTCAAGTGGCCCGCGCCCGGCTTGCGGTGGAACGGCAGGAGCGCGTCCTTGCTCGCCGACTCGGGCCATGCCCAGATCTCGAAGGCTTGGTGAAGGGGCATCGTGTCGTTGGCTGCAGGAAGGAGGGGGCTGGTGAGGGCGAGGCCGAGACGAGGGAAGCATGAGCTCGAGGACGCACCTTGTTTGCCGGCAATCGCAAAGCTCCACCGCCGAGTGACGACCGGGTAATCGATGTCAACGTCCTCGAGAAGGCTCTCGAGAGCCGCAGAGATGAAGCTGAGCATGCTGTCGTCGCCGAGTCCAGCTTGCTGCACTGCGGGACGAGGTGAGGGTCAGTGCGCGGACGAGATGAGCTCCAGGGGCGGTACAGGTGGAAGGAGGACGCACGCTTGGAAGTGTCTGAGTGCCCACCGACGGCGGTGGCCATCATGTCGTGCGGGCCGTGCCGAGAAGCGTAGATGCGCGACTGGCGATGCATCGCGACGCTCGAGCTTACTGCGGGAGAGGAGCATGAGCGGCGACCCTCGACGGGACGGAACAGGCCTCGATCAGGACTCACAGCGGCGAAGGCGTCCTGGAGCTGCAGAAGAAGAGAGTCAGCGGCGCCGCCGCCGGGCGAGCGAGGAGGAGGAAGGGAAGGCGGACGCACGGACACTCAGGGACGAGGGACGAAGCGGACGCTGCCATGGCGAATGCGGGATCGCGCACACGTCGAGAATCTAGTCGAGAGCAGCGCTAGTCGGGATAGCTGGAGCGAACGAGAGCAAGGGCTGCGGGCGACGAGCAACAGCGAGAGTGACCGAGCGCCGTCTGGACGAATCCGCGGACCCGGGCATCGATCTGCGGCGTGCAAGGAGCGGCGAGTCCGACCCAATCGAGAGCCGGACAGGAGCTCGTCCGCGCGAACGCCGAGTAAGCCGGAGAGCGAGACAGCGGACCGCAAGCTGGAGGGGCGCGAGCGTCGATGGTGGCGACGCGAGACGGCCAACCCCAAGGGCCAGCGAGAGATAGTCGGCTGTCCGAGCGAGTGGGAGAGCGCTCGAGCTGGTGCGCGTGGCACCGCGCAGGAGGAAGAGCGAGGCGCTTGGAAGCCGCCAGGCAAGACGGCCGGCGGCCTCGTAGCGCACCGGCAGGCCGCTCTGACCTGGCGCCGCCGGAAAGGCCAGCCACAAGAACCGGGGGAGCGAGCGACTGGCTCAGGCGTGGTGTTGCCGAGAGGCGGAAGATGACGAGACTGATGAAGAGGAGGCGGCTCGTCTCGCGGCGACACATGGCGCTGCGAGTCGCGCTCGCCGCCAGGCTAGCTCGCACAGGCTCTCGAGCGTCGCGGGCCCCATGCAGGAGCGCGCGAGCCGATGCCGTCCTCTTGCCTGCGCTCTCGCTCGCGCGCACGACCACGACGACGAGGTGGGTTTGGGACGGTTGCATTTCGGCAGCACAGCTTCTGAAAGAGAGATGGAGTGGGAGAAAAGACTTGGGGGAGGGAAGGACGACAACGTTCGTGTAGGGGGAGCGGAATGGAGATAGGGTGCGGAACGGGCTCGGCCCGCCTTCGAGGCGAGGGACGAGCCGAGGTTTTCACACGACGACAGCGCGAGGCGCTTAGAAGCACTTGCGGTGGACGATGCTGGGACCGCTCTCGTCGTACTCTGCTCGGCGGCAAGAGCGTCGGGGTGGTCGGCGAGGTCGGCGAAGGCGAGGGCGAGGGCGAGGCGAGGAGGTAGGGGAGAGGGCGAGGACGACGTCGATGGCGGAGGAGGAGATAGACGAAAGAGACAGTGGAAGGGAGAGAGGGAGGGAAGGGGCAGGAGGGGAGGAAGGGCGAGTCAGTAAACGCTCTCGAAGAGGACGGCTCGAGCTTGCCCGACGCCGGCGCGGCACCGGGGTCGACGCGCACCGACAGACAGACAAAGGGAGAGAGGAGGACGCACCCTGCTTCGAGATCCACATCTGCTGGAAGGTCGAGAGCGACGCGAGGATCGAGCCACCGATCCAGACCGAGTACTTGCGCTCGGGCGGCGCGACGATCTTGATCTTCATCGACGACGGCGCGAGGGCCGTCATCTCCTTCTGCATGCGGTCGGCGATGCCGGCGTACATGGTCGTGCCGCCCGACATGACAATGTTGCCGTACAGGTCCTTGCGGATGTCGAGGTCGCACTTCATGATCGAGTTGTACGTCGTCTCGTGGATGCCGGCCGCCTCGAGGCCGATGAGCGACGGCTGGAAGAGGGCCTCCGGGGCGCGGAACCGCTCGTTGCCGATCGTGATGACCTGGCCGTCCGGCAGCTCGTACGACTTCTCGAGCGTCGACGACTGGGCCGCCGTCTGCATCTCCTGCTCAAAGTCGAGCGCGACGTAGCACAGCTTCTCCTTGATGTCGCGGACAATCTCGCGCTCGGCCGTGGTCGTGAAGGTGTAGCCGCGCTCGGTGAGGATCTTGACGAGGTACTCCTGCAGGGGGCAACGGGCGCAACAGTGTCAGTGCCTTGCCTCCCTTGATCGAGACGGGCACAGAGAGAGAGAGAGAGAGAGAGAGAGCGTGCGACGCACCGTGAGGTCACGGCCGGCAAGGTCGAGACGGAGGATGGCGTGCGGGAGCGCGTAACCCTCGTAGATGGGCACGGTGTGGCTGACACCGTCGCCCGAGTCGAGGACGATACCGGTGGTGCGACCCGAGGCGTACAGCGACAGGACGGCCTGGATGGCGACGTAGAAGGCCGGGGCGTTGAACGTCTCGAACATGATCTGGGTCATCTTCTCGCGGTTGACCTTGGGGTTGAGCGGCGCCTCGGTGAGGAGGACCGGGTGCTCCTCGGGTGCGACGCGGAGCTCGTTGTAGAACTGCGGGCGTGGGCAGAGGGAGGACGAGGGTCAGTCTCGGCAGGCGAGCTCTCGACGGCGACGAGAAAGAGGGTGAGTGGGACGCACGGTGTGGTGCCAGATCTTCTCCATGTCGTCCCAGTTGGTGACGATGCCGTGCTCGATCGGGTCTGCATGCGGCGCGAGGACGAGGGTGAGCGCCTCGTCATGGCGGAACGGCAGAGACGGGAAGTCGACGCACACTTGAGCGTGAGGATACCGCGCTTCGACTGGGCCTCGTCACCGACGTACGAGTCCTTCTGGCCCATGCCGACCATGACGCCCTGGTGGCGAGGGCGACCGACGATGGACGGGAAGACCTGCAGAGCGATCGAGGCGATAGGAGGGTCAGGCTCTGTGTGCGACGGTGTGCGAGCGCTCGAGCGGCACAGAGCGCCACCCCGAGGTCGAGGGACGGGCACGAGGCGCGACGAGGGCGGGCGAGCGCGTGAGGGGGAACGCCCGAGCCTCTCGGCTTCGCGCGGGGGGAGGAGGAGGAAGGTGGAGGACAACAAGGGGAAGCGGACGACTCACGGCACGGGGCGCGTCGTCGCCGGCGAAACCAGCCTTGCACATGCCGGAGCCGTTCTGTGAGAGGCAAAGGCGGCGATCGGGTCAGTGGATCTGTCGAGGGGGCCGAGGGGGTGGGAGCGGGGGGAGGAGGAGGGATGGGGTGACGAGGCGACCGTGTGGTGCCGGGGAGGGACGCACGTCGATAACGAGGGCAGCAACTTCGTCTGCGAGGTGGTGGGAGCAAGTCTGGGTCAGTCCCGTGTGTCCCCGTGCCTTGTGGAGGGCGGCTCGAAGGAGCGAGGGAGGAGGGAGGGGGTCGAGTGACGGGGGTGACGAGGGCCGTGGCTCTCGGCGACGGTGGGGCGGGGCGAGGGTGCGAGGGGAGGAAGAGGGAGCTCACCTTCCATGGTAGTAGTCGGGGGCGGGAATAAAGGGGAAGAGGCGGGAGCGAGAGCGAGGTGGGAGGAGGAGAGGGGAGGCGAGGGGGGGAGCAGCGACGACCACGTCGACCTCGGGCTCGCCTCGACCGCTGCGAACACCTCCCTCGCTCTCGCGTCGTGTGCCTCGTCGGCCTATGCAACCTTGCCGTAGCTTTCGCCCCACCCCAGCTCCCCTGCCACCTCGTCCCCCCGCTCGTCCGACTGCGCAGCTCCACCTCGACTCGCTCCGCCAAGCCTGCTCCATCAGCCGCTCGCAGCACCTCGTCGAGGACCTGCACTGACTCGTCCAACACGCCGTGCGGCTCGTCCACAACCCTCGGGCGAGCAAGGGCGAGGACGAGGACTTTCGAGAGAGAGCCGAGAGCAAGAGGACGGCTCCCCTTCGCTTCAAGCGAGCCAGCATCTTTCGAGAGAGCCGCACACCTACTGTGAGAGACAGTGAGCCACTGGAACCAGCCACACATGGTCAAGCGAGAGTGCCACGGCCGGTTCCCCTCCCGCCCGTGTCCTCTGCAGTCGCTCTCTTCCCACCACACTCGCCTGACCCGCCCAGGCAGAGTCGCGAGCGGCGCAGCAGAGCTCCAGCACGCCCGAGCAAGCTCTCCATTGCCCGGCCGCGCCCCCGCCTGCGACGAGCCCGCTCCCCCTCCTCGTCGTCCGCCCCCGCCGCACGACCCGTCCACCTCGACGCGCCCACCTCGCCCAGCGACCCCGCCGTGCGTCCACGCCCCTCGCCGTCGTCCAAGATGGACGGTCCACCACCCCGCCGCCACTCGCGCGGCCCGTACGACGACGACCGCCCTCCTCGTCGTGACGGCCCGCCGCCGTCCGCCTACCGCGACGACGGCCCGCGCTACGACCGCCCGCCGCCACCCACGAGGGGTACGGACCGGCGCGACGACTATGAGCGAGGCGCGCCGCCGCCGAGACGCACCTTCGACGATGACGGCCCTGGAGCTCTTCGTCGCTCGTTCGACCGGCGAGGCCCGCCAAGCCCGGACTACGACGGTGCGTCTGTCGCACTCGATGGCTCGAGTGATACTCCAAGAGCCCTTACTGACATGCGCTCGACCCCGTTCGCAGCCCGCAAGCGCCGTCGCTCGCCCTCGCCCGGCGGTCCATCTGGTCCTCTTCCCGGCGGCCGCCTCCCTGCCAGGGGCTATCCCCCCGTGCGCGACAGCCGAGACGGTCCGTCCCCTCCATCCTCTTGTGACTGGTCCCCGGACTGCCTCGCTGACTCCCCTCGCCTCCTCCCTCGTGTTCTCGCAGGTCCTCCTCCTCGCCGAGACCTGTACCACAACGGCCGCGGTCCGTCGCCGCCGCCTCGAGGCAGATCAAGGCGCGATGGGCCGCTCCTGCCGCCGCAGGCGGGCTACCCTCATGGCGCCGATCCGTACGGTCAGCCGTTTGGCGCCGGCCCGCCTCCTCCTCTGTACGTCCTGCTCCTTCCACCCTCTTTCTCGGCCCCTCTCAAACGTCTGGCACTGACGTCAGACAACGTAACAGTCGACCCGTCCTCGAACCGCCGATGCAGCTCCCGCAACGCGTCACCAAGGCCTACTTCTCCGACTGGTTCCGCTCGACCAACCCGCCCTCGCTCGCCGACTCGACCTCGGCGCTCGACGACGCCTACAAGAAGTACTGCGGCGACGTCGCACGGCGCGAGCTCAAGGCGCTGTTCGACCAGACGAGGACGCTCGGCGGCGAGTGGTTCGACGAGAAGTACGGCGTCGGGCCGGCGAGGGAGGCCGAGAGGAGGGACAGGAGGCTCAAGGTCGAGAGGGCGAGGAGGGTCGGCGACTGGATCGAGAGGGCCGACAAGGGCGAGTTCGACGGGTTGACCTTTGACTTCGGTGCGTCCCCTCGTCCCTTCTCGTCTGTCGCCCTGCGCCCGGGCGCACGAGACTGACTGCTCGTGAACAACGGGCCACAGACGAGGAGCTCGCGCGCAAGCCCCGCATCCAGCCGAACGCGGCGACGCAGCAGGCCGCCGCCGTCCCGGCCGGCTCGAGCACCAACGGCGCGTCGGCGTCACCCGAGCAGCAGCCCAACGTCGACCTTCCCGCCGCGCCGGCCGCCTCGGCCTCGCCCGCACCTGTTGCCGCCGCCGCAAGTGTCGAGCTGCAGCCGTCGTCGCCCGAGTTTGTCGTCCTGCCGCCCAGGCCCGAGGTGCTCGCCATCCAGGGCGTACCGCCGACCGTCGCCTACAAAAAGCTCGAAGCCGTGCGTCCCGGTCTCTCTCTTTCTCTCTCCGTGTGCAACCTGTCCGGCATCGTCGACTCGGGCCTCACAGGACGAGCCTACTGACCCCCTCCTCGGCGTACAGGTCTTTGCCGCGTTCCCGGGCTTTGTCCGCCTCGCCCTCAGCGAGCCCCTCGTCAACTTCGACTTTGCCCGCACGGGCTGGGCCATCTTCGCGTCGGCGGCCGAGGCGGCGGCGGCGCTCAAGAGCGTCCAGACGGGCGCCGCCAACGTCGACATCCAGTCGGGCGAGGACAAGGTCGCCTCTGCCGCCGCCGGCGATGCCGAGATGTCGGCGGCGGCCCATCTCGCAAGCCCTGCGCCGTCGGGCGAGGGCGCCGCCGTCGCCGTCGCCGGTCCCGTCAACGGCGCGCATTCGCTCGATCCGTCGACCTCGACGCACGTCCTCGCCGCCTCGTCCTCGATGCCGTTCGACCTGTGCGCCCCAGGCGCCGTCGTCTCGCTCCTTGAGGCGCACGAGGTGCGCGTGCGCGCGACGCCCGCCGCGTTCTGCGCCCCTTCGCGCGTCGCGGCCGACCTGGAGACGGTGCTGAGGGTCGTGCGCGAGGCCGAGAGGCGGCTCGAGCTCGACGGGCAGGCGGTCGAGGGGAGGAAGGGGAGCGAGTGGATCGAGGAGAAGAAGGTGCAGCTCGCGAGGGAGCTCGAGGAGAAGAAGGAGCGCGAGGGCATGGGCGCGCCGGCGCACAGGATCGCTCTCGCCGAGGTGGTACGTCCTGCTCCTTCCCCTCGCTCTCCTCCCCGACGCCCTTCTCTAGACATCTCTGACGACCTAAACTCCTTTGCCCGCAGACCAAGCGCACACTCGACCTCGCCCTGTCGTACCTGCGCGAGGCGCACGACGTGTGCTACTACTGCTGCGCGATGACCGAGTCGCCCGAGCAGCTCCTCGAGCTGTGCCCTCGTCACGTGCGCCGGTGCGACGAGTTCCGCAACGAGCGTCGCCTCAACAACGGTACGCTTGCCCTCTCTCTCTCCCTCCTTCTCCTCGTCGCCGCCAACTGACTCTTGGCCCCCTCGGCGACCTGCAGAGCTCGACTTTGTCCAGAGCTTCGACGAGCACGTGCCGCTCATGCAGGACACCTCGGCCCTCGACATCCGCGACCTCGGCGCGCTGTCTCGCGACGAGGAGCTGTACCGCCTCGCCAGCCCGCACCTCAAGCAGGAGGAGGAGGGCAAGTTCCGGTGCAAGACGTGCAACAAGCTCTTCAGCGCGCGCAAGTTCGTCGAGAAGCACATTGGGCTCAAGCACCCGGAGCTGTTCGGCGACGCGCTCGAGGAGGTCCGTCCTCGCCTTTCCTCTTCCTCCTCGTTCTCCTCTCGTCGCACGACCTGACCTCGCCTTCTCCGGTCCGTCTCGGCAGGTCGCCCTGTTCAACAACTACGTCCTCGACCCGCTGCGCCTCCCGACGGCGTCGTTCCAGATCGAGAACTACCTCCCGTCGATCCTGAACCCGCCGGCGCCGCCTTCAACCGGCCGCCGCGCCCTCGCCGACCGCCTCGGCCCGCCGCACAAGCGCTCGCGGCGCGAGAGTGGGCGTGGCAGGGGAGGACCCGATGGCGAGAGGGACGGGCCGGCGGCGCCGCCGCCCAAAGGAGCGGCGCTCGACCCGAGGGCGCAGAGAGGCGCGACCGCCTACGCCGACCTGGTGCGTCTCGCTCGTTCTCTCGCTTCTCGTCTCGTCCACCCGAGCGTGACTGACTCGAACTGGTGCACGCGCGCAGGACGGACCCGCAGGAGGAGGAGACCCGGTCGCGCTCCCTTACTGAGCGGAGCGAGGCGCGAGGAAAAAGCCGAGCGAGCGAGGGCTTGCGGGAGGGATTTGCAGTGCACAGCAGCTTTTATCACACGACCCAGCAGAGTGTTGCGAGAGCTCGACAGGAAGAGACAGCGACGCTGGACATTGATGAGAAGCGCGAGCCGGGAGGAGGAAAAGCGAGCGCGACGAGGACGACCAGCTTCCCTCGCCGCGTGTGCTCGCTAGTACGACCCCGCACCCAGTCCCTTGCGCTTCGCTCCCACCAGCCAAGCCCAACCGACCCGCCCCGACCTCGCACAGCTCACGCCAGCTCGCGTCGTCTCGTCCCCTTTCTCCCCTCGTCGACCCTCGCGCGTCGCTCGACCACCTCGCCCCTGCCTTGCTCAAGAGCACTCAGGAGATCCGTACAGCACCCGTCTCAGCCCGGCACTACCCCCTCCCGCATCCCTGCCAGCCTCTCCCGCCATGGTCGCCCCCGCCGCCTCGTCCTCGTCGGCACTCGCCCAGCTCCTGCCTCACCTCGACAGGCAGCTCGTCCTCCCGATCCTCGACTTCCTCGAGAGTCGCGAGAAGTACTCGCACGAGGAGGTCCTCCAGGCCAAGATTGACCTCCTCGGCCAGGGCAAGACCAACATGGTCACCTTCGTCGAGGCCCTCCAGCGCGAGCTCGAGGGCAAGGAGGACTCGGAGGAGGTTGCCGGCCACGCCGGTGCGTCCCATCTCGTTCTCCTTCATGCCGCGCACGCCGATGCGGCGGCCTCTCGTCTGTGCGTCGCCTCCTGACACCTCGCCTCGTCCCGCGCAGACTTCCGGAAACGCGAGGAGGAGGTCGTCAAGACGCTCAACGAGCTGCAGGCGCAGGCGCAGGGCGTCATGGAGGTCATCTCGAACCCGGAGGTCGTCTCGGCGCTGCGACAGGACAAGCAGCACAACTTGACCTACCTCAAGGAGAACCACAACGTGCGTCCCCCCTCTCTCGCTCTCCCCCCTCTGTGCCTCCTTCTACCCACAGAACATCAGCCTGACCTCGCTGTCGACGACCGCCTCGCAGGTCACGAACGACCAGATCGAGCTCCTGTACAAGTTCGGGCAGTTCCAGTACTCGATCGGCAACTACGGCGGCGCGTCCGACTACCTGTACCACTTCCGCGTGCTGTCGACCGACTCGCAGCTCGTCCTGTCGGCCATGTGGGGCAAGCTCGCGTCCGACATCCTCGAGGGCTCGTGGGACGCCGCGCTCGAGGAGCTCAACGGCCTGCGCGAGCACATCGACCAGCGCGGCTCGAACGGGCCCGGTGGCCCCCTCGTCGCGCTCCAGCAGCGCACGTGGTGGCTCCACTGGTCCCTGTTCGTCTACTTCAACCACGAGAACGGGCGCGAGCTCCTCCTCGAGTCGTGGCTCAACCAGAACTACCTCAACACGATCCAGACGGCGTCGCCCTGGCTCCTGCGGTACCTCGTCGCGGCCGTCGTCATCGCGCGCAAGTCGACGCTGCGCTCGGCGGGCCCGGCCTCGCAGGGCAACTCGGCGCGCTCGCGCGAGGCGGTGCGCGACGTCGTGCGCGCCCTCGGCCAGGAGCAGTACCAGTACCGCGACGCCGTCACCGAGTTCCTCCGCAAGCTCTACGGCGAGGTCGACTTCGAGGGCGCCCGCGAGGAGATGGCCAAGTGCGACGCCGGCGCCGCGCTCGACGACGACTTCTTCCTCGAGGCGTTCAAGGGCGAGTTCGTCGAGAACGCGCGCTTCCTCGTGTCCGAGGCGTACTGCAAGATCCACCACCGCATCGACATTGGCGAGCTCTCGGACCGCCTCGGCCTCTCGCGCGAGGAGGGCGAGCGGTGGATCGTCGACCTCGTGCGCGACGCTCGCCTCGACGCCAAGATCGACCTCAAGGAGGTGCGTCGCTCGTCCTCTCTCTCTGTCCTCTTCCTTTCCTCGTGCCCCCTCACTGACACGCACTCCCTCGTCGAGCAGAACATCGTCCAGATGAACCACGCCGACACGCCCGTCTACCAGACCGTGATCGAGAAGTCGCGCGGCCTCCTGTTCCGCTCGCAGGCCATGGCGAGCGCGATCGAGGTGCGTGCGGCAGGTGGCGCCGTCTCGAGCGAGCGCGAGCAGGCGCGTTACGGCGGCCGGACGACGGGTGCGGGTGGTCGCGGTGGCAAGGGCGGCAACGGGCCGAGGGGCCCCAAGAAGGACCAGTCGCAGCAGCAGCAGCAGCAGAAGGAGGGCGGTGCCGAGGCGGATGCGCCCGCACCGACGACCGAGGCGTAGAGCGAGCCATAGAAGCGCGCGTTCCCCTTCCCTTCCCTCGTCGCTCTCTCTCTCTCTCTCCCTCTGTGTGTGTGCTGGGCCCGAAACGTGTACCGATACCGCCTCTGTCCTTGTCTTCGTCGAGAGAGAGGCCTGCAAAGCTTCCGTGTGGTCGTTGAAACGGAGTCGGACGAGGAGAGCTGATGAAGACGAAGGCCTCCCTCCACGCCCCGCCGACTTTGCTCGAGCGCGTCCGGGTCGATGCCCAGCAGTATACTCTACACCGCCGAGCTGCCCACGTTCGAGCGCACGACCGGCCAGCTGTCGCTCGCGTCGCACCACCTCGTCTCGACTCCCCACTCCTTCCTCGACCGGTTTCCCGCCGACTACGCCCTCCTGTTCGACGAGTCGCCCAGCAGGCCGTACCAGCAGCCGTCGCGCGACCCTGTCAGCGACCAGCCTCGCCGCAAGAGGCGACGCACCGCTCCCCCTCCCGCCGAGTCCGCCTCGCCCGCCGACTTTGTCCTCCAGCGCGACAAGCTCGACCGCCAGTCGACGACCGACAAAGAGTCGGCCGAGCACCACGCCAGCGTATCGCTCGACTTGCGCGTCGCTATCGAGGCGGTGCAGCAGGGCTGGGCAGAGCGCGCAGAGCACGAGGGCTGGGTCGGCGAGCGCGAGGCGGACCGGGTCGAGTGGCGATCGCGCGATGGAGGAGATGAGCGCAACGAGTTAGACCTCGTCGGTATCGCGGCGGCCGAGCGGGAGCGAGAGGCTGGCGAGGACCCTGTTCGGCTCGACCCGCCGCGAGCCGAGGTTTCCGTCCCGCAGCTGTTCGACCGGCTCGTCCTGAACGACTCGCCGACGGCGAGCGTCGTCGTCGAGCTCGGTAGGCGCGCCGCCGTCCAAGGACCTGTACCCGCTCCTCGAGCCGGACTACTCGTCCCGCCGTCGAGCGGCTTCCTCCTGTCGGACCTGTCGACCTGGTCGGCGCCATCGTCTGGCATCGCCAACGTCGGGCGCAGCAAAGGTGGCTGGGATGTCGTCGTCATCGAGTGCGTCCCTGCCCCCTGCCCCCTCGAGCGCTCGCGTCCACGATCAGCTCCTGAACCTCGTCGCCCTTTCCAGCCCGCCATGGCCAAACGCTTCCGCCGCACGGTCCTCGAGCTACGAGACGTTCGACGCGTACGACCTCTGGAAACTCGACCTACCGGCGCTTCTCGGCGACAAGCCCGCCGTCGTCGCCGTCTGGCTCACGAACCGGGTCAAGGTGCGCCTCTCTCTCTCTCCTTCCTTTCTTCCCCTTTCTCGGCCCACGAGCTGATCGTGCCGCCGCACAGTTCCGCCGACTCGTCAAGGACAAGGTCTTCTCGTCTTGGCGCGTCAAGGGTGCGGCCGAGTGGTGGTGGGTCAAGGTCGCGTCCGCGACGGGCGAGCCCGTCTGGCCGCTCGACGCGACGCACAGAAGGTGCTACGAGGGTGCGTCTCTCTCTCTCTCTCTCCCTTCTCTCCTTGTCGGTGCTCACCGAGACCTCGCGCGCAGGTCTGCTCGTCGGCCACTACGTGCCCAAAGGCGTCAAGAACCTGGAGCTGCCGTCGATCCCGCAGGGCAGGACGTTCCTCTCGACGCCGGTCGGCCACTCGCGCAAGCCGATCATTCTCGGTACGTGTCTCCTCCTCTCGACCGCCTCGTACGGCGGCCTCACTGACCAGGCCCGTGCGTGCACGCAGACCTCCTCCTCCCCTTCCTCGCGACGCCGACCCGCACGCCCAACGTCCTCGAGCTCTTTGCCCGCATGACGCTCGCCGGGCCTCGCGCTTCCACTACGCCCAACGAGTTGACTGGCGACGCTCAGGACGACGAGTGCCGAGGGTTCTACCTCGCCGTCGGCAACGAGGCGGTCAAGTTCAACGTGCTCGAGCGTGCCGACGGTGCGGTGCGAGGGTGGGTGCGTCAGAAGGGTCTCGAGGCAGTCGAGGGCGAGTCGCGGCGGAAGTAGCGCGGAGCAGGCGGCAGCTCGCTCAGGCCTTGAAACCTGTTTGTCGCACCGAGCGCACGGGCAGTTTTCCTTCGCGCTCGCTAGTGAGTGAGAGCTACGGCGAACCAGTCGCTGCAGCACTTGAGAGAGAAGCGAGCGCGCTTGAAGGCAACCCGTCGGCGGCGGTTGGCGACGAGCGCGGGGTCGGCAGACTCAACCTCTCCCAGCCTCACCCAGCCTCACCCCAGCAGCCATGGCTGCGTTCGTTACTGTGCGTGCACGCGCACGCACCATCCCTGTGCCGACCTGACCTTGCCCGTCCTCCTGCAGCGCCGTGCCGTCTCGTCCTCGGTCCGCTCCCTCGCCACCACTTCATCGCCACCTCCTATCGCCTCGACCTCGGCAGCAGCAGCGACAGCAGCACAGCCACACCGTCCTCGACTCGACGCCCTCCGAGCTGAGCAGGCCACCATCGACGACTTTGTCGGCGAGCAGTCGGGCCCTTCCCTCGTCCGCGACAAGGTCGTCTTCACCAAGAACAAGACGTGAGCCTCTCCCTTGCCTCCTGTCGACCCGCGAGCGAAGCAGAGCACCACTGACTGTCTGCTCGGACACAGGACTCGCCTGCCGCGGTACCTCAAGACCGAGATCCCGACCTCGGCGAGCTTCAACAAGATCAAGTCGGACCTGCGCGGCCTCAAGCTCCACACGGTTTGCGAGGAGGCGAGGTGCCCCAACATCGGTCAGTGCTGGGGAGGCGACAAGGGCGACGCGACGGCGACCATCATGGTGCGTCTCTCCTCTTCCTCCTGCCTTCCCCCCTCTCTCGCTCGAGCCGCAAGCTGACCTCAGCTCGTCACGCCCACGCAGCTCATGGGCGACACGTGCACTCGCGGGTGCCGCTTCTGCGCGATCAAGACGTCGCGTGCGCCTCCACCGCTCGACGTGCACGAGCCCGAGAACACGGCCGAGGCCATCTCGCGGTGGGGCGTCGGCTACATCGTCATGACGAGCGTCGACCGTGACGGTGCGTCTCCCGTCCTTTGCCCTCTCTCTTTCCAGAGCGGTTGCTTACAGTCTCTCACACGCGCGCAGACCTGGCTGACGGCGGCGCGGCCCACATCGCCGAGACGATCCGAAGGACCAAGACCAAGTGCGTCTCCCTCTTCCCCTGCCCTCTCTCTTCTCTCTTTCTCGCTCAGGTCCGGGACTGAATCGCTTCCCTTCGCAGGGCGCCGCACATCCTGATCGAGGCGCTCACGCCCGACTTTGCCGGCGACGCCGACGCGATCCGGCTCGTCGCCCAGTCCGGGCTCGACGTGTTCGCGCACAACATGGAGACGGTCGAGTCGCGCACGCCGTACGTGCGTGACCCGCGCGCCAAGTACCGCCAGAGCCTCGAGGTGCTGCGCGTCGCCAAGGCGGCAAAGGATGGGCTCATCACCAAGACGAGCCTCATGCTCGGCGTCGGCGAGACGGACGAGGAGATCCTCCAGACGCTCAAGGGTGCGTCCCTTTCTCTCTCTGTCTTCCCTTCCCCTGCGCCTCGAGCCCGGCATCGCTCACTGTCTCGCGCCGCCCGCCCGCAGACCTGCGCGCCAACAACGTCGACGTCGTCACGTTCGGGCAGTACATGCGCCCGACCAAGCGTCACATGAAGGTTTCGTCGTACATCACGCCAGACAAGTTCGACTACTGGGCCAAGCAGGCCGAGGACCTCGGGTTCCTGTACTGGGCGAGCGGCCCGCTCGTGCGGTCGTCGTTCAAGGCCAACGAGCTCCTCAAGAGCAGCGCGGGCAAGCGGCTGCTCAAGGGCTTGACGGGCAGGGACCGCGGCGTCGAGACGATCACGAAGGAGGGCGAGCGGCGCCTCATGGAGGGCGTGCGCATGTAGACTAGCTCGGGCTCGGTTGTTCCTCTCTCCTCGTTCGTTCTGTGCAAGGATGTATCGCCCCGGCTTTCACTGTGTCTGCTCGGTGCTCGACAAGAGTCAGAACGTGCCCCGAGAGCGTCTCTCGAGAGTTTGCCGAGCGAGCGGTCTGGCTCGGCGAGGAGGAGGTCGGGGTGCAACCTCCTCTGTTCGCTCTGAGCGAGCTGGTGGCCAATCTGCGGGCAATTAAGGTTGCGTTGCACTTCCGCACGACGGCCCTGCGAGTCGTGAGCGAGCGGTAGAGGGCGACTCGTCCTGTCGCACTCGTCCTCGCCGTCCCTCCACCGCACGCTCGCCCTCATCAGCACCCGCACCATGTCGCCCTCTGCCGAGCCGTTCTCGCCCCAACCCGCAGACCAGAGCGCAGCCCTCAAGGCGCGCGTCCCGCTCGGGTGCGTCCAGCTCACTCTCGGGTCCTCATCTCGAGGCGGCGCTGACTCGTCCCCTCGTCCCCCTGCAGCTGGCGCGATGCCTGCGGCAAGTGAGTTGCACTTCCACCTGTCTGTGTGGCCGCGCGCGCACGCCCGAGCGGCCTGGTTCACTGCCGAGGACCGACCTGACCCCGCGCTCCTCGTCCTCCCTGCGCAGGCTCCTCATCCCGCTCAACGTGTGCCGGCATGAGAACCTCTACGCCACCTGGAGTGCGTCCTCCTTCCTCTCTCCTCGTTCCCCGCCTCCAGAACTTGAGAGCTGACCTCGTCCCCCTCCTCGCAGAGTGCGACGATGAGCGGTGCGCTGCCGGTCTCTCCTCCAGCCTGAGCGCGACTCGCCCACACGATGCGCCCTTACTGACACTCTCTCCCATTCCTCGTCGCTCCCCATCGTCCGCAGACACATCTACGAGAAGTGCGTCCCCTCCCCCTTCCCCTCCTCCTCCTCCTTGCCCGCCGCGCCGAGCTGACCCATTCCCTCCCCTTCCCCGCCCACCAGGTGCCAGTACGACGACTACCTGTCGCGCATGAAGGCGCTCTCGAAGCAGCGGGCGGCGCAGGCCGACGAGTAGAGCGCGCGCGCCCAGGGTTCGAGGGAGGCTGTAACGAGGAGAGGGGGTTTCTGTCTTTCCTCTCGTGGGGCGACGTCGCTGGCGAGAGAGCGTGAGAGTGGGTGCGCGAGAGTCGGCGTGCTTGAGCGAGAGCTGCCGTGCTGGTCAGGGCGAGCGACGAGGGGAAAGCGAGACGCCATCGCTCTCGAACGGCGGACTCTCTCGACACGAGGAGAGGCTGAGAGCCGAACAAGTACACGTTCTCCCCCTCGACCGCCTCGTCGAGCGCGCAAGGGGTGGTACAACTGCTGATGGAGAAAGTGCGCGTGCGAGACCGTCCTCCGCCCCCCTCTCCCTCGCTCGTCCCTCGTTCACCGTCCCGAGAAGGATGCCGGGCAGGGAGGTGCATCATGCGCCGCCGACGAGGATGTTGTTGATCGGGATCTGACGGGGAGAGGGGCGTGTCAGTCGAGGGCGAGGAGAGAGGGACGAGGAGGGGGAGAGGGGTGCGCACGTGGATGAGCTTGACGAGGTAGCCGATGCCGCCCATCATGGCGAAACCGATGGCGACTGCGCGGCAGATCTGGACGTACTCTGCGGGTGCGGGCGAGGGAGCGAGATCAAGGCGCGTGCGGGGAGGGAGAGAGGGTCAGCGCGAGGACAGGCTGGGAGAGGGATGGATGGGAGGAACGGACCCTTCTTGTCGGGCTTTGTGCAGCGCGTGATGAACTGCGAGCGAGGTGCGCGAGATGAGCGACCACAGTCTCCACGTCGAACCACGACAACGAGGTGAGAGCGGGGGACGCACAGCGTTGCCGTCGCGGACAAAGACCTTGCCCGAGTCTGCGAGATCCTTGACTGCGTCCATGGTCGAGCTGGTCAAGGTGTGGTGGGTGTGGGGGAGAGCGAGAGGAGGAGGACGAGATGAGGACCAACCTCGCTCCTCACCGCCAACAGCTGCCAGCTAGCCATGAGCACTGCTGCACAGGATCCGCTCCCGCTCTTGACCGACCTCCATGTCGCCTACATCCAGTCCCTCGACAAGGTCCGTCCCTCCTCGTCCTCCTCGTCCTCGGGTCCGCCCTCACCTGCTCACACAGCCCCTTGCCCGCACTGCAGAAGCGTACAGACCTCAGCTACTACTACACCGAGCACCTTCGCATGAACGGCATCTACTGGGGGCTCACCGCCCTCGCAATCCTCAACCGCACCGACGCCCTCCCGCGCGACGACATGCTCGCCTGGGTCCTCTCGTGCTGGGTCCCCGACGCGGGAGCGTTCGCCCCTCACCCGGGACACGAACCCCATCTCCACTCGACCCTGAGCGCCATCCAGATCTTGGCCACCCACGACGCCCTCGACCGCGTCGACTCGGACCGCATCGTCGCCTGTACGTCCCCACCCTCTCTCTCATCGTTCCCCAGACCCTCCCTAACCTCTTCTTGATCTCCCACAGTCGTCCTCTCGCTCCAAGACCCCGTCCGCGGCTCGTTCGCCGGCGACCAGTGGGGCGAGCAAGACTCGCGCTTCTCGTACTGCGCCGTGTCGTGCCTGTCGCTCCTCGGCCGCCTCGACGCCCTCGACACGCACAAGACCGTCACCTTTATCGAGCGCTGCAGGAACTTTGACGGCGGGTTCGGCATGGTCGAGGGCGCAGAGAGCCACGCCGCGTACGGTCCGTCATCTTTTCTCTCTCTCGTCCTCTCGTCCTCCTTGCCTCTTTCCCAGAGCGCCTAACGAGCTCTCTCTCTCCTCTCCCTCGTCGCACACAGTCTGGACCTGCGTCGGCGCCCTCGCCATGCTCGACCGCCTCGACCTCGTCGACGCAGACACGCTCTGCTGGTGGTTGTGCGAGCGCCAGTTGCCCTGTGGCGGGCTCAACGGCCGGCCCGAGAAGCTCGAGGACGTACGTCTCTCCTTTTTCTCATCTCCTCCTGCCTATTCCCTCCCTCATCGCGCAAGACATCTCTGTCTCGCACGACGAATGCGCCCTGACCCTCTCTCCCTCGCGCCGGCGCACACAGGTCTGCTACAGCTGGTGGGCCATCGCGAGCCTCGCCATCCTCGGCCGCACTCACTGGATTGACGGCGACAAGCTTGCGCACTTTATCCTCTCGGCCCAGGTGCGTCACCGTCTTCCTCTTTCTCTCTCTCTCTCCCTTCCTCCTCTCGCCCTCCTCTCCCTCTCAATACTCGTATCCCTCGCCGACTCACATTACCGTGTTACTGACGCTGTCCCTCGCGACGCCACAGGACCCGGACAAGGGCGGCATCGCCGACCGCCCCGACGACGTGCCCGACGTTTTCCACACCGTCTTTGGCCTCGCCGGTGCGTCGCCTCTCTCTCTGCCTCTCTCGGTCCTCTTATTTCATCCTCCTCTCATCCTCCTCTCGAAGTCGACGTCGCGATCGAGCTCGTGCGGCTCTTGAGCAACCCCCGACTGACGCACGGACCCTCTCCCTGTTCCCTCTCTCTCTGTCTTCGACTCGCGCACAGGCCTCTCCCTCCTCGACTATCCAGGCCTGCAAGAGATCGACCCGGTCTACTGCATGCCGCGAGCTGTCACGAGGAGGGTCCTCGGCAAGTAATCGAGTCGCACGAGGAGAGCGAGGAGGAGGAGCGAGCCTGTTCTGTCCCGCCGTTCCTTGTTGTTGTAGCACTAGCTCTCTCTCGTTGTCAATCGCAGAGTCTCTCACTCGCACAGAAGCATGAAAAGGGAGAGCCAGTCGAGCTCGTCTAGTTGCGCTCGTCTACCTTGGCCGTCGCGGCCGACGAAAAGAAACCTCCTCGCTCCTCGCGCCCACCCTCCTCGCTCTCTTGGACCCGCTCGTCCTGCTGCCCCTCGCTCGTCCACCGCTTGCGCAGCGCGAGCTTCTCGACCGCAGGCCACAGGTCGGGCCGCTCGTCGCGCACCCGCTGCGCGACCCGCCGCTGCGCCTCGCTCGAGTCGCGCGCCGCAAACTTGAGCAGCGCGCGCACCGTGCCCTCGCTCGCGACGGGCGCCACGTCGCGAGCGCCGTCGCCGTCGCCGTCGCCGTCTGACGCACGCTGCCGCCGCTCGACGGGCGCCATGTCGCCAAAGACGACCTGCTCGGCCTCGTCGAGGCGGCCCCACCGCCCGAGCGCCTCGACCCACGCGTCCCAGTTGTTGGCGGTGCGCCGCACGCGCCCGCCGACGAGCGTCCCTCGCGCGAGGTCGGCCCACACGCGCTCGGCGCGCCGCTGCGCCGCGGGCGAGCCGTCGTGCGCGGCCGTGTCGAGCAGGGTCGACACCGTCTTGGCGTCGATGCCGGCCTCGGTCGGGTCGCCGCTGCGGTGCAGGAGCATGGCGTCCCAGATGCGGTACGCCGCGTTGAACGCGCCCGTGCGCGAGTAGGCGCCCATGAGCGCGTTGAACAAGGGCGTGTCCGGGTCGAGGTGCACGTCGAGCTTGATGAGCGAGTGCAGGTGCGCGATCGTCGCCGGCGACGCCGACGCCGCTCGCGAGAAGTACGTGAGGAGGAGCGCGTATGTCGCCGAGTTGGGCGGGTGGCCCGACGTGCGCATGTCGGTCATAAACTCCATGATGAGCGGCGCCGGGGCCGCCGAGTCGGGCGACGACGACGACGACGACGACGGGAACTTGAGGGCCGTGAAGGCCGACAGGATCGTGTTGTAGTCCTTGCGGTCGAGGACCGACGGGTCGAGGGCGCGCATCTCGTCGTACGCCGCAAACGCCTCGTCGAACGACGACGCCGCGCGCATGAGGGCGACGATGTGCCACGTCGTGCTCGCGCCGTCGAGACGAATGCCGCGCTGCTTCATGTCGCCGACGAGGCTCCTCGACCACTCGAGGTCCGGGTGGACCGGGTCGGCGCACGCGCGCAGGAGCGTCACGTAGACGCTCGCGTCGGGCGCCGTCGTGAACGACTTGGACGACGTCGCGAGGTCGTCGTACAGCTCGCGGGCGGTGGCGATCGTGTCGGGCGTCGGCGAGGGGAGGAGGAGCGCCGTCAGGAGGGGCTGGATCATGGACGAGTCGGGCCGCACGGACCGGTCCCGCGCGACCTGGTACGCCCGCAGCGCCTCGTCGAGCCCGCCGTCGGCTGCGGGTCGTCGTGCGAGTGCCGCGACGACGGTCGACCACGCGTGCCGGTCCGCCTCGACGCCGAGCGCGTCCTCGAGGCGGTCGAGCAGGGCGGCGCCCTCGTCGGCCGTGCCGAGCTCGCTCACGCCGTACTGGACGAGCGTGCTCAGCGTGCGCGTGCTGAGCGGCAAGCCCCGCTCGCGGAACTCGCGCGCGAGGCTGACGCCCGCTTCGAGGCTATGCTCGACCGTCTCGAACTGGACGAGCCCGGCGACGGCGCCGGCGTCGATCGACGCCTTGCCCTTGCCGCGCGAGTCCGACGGCGCCGACGCGACGAGGCTCTTCAGCCGGCGCTGCACGTCGCGGGCCGAGGCGAGCTCGCCGACGTTGAGGAAGCCGGCGAGGAGCGTCTGCTCGGTCCACAGGTCGCGCTCGACGCCGCGCTCGACCATGTCGGCGACCGCCCGCCGCACGCCGTCGAGGTCGCCATACTCGAACAGGGCGGCGATGAGCGTGTTGAACGTGACGACGTTGGGCTCGACGCCGCGTGCGCGCATGCGGTCGACCGTGGCGCGCATGCCGGCGAGGTCGCGCATGCGGCGGTAACCCTGGACGACGGCGTTCCACTCGGACACGGTCGGGGCGAGGCCGTGCGTGTCGCGCATCGACTCGAGCCAGGCGATGGCCTTGTCGGGGCGGCCGGCGCGCGACAGGGCAATGACGAGGATGTGGTGGTCCTCGAGCGAGTGGGCAAAGCCGAGGCGGACGGGCGCGTCGTTGAACATGCGCAGGGCGAGGCGCGACTTGCCCGTCGTGGCGGCGAACCGCATCAGGTCGTGGAACTGGCCTCGCGAGAGCGGAGCGCGCGAGCTTGATGAGGACGACGACGACGAGTTGGAGACGGCCTCGACGAACGACGGGTACAGCTTGGCCATGATGTCGGGGCGGTCATCCCTGCACGCCTGGACGAGCTCGCCGGCAAGGTCCTGCGCCGACTTGGTCGGCTTGCGGAAGAAGAAGGCGGCCGGGGTCGACGACGAGAAAGGCCGAGGCGAGCTGGCGGTGGGAGGGCGAGGGGCTGGTCGCGGGTGCGCCTGGGTGCTCCTTGAGCCGAGTGCAGTGCGCAGTGCGCCTGCTGCAGCTCTCCGCATGGCGACGATGCGAGAGGTGGCGGTCGAAGCGAGAGAGCTTCCCCTCGTTCGAGAGACGCCCTCCTCGCCGCTCGCAACGGCTCAGCGAGTCTCTCGCTTGGTCTGAGCAGGCATAGGCGACAGTCGTCGAGAGGTGTACTCGCTTAAAGAGGAGTTCGCTGTAGAGCTCGCCTCTCGAGCTGCTCTCTCCTCCTCGGTCGCCGTCCGAGAACGGCTAGAAACGCGGCTGTTCATACATTTTGCACGCCCGCCGCGCGCCCGACACTGCACAGAAGTGGAAAGGAGGACCGACGGCGGCGGCCCTCACGCGCTCGCAGCGAAGTGCACCTGGATCGGCGCGTCGCGGTCGACGAGGAAGCCATCGAGCGCGTCCTTGGCGACGCTTGCCTGCGCCGCGCTCTCGAACTGGACGAGGGCGCTGCCGCTCTTGGGTGCGGCGTCGGGCAAGGTCGGGTTCAGGCGGACCGTGGCGAGGCCGGGATACCTGAGGGAGGCGCGCGAAGGGAGTGAGCGGGTCCGGCTCGTGCGGGCACGAGAGCGTGCGGCGGGGAGAGGGAGAGAAAGGCGAGACGTACTGCTGGAAGAGCGCCGTGAGCATCTCGGTCGTCACCTCTGCCGGCAGGCCCTCGACCTGCAGCGACGGGCTCGAACCACTGCCCTCTCCTGCTGCCGCCGCCGGACCTGGTGCGTCCTCGTCGTCCGACTCCTCCATCATCGCCTCTGCAGGGACATGTCGAAGCGTCAGTGGCTGCGACTGGATAGGCGGCTGGGAGAGACGAGAGAGCGCGAGACGCACCATCGCCATCGTCCTCGTCCTGCCGACCCTTCTTCCTCTCGGCCGGCCCGTCCTCGTCACTGCTCTCGTCCTCCTCCTCCTCCTCCTCGTTGTCCCGCGCCCGCTTCTCCCGCCGGTCGTCGCTGAGCTTCTTCTGCGCGCCCGACACGGTCAACTTGGTCTTGTTGCCGTTGGCCGTGTTGCCGTCGACGTCTCGCAGGCCGAGCTTGATGGCGTAGACGGCTTCGGGGCCCTCGGTCTGGCCGACGGTCGCGTGCGAGGTCGACTTGGCGTACGAGATGCGCTGTGAGGAAGACGAGGGGCGAGGTCAGCGAGGGAGGGCGAGAGGAGGAGGTGCGGGGAGGGAGCGGCCGCAGACAGCCCGCCGCCGCGACACAGAGAGGGAGAGAGGGACGCACCAGGCTCTTGCCGTAGAAGCTCTCGCCGTCGAGCCCCCTCATGGCGGCCGTGCTGCTGGCGAGGTCGCGGAAGACGACAAAGGCCGTGCCGCGCACCTTGGCCGCGCGCGTGTAGACGACGTCGATGACCTTGCCGTACGAGCCGAACAGGCAGTACAGCGCTCGTCGGGCCTCTGCAGGAGCGGGCGGGGGAGCGAGGAGGGTGAGCGGGGTGCGAAGAGGCGACGAGGATGGGGGAGGGGCCAGGGCGAGGAAGCGGGCGCACCGTCCTTCTTGACGATGCTGTAGTTGATGTTCTGGACGCACAGCGTCACGCTCGGCTGCGACATGGCGCCTGTCGACGGGGTGGGTGCGGAGTGATGAGGACGAACGGCGAGCGGGCTAAGGTCGATTACAACTCGCAGCTCGTAATCTCGCCCGCTTGGCTCTCTCGACTCTCTCTCTTTCTCGACAGCTCCGAGACACGCTGCACACCCGTCTCGTTGCACCCGCCGAACGGGCTACTCGCCCAGCATCGCCAACGCGAGCCGCAGCTCCTTGCGCGCCGTCTCAAAGTCGTCGTAGTTAAGCGCCGAGACGGCCCACCGGCAGTGCTTCTGCATCTGCGCCACCTCCATCGGGTCGTACTCGTCCCGGCGAGGCGGCGGCGGCGCGACAGGCGGCGGCGCGGCGGCGGCGGCGGCGGGAGGAGCTCGTGCAGCGACAGAGGTCGGGGCGAGCGAACGAGCCGAGGGCGGCGCAGCTGCGCCGTGCGGGGGAGGAGGATGCGGCTGCTGAGGAGGGAGGGCGGGGGCCGAGGGGAAGACGGCCGAGGGGAACGCCGGCGGGTCAAAGGCGACATGCGCCTGCGGGACGGGCAGGTCCGACGTCTGGTGCGTCTCGGGGACGGGCGTGACGGGACCGCCGGGCGTGACAGGCTCGCCAGACGTGGATGCCGGTTGGTCGAGGAAGGAGGGGACTGGCGGGGTCGCGGCGCGAGACGGCGGCGGCTGCTCGTCGTCGACAAAGTCAGAGCCTGGCTCCTCCTCCTCGCCCTCGTCGTCCGAGGCGGCGGCGGCGGGCGCAGACGGGAGCGTCGTCGGCTGTTGCGGGAACGGGTACGATACGGGCTCGTCGTCGGCGACCGACTTGGCAGTGTGCGTCGCCGAGCCGGCGGCAGCCGTCGCCGGCGTCGTGCTCTCGGCAGGCGTCGCACCCTCGAGCGGCGGACGCGCTCGCGCCTCGTCGCCCGTGCCGAGCGCCGCGAGCTCCTGCGAGAGCTCCTTGGCCTCGGCGTCCGTCACCCGCGACGTCTCGACCGCGTCCTCGTCGCCTTCCTGCAGGCCGCCGACAGGCCCAGGCGTCGGCGTGCGGCCCTCGCGGAAGGCCTTGGCGATGTCGGACGCCTTCCACTTGGCGTACTTGATCTTGTCCCGGTTCTGTGGGAGAGCAGCTGCGTCAGGAAAGTGGGCGAGGGGGGTCGAGGAAAGAGAGAGTCGGAGCGCACCTCGCTTGTCGGCTCGCCAAAGATCGAGAGCAGCTCGAGGAAGTTGGCCGCCGCCAGGAATTTGCGCGCCGTCAACCTGAAGATGCTCAAGGTCAGTTGGGAACGCGAGAGGGCGAGAGAGAGAGAGACAGGGACGCACCTCGTCGCCTTGCTCTTGCGGTCCTCGTTGTCGGCCTGGGAGAAGAGCTTGAGGCCAAAGTTCTCGATGTAGGCCGAGGCGGCGAGGTCGTCCGTGAAGGCCTCGTTGCTGGCATTGGCCGCCTTGCTCTGCGAGACGAGGTGTGCGAGGAGGGTTAGTGGTCGCCCCACTTGGTGAGGGCGCGTCCGGTCACGCACCTCCTCCAGCTGGTCCATGAGGCTGATGAGGAACGCCTGGCTCTCGGGTGCGCTCGACCGGAGCGACATGGCCTGCTGGAGGGCGTGGAAGGTGCCTGTGCAGGCGAGTGCGGGGAGGGGGAGGAGGAGAGCGGGTCAGTAACGCTCACGAGGGCGACTCTGAGGCTCGAGAGGGGGATGTGGACGCACACCAGTAGGCGATGACGGGCTCAGCCTTGGTCAACTCGCGCGCACGGGCGAGGTAGGGCGACACGGCCTTGAGGTCGCTCGGCACGTCCGCCATCTCGTCGAGGTGAGGACGGGGCTTGGGGAAGAGGGCGAGGGACGGTCGGGGTCTGATGAGGCGGGATGGTGCGTGTACGGAGCAGGCGGCGAGCTCTAGCCGACGAGCGGGTCGTGTGCGGTCGTGGTCGAGGGCGAGGGAGGAGAGCGAGGCGAGGTGGGGGCCGCAACGACTCAGTCTCGCAGCTTGCAGGCCGCTCTCGAGCCGGTGCAAGAGTGACTGATTGCTGTACATTGCCGACAGAGAGGCGCAACAAAATAGAGACGCTCGCACAGACCCTCCTCGAACCCGCTCTCCTCGCTCGCTCGAGCACTCAGAGGTTCGCCTCGGCCCACTTGGAGAACGCCTTCTTGCTCTTGACCTTGTCGACGCTGCGGGCGTTGTTGAGGCGAGTCAGTCAGGGCCGAGGAAAGCGGCAAGAGGAGAAGGAAGAGGAAGACGGACTCGGCCATGGTGACGGGGCGGCACTCGTGCCCGTGCTCGTACCCGAGCCGGTCGCGGCCATCGGGCCCCTTCTTCTCCGACTCGTAGAAGCTCGGGCGGCGGAGGAGGGTCACGACGCAGCTGCCGCCGAGGCCGAGGTTATGCGCGAGGCCGTACGCCGTCTTGCCGTCCTTCTCCATGACGCCGGGCACGACGCGAGGGTCCTGCATCGGGCCGGCCCACCCACGCAGCTGAAGGGAAGGGACGAGGTCAACTGCTGAGACCGTCGGCGACGACGGCGACGTTGAGAGAGGGCGAGCGGGAGGGGACCGTCGCGACTTGGGAAGGAGGAAGGGGCGCGAGGCGAACAAGAGAAAGAGGGGCGCACCTGCTGGACGACGAACCAGGCCGCAGCGATGCCCGTCGCGCCGAGAGGGTGACCCTTGGACAGGAGACCGCCGGACGGGTTGACGACGAACCGGCCGCCAAACGTGTTGTCCCTGTTGCGAACGAGCTCGTGCGCCTTGCCGGGCTTGGACAGGCCGAGTGCGTCGTACAGGAGGAGCTCGTTGGCGGCGACTGCGGGCGAGAGGAGCGTAAGTCGGCGGACCAGGTGTCGCAGCGACGGGCGAGAGAGGGAGAGGAAGAAAGGGCGGACGCACAGCAGTCGTGCAGCTCGATGACCTGGACCTGGTCGACGGTGATGCCGGCCTTGCTGTAGACCTCCTTGGCGCAAGTGCGAGTCATGTCGGCGCCGGTGAGCTCGATCGAGCTGCGGTCCTCGAACAGGCGCGGCGAGTCGGTCGCCATGGCCATGGCGGCGATCTCGATGGTCTGGTTCTCGAGCTTGTGCGCCTTGACAAAGTCCTCGGAGCAAACGATGGCGCACGCCGACCCGTCCGACGTCGGGCAGCACATGGCGCGCGTGAGCTTGTCCGTCACCTTCTTGTCGGCGAGCACCTCCTCGGTCGTCATGGCGTTGTGGAACTGGGCGTAGGGGTTGTTGACCGAGTGCGTGTGGCTCTTGGCAGCGATGGCGGCGACGTCCTCCCACGTGGCGCCGTACTTCTCGATGTACCTGCGAGATGGAGGAAAGAAGGGGTGTGAGCGCTCGCTCGCTCGACGACGCAGGGACCGGTGGCCCTCGTCTCGCCTCGCTCGTCGCCGTCGCGCATGAGAGAGAGGTAGACGCACTCTTGCGCGCCGTTACCAAAGATCTGGGCGGCGAACGGGCCGGTCGTCATCTTGTCCATGTCGGCCATGAGCCCGACCGTCTTGCTCAGCGGCGGGTCGCGGTCGTTGAACGCGTTGGTGAGCGATCCCGGCGCCATCTTCTCGAAGCCGAGCGCCATGACGCAGTCGGCGATGCCGTACTCGATGGCCTGGCGGGCGAGCCACAGAGCCGAGGACCCAGTCGAGCAGCTGCAGGGCGAAGAAAGGTGGTCAGTCGTCGACGCTCGCCTCTCTGAACGTCACGAGAGACACGCACTTGTTGTTGACGTTCATGATCGGGATCTTGGTCATGCCGAGGGCGTACAGCGCGCGCTGCCCGCAGGTCGAGTCCTGCTCGAGGGGGCGAGAAAGAGTCAGAGCCTCCTCCCACAGCGCGCGCGAGTGTAAAGAGAGAATTCGACGCACACCGTAGACGTAGCCGGCGAAGGCCTGCTCGATCTCGTCGTAGTTGACACCGGCGTCGAGAAGCGCTTTGGTCGCCGCCTCGACGGCGAGCCTGTGGGAGAACGAGCAACGTCAGCTTTGGCCGGGGCCGACTCGCAGGACCATCGCTGATACTACTCACTCGGGATCTGCGCAAAGGGACGAGGCCAGTCAGCCATGGTGCGGCAAGGAGGAGACCCGCCGGCGAAGAAGAGGATGAGGAGGCCGGACTCACAGTCGACACGGTTGCGGGGCTTCTCGAAGGCGGTCTGGCCGACGCCGACGATGTAAGCCTTGCGCGTGGCAGTCTTGGGGGCCATGGTGGAGCAAGGAGGATGAACGAGAGGTGCCGAGGTGCGGGGAGGAGTGGGGACGATGAGGCTGGACTGCGGCCACAGGACGACGGGCAGGGTCAGTGGTCGGCCTCGCGTGCACGCAGGGAGACTGGACGCACCTGGCACTCGTAGCGGGATGCGGTGGAGAGAGAGAGCGCGCTGGACACCGCCCCGCACCCCCTCCGGCTCTTCGGACGGACCTGCCGGCGACTTTGAGGTTCCCCTGCACAAGAAAGGCATACGGGCACTCGGTTGCACAACAGGGACTACACAAAGAGAGATCTAGCTCCGTCGGACGGTCGCGACCCTGCGCCCACCGCTCGCCGACAACTCGTCCGCTGCGACGGCTCGTGCGCCGAGCTCCGGCCGCGGCTCAGGCGGCTCGCTCGTCCTCCTCTTGCCGCTGCCGACACCCAGGCCCGTCGCCGTCCCACTCGACGTCGACGACAGGGCGGCGTTCGGGTCGGCGCCGACGAACGCGTCGCTCGTGCCGAGCGCGAGCCAGATGAAGCACAGGTTGGCGAGCGAGTACAGGCGGTGCGCCGAGCGGATGCCGTACAGGAGGGCGTACGCCGCCGGGACGACGAACGAGGCGGCCGTGACGAGGGGAGAGAACCTGAGGGACCCAGCGCGAGGTAAGCGTCGGCTTCGAGGCGCGAGGGGTAGAAGGACGAGAGGACGAGAGGGGACGCACCGGCCGCCTGTGCTCCTCTGCAGCACCTTGCCGCTGTGGAGCGCCTCGACGTTGGCTAGGAAGCCAAAGACCATGAGGACGTTGTGGTCGGACGAGAACGGGGCGAGCCACCCGACGGCGAGGTTGCGCACCCACACGACGAGGATGAGGGCGTTGATCGGGAGGAGCGTGACGAGGACGACGAGGATCGCGAACGCGTAGTGGTACCGGTCCCACAGGCGGCGAGCGGCGGCGGGCGTGACGGCGGCCGACGAGGATGAGGCAGACGACGACTCTTGCGCGTGCACGAGGCAACGGATCGTCGAGAACAGGTGCACGATGACGATGACGAGAAAGGCGAACTGGTACGGCGCGAAGAAGATGACGAGGAGGAGGAGGGCGACCATGGTGAGGACGCGCTGAAGCGGCAGCGTCTCGGGCGGCTCGGCGACGCTGCGGGCGAGGAGCGAGGATGAGTCCCATTCCTTGACGAGAGTCGAGAGAAGCAGGACGCACGGTAGCAACGCCTTGACTCGCGCAGGACCGTTGCGCTGGAGCGTCTTGATCGCCCAAGCGGACCCGGCGACGATGGCCCACAGCGCCCAGTACTCGCACGCGACGACGCCGACCGACGCAAAGACGAGTAACGGCGCCAAGGGCGCCCAAAAGCTGCCGCCGTTGCCGAGGAGCGCGTTGGCGATCCAGGCCGGCGGGAGCGAGAGGTGCGAGTGGTGGTGGTGGCCCGGCTCGACGGCTGCGAGGCGGTCGTGCGACGAAATGTGGGTGCTCAGGAGCGTCGACTGAAGGTACGAGAGGGCGAGTAGGGCGAGGAGAAGGGAAGGAAGGGTGCGTCGCGAGAAGGACGACAGAGTCGAGCCGAACGAGGGGAACGTGCCTGCGGACGAATGAGGATCAGGCCACGTCCGGGACCGTCTCAGGAACGAAGAGAGCGAGAGTGTGACGCACTGCCCGAGTTGTAGAGCTTGACCGACAGGCCGACGACGAGCATGGCGAGGGCGAACGGCACGGTGACGAGCGCGAGGCGGTACCGCACGACCAGGCCGCCGAGCGTCGCCCACACGTCGACCTTGATCTCGAGGGCAAGGTCGGCCGTCTCGCTCTTGTGCGGGTCGCGAGGGCACGTCGGGTCGAGGAAGAACTGGAGGCAGGCGCCGGACGAGGTGAAAGGCGACGAGGGCGGAGGAAGGTACGGGCCGGCGGCGTGCGTGTAGAGCGACGCGATGCGCACGTTCGGGAAGAACTTGGTTTCGTGGACGAGGGGCGAGTATTGGCGCAAGAGGGGCGCAAAGAGCGAGTCGTGCTCTGCGAGGCGAGGCGGCCGGCGGCAAGAGAGGGTCAGGGACTCACTCGACGTCCGAGTCGAGGCGAAAGATCGGCGCACCTTGGCATTCGCTGCGGTACACGCGCAGCTTGAGGGTCAGGAGCGACGAGTCGAGCGCCGGCAGCCACAGCTCGGTGAGCATGGCCGGGCTGGACGGAACCGCCTCGAGCTTGTGCCCGCCGAGGAGGAGCTCTGCAGAGGGGAGGAGAGTCAGTCGGGCGACCACGACGATGGCGAGGCGAAATGCGAGAGACGCACGAAGAGGACCCTTTCCCACCACGTGCACGCGTTTGTCGCGGTCGGCAAACTCGGCGACGACCCAGTCTGCGCGCGCGCCGTCCTTGACGACGATGGCGATGTCGTCGACGCCCTCGAGCTGCTCGGCCTCGAGCGCGACGAGGTTCATGCGGCCGTCCTCGATCGGCGCAGGGAGCACGGGCGACACGCTCGAGTGCGGCGAGGCCGGCAGCGTCGCGACGTGCTGCGGGTACAGCGACCGGCAGACCTTGCCGCCCTCCTCGTCGCGCGCGTTGCAGGCCCACACCTCGACCGTGTCCTCGCGGCGACGGCCGATCGATGCCGACGTGAGGAGCGCAAAGCTGCGCGGGCCGGCGTACGTCCGCCGCGGCGGGACGGGCAGGAGGAACGTGCGCGGCGACAGGTCGCCGCTCGCGCTCGGGCGCACGACGAGGCGCTCACCGACGGCGAGATTGTGCGCTGCGACGCCGCGCTCGAGCGCCTCGAGCGTCATGCGGCGCGCCGCCGCCGCCTCGCCGCTCGCGCCGAGCGCCGGCCGCTCGAGCTCGCCGAGCCAGCGCCGGCCGAGCTCGGCGACGCGCTCACCTCGGGGAAGGACGCCGTCTGGACGGCGTACGTCGACGACGGCGAGCAGGCCCTGGGCGACGACGTGCATGAGCTGCTGGCACCACAGGATGGCGAGGTGGTCGACGGGCGTTTGGACGCCCGGGATCGCCGTCGTGAAGACGGTGAAGCCGTTGTCGCCCGATGAGGGGACGAGCGACGCGAGCGAGACGGACTCGGACGCGATGGTGACGTCCGAGAGCCCGCCCGCGATCGAGATGAGGACGAGGTCGCGCAGCTCGTCGTGCGGCGGAGCGCGGAAGTTGCGCAGGGCGGGTGACGGCGGCGAGATGGCGTCGTACGACGGCGGCGACGAGCCCGGCGACGACGACGGCGACGACGAGAGCTCGTACGCGCTGCGCCAGTACGAGTTGATGGCGCTGTAGACGCGGTCGACGCCGGCGTCGACCGTGACGGGCGGGACGACGTGCGGCGTCGCGAACGTGATCAAGGTCGAGATCGAGTGCGACTGGTAGTGCGGGTTGAGGAACGCTGCGCGGGCGACGATGCCGCCCATCGAGTGGCCGACGACGATGACGGCGGTCGGGTCCGGGCGGCGGTCTCGGCCTGGCGGGTCGTCCTCGTGGTGGGCGTACAGCGACAGGATGTAGCGGATGCAGTCGGCCGTGTACTCGGCCTGGTCGAGGAGCGTCTGGCCGTGGAAAGCGGAAAAGTCGTCGTTGAAGTCGAGCGTGAAGAAGTCGAGGCTGGCGGCGCCGTCCCTCGTCGCGACGGCCTTGCGCTTGACGCCGGGCACCTCGAGCCAGGTACGACTCGCTGCGCTCGCGAGGCTGCGGACCTGGCGGAAGCTGCCGGCGTTGCCCGGGACGAAGAGGACAGGGGTGCCGGAGAGGCGAAGGCGGTCGCCGCCGCGGCCGTCGTCGACGAACGGGTCGTCGTCCCAGCCGGCCTCGCGGTACAGGTACAGGCCCCAGGGCCCGTTGCCGAGGCGAGTAAACTCCCGGCCGAAGCCGCTGAGGTGGGCGAAGGCGGGCGACATGAAGCTCATGCGGCACGAGCCGGCGCCGTTGCCGCGGGCATCTGGCGGGAGCGAGCCCGGCGGGTACGAAGGCTGGCTGGCGGTGTGGGCGTGGAACAGGGCGAGGCAGGCGGCGAGGCTCGCGGCGACGAGGAGGGCGAACGCGCGCGAGACCCGAGGCGAGGAGGACGACGACGACGACGAGGGCGAGTCGGCGGCGGGCGAGCGCGCCATGGTGGGGCTGCGAGAGCACACCTCGAGGCCGTCCGTGTGCGGCTTGGCGAGTCGAGGGTGAAGTGGACGAGCGAGAGTGTCGTCGGCTCGCTCGAATGGTTCTCGCTCAACCAAAGTCCGCCGTCGCCCTCGCTGCGAGATGCTGCTCGGCAAGGACCTCTATCGACAGCTGCTCAAGGAGGCCAGGCACCTCCCAGACTCCCGCGTCAGGTGCGTCCGCCTCTCTCGCTCCTCATCAGCCCACCCCACTTCTCAACCTCACTCTCTACCCCCCTCACACAGTGAGCACTACCTGCACGCCATCCGCACCTCGTTCAAGCAGCCTCCACCGCCCGAGTCGAGCTCGCAGGCAGTTCGCCGAGTCAAACACGCCCAAAAGGTGCGCCCTCCTCCTCGACCCTCTCGCGCCGACGCGCGCAGCTGACTCTTGCCCCGCGCCCGCCCCCTTGCAGCTTCTCCGTCACCTCCAAGCAGCCAACGACGGCTACCTGCATGCCCTGACTCGAGCGTTCGAGACGGCGTACGGCCTGCGTGGCCCGCAGAAGCATGTCGCCCTCTCGGTGAGCTCCCTCGCCTCCTTCCACCTTCTCACCGAGCTGATCTGTCTCTCCACGCAGCCTTTCCTCGAGCCGGGCCTTCCTAATCGCTCCTTCCCGCCTGCCCTTGCCGCCCTCGTTACCTCCCCCGTCGCTCACCTCTCGCGGCCGCCCACCCCGGCGCATCTCCTCACGCCGCCAACCCTCCCCGAGCGCGCCGACCCGCGTTCCGAAGCCGCTCGCCTCCTCGGTCCGCTCCCCGACGAGCGCATCCGCGCCGTCAAGCGCCGGTGGTGGAACCTCCAGACGGGCAAAGTGCGCGCGCCGCTCGCCGTCAAGGTCCGCCGAGGCGGCATCGACGTCGACGACTGCGCCGAGGCGCTCGCCGTCCTTGAGCGGGCCGGTCTTGGCGGCATGCGCGAGGGCCTGCTGCGCGACGGCTGGCGCAAGCTCGCCGAGCTCGAGCGCAAGGCCGTCGGCGAGCAGGCCGACGGCGAAGTAGCGCCGGTGCGCCCGCTCCCGCCGCGCAGGCTTCAGACGCCCGAGCAGCGCGCAGCGTCGCACCCGCCGCCGCTGCCGCCGTCGAGGCGCATCGCCGAGCACGAGGCCGACGCCGAGCCGCGCATCTTGAGCCCGTCGGCGCGAGCGACCAAGTGGCACCGGCCCAAGCACCTCACGGCGCGCCTGCTGCGCCGACGCGCCGCCGCCGTGCTCGAGCAAGCGCCCATCGTCGTCGTGCATGTGCCCGCCGAGGGAGAGGGAGCGGCAGAGGGCGTCGGGCGAGAAGCAGAGGGCAAGGTCCGGTTCGAGGTGGTGCGGAGCGACAAGGCAAAGGGGGAGAAGGGGCAGTATAGGGCCATGACGTCGGAGGAGACGTGGTGGCAGGAGTGGGCCGCGTCGTTGACGCCGGCGAAGCCGGGCAAGGGTGCAAAGAAGCAGCGATGAGCCTCGCGCTTCTTCCTCCTCTCCTCGTGCGTCCGAGAGAGGCCTCGCTCGGTCGGCTCTAGTCCGAGAAAACATGCTGTGCACTCGTCTCAAGCTACTGCGCCTCCTGCTCCTCGTCCCTCGCCCGCTCAGTCCTCCTCGAAAATGAGCGCGAGGTCTTCGGCGAGCTGCTTCTTGTCCTTGTCCTTGTTGCCGCCGAGCGCGCCCTGGATCACCTTGGTCTTGCGCTCTTGCAGCTGCTCGAGAACGGCGGGGAGAATGAGGGCGCGAGGGTCAGTCAGGAGCGGTCCGAGAGCGAGAGTGGACGAGGGGGGACGCACCGCGATCATCTTGTCGTCGATCGACCGCTTGATGAGGAAGCGAGTGACGTAGACCTGCAAGGTCGAGGGCCTGTCAGACGCTGCTGCCGAGGTGCGAGAAGAGAGAGAGGGAGCGCACCTCGCGCGTCTGGCCAAAGCGGTGGATGCGGTCGATCGCCTGGTTCTCGACGGCGCTGTTCCACCACGTGTCCATGAGGTAGACGTGGTCGCCCGCGATCTGTGTGACAATGAGGCACTGAGTAAGTCATGGCTCAGGCGGGAGCCGCACGAGGACGAGACAGAGAGCGAGAGCAGCGACGCACGAGGTTGAGCCCGACGCCGCCGGCCTTGAGGGACGCGAGCAGGATGATCGACTGGTCGCTCTTGGTGAACTTGCGGACGACCTTCTGGCGCACGCCCTGCGTCATGGCGCCGTCGAGGCGGAGGTAGCTGCGGGCGGGCGACAAGGGTGAGCGAGCGGCTCGTGCGGCGCGAGGAGCGGAACGCGAGACGCACTTGAAGCCGTCGCGGTTCATGACGCGCTCGATGAGGTCGAGGAAGCCGGTGAACTGCAGGGTCGAAGCGGCGTGAGGCGGGTCCTCAAGGCGAGGCGAGAGAGGTCGGAGAAAGTGAGGGCGCACCTGCGAGAAGACGACCGCCTTGAGGCCGGGGTCCTTGGCCTTGGCCGCCGCGAGCGACTTGACGAGCGCGTCGAGTTTGGTCGACGAGCGGAAGTCGGTCGACGCGAGGGCGCTGCGAGTCGACGGCTTGTCGGCGTCGCTGTCGTCGCCGCTGTCGAGCACGCCCATCTTGACGTCCTCGTCCTCGTCGTCCTCGTCGTCCTCGTCGACGCGCGCCGAGCGTGGCGGCGGGCTCGGCTCGTACTCGTCGCCGTCCTCGTCGCTGCTGCCCTCGCCGCTGCTCGAGTCGAGCGTGATCTGGACGATCTCCTTCTTCTTCGGGCTCGGCGTCTTGACGCCGTCCTCGTCGTCTGAGTCGAGCAGGGTGAGGACCTCGCGAGTCGAGGCCGTCGAGCCAGGCGACGACGTCGAGACCGTCTCGACCGTGTAGGCCGCCTTCTTGCCCTTGCCCTTGTCGGCCTGCGAGTTGCTGCCGCCGGTCGGACGAGAGCCGTCGGCGTGTTGCAGGGCGGCGAGCTCGCGCTCGGAGAGCGGCCCGGCCGAGCAGACGGGGCAGCGAGCCTGTGGCGGGAGGCAGGGCGTGAGTCGTCTAAGGGCATGCCGAGGGGAGGAGGAGAGAGGGGAAGAGGGCGACGCACAGGTTCGCCGGCGTCCTGGCAGTCGACAAAGTGCTGCAGGACGCAGCCTTTGCAGCCCGAGTGATCGCAGTGCGGTAGCCATACGGGCACCTCGACAGGCTGTGGCGCAAGAGCTCGTGTGAGTCTCGCATACTCGCCATCATCCGCCAAGGAGGAGGAGGAGAGACGGACGCACCTCCATGCAGAGCATGCACTCGCCCTCGCCCTCGACCTCGCCCTTAGGCTCGAGCAGCTCCTCGATGGCCCTCTCGGCCTCCTTGCCGCTCTTGGCGCCGCGCATGTACCGCTCGATGAGGCGCTCGATGGCGACGTCCTCGTGCTCGTCGGCGAGCTCGCTGTCGACGACGGCGCGCTTGATGCCCTGGGCGCGCAGGTTCTCCTTGAGGCGCTTGAGGACGAGCGACGGGTGCAGGACGGCCTGGCGCAGGCGCATGAGGATCGAGAAGATGGCCGTGACGTGTCTGCGAGCGAGGGATAGGCGCCGTGAGTCCTCGATGCGTCTGTGTGGGCTAGGGGAAGAGAGGAGGAGAGAAGACGTACTGCAGGACCGAGCCCTCGGCGGCGTAGCCGAGGAACCGGCTCTTGGCGTTGCGGAACAGGGCGTCGTAGATGATGCGCTCGTCGTCGGTAAAGTCGAGGTGCGCGATGTTGAGGTGCTTCTCGGGGAGCGCGACGATCGGGTTGCCGTCCTTGTCGCGCATCTTCTTCTCGCGGCGGAGCACTGTCGGCGGCGGGGTGAGGTCAGAGTGCGCGGGCGAGATCGACGACGAGGAAGGGGCGACAGGGACGCACAGATGCTCTCGAGGATGACCTGGATGACCTCGATGGCGCGAGGGTCCTTGTTCTGGAACGGCACCGTGACGAAAGTCTTGAAGAACGAGAAGTTGCCTGCGGGCGCGTGCACGGACCGTCAGGTGGCGCTCGAGAGACGGCGAGGACGGGAATGGACTCGCCCCAGGGCTCGAGCTGGATGTAGTGCAGGAGCGAGTACAGGTCCTCGAGGCGGCTGCGGGCGAGAGGGCGAGTTGAGACGGAGGATCGAGGAGGAGAAGCGAGAGCGGGACGCACTTGACGATTGGCGTGCCCGTGAGGGCCCAGCGACGGGCGCCGCGCAGGGCGTAGCTCGCCTTGGCGTTGAGCGTCGTGCGCGACTTGATAAGGTGCGCCTCGTCGAGAACTGGATCGGGTGGCGGGCGAGTCAGTGCCCGACGCCTGAGACGTCGACGACGAGGGAGAGCACCAAGGACGCACCGATGCGGAACCACTCGATGGCGTACAGGCCCTTGAGCTTCTGCTTCTTCTTCTTGTCGGCGCCGCTTTTGCCCTTGCCGTCCTTGCCCTTGCCCTTCGACGACCCAGGCTTGACGTCGTCGCCCTCGCCCGCCTTGGCCTTCTTGTCCGACGCGTCGAGGCCGCTCTGCTTGAAGTCGGAGCACAGGGTACCGTAGCTGTGTGACGCCGGAAGACCCTCGTGAGCATTCGGGCCGAGCGGGAGAGGGAGGGGGAAGGAGAGGAGGAAATTCGGGCGCACCTCGTGACGACCACGTCGACGCCCTCGTCGATGTCGCGCATGAGGTCGGACCCGCTCTCGCGCTTGTTGCCGTAGTACATGACGACGCGCATCTTGCGGCCCTTGCTGCTGCGCTCGAGCTCGTCGCACCACTGGCTGAGCAGGGTCATGGGCGCGACGACGAGCGTCGCACGTGGCGTGCCCGCCTTGAGCTTGGGGCGCTTGCCCTTGGCGGCGACGGTCGTGGACGAGGATGAGGACGGCGCGGCCTTGGTGAAGGTGGCGCCGAGACGGGACTGGGTCCGCGAGGGCTTGATCGCTTGCTGGTCGTCGTCCGAGTCCGAGTTGGCGGCGCCGGCGCCTTCTCCTTCATCGACAGGCGGTTGCGCGTTCCACGCCGTGTTGGTGTGGATGCTGCAGGTGCGCTCGTCGTTAGGTCGGACGCTTTGAGGCGAGGCGGTGCAGGCAAAAGGAGAGAAGGTGACGCACAGCGATGCGACCATGATCGTCTTGCCGAGGCCCATCTCGTCGGCGAGGATACCGCCCCGGCAGTGAGTCGACGCCTTCGGGAAGTCGAGCGAGAGCTCGCCTGCAGATCGTCGACGAGGTCAGTGCGCGCTCGGCAACGAGTCGTCGAGACGGGCAGGGAGAGAGAATCGGGACGGACCGCTGTACGGGTTGTAGTAGAAGCAGTCGCTCGGGTCCTTGCTGCCGGGGAACAGGTACTTCTCCCACAGCGGGTGCATCGACAGGCTCTTGCGCGCCTGCTCCTCGCCCGTCTCCATGGCCGCCATCCAGCGCAGCGCCTGCTTCTGGTCTGCGACATGGGTGACAGGGCGACGTGAGCAGGTGTTCGAGTGCAAGAAGAGAGGGCGCGAAAGGACGTACAAGGACGCAGGGTGAGCGAGAAGGTCTCGGGCGGGTCGCGCTCGGGCAGGCTCGAGTCGTTCTTGATCGCCTTCGAGTCTGCGCGCGATGCGGGTGTCAGGAAACTCGTACGAGGCACGACGAGAAAAAGGAGGGACGCACAGACGAGGTTGAGCTGGATCTCGTTCATCTCGTCCTCCTCGTCCTCGCTCCCGCTCGGTCCCGCCTTGCCCTTGCCCTTCTCCATGCGGCTCAACATGGCCCGCTTGCTCTGCGTGCCCGTCGGCGCGCTGCCGTCCTCGACGTACGGCTGCAGGTCGGCCTTGTCGAAGAGCGTGTTGAGCGCCTTCTTGCGCTCGCGCAGGAGCTTCTCGCGGTCCGTCTCGCGCAGGTCGTCGAGGAAGCCCTTCTTGCCGACGACCGAGGTGAGGTGCGAGACGGGCTCGGGTGCGGCCGTGTTCGGGTCGGTGAAAGCCGACTTGGCGAGCGAGATCGAGAGCGACAGCTGCATGTCGTCGCCTGCGGACGGGGTACTCGGGGCAAGGTCAGTCTCCCGGTTGCTTCGAAAGAAGATGGAGGTGCAAGACGCACCGGAGCGGAAGTTGTCGCGACAGGCGACGCAGTAGCCCTTGACGTCGAGCAGGTCGTGGTCGAGGAGCTTGGCGAGCCAGGCCGAGTCGTCGCGCGAGATGCGGCCGACCTCGACGCCCTTGGCGTTGAGGTACCGCACGACGTCGTTCTCGAGCTTCTTGTTCTTCTTCTGCTTGGACGCGGCGGCGGCGGCCGACGTCGTGGTCGAGTTGGCGAGGTGCGGGTTGAGGCGGTGCAAGGTGATGGGCTCGCCCGGCTTGAGCTTGACGAACGCGTTCGAGCTGGCGAGCGCGAAGCCCTCGACAAAGACCTCTGTGTGCAGGGAGGGAACGAGTCAGCTTGGGCTAGGAAGAGGGATGCAAGAAGGAGGGGGACGGACCGCCGAAGTAGCGCGAGTCCCAGTCGACCTGGCGACCTTTGGCCCTGCGCGCACGCTGCGCCGGGTCGGCCGAGCTTGAAGGGCCGGCGTGCGAGCCTTCTGCGTCGCTCGAGTCGAGGGTGAGGGTGGTGGGCTCGGGCTGAGGGCGAGGGTCGGAGGCGGGGGAGGACGACTCGTCGTCCGAGGCGAAGAAGCGCTGGCGCTTGGCGGGAGGGGGTTCAGGAGAGCTCGACTCGCGCCTGAACAACGGCGAGCCGGGCATCGTTCAAGCTGGATGGTGGCGAGACGAGGAGCGAGAGGTTCGACGTCGCGTCCAGAACGCGCCTCCTCGCTCTCGCCCACTCGCTCTGGCACAGGCTGCCATGGAGGCAGACATCCTCGCTGCTTGGAACTCGCACGTCGACCCGCCGGAACAAGACCGTCGTGCCGTCGCCAAGGTGCGCCGACTCGTTTCCCCCCGCGCTGCCGGATCCTCATCAGTTGTCGCTCACCACACTCGCCCACAGGCATGGGAGACTGCGAGTCGTGCTCTCGACCCTCAGTCAGACCGCAAGCTGTACAAGCTCTCGCGCTTCGACCAGCCACAAGCCGTCACGGCCGCCTTTAGCCTCCTCGAGGCCAACTCGTTGACCGACGACCTCCTCAACAACTACCTCGGTGCGCACCTCGCTCTCTTGCCCTCAGAAGACACCCACACTGACTCGGGCACCTGCGCAGACTCTATGCGCGATGCGTTCGTCATCGTCCGAGTCGACGTCGACGAGCACCTCAACCGCTCCGAGGTGCGCCCCCTCGTCTTGCGCCTCGTTCCCCCAGACGGCCTTGCTGACCAACCTTTCCTCCTGCGATGCAGGCGGCAACATCTGCGGAAGAGCAGTTCAAGGTCATCCTGTCGCTGCTGCACCGCATCGGCAACTGGATCACGAGATTTCAGAACCCCGTTGCCGCCCTGTGGCCGTACGTGTTCTCTCTCTCTCGGTCTCATCTCGTGCCCACATGCGACTGACACATTCGCGTCCTCAGGAACAACTCGCCCGCCCTCTCGGTCTTCCGCAAAACCTTCCTTGCGTCGCTCCACTTCGTCCTCCCGCCCCGGTTCGCCCCGGCCCTGCGTTCCTTCCTGCGCACCCTCCTTGCCTGCCCGTCTCCCTCCGAGGTCGGCGCCCCGTCATACCCTCGCGCCATCCCGACCCTCATCACCCTCCTCGACCGCTACGACCCGCTCCTGTTCGGCCTCATCTACGAGCAGATCGAGGCCAAGGTGACGGGCGACGCCCAGGGCGCCTACACGCACAAGCAGCTCGAGCCGCTCCTCAAGTGGCTCAACGGCGTGTCGGTCACGGGCCCGAACGCGGGCGTCATGGGCCTCATCAGCGGCATTTACGACTTTGGCTCCGAGGGCAACGTCGGCCACGAGGAAGCGCGCAAGTTCCTCAAGCCGACTCTGAGCCGGTTCGAGTACCACGTGCACAAGGTCCTGTGTCAGCTCAGGTGCGTCAGCTTTGTCCCCATGTCCTGCAGAGACGGTGAGCCTGACGACCGGCTCGAGCGCGCGCAGGACGACCGAGATGTTCGACATGATCCTCGCGTTCCCGGCCTCGCAACCTGCCCTCGAGGATCTCAAGGTGCGCCCCCTCTCGCTCGTCAGGTCTCCCTAGTCACAGACTCACGCCCTGTTGCTCTCGCAGACCTGCCTCCTCAAGACCGAGCAGCGCACGCTCTTCGTCACCCGACTGCGCGAGCAGCTCTCGCGCCGGCTCCTTCACCCGGGCGCCGACACCGAGACGATCATCACGACCTACATCGCCACGATCCGGTGCCTGCGCGTCGTCGATCCGCCGGGCGTCCTCCTCAGCCGGGTCGCCGAGCCCATCCGGCAGTGTCTGCGGTCCGTTCCTGTCCATCCCCTCGCCCGCCTCTTCTCGCGCCGCTCACGTCGCCTCACCGTGTCGCAGAGCGCGCAAGGACACGATCCGGTGCATCGTGCAGAGCCTGATCGAGCCGGGCAACCCGCTCTTCGAGGAGCTCGTCAACAGCAGCGCCCGCCTCGTCAGCGACGCCCGAGACGAGGCCGAGAACTTCAACGACCCCAAGTGGACGCCTGATCCTGTCGATGCACCTGATCGTGCGTCGGCTCGAGCCTTTCCTCGTCCTCAGACGAGCCCGGACTGACTCGCTCTCCTCGGCGCAGATTTCCGCAAGGGCAAAGGCGCCGACGTCATCCAGCTCCTCGTCAGCATCTACGATACCAAGGACGTCTTCGTCAAGGAGCTCCAGGTCCTGCTCGCTCAGCGTCTGCTCGCCATCCGCGACTACGCGCTCGAGGCCGAGGTGCGTCCTCTCCTTCTTCTCTCTCGAGACCTCGCCCCCGCCGACACCTCTTCTCCCTGGCAGGTCAGGAACGTCGAGACGCTCAAGGGCAGGTTCGGCGAGCAGGCGCTGCAGGGCTGCGACGTCATGATCAAGGACCTGCAGGACTCGAGGCGCATCGACGAGGCCGTGCACCAGCAGATCCCGGTCCGTCCGCTGCCGCCTCTCTCGCTCCGAGCCGGTCAGGGCACTGACTCGGGTCGTTCTATAGGACGTTCCGCTGCACGCGACGGTCGTCTCGCGCCTGTTCTGGCCGTCCTTCCAGCCGGCGCCGCTCAAGCTCCCCGGGCAAATTGGCCGGTGCGTCCCTCTCGCTCCCTCTTCTTCCTCTGCCGACACTCTCTGACACTGCTCCTCCTTGCGCACAGCGCTCAAGCCGCCTACGACCGCACGTTCGCGACCGCCAAGCGCGACAAGAAGCTGCGCTGGCTGCCGCAGCTCGGGTCGGTCAACCTCACGCTCGACCTGCGCGACCGCTCGATCACGGTCGACGCGACGCCGCTTCAGGCCGCCATCATCGAGCTCTTCTCGTCGCAAGGTACGTTCACTCTCTCTCTCGTCCGAGCTCCCTTCCTCGAGGTCGCAGCTCACGAGCCGAGCCTTCACAGATACTTGGTCGCCCGACGCTCTCGTCACCGAGCTGCGTGGGCCCGACGCCGGCACGGTGCGCAACGCGCTCTACTTCTGGAACAACCTCGGCGTCCTGCGGTCGCTCCCGGACGACGACTTGTGGCGGCTCGTCGAGGTGGTCGATGAGCGTGCGGGCGGCGCGACCGAGGGTGCGGCGCACGGTGCGTCCCTGTCCTTCTTCTCCTTGGTGCGCGGCAGAGGACGAGAGCTTACCGAGCGGGCATGCGCGCAGTCATCGAGGAGGAGAAGGAGGCGGTGCAGAGTGTCGAGGCGCAGCGGGTCGAGCAGGTGCGCCCATGGCTCTCTCTCTATCTTCCTCTCGCTCTCGGTCGAGTAGCACGTACTGACGGTCTCCTTGGACGCTTCACGCAGATGCGGGTCTTCTGGCAGTACATCCAGGGCATGGTGCGCCGCCCTCGTTCCTCCTCGTCCCTTCTCGCTCCTCGCACTCGCTCACCTCGGCCCTCTCTCTCTCTGTGCAGCTCACCAACCTCGGCGCCCTCCCACTCTCGCGCATCCACTCGACCCTCAACATGCTCGCGCCGGGCTACAAGGGCAAGACGACCGACGAGCTCACGGCCCTCCTCGAGGCGGTCGCGGCAGAAGGGCTCGTCTCGAAGACGCCAAAGGGCTCGTGGAAGATTGTCAAGTAGTCGAGCGTCGAGTGCCTGTCGTCGTTGTTGCTGTATCATCGCCGCACGTTTTGCCTTCTCCTCCTCGAGAGGCTCTCAACTGAGAAGGTTGCGTTCTCGCCTCGACTTCTCTAGCGAGCACTGAGAGGTGGAAAGGGAACGAGTCCGTAGCGTATCTGTGGTTGACCGACCCGCAGGTCCGTCCCCCAGCCGGATTGTGCCACCGCGTCGTCGTCCCGGCCCCCTTCTCTCGCCTTCTTCGGCTCGAGCGCTGGGTACCGCCTCTCCAAGCGCTCTCAAAAGGGCCTGGTGGAGGCCCTCGCTCACGACGCAGGTGGAGCGGCGTGCGGCGCACGTGTCAGGCAGATCCTGCTCTCGTGCGTCGTCGTCACTGCCTCGTCCTTTCCCTTCTCCCTCTTCTCCTCCTCGCGTTTCCTTTCCAAGCACGCCGACTCGACCTCTGCAGTCGACATATCTCTCGCGCTCTTCCCTCGAGACGCCAAGCTCGCGCCTGGCGGTCAGGGTCGCCTCCTTTCTAACGCAGCCTTCTCGTCCCTCGAGCGCACGACGAGGTGCAGGCTCTCGCTTCAAACGCGCATAGACGGCATGACGTGCAATGCAAAGACAAAGTGTGCGCTACGGCACTCGAAGAAAGAGAGAGAGAGGCAGGCGAGGGGAGGAGAGAAACGAACGCACGACCAGCGTGCGCACGAGCCTCGCTCGGAAGTGGGCCTGCTCGCTCGACGACGCGAGGCAGCGAGAGCCCGCGGTCGAAGGGGAGGAGAAGGGGTATCTAGTCAAGCGGCGAGGGCGGCGAGGGGTACAAGGAAGGAAAGGCGCGGCGAGGACGACGACGGGCACGAGGTCGGAAGGAGCGAGGCGAGGCGAGCGAGTGTGGGTAGTGTCCGTATAGGTCGAGTCGAGAGGGCGCGAGAGGTGGAAAGGACGAAAAAGGGGGGCTATGCAACAGGGGAACGGCGAGAGGGAGAACTAGGGCGAGTCGAGGTCCGTGCGCGAGGGCGAGCGGGCGAGACGCTCAGTACCGCGGCGGGTTGTACGCGATCGAGGCCGGGCCGGGCGACATCATGCCGCTGCGCGACGTCGGCATGCGGTGCAGGCCGGGCGACGCCGAGCGCATGTCGACCTCGACGTTGCCGGCGTACGGGTTGGGCGGGTGCGAGTACGAGCCGGCGCGGTGGAGGTCGGCGTAGGCGTACGCCTGCTCGTGCGCCTGCGGGTAGCCGGCTGTCGGTGCGTCGAAAGGAGAGAATCAGGTCGATGTTGGCGGCAGTAGGCGAGAGAGGGAGGAATATAGAGAGAGTGGACGCACGCTGAACAGGGGTGAAGGCGGGGCCGCCGTACGGGGCGGCGACGTAAGCCGGGCCGGCGTACGGGATGGCCGCGACGTTGTGCATCCTGTTGTCATCGAGAGTGTCAGTGCTGGACGAGGAGAGGAAGAGGGAAGAGGTAGGAGAAAGTCGACGCACGACTCGCTCATGGGCATGCCGCCGCGCACGCTCGTCTTGCCCGAGTCGCTCCTCGCGAGGCTCGCCGCATAGTGCGCGCCGTAGCTCCCGCCGCCGGCACCCGCACCGTACCCGGCGTGGCCGCCCGACATGACGCTGCCGTTCCTCGCGTGGGCGAGGATGGCATCGTGGTCGCCGTCCATGTCGCCGTCACGGTGGACGGCGTCGGGCGCATAGTCGATCGGCGCGAGCTTGGCCTCGAACCGGCGCGAGGGCGAGAACTTCGTCTTGCGGACGATGGTCCAGATGGCGCCGATGAGGGCGACGACGCTCGCGACGACGATGAGCGGGATGAGGACGGCCTTGCTGATGCCGCCCGACGACGAGTCGTCCTTCGAGTCGGCGGCGAGCGACGCCGACGACGAGGCCGACGACGACGAGGCGCTCGGCGAGCCGCTCGACAGGGCGCTGTCGGTCGAGACGACCGTGTTGCTCGCCGAGGACGCGCTGACGACCTGCGTGACGGTCGTCGTCCCGGCCGACGACGGCTCGACAGCCGAGGCGCTGCTGCTGCTGCTCGTCGCGGCCGCAGCGGTCGCCGTGTCGCGCGTCGCCTCAGCCGAGCTCGTCGCCGCCTGGGTCGCCTGGGTCTGCTCGGCCGAGGTCGCCGCGCTCGTCGCGCTCGTCTGCTCGTCCTGCTGCCCCTGCGCCGACTCGCTCGCGGGCGCCGCAGCGACAGCGCTCGACGCAGCTCCCGCCGCCGCGCTCGTCGCCGCCGAAGAAGCCTGCGCGACGGGCGCATTCGAAGCGGCCGCGTTGGTGGCAGCCGTCGCCGCCGCCGGGGCCGAGGACGACTGGGCGCCGCCGAGGAGGCCGTCGACGAGGCCCTGGACGAGCTGGCGCTTGGCGACGACGCGGCGCTGCATGCCCGGGTGGGCGGCGGCGGCGCGGGCGGCGAGGGGCGCGTGCTCGTGCGAGTGGGCCGCGAGCGCAGTGCTGCCGGCGAGGGCGAGGGCGACGAGGGTCGTGGTGGGCTTCATCGTGGTGCGGGGAGGGCTCGCTCTGGTGCGCGCGAGCGAGGGGCGTGGAGCGTGCGAGGGCGGTGGTTGGTTGGTTGACGGAGGCGGACAAAGGGGTGGGTGGGAGCGAGGGGAACGAGTGGGTGGTGCGGTGGGGGTGCTGAGCGTGTGTCCAGTCGTGGCCTGCGCGAGCTGGAGAGGGTCGAGCTTCTGCGAGAGGGAGCGCGGGGTGAGAAGTCGGATCGAGATGAGGAAGAGCCGCCAACGGTCGGACTAACCGGGGTGAACACGCGCTCTGGCTGGGCTGCGGCGCGGTCGGGAGGGCGTTTCGAGCAACACAGAGGTCGGTGTGGTGCAGTCTGGCGCAGCTGCTTAGTCAA